TAGATTATTAAGCAACCAATCGTAAGTGGCGTTTATTTCTGACAAATTATGGGGGCTTTCAAAAATTTTCCGTATGGTAGAATTAGTGAGGCCGGTAAGGGGCCTAACCATTTATAATATTATGTGAAATACAAAAAAAACACGTTTAATTTGTCAGAATTCTGCGCCACCTTAGACTATTAGACCAAGGTGTGTATTCTACATGAATTTAAGCTACATTTGATTAAATCAAGGTTAGGGGTTTATCGGTATATGTTTGACTCCTGTGTATTCAGTTTTTACCGATTAGTAATTGTACATTATTTGAACTCTGCGAGTACATACATATACTCGCGGAAGTGCACTTCTACACTGTAATAAATAAAAAGACTAACTCCTAACTATGCACTGCAAAAACTTTGGTGTAAATTGCAACACCAACGGTGTAAATACATAACTACGTGGCTACACCGGCATGGTGTAGATGTTTGCTTCTGCTAAGACCAATTGTCACCAACTTGTTATATTAACTATACCCTGGTGTGTAAATTTAACTCCACGTGGTGTCAATACATCACCACCCATTGACAAATTTATACCCGGGTTTTGTTAATATGTTTTAGAGCATAGATATGTGTGTACACTGATGGCTAATTACATACCGTCCAAGAAAGTGACACATTTGACGATCAGGTATAGAAATTCTGCACATTGTCTCCTTCCCGTCTGTTTTTACCTGCCAGACTCCATTCCAGGTTAGTCTACGTGGCTAAAATGAACAATGCATTTGTAAAGGGTTCGCCAAAATATCTAAGGCGAGTTGTTTTTTTTGTTCCAGTTTTGTTGCTTGAATTTCTAACTGCACATGAAAAGCATACAGTCGTATGTGTATGCAAGTTCGTAATAGTGTTGGGTAAACAAAAAAAAACGGATAAAATATGGGCATTCCATGCATCCCGAACCCTGCACGATAAAAGTGCATGTGACGCTTTTCTCCAGGCGACCATCTTAATCATAGAAACAGGCTTGTCCTTCCAGTTTACTTTCACCCATAGGTTTTCTTAATATTTCTGTCCGGCTTAATTTTTATAATTTTTTTGATTCAATATGTAATTAATATTAAAGTTCACATTGAAATTATTTTGGGATGTTTTTTTTTTCTAAATAATTATCGTAGTGTGTCAAAAAAAATATTACTAAAGTATTTGGAAAAAGAAATTCATCTATATTCGTCACACAACAACATTGTAGTGTGAGGATTTTATAATTTTGAAATATTTATTCATTTCAGTTTAATTTTGGTTTAATTAAAAGAATATATTTATCTTAAGCTTAGCGAAATCAACTGTTAATCATACTCGATCAACTTTTTATCATATTTAAATCCCAGTAAGCTTTATTTAAGATGCAGACTTAGTTTTGTAAAGGATATATTAAATCAAAATGTCTACGGCCCCCGCCCCCCAGAAACCAACTGTACCACCTGAGGCCCCAATATCAGGTAGATATCCCATGTTGGCAGCACTGGTTAGAAAATGTTTGGGAAAGGGAAGTCCGCCAAGATGCAGTGGATGTGGATGTGATCCTGATGGTTTTCTGGAAAGTCCTGTGTCTCATTTTAAATTTTAAAAGTAAATAATTATTTATGCAAAATTATATCATACATAGATAAATATTAATTCAAAATACAACTATTCCATTGTACTTAGCATAATTATGAATTCTAAGAAATTCTAAAGAAATTAATAACTAATTAAAATATTGTGGGTGTGGCAGAGAGTGTGGGAAATTTTACATTCAATTTATTCTCATCTATATATCAGATATTTCAGAATTTTAAAGATGTACTGCTTATTATCAACAAATTATGCGGTAAAATCCGCGGAAAATAATCTATTTTTTCATTGCTAATTTCAAGAAGTGATACGTAAAGTAACACTCGGATTTCTAAAATCATGCCATCGCCTTAATGTCGCTATAACTTTTCTGGAAGTCAAGATTAGACAAAGTTGTTTTTTGAGGGCCCTCCACAAGACATTAGCGAACAATTATCCATTGAAATAGAGTCCAAAAAGTGCTTCCGCTATGCTGCACGGGTCGTACCTTCATTCAATTTATCAAGGGCAACATTGAGAGCAGCATCCGCAGTCAGTAAAGTTGCATCGCGCCTACATATTGCTTCGAGGATGACTTTTAATGATTCAAGTGCAGAAATTAACTCAAAAATCCCCACTAACTCCCTCTCCTTTAGCGTGATGTTCTCTTTCAAATCTAACAATATCTCCAAAATGCATGTTCTCAGTACATAAAATCGGTCCAGCATATCCAGCAGAGAGTTTCATCTTGTTTTCGTATACAAAATCAGTTTGATTTCCTTCCCAAAATCGGCAGCAACTTATTTTTGTAGTATTTCATTCTTTAATGGTGATCGTTTGAATAAATTCACTAGTTTCCGGACTTTTGTTACCAGCGGTTTTACCGATTCATTTGTAATTTCGATTTCTTCAGATTCTTCAATTTGAAACCCAATATCAAGCACTTCCTCGTCATCATCTAACTCAGAGACGCACTCTGGACCATCTTGCTCAGTTGTTGGTAAAGTTTTGTTCTGGGCAAGCGAGTAAAGAACGTCCATCATTGCCAACTGAACGCCACGAGCAAATATAATTGATTGTGGCCTGGATATATTCGGCCTATCTTCACCATCACGGCCGCCCCATCAAAAATGATGCTAACAACGTCATCTCCCAGCGATCAATTAAATTCGGCCAATGAATTTGCTAGCAATTCGAGACATCTTTCCGCCGACAGTGATCCATTTATTCGTTTAAGACCGAAATTCCAAAATGTTGAACGCAGTCCATGAATGATAATATTCAAAAATCGCCTATTCCTTCCAGAAGTCCATTCATCAAACGATGCACAGAATGTTTGACCATTTTCCTTCAGAGATGTAATTTGCAAACATTGACCTTCTCGAATATTTTTCGCATAATCCATAACAATTTGTTAAATTGTAGTAGAAGACTGTGGTAGGTTTTCTAAACTTAGTGCTTTAATGGCAGTCTTAAGGTCTGTTGAAGTACAAAATGTCGAAAATGGTATTCCATCCAGCGAAGTCATTCGTGAAATTCTCATGACAAGCAAGATGACTTCCTTCGAAAAATAATTATCAATACGTTTTGATTTTTTTGCATGGAACTGGAACATTGTCTGAAATAATCAATACAAAATGTTTGCTTTAAATGCTTCAATAACAAAAATAAATTAGATTTCACGAATTCGTAAAATACGTGAAATAACAAATTTTATAGGAAATTTCGTTTACCCAAAGATTTCTCTTCCTTGAGAATTATCTTGTGTGCACTGCTAAGGTGTCGAATAAGACCAGAAGTTGACCCTCCACCAATTTTCAGTTCCTTTGAACCACAGTCCGTACTTTTGCATTTGGCAAGCTGTCCAATCACTTCTCTTAAAAAGTAGTACCAAACCGACTTTCTATCGTTCTTCTTCTCGTTCACTTCAACGTTAAATTAAAAGTTGCCACTTTTAATTGATCCATTTAAAAAAAAGTCTAAACTAAATAATTTAAGTAGAGGAGAGTAGTTGAGGAGAGTAAATATTTACCGACAACTGAATTCACTTTATTATTATAATTTTTAAATTACGCGGTACAAACGGGGCAATCCCGAATTCCCGGGATTTCGGGTTTTCCAATCCCAGGAATTTTTCCCGGTCAATCCCGGGATTGGAAGCCCCATTTGTGTCGGATGATGTAGTGTGTTTAATATTCCTACTCTCTGCCACATCTATTCCATTTGTCTAATTTACTTACCTACCATGCAATAGAACTCATAGTTATGATAAGTACGCTGAAATTGTGGTATTTTGAATTACTATTTTATCTTATATATGATTTTGTATAAGTAATTAATTAGGTATTTAATTTTGAAATGAAACAGTACTTTTTAGCCCGACCAAGGGCTTATGTACCCGTTATGTCCGTCCGTCTGTCCGGAAGCACGATAACTCTCTTTAAACTTATCCGATCGACTTGAAGTCTTTGCCATATGCATATTGGGCAAAGTTAGGAATCAAGTTCAAAGATGAGCATGATCGGTCCAGTGGTTGACCGGTGGGGGTGATTTTAGTGGTGTGGGTCCATGGTGCAGAAAATACAAAATAGTCGTAGAAGGCTGAAATTTGGCATGAAGGTAGTTAATGACTTCAAATGAAAGAACATGAAGTGAAATTGGAAAAATTTTCATCTGCAGGCACCCTAAGGGGTGACCCATACCGATTTCATAAAATCGTCCAATTGAGCTGAAATTCGGCATGACGGTTTCAATGAAGTTGTAAACTAGCAATACGATGTCAAACTACTGAATTTTTCAGTCGTTGCATAAAAATCCCTTGGTCGGGCTCCGCAAAGCTGTACTGATAGGTTTTAGAATATTTTTTTGGAACTTATGACTTTCTAAAATTAACCATCGATGTAACTTAGGACTATTTGAAATTAAAACGACGATATTCATTAAAAAAAGATTTAAAAACAATTTTCGCCAGGCTTTATTTACATTTTATCTCTTATTTACCATGAAGAAATTCACAGTTTTCCAATGCATACATGTGTACATAGGGATTTAAGATTACATAATATGTACATTCATTTTTTGCATGATTTCAAAATAAACTTTCCGCACTTAGGACAGCTTTGAAGTTTTTTGCATACTTTCGTAGTTTTCATTTGTGTGCAATTATGCTCAAGCGAAGCTTCTGGCAAACCATTGATACATTTGTATATGCCCTCGGGTTCGCAAAAACTTTTGTGACCGTCATTTGGTTTCAGCTCGTGCCCACAGTACTCACGAAGGGTCCCAGTTGTATTAACGTCTTTAGGGCACATACATCCAGTAAACTTTTCATTATCGCGGGCATTCAGTTCGTTTACTACATCCTGGTCAAGCGATGCCATCGTGCACAAAAAAATGCTGCACGCCATGACAATCAGGATTATTTTTCTTGGTACGCTCACCAACTCCATCGATCTGTTTTCTGTGAACAATCTCCACAAGTATTACTAATATTGAATCGTTAATAGAGACGTTTCTAACTACCAATGGTGCGTGGTTTGATGTGATATATTTTTGTTCCGAGTTTCTGCCTGTTTATTGTATAGATTATTCTGGTGTAAAAATTACAAAATTGATTACTTATGTACTTATATAACGCTTGCTTAAAATATAATTTTCCTTACTTAAAAATCTTTGCATGTGGAATAGTCGTGAGAGATCACAAAATTGGAGAAAAATTGTCTTTTACAACCTTCAAGTCAAACTGGGAATGATTCTCTTTCATTTAAGGGTTTTCTGGGGCAGCGTCACAGCAGCATGCGTTGCGATTGTGTATAAATTGGTGGCATTGGGCTTCGAGCGTACAATGGGGCATCCGCTCATTGTTACCCTCGAGACAAAGGAAACTGACGTTGCAGACTTGGAATTTCCAGGCTTTTCTGTTGCTCCGTACGGTGGCATGAAATCCAATTTGATTGCGTAAGAATAAGTTGGAGCCTGAATTTGCTGAAAATATATTTTGCAGTTGTGAAATCTAAATCGTTGTCTCACAGGAACATTTTCCACTACAACTTTATGGGATATATCATTGACAATGAAGAATTCATTGACTACGACGACATTGACCATGTTGCACTAAATGGATCTGCGCTTATCGCTGATCAAATATGCTCATTTAAAACGACATTTGCTGGGCAACATGAAGTTCTAAATTTTAATAACGCACACACTTTCGTCAACATCGACGGTACCTTGATTGACAACGTGAATAATAGCGACATGAGTTCTCGTATCCTGCCGTTTGTAAAGAAAGTGAGTATGCAGAAGGTAACACAGGGTGTTGAGTTTTATGTAAATTTACGTCGTTGCACATGACTAGGGCGTAGTAGGGTGCTCAGAAATATTAGAGGCATGCTCCAGTGGTGGAAAGAACTCTACGTGTAAAGGTATGTTAAAATCCTACGTCTCTGAGGTGGGGTCTACTTGCGTCTTTAACACGATTCCAACTCAATCGACTAGAAGGTAAGTCTGAAATTAACCACAATCGTTTCCCTACATAAGACGCACTTTCTAAATATTATTCGTACAGAAATGACACAATTCAATCTGCTCTTGGTGACGAATACACTCGAAAAGAAATCGAAAGATGGGAAGGTATGAGCTTGGATCGTGAGAAGCCAGGCATGGATGCAAAAAATGCTTCACCTGTTTGGAGGCAGAAGGTTCCTGGAAAAACTTCTGGTGTGGCGTTCATCATGAAACAAAACGAAGACTATGCTTGTCCGCACACAGAGGGAACTGGATTCACGGTAGAGGAAATTTTATAACAATTAAACTAAAAATATTGATTTTGTCTACTTTATATTTTGTATGCTTTGCAGTTAGGTATCCCCACGGATGAACCCGATATCCAACGGTTTGGCTACACCTTGGAATATGGACGCGAAATTTCTGTCGCAATCTTTCCTGACGTTCTCAATGCAGATGAAGATGTTCGAGACATTGCACCAGTAACAAGTTTGATCTATGCACAAAAATATATGACTTACATTTAAAAAAATCTGTATCTATAAAAGGAACGCCGTGACTGTTACTTCAGCGACGACCAAGGCAAAGCGAAGTTGGACTACTATAAAAAGTATTCTAAGCAAAATTGTCTTCGTGAATGTGTAGCCAAAGAAGTAGCCCGTATCTGCAATTGTAGCGCCTTCTACCATCCTGGTTAAATGTTTTACTTTGCATATTTTATTTCTAAATTTAAATATGTGAATAATATCAACTACCGCCACAATTATAGGCAACCCAGGCAGATCACTGTGCAACACCACTGGAATGGAATGCGTCCGAGATAAAGAAAGTGAGGAAATTTCAACCGTTGAAACCTTATTTAAATTTCTGTTTCTTAAAGAATTTTTAATCGATCGCAGAGGTTTTGTATGACGAAGGATTAAAACAGACTTGTCCAGATTGCTGGCCAAACTGTCGCGAAATTAAGTACACGGTAGTAATTTCGTCCATTCCCCTTGCTCCACATCATGTAGAGAAGTATAAGAGTACATCAGGATTAAACTTTAAGTATGAATTGATTAATTAGTGATTTTTAAAAATTATATATATGTACTTGCTCACTTAACTATCTTTTTGATGCAGCGATACCGGCAATTTCTCTATTGTCTACGTTTACTGTGGAGTCGATTCTGTCCGGGCATCACGGAATAGCTTGAGATACGGATGGTTCGAAAAAATTGGTAGGAACTACTTTCATAATACACAAATATTATTACTACTTAATTTTGCTATCCAATTAATTATGGTCACCTTTCACAGGCTTAATTGGTGGAATCGTCTCCATGATAACCGGCTTGAACTTACTGGACCTAATCGAGCTTATCATAGTAATTGTAGCTCTGATCCTTGAGCTAAAACGCAAGATTGACTGTAATTCCTTCCTGTGTCAAAATTCTGGAGGTAAATATTGTAGTTTAGATAAAATCATTAGAATATCGCATCAGTTGATTAAAATAATCAGAAATTATCAACAAATATTATACATCTTCCTTGAAATGAAAAGAAAATGATTTTTGGATTTGTATATTTTTCCGTCCTGATGACGATCACAATCGAGATCGAAAGCTAGACACAATTTAGAAAACAATAAAGTTTTCATACTGTTACATCCATAATGTCCGTCATTAACACTTCTCCTAATCTTACTTGCCATCCACCACCTACCCTTTCTCCGGGAAAGTGAGCAGAACCGTATATTTACCTATCAGCTCTCCCGGGGGTGAGGTGGATGAGGATGAATTGTCACTCACATGGAATGGTTCCCGACTGTTTATCGACTCCAGCGTTCTCACCATGTACATTCAATGCATAATCTAATTCTAGTGACCCAATCTAATAAAATTTCCGTGTAAAAATCATTTTTGGCCGAAATATGACGACTTTTCTGACGCATAAAATCACACTTTTCCCATGCAACTCGTCATCAGCCCCGGTCTCCCCGGGCGAGCTGTTGCGGTTCCATCTCTGACCTGACTCGTGCTTACATTTCATTAATGTGCATTGTAAATAATTATTATATTATTAATTTTGGATTATATTTTAAAAATTAAATTCAGGGTGTCAATATTTTAAAATAATGGCAAAAATAATTAGCCTATGTGAAGCAGCCCTTGGTTTAGCAAAAGTGCGATATGAAAAAAGTGGTGGAAATTCATTAGACTTCCCGAATAAAATGGAGTTGGCTGAAAAAGTTATTCAAATAATTACTCGCATGATTAGTGATCAAAGTTCCGATATTGAAACAATAATATCTTTAGAATACGATTGTGATGGTGATATTGACATTTATCCTGACACATATAATAATAGTTCCGAAAATGCAATTGTTTGTGATAATAGTGATGAAGATGACAGTGAAGATGAAGAAAATAGTGAAGAACTTTCTCAGCAAGTTTCACAAGATTGGGAAGAAACTCGTATAGATGAGGTGAACTTTAGTTATCAGGAAATGGTGAATATTTTATCATTTTACGACAAGGCAAAGAAGAATAAATTTGCACAGACGAAACGTCGATATAACAAAGTAAAATACCCCGTGACAATTATTAGAATTCGCGACTATGTAAATAAAAAGAACACAGTTGCAAATAAGTTTAAAGAACTAGAACATTTTGTAATTCATAGATTTAATAGTGCTAGACTCTCAATGTTTCACGTGAGTGAGTTGGACTTGATAAGGTGGGGTGCGATAAAGGCTAGAGAGCTTGACCTTAAATTTAAGGCCAGTCGAAAGTGGCTACATTCGTTCAAAGTTCGAAACAGAATAGTTGCCAGGAAAATTACCAAGTATGTCACTGCGAGAGAAATCGAGAATCAAGATAACGTTGAGGATGAGGCTTGTTGTTTCGTAAACGAAGTGAATATGCATCGTGTTGGACTCTCTCCAGAATTTATTTTTAATTTCGATCAGTCTGGCTTCACGTATGAATTTTCACCGAAACGGACACTTTCACATAAAGGAGAAAAAGATACGCACGGACTGGTCAAGTCTCAAAATGCAAAAAGTCATTCATATACGATAATGCCACTTATTTCTATGGCTGGACGCCTCACTGGCAAACTATTAATTTGCCTACAAGAGCCAAAAGGAGTTCTAGGACCTCGAATTTCAGAGTCATTGGTTGTTCCGGATAACATTTATGTTACAACTTCAAAATCAGGGAAATTGGACAAGCGTATAATGACAAATTGGATAAATGACTGTGTCAAGCCTTTAACAAATGACAATGATATTATGCTCATCTATGATTCATGGGAAGGACAAGTTGACGACGAAATATATGCCGAGCTTGGTGAAAAATGTAAGCGTGAACAAATTCCAGCAGGAGCCACGTCTCTAGTTCAACCGTTGGACGTTTGCATTTTTCGACAATACAAAAGATTCAGAAGAAAAATTTTCGAGAGAGTGATTCTTGACGAGATCAACTTGGACATGCATAAAAGAGAAAACGTTTTGAGGATGCACTCTCTAATTTTTGATCAATTGAGCTCGGAAGCGTTTGTTCCAATGTTCCAATATGCTTGGTTTGCTTGTACTTACACAGAGGACAGAATTACCTTTAATAATGTAAATCAACTGCTATTTACCATGAACTGCGATAAATGTGAAAGTGATATGTGCCAAGGTGAAAACTTTATACGATGCTCTCACTGTAATTTGCATCTTTGTTTGACCATTTCTTCATTGAGAATCACAACCACATCAATCGTCACGATTAGCAACTTCTTACAACTAAATTATAAAGGTAAGTCAGAAGTAATTTTGCTCTAAAATACACATATCCCTATTTTGAGAGGGGGAGGATTAGTGACCTCGTGAAGTTGAGAAGGGAGCTCGAGCGGTCACTGGTGAGCGGCGTGCGGGTGACGAGTTACATGGGAAAAGTGTGATTTTATGCGTCAGAAAAGCCGTCATATTTCGGCCAAAAATGATTTTTACACGGAAATTTTATTAGACTGGGTCACTAGAATTAGATTATGCATTGAATGTATATGGTGAGAACGCTGGAGTCGATAAACAGTCGGGAACCATTCCATGTCAGTTTTGCGTATAGTTATGTACCATGCATACGTACTATATAATACTGTCGTATGATATGATTGATTAATGCGATCACACCAGTTGCATGAATCATATTTAACAAACGTGTCTTTTGGTATGTAAAACTACACGATCCCCTTACCATCAAACTTTTCTCCACCACCACCACTTTCTCCGGGAAATATAAAACGGTGAGCCAACACTCCAGCTTTATTTATGCGTAATTTCTCGAGCAAATGCGTCAGCAATTTTTTTCTACCTAAAATTCTGTGGTTTTATTTCTTAGGTCAGGTTTCATATGTGTACACGAATAAAATTGCTTAGAATTCAAATATCTTCGTTATATTTTAAATGCCTGAAAATTCTAAATTGTGAAATGTTATTCTAAAAAAATTTATACGAAAATTTTGAAATTCATGGGAATGCTATATTTTCATAAAGGTCCCTAAACTTCGCATGAAAATTCACAATACCGGAGAAAGTTGCCCGCAAGTAAAACTCACTAAATGGTGGGGGTCGACTTGCTTCCTTTCCCAGAGAAAGTGGTGGTGGATTGGGTGGAATAAAGTAATCCATCTGTGGATCAATTTTGATTATTTCGCAGTCCTGCGCTTTTTACATATCTGGTAAAATTTGCTCATAATATTTAATTTGCATACTGCAGGGAGCGTGAGTGTATGGCCAGCAAGAAATATACCAGCGGTTGAGAACCCTGCCAGTAATGACATCGAATTGATCCCTGTGCGCCCAAGACGTGACTCAATTCCCCCACAAGAATTACCGGAAGTGTGTTAGTTCTTATGAAAATCGAAAAGCCGAAGCATACAGAATTAGACTGCAAATGATTCATGAAAATACTGATTGCAAATCAATGTTGATAATTTACTGCTGAAAAGCTGAGTAGTTGCGTTTACATACATATGTAAACTAAAATAATAGATATGTATGTACATGTGTACAAAGTAGTCGATTCTAGTCAAAGTAGTAAAGTTTATTAGATTACTCAGATTCAAGCGAATGTTGAAATACCTGCCTGCATAATCTAGTCCATTACTATTTATATAAACTTTTGTTGCTTCGAATATTGATAAGTTAACAAATCCCAGTCTATTTAGTAGACCTAGACAAATAATCCCTAATTTAGTAATAGTGAAAGCACAAATATTACAAATTGCGGTGTTAAATAGGTGTCTTATATTTAAATTTTAAATATCTAAGTTAGTGCCTTCATCAATTAAGCAATTTAGTGCCTCATACGCCGTAAATGCCTTATTCAATTACATACGAAGTAAATCGAATACAACTTTATATTTTGTCTGCTATCTGTGAAACCTATCGCTGGCTGACCCAAGAGAACAATTACGGAAATTTTTTATGTACATTTTTTTTGCTTTTTTCAAATATTGGTAAATATTAACATTGACAAAACATGCAGATGCATTAATTTTCATTGTCAATCGATCTATATATTAAAATTTCTGGTTTTTTTCTCGAAATTGGAACAAAAATAAAATAGGAAATAAAACTTAAAAGTTCACTTCAGCAATTGTTTTGTTTTATTTTACTTATTTACATAAGTATATAAATATAATTACAATTTATATAAGTAAATATATGAATATTTTCATAATATTAAAATATATTGTATTTTTATGTTATTTATTATATGGCATTATTTTACTTATTTTCTGTTTTTATCCTGATTTTATCCGACAGAGTTAATCTATTTGTACATATATGCATAATTGTTATCCAACTTATGTACATATTTGTAAGCAAAAAATAATCCTAAATTTGTTACGAAATACTACTAAATAATCTCTAGTTGTCATGCTGGTACATATGTATGTGTATGCATGCGACCGGTGCGGCAGCGACCACCAGAGGAAGGCCCCGCAGACCCACAGTCGGACGAATTGCAACAACAATTACTTGTGACACCAACGAGCCCTACTCAAGTGAAATAGTGCCCTCACCCGTCCCCGATAATATACACTTGGGCATATCGTCTCTCTCCGTACCATCACAGCGGCGACGAACCTCTGTATCCCCTACGTCGCCCAACATTACAAAAAAGGACACAATAGCTTCGGCCCGTCGCTGGATTCAAGAATCCCTACTCCCTCATCCTAATGCAAGATTAAAGAAGGCGGACGTTTTTTCCCGTTATGCGTTGTTCGTGAATCAGTCAGGCGAGGGTGGAGTCGCTGATACCACCCTTGGAAAATATATAAAAGAATTGCGCCCCGACATTATCAGTCGTCGAGCCACCGGAGCAGACGCGCACACGTTCTTTGAGGGGTTACGGGGAGTCTGGGAAGATTCACCGCCGTCGGGGGAAATACAGCCGCAAGACTGGGGGAAAATACTTTCCAAGCTGAAAGCCACCACACCTACGTTACGTAGAGTGCCGAAAGGGGCGAGAAGGGAAGTTGCCCTAGCCCTTACAAAGGTATTGGAAGACGTGACCACCAACAGAACGGAAGAATCATGGGGTAGGCTATTTCTGTTCCCTTATGTGTGTCTCCCAGTCCCTCAGAAGACTGACAAAGTCAAGAATTTGACCACCTGGGTCAAGTCACAGGTTGCCCGATGGGTGGCAGACCAGACCGCACCACCACCTCGACATCTTCGGCCCCCCGCTAAGCTCCCCCGAGGAAAAGAAGACATTGCAAGGAAAGTCGAGGTGAAGCTGGCGGATGGTGACGTGAGAGGCGCCATCCGTCTTGCATGTTCAGACGACAGCATCGCCCCAAAAACACAAGAAACTCTCGACGCCTTGACCGCTAAACACCCACCACATCCTGAACCTACCAACTACCCGCAAACCCCGGAAACCCCACCGGTACTATCAGCGGTGGAACCAGAAGAGATTGCATTCTCCATTTCAAATTTCCCGCCAGGGTCAGCGGGAGGCCTTGATTCTCTCCGCCCGCAAATCCTGAAAGATCTCATCACAACTGAACAGGGGGAAGAGGGAAGGAAACTCATTAAGGCTATTCTTAATTTTACAAATGTTGTTCTCAGCGGGGGGGTACCGGACTCTTTTTGTCCGATTTTCTACGGCGCCTCTCTCACCGCTCTTGTGAAGAAAACTGGCGGGATTCGGCCAGTGGCGGTGGGAAATGTGTGGCGAAGACTGGTCGCAAAAATAGCATTGGCCAGGATGTCACCGACCCTGGTTAAATACCTCGCACCACATCAGTTGGGAGTGGGGGTTAAGGGGGGTGCAGAAGCTGCTGCGCACGCGGCCCGTATTTATTGGGGATACGCCCACACCGCACCCAAGGCGTTTCTCAAGGTGGATTTCTCAAACGCGTTCAACGAGATCCGGCGAGATACTATCCTAAACATTATTTGTGAAAGGTTCCCGTCAATGTTTAGTTTTTTGTCGCAGGCCTACTCCTCTCCCTCTCAGCTATTTTATTGGGACACGCCTATCTCGTCCCGCCGAGGGTGTCAACAGGGCGACCCAGTCGGCCCCGCCCTCTTCGCACTTGTTGTCCAACCGATCATCCTTGCAGTCGAGACGGAGCTTAATTTATGGTACTTGGATGATGCCACCCTAGCCGACACACCGGAGAAAGTGCTCATCGCATTGGACACCATTATCCGCATGGGAGCGGATGTTGGCCTTCACCTCAACACCGCCAAGTGTGAAGTGGGTGTGCTGGGAGCGGACGACCACACCCGCCTTCAAATCTTAGAGAATTTCCGCCAGGCGGCACCAGGAATTCAAGAGATCTCCCCCCAATCTGCTGTTCTCTTGGGTGCCCCCCTTAGCGACGAGGCCATCGAGGCGGTGGTGGGGGCAAAGACCGACCAATTGGCCACACTAGGCACACGACTCCTCGAACTCTCCTCTCATTCTGCTTTCTTCCTTCTCCGGGCTTCCATCTCGACTCCTCGTCTCATTTATTTTCTCCGATGCGCCCCCACATGGAGAAGATTTGACGCCCTCACCCTTTACGATGCCAGACTCAAAGAGTCAATGGAGGGCATCCTCAACTGTTCCCTTTCCCCCCAATCTTGGATCCAATCCTCTCTCCCCGTCGCCGAAGGTGGTCTGGGGGTCAGGCACGCTGTAGATGTGGCGATTCCGTGTTTTCTCGCGTCCGCCTACAGCGCCCTGCCCCTTGTTGAGTCACTTTTACCACTGTACCTACATGGCACTGACACCGCCATCCAAGAAGGTGAACAGAGACTGAATCCATTGGAACCAGTAGAACTCCCCCCACTAGAAGTACGAGGCGTGCAAGCGACGTGGGAGAAACCGCAACAAGAGGCGGTCATAACACACCTCAACAACTGGGCACCCACGCCAGAAGACAAGGCTCACTATCTTGCCATGAGACAACCAAATGCGGGGGCGTGGCTCAACGCTGTTCCATCCCCACAACTTGGGACACTTCTCCCCAACGAGACATTCCGTGTCGCCTGTGCTCTTCGGTTGGGATGTGATGTGTGCCAACCCCATAAATGCCCATGTGGGGCACAAGTCTCGCCAAAAGGCTACCACGGCCTAAGTTGCAGGAGCAGTGCTGGTCGTCACTCTCGTCATGCCGCAGCCAATGACGTAATCCTGAGAGCGATCCGGTCAGCGGGAGCCCCCTCTATCAAAGAGCCAGAAGGATGTTCCCGGCCGGACGGAAAACGACCTGACGGACTGACACTTGTCCCATAGGCTAGAGGAAAGCCCCTAGTGTGGGACTTCACATGCTCCGACACCTTCGCACCGTCCTACATCCCACAAACCTGTGTTTTCCCTGGTGCGGCATCAGCACGAGCGGAGGACAGAAAACACAAACACTACCAATTCCTTCAGGACCGGTTCCTCTTTGTCCCCGTAGCCATTGAATCGACGGGAGTATGGGGCAAAGAGGGCCTGTCCCTTATCAGAGAAATAGGGTCGAGGATCACCGCCCTTACGGAGGAGAAGAGGGCGACATCATTCCTCATTCAAAGGATGAGTATCGCCGTGCAAAGAGGAAACGTCACGGCGATTTTAGGCACTCTACCAGGAGGCAAAACTCTCGACGAGATTTACTTCTTTTAGATTTTTCATGAATTTTAGGTTAGGTTTTACTAAATTAAGGTTAGGGATTTATATGTTAGACTCCTGCGTAGTCAGCTTTTACCAATTATTGATTGTCATATATATTGAGCTCTGCGAATACAATTCTATACTACAATGAATAAAAATACATACACCTTTGCATGAGAAAGGTGCAAGAGATATTATGTACCAACGAAATACTAACTTTTTTTAATATACCCTCCACGACATATTTATTAATGTAGAACTTGCTTCAAGTAAAAGAATATGTACTACTGTATAGCTAAAACTTAATTATTATTTTCATGTTTTTACTGCAAATATTGATGAGTGCACAAATCCTAGTTATGCATAAGAAATTAATCTTTACCACATTAATATTTCTCTCTCTAGTTTTTTTGCACCCGATAGAGTAGTACATACATATTAATGTAACCTTTAGATAAATATTCTCTAGTTTAGAGCTGCACATACATACCTTGTCAAAGTGGCTTGTTACGGCTGTTAGAATTTAGATATGTATTCACAAATTAATTGTCTTATAAAATATTTATATACCCCATATCAATCCATCACAATTCACAATTTTGTGAATATCTTCGAAATGCATAAAAATGTCTGTTTACAAAACATGCATTTTATCAATATGTTAAGCAATGCAAATTTCTGCTAATTTTTCCAAGCTCCATTTACAGTCTTATTTTTATACATTTGTGCTATATTGACTTTATCCGACACAGTTGAGTCGTTCTATTACAAATTTATTACTTTAGAATTTGTTTTAAAAAGCTTATTTTGTACACATGCACGTGTACTTTTATATAATCAAAATGTAATGTTCTTGTTACAGAATGAGAATGAGAAATGTGGAAAAGTTATCGGTATTAAGTGTCAAGGTAAAATTATAAATTTAAGGCGAACCTTGAAAACTCGAATCCTTGAAAAGTGTCGTATATTGTAAGCGAATATTTTAATTGATAATTAGCATACCACACTTTGTACATATGTGTGAAATCTAGGTAGTAACGGATATATTTAAATGGATCATAAGTAGAATAAGTATTAAGTCCTTTACGAGAGGGCCGTGTATTAAGTCCTTTACGAGAGGGCCGTGTATTAAGTCCTTTACGAGAGGGCCGTGTATTAAGTCCTTTACGAGAGGGTCGTGTGTTAAGGCCTTTTGCATTTAGTACTTACCTAATTGTATTTTTCTTATGATCTTAATGGATGAATATTTCCAAATTTGTATTTAAATTGTTCACTTAGGGTTTAGTTAGTAGTTTCAATTTAAATTGGACATGACGTATGAAGGATAGCTGCGTAATTGATTGATAAGGTTATGTAAAAATAGTAAGTAAGATATAGCATAGTGTCTCAAGTAGCCCCGAGAGTTTGAACTTGGCTGTAGGTAGCGAGGAGGAGGGCTTAAGAGGGAAAACGTTTTGAGAAGAAAGAAAGAGAGTGCGTGCTGGCAGAGAAAAGAGGCAGTGCGTGGTAAGAAGTTGAGTTCTCAAGACGTGTGTAAAGTTGCGCTCCAGCCAAGCAAAAGTAATTGTTAGTACACGTAGACTTTAAGTGATTATAGTAATAATTAGTGATCCAAATCATTGTTGTAACTGTAGTAAATAGTGAGTTTGAATAAAAACCAGTGATTTAGTTAAAGTGCACTGATCCTGGGACCTTTGTTGACCTTATTTCTACAGGAGTTGCAACGTGAGAGAAAGGACATGTTACATCATCATCAAGTAAGTCATCGGTCAAGTCGTGTTAGTTTGCCGTGAATTGGTGTTTCGATTCGAGTCATAGTTGGAAGAGAACCGGCACCACAGGCACCACTTGCACCACCACCACACGGACCTGGTGCACCACACAGCACCACCACCACTTGCACCACACGTGGAACCAATTAACCACCAACCAGTCAAAATCAAGGAAACCCTTACGAAGCGGAAGTCACGTGGGATTTACGACCCCACACAAAGATAAGTGAGCTTCAGTGAGCCGCTCCGTAACAGTTCTCATTAATTAAAAATGTTCTCTTAAAGGTATGGAACACGCTGTTTAAATTTGGTTACACCAATTAATTAATTAAATATTTGAGGGATAAGTTTAATGCGATTTTATTAATTTACAACAACAAACGTAATTTATTAATTAATCTATAATAAATTTTGGTAACCTATCCCCAACCACTTTGAGAGCATATGTATTTAAAATAAAATAAAAATATGAATAACCAAATTTAGGCAAAGTAAGGAATAATCCGCTCTAGTTTCTGCTTTGTTAAGTTGAATTGTTATAATAAATATGCAACGAAATCTGTGATGAGAGCAAGATTTATAATTCTATTGCAATTTCCTCCATACGTAAAGCATTAAAATATGTTAATTAATTACTTCAACGACCACACTGACCATGAAAAAAGATCATAAAATAGAACTCCCTAATTGCTATAAAATTATTCCAACTTTTTGCACATTTCTCAAACATGAGTCTACTTCTCGTCTTCATTTTTGCTATCTTGGGCGCCGTTTTGTCGGACACTGTAAATAATTTTGCAGTCATATGTACATACGTTACGAATTTTGGTAAAGAATTTCATACAAATTGGTAAATTTTTCCTACAAAGTGGTAAAAATTATTACAGACATGGTAGTAGTTTATTACCAAATCTTCGCCAAATGTAGTGCGCGTTATTACCGTCTTTGTAGAGACTCTACGAATTCGGTAATAGTGACTACCAAATTATTTACAGTGGAGAAATGCTCCCCTTCAACCAATCTGGACGTGAGATCGCTTTCCAGCTCATCGTTCTGGGAATGATCTGAGGGTACGGATAAAATGGTAGAACTTATGGATACAACTTACCCCCCATATGTGAAGAAGGTCCAGAAAACTTTTATAATGCTTTATCATCCTCGCTTATCATACAAGTTTTTAAGAGAAAAATATAAAAAAATTAGCTCCGTCAATAATGCGTATTTTGTAGTAGGGTTAGAATATTTCCTTCCATTTTTTATTGTATTCAATACATAAGTATTTTATGAGCACGGTTACCAGAATTGCCATTAACTTTCTTAGGGGAATGAACGAGAATATTTAGAAAGGATATTTTATATAAATTTGATAACTGTAGGTTTTTTGCAAGTATTACCATAATTTGTTTTTATAAAATAAATTTTTAGGAACTTTTTATTGTTCTAAATATGAAAAATTAAGTACAAATTCAGAGATATAAGCTTAAGGAAATGTAGTTAACGGACGCATGAGAGTAGTACTGTGACAGTACCGACAGTATCGATAATATACCCGGAGAACATATTTAATTGTATTACATTCAAAAACAAATCTGCGCATGAATGATTATGATTACGAAACAAATTTCTTTGCATTTAATATTTATATAATGAAAATTCGGACGAATGTTTGCCCATGAATAATATTGGCGTCAGTTTATGAAGTAAATAAAAATTTAGATCTTCTCCAAATTCAAGCGGAATCTTAAACAACTCCTTGTTCTAACAAACTCCCCGCTTCGATCGCCCAAACTATCTTGCATGTCACAGTGCCCCGTAATATAGCAGAGCCGATACGAGTTATCTGTACCGTGGATAATAAATCCTTCCGGGGATGGCCGGGTTGTGTTCAAAGTTTCTGTGCTTTCCGAGCTGTTGTCTTCGTCCATCTTGAAAATGATGGGGGTCTGACTGTCCGATGTTGCTGTCCACTTGAGTGAGACGTCATTTTCGAAAAAATCTTTGACGTAAATATCGAAAGAATATGTTTTGTCTAAAGTGTTTCTGTCTCTTCTATGGATCTCTTGTAGAGAAAGATTAATTTGCTGGGTTCTGTACACCTATACAAAAATGTATTTAGGCTGCCAAGTTTGTGATAAATTTTATTCCATTTTGTAAGAAATTCATTACTAGTGCACACTTTTTTTTGTTTACATTGTACAAATATGTATTAGGGTAAATTAATGTAAATGTAACTCTAAATACCTTGCCATCTTTCCAAATCCACGTTTCATCCTTCTTACCGCTATGGACCTTCGCCCCCATAGGATCCGTTGCCAGGTTTGGTCTCCAAATGGTCATCTCTCGATTTTGATCAGTTCTTTTGATCAAATTAAAATTCATGACGGGACTTCCTGGTTCTAGGAGATATTAAAAATTTATGAAAAGTCTTTCTGAATTTTTTGTCTTAATAATTTTTAAAACGTTTAAACATACAGCGTGGTCCATTAATTCGATCACCTCCTAGATTTTACGTTTTTGGGGCGGTTATTTTTAAATAACTTTGGAGTGTGACGGATAATGAATCCAATTTTTTTCCCATGATGAGTCCAAATAGTAAGCTATCAAAAATCGAAATCCGAATTAAAATCCAAACATTTTTGGCTGAACGGCAAGGGGTCATAGGGAATCCACAATAACTTGGAGTTCACCGAAATACCGTGTGGATATGGAAAAACTGAAATTTTTTTGTGGACAAACCGATTTCTACTCGACCAACATAGCTCTCCCCTACAATAAAAATATGATCAAGACCCGATTATACCTAAAAACGGACAGTTTTGTGAGAAAGTGTGTCAAGACCTAAAACTTAGCCTTCCGGTTTATTAGGAAAACCAACACAATTAGCCGATCAACAGTCAGCTAACATCTTAAATTGACAGGATGTGGTAGTATATCTTTCAAGAGATATAAAAAACCGCTACTGAGGCAAAAATATTTCAGATCGACTAATAATCAAGACATTTGTGGATCAAAATGGGTATTTGTCAGGTGGGAAACGAGGTGCCAAAAAGTGGTCAAATATTCTGTATACTGACGGGTTGAGGATGCAAATTTACCCTAAACAAGGTCCTCAGAAGCATCCAGAAGAAAAAAGGGCATTCCATAAACGTTAACACCTAAAAACTGATTGAAGATCATGGTTGCAGGTAACTTCTGTTCACGCGGAGTTACCGAATTACATATTGTCCCTGGTGGCGCTAGTTTCACTGGACAGTATTATCGTAATGAAAGCTTTCTTATTTATTTGGATACACTAGATTATAGAAAGTCATTCCCAAGCAAGAAAAAAATTACATTTATGCAACATAGTGCTCCAGCTCACATAGCAAAGGCGACAATGCGCTTTTGGAGGAGCGAGAAACAACCACTTGGGGAAACGGGGTGTGACCCGGAAACAATCCAAATTTGAAACCACTGGAGAACTTGTGACCTATACTGAAAAGTTCAATATATGAGAACCCAAAACTAACCAGCAGACAGGTGATATTCAAAAGGGTTCAAAAAATGTGGAAATCTCCACCCGTTTCACTTTTGGAAAATCTGGCTCGGAGTTTCAAAAAACGAATCGGGGACATGATGAGTGTCAATGGAGGACACACCAGATACTAGGTAACAAGTAAATGATGGGAAAACATTATCTAGAAAGATTGTTCCAAAAAATCCGACGCTGAAACATTTGATACTAGGGAGGTGATCGAATTAACGGACCACGCTGTAATAGTTTTCAGGAAAGGTCAAGTTCGTTAAAATTTAAAGATACCCAATTATGAACTCTCTCGTGTTGAAGGTATTAAGATATCGAAAAGCTAATCCTCAGCCTAGCAGAAGCTTTGGTAACTTAAAAATTTAATGTAAACCTGCTAAACAGAGGATTCCAGAAAAAAGTTGTAAGTGGAGAAGATATGAATATAAAAAATTCAACAAAAATTGTTAATTTAAGTAGAAATAAATAGAAAAGTTATTAAATTTCCTTGCAAAGAACTTATGTATAAGGAACTTAGGAAACATTTACAAGTAAAAAAAAACACTATACCTTTACTTTCATCCTTGACTGTCAATCTTTCATCTGTCCATTCCTGAACGAGAAGAAAGTTGAGGTGAAGTTCGTCACACCTCCCGAAAATCAGAGTTACACGGGACAACGAAATTTCGATGTGGGTCGTCTCCTTATTTTTCCTACCTGGTGGTGAACTGGCGTCATAATTGTACCAATACTTTGTTTCCCACGTATCTGACTCCTCGCCCAATTTTATTTCTGGCACTAATGTGGACGCAGATTTGACCATTTCATTGAACATCATCCCAAGGGTAAGGAGGAGGATCAGTGATACGATCATAAATAAAATTAATGTGAGTCGTATCATTCTTGTTAATGGTTTGGGTTCTTGTTCCGTGTTGTTGGACATGGCAGCTGCTAGGAAAATGGCTTCCATCGGCTTAGCTTTTTAGTTCTTTAAGTGTAGGCAGTTAATTATAATTTGTGAAAATTTTAATAATAACTCATATATGAAAGGAGGATTTGTATTTTTGTCGCAGATAAATTTAAAAGGATGTTAATAATACACAATTACACATATACACAATTTGCAATATTATTGAAAAATGATGTTTTACAAATATCAACTGCGATGATGTTTATAAATGTGGATATTTGTGGGGTTGATGGTGCTCTGTATGCGAGTTGTTTGTGTAAAAGATGACTTGTTGAAGAAAGTTCCTCTACACATGTTTAGCAGAATGGATTGTGTTTCGAATTTAGAGAGAGAAGAAACGAACCAACCCGACTCCTCACTTTCTCCACTGCTTTCTCGGGTGTTATTTTATACTTTCGTATGCAAGTTATCCATTGCAAAGATACATGGGGAAAACTATTACACATGTAAACACTTGATATTTGGGTTATGATCCTGATTTTCGTGTTGCATGTACTGGCACGTGCAATTGTTGAAGTATGGGAAATTAGGTGTCAAATCAAAGTATAGGTTTTTCCTTGGGTTTTATAAGATTTTAGATTACTATTAATTAGATTTTCGAATTCAGCATAAAATTCTGAGTATTTATATGTGCCACTTGACTCTTGAAGGGCTATTATCATATTTAGCCGATTTTCCTATGCATATATATAAACAAGGTCCCAAAAAAGGGATATCTTGGTGAGTGAGGATAGGCACAATTAAATACATTTTTACTGTAGAAGGTTTGCATCACCGGTCGAGTTATACGATACCCTGCTTGAGACATGGTAACGAGCGTAACAAAACAGTCATTTTTAAAATTGACATTATACCTATCGTCGATTTCACTCCGATCTTCAAAATTCTTGAAACATTAGATGCACAACTACTTTGTGCATCATAAAATCAGCGCTCGTGTCAATACATGTAGTCGACCGGAAGTAGGTCAAAATTCAATTTGAAAGTTTAGGATCGATTTTAAACATGCTATATGTAAAGTTTTCATACGTTTGAAAAAAAAGGACAGCAGCAAATGGAATTATCTGCACGATTGCTCTCTTGTAAAATTTTGATAAGTGTAGTCGTTTAGGCTGTAGAGCGCGGTCAATTTCTGGAGGGGGTGTCTGTTTACAGACTGGGCTTCGCCGTAACCATGAGTCATACTTTTTGCCACATTCATGCTTACTTTTCGCTCATAAGAAAAAAACATTCTTTTGACTTGAAAGTTGAAGTCATACATGAAAATGCTGAAGGGTTGGGTTTTCTAGAAAACATCGGGGTTTTCCGAACCCTGGTACGTGGTCGGAAAGTATCTGAACTGAATATGTACAAATACAGATACTTATGTTGCTATCCTATCCATATTTATGTTTCGGTTCAAATTCTATACACCTGAAATTATCAACTACATACATCAACAATCCGTAAAATTTATCCGGTCATACTAATGCACAATTTGTATGGAAAAATATGCATGCTAAATTATATGTATGTTGAATTACCAGATAAAATTTCAATTTAATATCTCGTACTTTTTTGACTGATACATATATTATATTTATTTTTACCACAATTGTATTACTTTTTTAATCCGTCTTAATGAAGGCCCAATGTTGTCCCACGTTACCGCAGTCGAGCCAAAACAACGTGCCGACCTCTGACCCGTATGATGTCAAACATTTATTTGTCCTTGGGTGGTTGATTATGTAATACCCACTATCTGGAAGGATGGAGAGTTCTCTCTCCATCAAGAAACAGAAGGGAGGATAGTCATCGTACGTGATTTTGTTAACGAGATGTCCCTCTTCGGGAACGATGGAGTGGAGAGTCATTAATTCTTGGCCGGCTGGAAATGAAGAAAAATATGCATGATTGTGGGTCAATTACATGTTGTAATCAATAATATTAAAATTCCACACATTGCTAACTACATATTTCTGCCACTGGGAGTAAGAATGAGGGAAGAATGGGAACCTATACATATTTGTTTTAAGAAGCCTGGTGGTAATTTAGGTTAAAAAAACCGAAATATAGAGGTTTATTTTTTTTTACTTCTTTTTAAGAAATTAAAAAACAGTACTGCCGAAATATTTATGAGTGACTTTTAATTAATGAATTTGACGTACTTATGTGTTCCTGCTCTTACTAAAATTGTTAATTGTAGCTGTCCACTTGTACCGATCGGCATATGGGGGTGTCAGTCTCCAAATTGAGTCAATATCTGCGAGACGTTCGCACACCTTGCCGTAACCGTTGGGTCGAACAATCTTTGCACATAATATGGCAAATAAATAAATATAAATACTCAAGCCTTTCAATTATGTGTAACTATTCGGATTAAAAATTCTTACGCCACCACCATCTCCAATATTTTGCATGACAAAGACATCCCCTTCTACGGGGAGGTAGGCGGATGCGGAGAATATTATTAGTTGTAGGTTGACGAGGAATATGACGATTTTTTCCATGTTTTCTAACACTTGGAGAATATGTAATTCGTTGATGGGATGAGTTACAAAATTGGACTGAAAACCTTAGTGTGAAGAATGGTATTTTATCAGGCGTGATAATCAAGTGGTAAAAGAGTTGATAAGGTTATCGAGAACTCTCAATGTCTACGTAATACTTCAATTGTTTTTCACTGGAATATATACAATCACAAAAACTGGGTGATGATTACCATTAGCCACGATATTTAAACTCGATCTTGCGTAACACATCCCCATAAGATTTATAGGCTCTTGTCTAACTGGGAATTTCCCAAATATGTATATGGATTATGGTCTACTAATAGTGAGCAATTAGGGATTTTGTCCAGGAATGGTACTGCCACATATGTACAGTATATCTCATAGTAAGTACTTGTAGATTAATTAAAATATTGTGAATTCTACATCTAGGTATATTTCACGATGGCGAAAAAAGACGTAGAAAGCATAATATGACGTATTACATGCTCTTGTTGTCAGAAAGAGAGAGGAAATTGGTTGGTGAGTTCTCGTCTAGAATTTTCACTAGTCTTCCATACCTGGATTTTGCATACACGAATGCAAAGAGTTACTAATTTTGTTAAATAGTTTTTGGATAAGCATGTATTTAGGTTTTTCTTCTAATACGAGAGCATTTTTTTTGAAATAACTAATAATTTTGGAGAGTTTTCTTACAACTTGTTTAACTTTCGTAACGCGAGCAGGTGTTGCATGCGAGAACCGTCTGGTATTATATAAATTCGGGACATGAAATATATATATGAGTTGTATACATACATGTCTCATCTTATCTCCAGTATGAGAACAAGAGATACCAATATACACGTGTGTGAATTGTCTCAATGTGCCTAAATATTGAGTTAATCAAAGGTGTTGCAGCCTTCATAAATAAATATGTACAAAATGATGATTAGAAGTGAATATTTTAATAAATAAATTACATTCAGATTATTATTTAAAAAATGAATCCCCCAACCACGTACATTCAGATACATATTTTATTTATTGTTCATATGTACCACATTAACTCTCTTTGTCATGAGTACATGTACATATGTAAATATGTATCAAATATTTGAAAATAGTTTTAAGAAGTATCCAGTAAATACTTTTTGAAAGTTTAAAATTTTTAAACACGTGTGTGAGTCCTGCGCGTAGGTGCAAACTCTTAGCAATTTTATGTATCAATTTGTACAATAATTTAATAAATATGTAATTCTTAAAAGGCGACTACACTAATATTTTTTAGAACGCGTGTGTGTACAATGATGGCTAATTACATACCGTCCAAGAAAGTGACACATTTGACGATCAGGTATAGAAATTCTGCACATTGTCTCCTTCCCGTCTGTTTTTACCTGCCAGACTCCATTCCAGGTTAGTCTACGTGGCTAAAATGAACAATGCATTTGTAAAGGGTTCGCCAAAATATGTAAGGCGAGTTGGTTTTTTTGTTCCCGTTTTGTTGCTTGAATTTCTAACTGCACATGAAAAGGAAACAGTCGTAAGTAAGTGTATGCAAGTTCGTAATAGTTTTGGGTAAACAAAAAAACTGAAAAAATATGGGCATTCCATGCATCCCGAACCCTGCACGATAAAAGTGCATGTGACGCTTTTCTCCAGGCGACCATCTTAATCATAAAACCAGGCTTGTCCTTCCAGTTTACTTTCACCCATAGGTTTTCTTAATATTTCTGTCCGGTTTAGTTTTTATAATTTTTTTGATTCAAGATGTAATTATTATTAAAGTTCATCTTGAAATTATTTTGGGATGTGTTTTTTTCTAATTAAGTATCGTAGTGTTAAAAAAAATTATTATTAAAGTATTTGGAAAAAGAAATTCGTCTATATTCGTCACACTACCATATTGTAGTGTGAGGTTTTTATAATTTTAAAATCTTTATTCATTTCAGTTTAATTTTGGTTTAATTAAAAGAATATATTTATCTTAAGCTTAGCGAAATCAACTGTTAATCATACTCGATCAACTTTTTATCATATTTAAATCCCAGCCAGCTTTATTTAAGATGCAGACTTAGTTTTATAAAAGATATATTAAATCAAAATGTCTACGGCCCCCGCCCCCCAGAAACCAACTGTACCACCTGAGGCCCCAATATCCGGCAGATATCCTATGTTGGCAGCATTGGTGAGAAAATTTTTGGGGACGGGAGGTCCGCCAAGATGCAGTGGGTGTGGATGTGATCCGGATGGGAATCCGGTTCCGGAATCTTGGTGGGTCCGGATCTTCTCCACGCTGCCTGGATTTAGACAAAGTGTTCGCCCAGGTTTGAGCTCCTTGATGAGGTAATATCAAAATTGTTTTTTTCTATGGCACGCGTCCCCTTAAAATAAGCTAGATCAGTATAAATGATCAGAAAATTTGACATTATTTGCTTTGAGGTGAATATCCAATAAATGGTTGCTAGGTTACCATGGTGGTCTGCACTAATTAATAAGCATATTTTTTCTGTTCTTATTTCTTGTGTCTAATTTTTTTAAAGTCATCCATTTGTTTTTTATGTTATTGAAAAAAGGAATTCATCAAGTTATAAATGGGGAATAATAATTTGCAATACATATTTTATTTATTTTGCCACAGGCAACTTTAAATTATGCTTAAATAATTTTATGCCGAGACTTATCGCAAGGAAAATACAATATATATATACTCATCCGGAGAGATTAAAGTTGCTTGGGAGATTGCTTGTTGGGTGGTGGTGACAATTATTTTTTCGTGCAAAATTTTAGAAATATCAAGCACGAATTTTGGGATTTTCATCAAAAACGGCATTTGTTTGAAATCAAATTCACGAAATTGCATTGACAAATTTTAAATACTTCAAAAGCCTTTACTTTAACAATTTTTATTGACAAATTTATTGAATTTTATGCAAATTGGAAGAATTTTAATGCACGGTCTATGAGTACATATAACGAAAACTATTTGAATCTACAGGACCCGATCTGTTAGTTATTAGCTATTAGTTAGCTAGCACAATTCAATACTTTTAACACGAAAATACTATTTTTTAATCAGTTCAGTGGAAAAGGATATACACAGTATACCCTTATACATACACAGTCATAGTATACACAGTCAGGGTATACACAGTATTGCATGATAAAAAAATATCGTATACATTATGTCATCAATCAGAAATTTCTAATATCACATTGCTTCACAAAAGATGCATCGCAGAAAAAAACTCTCAACACAATGGTGTAAAAAAATGTCCATAAACTAGCTTGACTAGCAAAATGAGTTTACACATTGACCACCCCCTTCAGTTCCTTCCCTGGGGTGAGTGTTCCTAGATAAAATGCCGGCGACGTTCCCGAGTTAAACGGATACGCTGAATGAGGAAGGTCTTGGCCACAACCTTCACTGCGGAGATCAATCCTCGATGAGGTGAGGATCTTCCTGCACCCACACTCTTGTGATTTCCATTGCGACGTGGATTAAGAGGAAGCAGTCACGGAGATATTTCTTCTACTCTCCATCGGGTTTCTACGCGGCTGCTCCCAGTCGTTTAGTTGTTGAAGCGTCGCTCCCTTCGCAGCATAATCTCGAGTAGGCCTTTGGTTTGGAGACCTTGATTAGATCCTCCTCGCCCTTTGCCCAAGGTTGAGGAACAAAAGATCCTTGAGAATTTGCTACGCCGCGATTCCCGATGGAAGTAGTTAGGGGAAACCGTATGGTTCAGTATTTGGACATGACGCCCCGCGTGACAAGGCGAATGACCCCCTATGCATTTCATAACTTGGCCTTCACTTTCTAATCCAATTGTTGTTGTTGTCGTTCTACCGAGATTTGTGGGGATGGTACTGTTGGCGGAGAGGTGGGCGGGGAAACACTCTTTGGCTTGATTACCAATGCTTGAGTCACTGATGGGGATTAGTCCCACCTCCGAGCAGGACGCAGTGTACAGGTTTATTATATGTGACTTGCGGATCGTAGTGGCGGGGTAGAGCTCATAATATTTTTGGGGCACAAAATTCGGCACTTTCGTGCACAATTTTAGTATGTATTTTCCACAAACCTTAACTAGCCCTAAAATATTTAATATATTTACATTTTTTATTTGGCGGTACATGTGTACACATAGTGGAGTCTCTTCCAGCTGGCAAAACTCTCGACAAGATTTACCACTTGTAGATTTTCCTTGAGTTTTAAGTTAGGTTTTCTAAGTTAAGGTGTGGAGTGAACATTTCTTATTTATTTACGTATGAAAAACGTTTTGTATGATCGTCCATGAACATTCTAAAACTTCAGAAAAAAATGATTTAGTTCTATTCACATTCTGTAATTTATTTCTATCCGTCCTACGAAGAAAATCTAAACCTTTGTAAGGAAATTCTGAAATTGCGCACAAAAAAGTGTTAAATTTTGTATGGTATGCAAATAATATGCTCGTAAACGAAAATTATTTTAATATTTTCCATGAAAAATCATGAAGTTTGAATAAAACTTTTAAGTCTCGCGTGAAAATTCCGCAAAAGTTATGGGTGAAACTTATTAAACTAGGCGTCAAAATTCTCAAATCTTTCAAAAAAATTATTATACTTAACTGACATGACCACTGCAAGCCATCCAGCGAAAATTTTGCATGAATTATGATGTCAAAATTTATTTGGCACCAACCACGCATGAAAATATTCTCCGAGATTAAAAATATGATGGTGAGTAAACCGTCAGAATATGCTTGACCGATCGCCATATTACGATTTGAACAAATTCATACAAACATTTATTAGGGTAAAATTCATAAAATAAAAAAATTATAGTAATGAGTAATATCTCATTTGACAATAAATGAGAACTTTAAAGTGTGTATCAGACGCTACATAGAAAAAATATAACGTTCTGGACGAGATTTTCTTAGTTTAAGTTTTATGTCCTATTCTCCGTAAATTTCGAAAAAACTACATACCTAACAATTTGTCACCATTTGTACGTGTTGGTTGACAAATGATATTTTTTTTATAAATTTTTGACACAACCAATAAAAAAATATGTACAGAATATGTATATACGGTGTATGTACATACGAAAATATTACTGATTGTAATTTTGTTTCATATTTTTCAGACATGTAACAAATACACGATTGATGAATGATGGGGAGCAAATGTTGAAGGGAATTTTTTTGTAATTGGACGGAAATAAACTTTTCTGGATTAATTTTATTCGAAAATACATCTGTGGTTTACACCTGAATAAATAAAATAAGCTGTGAAAACTTATTACAATTTTTTTGTGAGTATATATAATAACATGTATGTACGGTTAGTCTTGCATGCTTTCATATTTACAAGAAATGAGACAAAACAATCTAAATAGGTACATGGATTAATAATTTTCATATTTTTGCTCACCACAATAATTTTAAGTAAGTAGGTGGGATATTTATTTATTTGTAGATCTATTAAGAACTAAAGATATGTAAGGATGCCGAGGCATAAGAAATCATTTTAAAGATAAATATGTACACTACACTCTGAATAATTTTTGAGAAGAAGGATTATCTCCTCTGGAGGTACATACTGTGAATGTGTACCGTGTTAGTAACAATTTATCAATGGAAACTGTCTCCAGTCTGTGATATTTTTACTCCCAGAGCGTTGATATTATGGTACCGCTGGGTGATAAAATATCATGGAAGGAATTTGTCATTTCCCGTTGATAAATTGTAGGGTTGCCGGTGAGATGAGACGAGACAGTAGGAAAATGAAATGTCATGTGAGACCGCCAAAATGAGATGAGATGAGACGAGACGAACTAAGCAGCAATTATCTCATCTCGTCTCATCTCATTACAGGATAATGAGATGAGAGACAACTTTGACTATCTCATTTAAGTTTCATCCCATCTCACCAAGTAGTGAGATGAGACGAGAGGAGGTCCGGGGAGAGGTGATCTTTCTAAAAAAAAATTATTTTCCATGCATATATTTATCATTACCAAATCATGAGACATTATTTATAGTTCTGAAGGAATAAAATTGACCAATTTCATCTTCCCCTTGAATTTTTGTGACGCACTAACAATTACGTAAGGCTGGTAGGGACACCAGGTATTGTTCTTCAAACTTGAAACACTTCTCATGGAAATATTTGTGGGTACTTGTTTAATTCTGTAACAATGCTCATTAACCTAAAAAAATTGATTGTTTTAAATATTTGCAATAAATGCAAATTTGTATAATAGTGATTTTTAAAAAATTCAATGATCGGTACGACATTCTCGTTGAAAGTCGTGAAGGTTGCGTTCCTCATTTAGGAGACAAACATAAAGCATGTGACAAAATCTATGGGTTTTATGGCTAAGTTTAAATTGATTTAATTTGATGACACCCTTACTTGTAGGTGTGAGAGACAAGCAATTGTAGAATTTAAACAAATTTGTAAGAAAATAATTGCACGATTGGAATTCCCACGTCACATAAGGCCTTGGCACCTACCTGTGCATTGTTTCGAAAAGCTTTAAAATGTTTGGGGGCAGAGAAATTGTTCTCATTGTATCCTCAGTTGTCAACCTTGATCAATAATTTTGTATCGACTTACCCCCCAATAAAATCCCTTGTAAACAATCATGTCTACCCACATGGTCATACTCCCCCTCGTTATTTTGGGCATGACAGTGGCCTCGTCAATGGCCGGCCTATCGGCGCAGGCTTACTTTGATCGGTATCATAAGGAGATTTTTGAAGGGGCGAAATGTAACGCGGGGTGGATCGAGTTGTCGCAAAGGGTGCAAGATGCGGCACATCGTTGTGCTAAGAAGGAAGTGATGGGTAGCTACCTGGTGAGTTTAAATTTGGCGCATTTTTCATACCAGGCAAAAATGTGGGATTAGCTGAAAAAACTAGTTTTTCACTGATACCTACTGGTAGTAAGGTTTGAATTTTCTCAATTCAAACTTAGCACCGAAAGAAATCTCACTTTACACAGGATTTCCAATCTTAACTAATTTTTCTCACTTTACCCCAGTGTTTCTTGACCTGTGTGTCCCGCGAGTACGAGTACATCACGCCGGGAACCACGCACGATTTGGACATGGGAATGGCCGACCTCGTAGCGATGGAGTCCTTCAACACGTCAACCCGAACAGGTCGCGATTCTTACTTCAAAGTCTCGCTGAAACGATACCACTGCGCCGAAGAGTTTGTCGTCGGAGAGGGAAAGAAGGTCGTCTTGGCGATGAAATACGATGTCGCGGAGGATTGTGAGACAGCCAGAGCATTCTTCACGTGCACATGGCCGACTCTGGTAAAAAAAATTAAATTTTTGAATGTGATGGATGAACTTTTTGAGGGAACGATTTTTAACGAAACGATTTTTTGACAAGTCCCATTTCTCACACTGGTTTAATAAACAGTATCGGAAGGTTTGCTATCAAATTGTGGTATACAAGCAATTATACAGTTTTTTATACATACGCTCTAGACCCGATTAATTAGTAACGTGTTTTGCTAATGGTAATGTTTTATTGTTGTGCTAATTTTTTTTATTTCTTACAGACTTGTGACAAATACAATATCAAGGAAGAAACTACAGAATAATGGACCACGAGATTTTCGACGGTTTGATGGGTAGAGGTTTAAAACATGTACGGGATAAATATATTAATGTAAACCTAAATATCCGAGTTTTAAATAAATGTTTGGTTTGGTGGTCAAGATATGTTGGTGTGTGTTTTTTTAAATTAATAAATTAATTATCATGTGAACAATGCAGTCAATATTATGTAAAAAAAACAACCGTTACGTTAAAGAAGTTTCAACTTGGCTTTTGCATATGTCGTCGTCCTCATTCTAAAATGTCTTATGTTACATCGTTGGTTAATTTCAAAAAGTTCTATGTTTAAGTTCAAAAATAAATAAATATTTATTTTTGGGTAAATAATTAAATATTTAATTATTTACCCAAAATTGTTCCTTGTTAGTATGTAACAAATTGTTGTCAGATAACATTTCGAGTGTCTACGAGCTCCCTTACATATGTATGCATGCATAATAATAACCATAAAATAATCCAGGTATATAGAGATAATTTTAATTGGAAATTTAATAATGAATAATTTCAATGGGTAAAATGACATGAAAATTAATATAATTGTTGCAATTAGTAATTAATTTCATTAAAAAAATGAAAGCTGAGAAATTACTTATGTAAATTTAATTTACTAAATTATGAAGGATTCTCACACCCAGATTTAGTGAGTAGGGTCAAAATCTGAATATCTCCAGTTTGAATGTAGGATCTGTACTTGTAGGTAATTTCCAATTCCGCCCGGCCCGGATAAAAGGCGCCGGCCTAGGTGAAACAAGTCAAAATTCATAAAATAATTCATAAAAAAATACAAATAAAATAATACAAGTAAAAAATTTGTAAATCAATTTGCATAAATTACGTATATAATTAACCTTGATTAATTACAGATTCTTAATTTTAATGGGAAAATTATGTAAATATATTCATTAATTTACATGCATACCTCAATATTCGCCTCACCATACCAATCATCCGGATTTTTGAAGGATGTCCGCCCAATCAAGATGGGATTCCCGTTAGCGTCGATTCCTCCAATTAAGGGATAATTGGACAGTTTGTTTGCGTCTTGTAGTTTGTAGTTCATCCACTCTAGATTGTTTGGGGATGAGACCAAAACCTAGATAGGTAAATTTTTCAAATTGAGAAATTTCAAAATTTGTTTTGGCATATGAATTTATTTAGGTAGCTAATTATTTAAGGGGTAGGACTGGATTTTATAAACTCAGTACTATTCGAAGTTTGGCGTCGGGGTAAAATGAGATAAAATTCAAAATGGTCTTAAATATTTCGTACCAAAATCAGATTATGGTTAGTTTATTTAATTAGAAAACTTTAATTAATATTGAAATTATTTAGGTCGCTGAGTTGTAAAAATTTAAAGGGGAAACTGTAATAAAAAACTGTACAATATTCGTCAATTTAAGATTTACCTCATAGTTGAACAAGCTCATTTCCCAAGGTCCGTAACCCACATAGGCGGCCAAATGTCCGGTGACGACCTTACCAGGGATTAGGGATGTGTTGAAGACTGCCCTCGCGACGTAAACCTTCTTCTCGTTATCTTGTCCCTTGTTCTCAATTCCAGAGATGAGCGCCCCAACTGGAATCTCCCCGTAGGATGCGGGAACCCATATGGGGCAAATCTCGGATTCCTTAAGGTCCTGGAGATTCTTTGCTTTCAATTTGTCACGAATATTTAAAGCAGTTTGATATTGATCGGCTATTCTTTTTGATTCGGTTTTTAGACGCTGGATGACATCTGAATGGTGAAAAACAACAGAAAATTTACATGGGTAGTAAATATTTTAGAGAAGGGTGTATCTAATTTGTTGGTAAATATTGTTGAGCTAAATAAGCGGTAAATATGTATGTATCCACCACTTGGTAAAAAGCTGGGATTAATTAGTGCAAATTAGTTGAAGTTATGAACATTTTATTTTTCCCATTACGATAAATCTAAAAAAACTCTCAGGCAAGAATCGGACCTGGGAAATTTGATTTTAATATCATACTTATGTATAAAGGAGGCTTGATGTGTATGTATGTGTGTACCAGACATTTTGACTCCCGCAACCTCATTTCTATGAGGTTGCGGGTACATTATCCACCACTGGATTTTTCTTGGTGAGCGAAAAGTAAACATGAGTGTGACAAAAAGTATGACTCATGGTTACGGCGAAGCCAAGATATGAGAACAGACACCCCCTCCAGAAATTGACCGCGCTCTACAGCCTAAACGACTACACTTATCAAAATTTTACAAGACAGCAATCGTGCAGACAATTCCATTATCTGCGGCCCTTTTAATTCAAACGTATCAAAACTTTACATATAGCAGGTTTAAAATCGATCCTAAACTTTCAAATTGACTTTTGACCCACTTCCGGTCGACTACATGTATTAGCACGAGCTGATTTTATGATGCACAAAATAGTTGTGCATTCAATGTTTAAAGAATTTTGAAGTCGGAGTTAAATTGACGACATAACATCAATTTAAAAAATGACTGTTTTGTTACGCTCGTTACAAAGCGGAGCTTTCGTCCTCTATCGATTTTCTTTGTCATTTATCAACCTGTGTGCTGTATAACACGACCGGTGATGCAAACCTTCTACAGTCAAAATGTATTTACATAAGTGTGCCTATGCTCACTCACCAAGATATCCCTTTTTGGGAGCTTGTTTCCTCCGTGAGGACAAATGAGATGGTACGAAATCTCAACGTCGTTTACAGTTATAATAGTTCATCTAACAAAACGGCAGCATTTTTTGTGTGGCATCCTTATGGCGCGCATGCTGCCGTTTTAATAGATGAACCACAGTTCATTTGCGCTCACCTCCTTTAAAGTCGCCACGTAAATTGTGTCCTGAGAATACCCCCTTAGAGTGTCAACGCGACCTGTGACCTATATAGGCACGCCCCCTTAAATTATACACATAACGTATATATGACCTGGGGTCACCCCCTTAAATTTGCCACGTGATAAATATGTCACCTGAGCACACCCCCTTGGAAACCCCATGGGATTTATGACCTGGATAACCTTCCTAAATTAGTGGCGTGACATCACAGAAGAGTGAACTGGCGAACCAATCCAGCGGCGGTAGAGCATTTGAGTCTACATAATTCCCAACATGATGACGCTGCCGTCCTTTAGTTTACCCAATAACGAAAAGATTTTGCGGATGCTGTATACATACTTTAATTGCCAAAACGTTCCCTTCCCAAGGAGAGTTACCCCTCATCCAGCTAACGCCTCTGCTTTATGTATCAGCTAAAATGCTGACCGGATTATATTTTAGTCAGCATTAGCTGGCTTAAATTCCTAGCATACATATAAAGGAAAATAATACACATTACATTTTATATACATATTTAGTGTCCAAATTCTTCAGAATTTATAAATATCTGTTAGCCAACTATGCTAATATGTATGTACTCAAAAACATGCACATGTTATGCATGCTCCCGTTCTCCAAGAACCAACTAAAAATTCTGCTTTTTACTACTTTTGCAGTTTTGATTGCATTGTATTTAAAATTATTACGTCTCCCTTAGTTCAAGTTTAGAAAAAACGGCAAAAAAGCGTTGAAAAATCATCTAGCATAAAAGCAAACTGCAGTGCTTTTTTGCTTGGGAATACATACACTACATATAATAAATTAACTCTTACTGTCAACAATTTCCAATGAGGCGATATACGTTTCCGACACGTTTATCGTACTCTTCTCTTCTATCTTTGCGGGAAGCCCGTTGTATTTCCCCAAAGTCTTAGAATCTTCTTGAATCTCAGATTCTACAATTTCCGGTATAATTGGTGTTGTTGGTAGGGGTTGAGGTAAATCTGATGGACTGTAAATCCACGTCACCAAGTTTGACGTGGTAGGCGTAGTTTTAGCAGATTCAAATAATTCGCTTAAAAACTCCTCGCCTGATTCTAACATTGACATCAGAGGGTTGTGAACGTTGTGATTTTCAACTGAGAGAAAATTTTTTAAAAATATCATTTAAAAAAGTTTAACATTAATTTTTTAGAACCTTTTGGATGAAAATTTTTTGACTTTTGTTTTTTGATTTTTTTTTCAAAATTTAAATTAAATTAGTTTTACATACCTCGATAGTGCTCTTGTGGCATTGAATATACAGTCGATGCGATAAGCATGACTGATAAGGCGAAAGGTTTCCACATTTTATTTTCTCTTTACTTTTTTTAAATATGGAACGAGGAACGAGAGGCTCTGCAAGTTTGGTAACTTCCTTGGCAAAGTGATAAGAACGAGTGTCACCTTTTTTTGTAGAAAGAGGTAAATTTTACGATAAATTTACGTATTTTTAGGGTTTCATTGTTTGTAACACCTGCGCACCCTAAGTTGAGGTGGGGAGGTGAAAAATATAAGGAAAGATGATCAGCTTTTATTTTACGTGTACCTAGAATTTGGTTTGGAAAGTCAACTGTAAATTTACTTAAGGTAGATATTCCTTCCAATATATTTATCTATGTATTTAATTATTTTAACCCCTTTCATTGGAATGTGTTTGTCAAAGCTGGACTTCTTTTGTTGAAAATGTATATATGTCTAAATACATACGAAGGAAAACGTTTATATAGACCTACCATAACTTAGAGACATTTTTGGGTTTGGAAAATTTTTATGGCATTAAGTCTCATGGCATGGTACCTGCTGTTTATAGTTAATTCAGGAGTTCCAAGTAGTACGGTGTTAAGTTGCCTTGTACAGGATTAAAAATACAAAGTGGCAGCGCGAAGCATGGGGACATTGTCCCCATAGTTTTTAGATGTCCATATATGTTATGTGAACCCCACGCTATCCTACATATTTCGCAATGTTAAACTCCCCAATTGTCACAGCTTCCGTCGCCATTGAAAATATTTACATGTGCACCTGTGGGCTTAACCTTTGGTTTAAGTATATATTTTTATGCTTTCTGGATAAGTAGGAAAGGGACAAAGTGGAAAAATATATAAATGTGTTCTATAAAGAAAATTCCGATATATGTAGGAAGGTTCTTCGTTACTGTTTTTTTGTATCTTTAGGGTTATCCTGAAAACCATAAATTTGACAAACTATGAAAACGTGGTTGCAAAATAGTTGAAAATACGAAACTTAAAAGAAAACTATTTTTGCCCTTGTCTACGAGATGCCTCGTCATTAAATTAATTCGCCATTTCAAAATAACGGAGATGAGTTAGAAGTTTGTATCGTACATATGTTAGACATATTTCCGTGACCTATTCATGGCCAAACGTTTATCTCAAAATCGAACATATAAATACTAAAAAATTACATTTCCAAACTTAATTTTTTTTACCATGAAACAACTTTCCATTTAAACGACGTGGTTACATAATTTTGAGAAATGCGTAGTTGGTAAAACAATGACTTTTAATAAAATTGTGTACTTTAAATTTTAAATAGGCAATTAAACCGATTAAAGAACTCTTTCTGTCATTTTAACTTCTGAACTTGGCAGTAAGAAATACATTTATGGGCAAGTTACTTAATTTATGTGGACAATGCGTAATGAATGTGATCAATTTTTTTAAGCATAAGTTAACGTTCGTATTGCCTGTTAAATAGGCACATTGCGACTTTGCGTTTACGGTGAAAAATTAGACCGTAAACGTTAAATTTGAACTCCCGCCAACTTTCGGCGGCGCCGAAATTAGTCTACGTTTACGATCTCACTACGGGCCGTTAAATTAAACGTTAAATTGGGTGATTTAACGGAATTATAGCGGGCCGTATCTTCTCACCAACTGGTAGACAAATATTTTCTTTTAGCAATTAAAATTCGTAAAATTCAGCGAAAATAATTATTCCACATTGCACAAGAGATGGAAAACGTCAGCAAAAAGGTAAAGACAATTTTTTGAGTTAGATTTATACAACTGCTATTTATACATAAGAATTACTTATCCACTTCCGTGAGTCCACCCTAATAAATAATCTTTACTAATTCACAAACATTTAACAAGTACGCTTTTTGTTACTTTAAGAATTGGTATGCCTGTTGCCTGTTTTAGTTACATTAATTTAACTAATTATTTTTTACAGAGATTTTCATTCAAGTCTAATGCAAAATATGACATCGCACTGCTTACAGAAGTTGAAGCAATCAACCCCTTTGCATTTAATGTGCAAAAAGTGCCCTGCGAAGAAGTCGCTGATAACCTGGTGAAATCTGATTTAAAGATGGCAGTGAATGAAAGGAGTTGCCGAGAGAGAACAAATCTTCTACTAAGGGATTTCAAGAAAGATGAAGCCATAAGTGCTCGAAGGTAAGGTGTTTGTTTTAAATTATGAAAGTAGATCTGTCTCAGTCAGACCAACTAATGCATATGTATTATTTTCTTTTTCAGTAGTGGAATTTCGGAAGATGACCTGGATGAGCTGAGGCGCCTGTTGACCAGTGTTCTTAAATTAAGCGAGATACCCCCAGCAGTCAAGGTTCAGAGATTGTATTCCAAAACTAATAGCGGAAACGGAAAGAGAAGCAGCTGTGATGGAAATTGATCTGGATGAATCTAGTAATGACTACCATCCTGAGGAGAAAGAAGAGGAGAAAACTGAGAAGAAAGAAGAGGAGAAAACTGAGAAAAAAGAAGGCTCGGTGGGATCTGTGAAGGATAAGATAGTCTCCCCTGTGCAGACGAAGCGATCGCGAAAGGGGGATATCGTGAGTTATCTCGAAAAGAAAAATAAGGTAGAGCTATTGATCATTCTACTGTATTTCCTGTCATACTCGTGAAACGTGTGTTTAATTATTCATATGCATAAATAGATGGAACTGGATCTCAAAACGGAAGAAGTTAGTGTTCGAAAATACGAGGCGGAAACAAGGAGAATGGAAATGGAAATCATGAAGCAACAAAATGAGCGAGATTATCAATTAAAGCTTCAAGAATTGGAATTAAGGAAGAAAATTGAAGGTGCTCAGGCTGAAGAGAAACTTGCTATGACCAAAGCTATGTTGGAATTACTGCAAAGGAAGTGAATTTGTGTTCAAACGATTTATTAGATATGATACAAAGAATACATATGAATCAATTTTATTAATTAATTAACTACTCAATTAACTAGTTAATTTTAAAATAATGCTTATGTATTAAAACTTCCTAATGGAACAATTGCGTAGAAAACTTAATTAATTATCCCACTTGCAAATTACACATTTAAATAATTTTCTAGAGTAGGTGCATCAACGGCAAAGTAACTCGATGTTTGACTTCCGTATAAACATGTGTGGCAGTTTGTAAATATTGTACCAACGGCGTAATAGTCAGATACAGGATGGAGCATCAGTTTTAAATTTTTCTTGTAATCCAGAAATGCGAAGATTGAAATAACTTTAGCAAATCCCCACTCCACACATTGTCGCACTTGGCTCATCCTTTTGTTGCATACTTTTTCTTAGGTCCATGTTATGACCTTTGAATGGCACTATCAAGTGACGCTGCAAGGGATAAGCTGGGTCACCGTAAAGATAGAGAGGTTGACGGACAGGAGTGTAGAATGTGGCTTCCAATTGAGCTATAATCCCACTTTGTTGCAATAAATAAGAATCGTGTCTTCGACCATCCACTGGGCCGGACATCGAAACAATTATGCCATCGGGTAGCATTATAGACTGGAATTTAATGGCGTGCTGGCGCTTGTGCCCATTGTAGAACTAGAATACATATGAATAATTACCTTCCATTTATTTTCCTAATTTCAAAATAATAATTTATTAATAAAGTTCTGTGCTCACGTCCCGCTGATTCACACCAGGTCTGCACAAGGGTCGTACAGTCCCATCGATAAATCCGAAACAATAACGATAAGGCGCCCCTTTAGCATGAACGGCAGATGCAAATTCGGCTGCTTTCTCGGGCGTCAAATACGGATGCAGTACAAGCAGCTTTGTCCTGTATTTCTCGACGATAATGCGGACAAGTTGATTGAAGATTCGAGATAACTCACATCTGGTCCTTGGAAAAAGCGCCATGAGATCTACATATCTGAGGTTGTAACAAGAAATGTATAAGAATTAGTTCGGGTGCAATATTAATTCATATGTATAAATTAAGTCTGTCTATACTTTAAGATAGTTGTAATTGTGCGGACCTGTTTGGGTAAGCCAATCTCCGTAAAGTAATACATAAGGATTCCAAGGCGCCCACTTTTACTCCATGTCGACACGTAATTGCTGGTGGTAATTTCAAAGCGTTTTTTAGTTTAAGAATATCAGACTTGTAAAATCGAAAGTGCAGATAACAGAATTCGTCGACGAGCGCCTTCAGTTCAAAGGACCGTATCCTTGGATAGGCGAAAGTGTTTCCGAAAGAATCATAAGCACATCCACCATGTCCGACTCAGGGATCAGCAAAAAATGGTCCGACAATTCTTTTGAAAGTGACATTTCCTTTATATTATCTGCAGAAACAACAGATTTAAATGATTTAGATGATCATATATTTATTTTTTAATGGTTGTAATGAATTCTTCAATAAATCAATAAAAAGGAACAATTAGTATTTTTAAAATGTGGATAGAAATTAATTCTTATGTATAATTTCTACACAATAAAATAAATAATTAAAATTGAGGAATGAGTTTGTACCTGTTGCTTTGCTTGCACCTTTTCACTCGGATGGAAATTGATTTTTAACAATTTGGAATTTAATTAATGGTCAATTTATTAGTATTTCATAATTAGTTAATATTATTATTGATAATTTATCACATTTAATGAAACTCAATGTATTTGTAAACAAAACCAAAATTGAATTTCGAGCCAACGGAAAGTTGCCCGTTAAGTCGCAACTCAATTTTATCCCAGCCCGTAAACGCTAACGTAAACGGTAAAAATAACGGTTCCGTTAGCGTTTACGGCCGCCACCGCATGGTCGCAATGTGCCTAATAATAAGTGGCCGGAGGACGTGCCCACTTGATTTACATTGGGAGCGGGTAAAATTCAATTTGAACTTCCGGCCACTTATAACAAGCAATATCATTGACTAAGGGAGCCCAAATAAATATTTTGTCAAAGAAATTGATAACATTATTCCTGCACGGTCTCGCATTACGTATGTACGTGCATAATACTTTTAAAAAACTTTGTTAAAAAGCAAAATTGTGCAATCGGAATGCCCACGTCATTCAGGGTCAAACCTTGGTGAAAACTTAAATCCAATTGTTCTTTAATGCCTTTAAAAGGATTTGACCTACCAATATTGACTTCACTCTTGTCCCAACTCTTGTGCCTAATTTTAACCACCGCCTTTTCAACTTACCCCATTATTTCGTTGCCCCATAATCAATTCACCCCTTAAAAATAATGGCGATCTCTTTCTACCCCCTTACCCTCGTCATGTTGACGATAATGGTGGCATCGCCAATGGCTGCTGGCTTAACGGCACATGACTTCTATACCCGCTATTCCAAGGAAATTATCGAAGGGCCGAAATGCAACGAAGGGTTCGTAGCTTTGTCAAAGCGGGTCCAAGATGCGGCGGCGCGGTGTTCAAAAAAGGACAAGATTGCCAGCTATATGGTAAGAATTCAAATTTCCCACTGGTAAAAAAAAATAACTAAGAGAAATCTCACTTTCCCCCCTAGTGTTTCCTGACCTGCGTGTCCCGCGAGTACGAGTACATTACGCCAGGATCTGAATCTGACCTGGATATGGGAATGGCTGACCTCGTGGCGCAAGAATCCTTCAACATGACTTATCGAAAAGGTCGCGATTCGTATTTCAAAGTCGCGCTGAAACGGTACAGCTGCGCGGAAGAGTTTGTCGTCGGAGAGGGAAAGAAAGTAAAATTGGCGATGAAGTATGATGTCGCGGGGGATTGTGAGACAGCCAGAGCATTCTTTGCGTGCACTTGGCCAGTTCTGGTAAATTTGAAGGATATTTAGAAATTTGTATAAATCGAATAATTGGGATTTTGAAATTTTGGGTTGAAATGTCACAGGGGAACAATTCTGATAAGAATATTTTAGTTACTTATCGCCCCATATTCTCTATTAGCCCCGAATTATTATTAATCGTTAAGATTTAATTTGTTTAACCTAATTTTTTACAGACTTGTGACAAATTTAATGTCAATGAAGCAGCGTAACTGGGCACAACATAATATCGACGACATATGATATGTGTAACATGTAAAGGAACACCGGAAAAATGAATGAAACATGTTGATGGTTACTTTTGAATAAAAAAATACTTTCACAATAAATAATTAAGGAGTCTCAAAAATATATGGATTAGAATAGATATGTAATACATATATACTATGTATCGTCGGACTAATTCTGAAAGGGCCTATCTACTTTCGAGACTGGATATTTTTAACACGGACAAGATGCATCATTTCCGTGTTAAAGATTTCCACTGTCCCGTAAGTAGATAGGCCCTTTCAGATTTAGGTAGTATGAAACATCTACATGCCAATATTGTGCAAGTCATGATCATTTATTTCCCAACTTGTTAAATTAGAAACTATAATCCATCCAAAAAACAGGATGCATATTGCATACTGATAAGTCAAATTTTAAAAAAATCTAAAACCACTACAAAGAAATATGCAAAATTTACTGCATCCGGGTAAAATGTATTTATCCATAAAATAAAGTAGATAATCCTTGGAAATCTTTAGGTATATGTAAAATTAATGCGAAACATTTCCACTAAACATACTCATAGGATGCCACACAAAAATGCTGAGGTTTTATTAGATAAACTATAGGTAAATTTAATTAAACGTGGCCACATACTGACAAACTGCAATAATAGCTAATTAAATATACAAAAAAAAATATTTTTATTGGTCACTTAAGAACAATTTTGTGTAGAAAAATTACGGTTACCTGTAGCAAATTTAGAAATTTGTACAACGTAATCTCCCCGACTGTCCTCCATTCATATAAAATCTGTACCCTAGTCATCAGTAGTATCGAACATAAAAATTGTGAAATAGGCGTTTCGATTATATTCTAAGCAGTACTGCCCAAATTGAGTATTTACCTAAAATTTTATTCATTTATATTTTACATAATCTCCAGTCAACACAAAATAGTGTGAAAAACGAGTCGGAAATTTTCCAATGGTAGCTTGATGGCCTTTCGATGTAGGTCGAGGACAAGTTAAAACGTTTGGATGAATCGTTTCAGGATCAAAACACAGCGCATAATTTGGCACATGAGCATATCACCGGGGAAATTGAGGCGTGGTCTTCAACCTTCATGCCGGCATTCTTTAAACCAACTGCGCAATCTGTGATGGCCCGAGGAGATGATTTAGACATGACTGAGACCAGTCCGATTTATCTCTTAGTTCTAGATAAGTGGTTAAAATTGGTGAAAAATGTGACCAAGTTGGAATCAAAATTTGTAAAAACGAGTGAAAAATTGGAATCGATGGAAGATACGAATTTATCAAGAGCAGAATTGCGGGATTGAGGAATGTGAGATTAATTTTGGGAAATTTAAATTTTTAGTTTCAAAATTTTAATTTAATTTTAATTAAATTTTAAAATTTTAAAAATCAAGCATAACTAAATTAGTATATTCCATGTAATAAAACAGTAACCTGCGCGCCGTAAGCGTAGCATACAAAATTGTCTACGGTTTTAATAGATTGACCATAGTGCGCAATTTTATCTATTTTTAGCCCGGCTCAAGGCTTACGTAACTGTCGTGTCTGTCTGCACGATTGGGCCAAAACGGCTGAACCGATTGACTTGAAATTTTCACCATATGCATATTGGACAAAGTTAGGAATCGATTTCGAAGATGAGCAAAATCGGTCTACTGGTTGGCCGGTTGGGGCCATGTGGGTGGTCGGGGTCTTATGCACTGAAATTTCAAAATAGTCGTAGAAACCTGAAATTTGGTACATGGTGACGAATGGCTTCTAATGAAAGAATATGAACTAAAATTTCGACAATTTATATTTGGAGAGACCCTATTGGGTGACCCATACCGATTTTTAAAAATTGTCCAATTAAGCTGAAATTGGGTACATAGGTGATTAATGGCCACTAACGACAGATTATGAATTAAAATTTCATAATTTTTCAACAAGAGACTATAATGGGTGACCCACACCGATTTTCAGAAATTGTCCTACAGAGCTGAAATTTTGTATGTAGGTCACTAATCGCGTGTAATAATGGACTATGAGGTTGAATTGGGAAAATGGTCAACCAGACGCAAGACCCAATGGGGTGACCCACACTGATTGTCAAAAGTTATCATATTTATTTGAAATGTGATATGGTCGGTAGAAATGATATCTACATAGCAAATATGAAGCTTGAATACGTAAATGTCTCCATGGAACGACCCAACTATACAATCCCCTCGGGTTGTTGATGACCTCAAAAAATATCATACGCCTGAGTCGGGCTAAATCAAAACTGCACAATGAAGTTTTTAAATATGAGTTTTTGAAAATCCTGCATATGTTCAAGATCGTATTGGTTTAGAATTTCTTCCCCAAGCTTTAAATTTTTGTTGCTTAGTAACCTGAGATTTTTATTAAAATTCAAATTCCTAAGCTATGCCGCTAAAGTCATAATTATTAGAAAATTGAAACAATTGAAACAACCTAAACTTATCTGGTATATAATTGATATTACCAGGCGATGACTATAATAACTTTACCGAGGTGGTAACAAATTGTGGCTGTCTATTACCAATGGCAATAAACGGCCACCGGGGAGTAACAAATATTACTAGTGTGGTAACAAATTTACCACCACGATAAAGTCCTGTACATTGTCACCGCCGGAAATAAAGTACTACTACTTCTGTTGGAACGTAATCAAGCAGTAACAATTTTTCTATAACCCAGAAATTCCTCATGACAAAAAATCGTTTCTTCCGCAATCTTCCTAGCCTCATCTGGATTTCGCTTAACCCAACTTTCAACAATTGCACTCATCTGCTCAATCAATTTGGAGACTTCAGGGTCCATTTTCTCAAAATCCATTTCAGCCATCGCACCAGGAGCACAGTTTGAAGTTAAAGCCATGAAATAGCCATACACTGACTTTCTTCCGTAATCATGAAGCAATTCCTACATGTACAAAGACATTTTTAAGTTTGTACAAAAGAAGATGTTTGTAAATTGTATAGGTTGTTTAAATACTTCAAAGCTGAAGGGCGCTTCCTCTCCCAAACTGGTCACCACTTGACAAAATTTGTCATAATAGATTTTCATCAATGTATTAAAATGTTCTCGCCGAACCCCAGGTTTCACACTTGTAAAGAGAAAGTACGACAAGTCCACACTTGGAGTCGCGATTCGAGCCACCTGTGCCAACTCAGTCACTCAATCAATCAATAATTACCAATCGTCTTGAATCAATCACTCATCAACCCCATCATTACCCATAAGCAAACTTGATCTAGTGTAAAACCATAACCACGCTCACCTGTAAATCAATCAACATAACGTCATCTAATGCTCCGCTTTCTGTACATTTATGGAACATCATGTTATTATTCCAAGCATCTCCATGATTAAGAACGAGCAGTTTGTCCCCTGTATCGTACTCCAAGGTATCCATAACTTGGCGGAATGCTTTACCCACATAAGATTTGAAATATTCTAAAGCCGCATCTCTACCCGGCATGTCATTGTTCTATATATAAAAAAAGACCTATCAGTACAGCTTTACGGAGCCCGACCCAGGGATTTTTATACAATGACATAAAAATTTCAGTAGTTTGGCATCGTATTACTAGTTTGCAGTTTAATTGAAATCATTATACCGAATTTCAGCTCAATTGAACGGTTTTATGAAATCGGCATTGGTAACCACTTAGAGACCCTCAAAGTGAAAATTTGTTTAATTTAAAGGTTTATTCTCCTATCAATCGTCACTCGCGACCTCCATGCAAAATTTCAGCTCGAATGAAAGGTTTTCAGAAATCGGTATGGGTCACCCACTATATGGTCCTTCCAGATAAAAATTTTCCAATTTCATTTCGTACTCTTTCACTACAAGCCATAAACTACCTTAATGCCAAATTTCAGCCTTCTACGACTATTTTGTATTTTCTGCACCATGGACCCACACCACTAAAATCACCCCCACCGGTCAACCACTGTACCGATCATACTCATCTTCGAAATTGACTCCTAACTTTGCCTAATATGCATATGGTGAAAATTTCAAGTCGATCAGATAAGTTTAAAAAGAGTTATCGCAGGACGGACGGGCAGACAGACGGACATCACGGGTACATAAGCCCTGGGTCGGGCTAAAGATGCATATTCATAATTTCGGATATGTGTACATTTCCCATTCCATATTATCCCACCTGTAAAATCTTGATTATTGTCCTCAACGAGTTGTCATACATGGGCGACATCATGTTCTCAAAACTTTCTCCTTCAAATGCTTCAATCACGACTTTAGCATATTTTTCCTTAAACTTGTCCACCCCATTGTTCTTCAACATGATGGAGGACACGGCATGAAGACGAGCCAATTTTTCTAGCACCATCCTGCAACAATAGAAGACAATTAATGTTACAATTAAGCAAAAAATACAAAATCGAACAATTTACATATACCCACTGACTTTGCCTGATTGAAATCTTGACAATCTTCCTTTTTAAGCATGACATATCCGGAACTCATTAAGTTATCCAGCACAATTATCTCATCCGTACCATACCACAATTTAGGAAAAATTTGGATAGCTTTCGGCGATCTTTTGGCAAAATTTAAGTGTTAAAGAGTCTTCTTTACTCCACAGCTCTCTAAATTCTGAAAAATTGTGCTTCACTTACCCAACTTTCTCCTCGCACAAGTGCTCCGCATCCTTCACAAATAGGTTAAAGAAGGACTGCTCTTTGGAGAACAGATTCATTTCCTTCACTAAATCTGCATAGCCTGGATTCGTGGTAAAGGTTTTAACAAAGAGATTGATTTCCTTTCCAGACTCAAATTTTATATCCACCGTGACACAGGAACTTGCTGTGTGCTCTCCAGCCAGGTTTGGTTCCACAATGGTGACACTACCAACGGGACCATTGTGACCATCGTCGCCCACAATTTTGATGTACTTTTCCTGTTCCTCTGTAAATGTTGCCATACTAATAGGAAGCTATGGTATCTGAATTATCAGTAGTTTCAAATGTGGTAATTGGTTTGGGAACAAGGAGAATGGTATCTTCTGTTTTTTGCACAGCATGTATTTGCTCGTCAGGGTAACAGCAGAACATGACTGGTTTCCATAAATTGGGGTTAGGATCAAGTTGCTAGCTGGCTATGTTTGATTATTAATAGGATATACATACATTCCACATTGCATTGCATATACATACATTGTAGTATTTTTCAGGGTCAGCCATATCGATCTCTTCTTCTACTCCAGTTTTTTGTGAGTTTCTCTCTCTCTCTCCCTCGCTCTCCTCTCTTTGCAAAGCAGGACAGAGTATGAATATTACAAACTTGTTTGCTTCACTTGCTCTACTATACATGAAATAATAAAGTTGGCAATCAAGGACACAGAAATGAAAGAGAGTCAGGCCCGTTGACTTCAGTTTCATTTATAGATATATACATATCCAAGCAATTTATTGAACTACTCTTCCGTGATGTATGTATGTATTACATCTACACATTCACTCCAGTTGAGAACCAAGCTGTCACAATTTTTCTCACATCTAGTCGAGGTCTTGCATGCAATATCACACTATGGACCAGGATTTCTAATGTATGGCCAAAAAAATTTAATTGAATTTTAATAAATGAAGGTTGATCATTTAAAGCCAAATGACGTTTACAAATAAAAAAATACACTTCATTGATATCTTTGGTTTTAAAATTAACTAATGCGTAAAATATATCCGGATCGGCTTAAAAAATTCAGATCTTAATTGTTTAGAAAATTGGCTAAGGACCAGTAGGGAGTCTTCATTGGAGTTGCAAGGAAGTTTTTTACGTTTTCTACTTTAAAAAATTTGATGGACGCAGCAGCAATGTTCACCACACCCATATCACTTAAACGGCACCAATTGTGGCTTATTTGGGGACCAGCAGTATTGAAAGATGTGAAGTACCTATCATGTTAATGTATTACAAAATGGTTGACCCCCTTTTCCTCCGAAATGATTTTACCATTTTTCTTGAAGGTAATGCAGGGATCACAAGTTGGTAATATAGATCACAATGAAATTTACAAACTTCGAATTTCCAATTTTAAAATATTGCCTTAATGGCCACCTTTAGAATCATCTAGCCCACTGTGCACAATTATGAGTAAGCATATATGTAGATATAAAATTGACTGGAGCCATAATATCAAACACAACAAAACAACTAGTCGAAGCAGCCGCAGAAATCTTTGTTTTCTATAGCTAGCAGAGCTGGGAGATTAATAGATTTCAGGATTAAGGATTAAGATTAAGGATTAATTTCCAAAATTTATGGATTAAGGATTGATGATTAAGGATTAATTAATCCGGGGTTATGATTAATCTTGGATTAATTAATTTTCTTCGCTTCGTGGGATTAAGGATTAATTAATCTGATTAATTGTAAGGATTAAGGATTAATTTTTTGAAAAAGACTAATTTAAGATAAGCTATAATTTGTGGTGCTCCACTAGATATACATACATACTGAGTACAATTACAAATAATTGACTAATAATGAATAAAAATAGATATTAAAATATCTATTTTTATAACGAAATTTTATAACGTTATAGTACTGCAGCGTGTATTCACTAGCCCCCAAATCAAATTATTCCATCAGCTATCTGTATGAAAGACACAAAACATAACATTATTGAAAATTTTACTTCATTGTCCTTCGTAAGACGAAGTAGAGGCGTTCTCGTTAAATATCAGCGTCTAGGACAATTTAAAAAAATTAGTCTCCATAGTCCATACATATGTCTGTATACCATATCATGTTCAACTCCTGCGTAGTCAGCTTTTATCAATTAATTGTCATATATATCTGCGAATACAACTATGTGAATTCAATTCTGTACTACCATATCATGTCCAGATTTTAAAAATTTGTTGCAGAGCATGGTAGTTTATTGGAAACCTAATAGAGCACCCACTAATCTAGTAAAACCAGAATTTTTCTCATATTCGAACTACATTACGTACTTTGCCTAGTTAAAATTTAAACTGATTCTATCATTTTGATTAAATTGTGTTCAAGAAGAACGTGAGAGTTACGAACCCAAAACTCAGGCTAAAAAGCTACAACTCTTGAAGGCAGTTAAAATTTATGGATTCTAATAAAGAGCAGGAAAATTTGGAAAAAATGTAACAAATTGTGTTTGAAATTAATCCAATTATTAATCCTTAATCTTATTTAAGTTGGATTAACCATTTGTTGGGATTAATGGATTAAGGATTAAGTCTGCCAATTTTGGGATTAAGGATTAAATTGGCAAAATTTGGGATTAAGGATTTTGGATTATTAATCCTTAATCGGATTAATAATCCATTAATCCTTAATCAGATTAATCCCAGCTCTGATAGCTAGTAAATAAGTTACCCCATTATTGCACGCGGATTTTGCGATGTTTGATGGCTTTATGATAACAGAGCGTATTGTGTGTGCTATGTATTTAGATGTTTTTGGGTAAAAAAAATTTGTTGCTACACAATGGATAAATTGCCGGGTTGGTCTGTTGCGAAATAATAGCATTAACACTGTTGAGGGTAATTTAATAATATAGCATAAGACGTATTTATATTGTGCTATGAAGGTAGGTAGGTCTGTTATAATTAATACAAAAGTGGGCGAGATAAAACCCATCCATCTTAGCTGGAAATAAATTGCAGGCATTGTAGTAAATCGTTTACTACATAGAGTTGAAAATGAGGTAAGATGACAATTAAATTTAAGACTAAACGTGTATGCAATATATATAACATGTGCACATGAAGTTTTGTACATGAATAGGTGAAATCCTTGAACATAATTTCTCAGAAAACAAGGCTAAAAATTAAAGTATAGTTGGATACCCTGTAATTTATATAGAAATTTCTTTATGAGGTGTAATTATCCCTCAAATGTATCCTGGAGACATCCATGCACAAAATGTGTTTATCAAGGAAAGCGTTGAGAATTAAATCTCTGATTTTTAAATGCGTAAATTTTAAATGCGGTTGAAGAGGAGACGTGAGTCATTTCTGCATGTATAAATAGAATTGTACAATGACAGTAGTATCTCACGTGTCTCCGAACCGCGTTCACATTTAAAATCCAAGATTTCACCCTTCACGCTTTCCTTAAAAACCATCTATATTGTGTGCGAGGATTACGCGAGGTTAAAGTTGTCGGAAACCATAAGTTAGCGAATTCTTGTGTTTGCCACCCCCCAGTGATAACATTTTTTTAAACAACTGAATACTAATGTGTGCATCACTTTATTAACATTTTCTGATTTTAACAACACAATTAAAAACTAGACTGTTGCACTAGATATTTAGAATATCAATTTATTCATTTGCCTCTATTTAAATTTGATCCATGAATTATATTCATTCATCACTGTAACACTGTCTAAACAGCACAAAGTGAAGTGAAGACACGAGAAAAATTCCAAATCTTTGGTAATATAGTTGTGAACGCAAACAAATTTTGTAATTATTGATTATGAAATGAAGCTCATTTTTCTGTAAAGCTAGAGAGAATGAAATCGAATCCAGTATGCAAAGCTTGTTGAACTAAAATTATAAGGGCCAAGAAAATGAATTATCTCATGACTCATTGTTTCGGTTTGAACTCAAATCCCAACGCTTGCACCAAGAAACTATAGATATCTGCAAATTCCGAGACCTAAATACAACAAATCATTTTAAGTCCACTGGAACACAAAGGAGAACTAAATTACTTACCAAAACCCTTGTTGGTTTACCGTAACTATGGCCGACTCCTGGTGTCACATTAAGAAGAATAGGGTTTGTCTGCAGCAAGCAAAACATATTATGATTTATTTACTACGGTTATTAATATCATTGCTCAGTAAAATGGACTTTTACCCTAAGACTAAAAAAACCTATCTTATATGTATATTTCCAAAAAAATACATATGTTTATTGTCAAAGTGCACTGTCTTGAAAATAACTAAATTTTTAGCCATTCAATACCGCCTTCTGCGACACACTTTATTTTCTTCGTGAGATTCTACATTAACTTTTTTTCCGAGACTTTTCCCACTGCCAGGCTAATTTCCTTCCAATGATTTTGAAATTTCCTGCGAGTATACGAGTGCCTAGAATTTTTCAATTGGCCGCAGTTGAGGTACATTTGGAGGGTATTCCCCTTTTGGGACAAATTCAATATTTTTGAGACGAAGGTACTCGGTGAACTTTTTGGCGTAGTGTGAGGTTGGGAGGTCAGGCCAAAACAAAATTTTATCGTTTTTGTGAAGCATATCTAGGAAGCCTTCCAATCCACGTTGAATCCATTTCTTCAGATAAACTTCCTGGTGTACAATGCCTTCCAAAATGACGGGGTCTGAAATATGGTCTGCGCTAGAGATGCATTGCCAAATGCATTATTTTTTTGCTAACTTCTGTTTTTTTCCGGATTTTGTCTTCGTATTTCGCTTCGTCGGGGTTGGAGCAATGGTAGAAGTGCCTTCCCGGAAGATTCGAAGGGTCAACGGTGACGTATTTAGGTCTCGTGGTCCATAATAACGACTTTTTCTCGGATTTTCTTTACCAATTATGAGAATTTCTTGCAACATTCCTGAACCTGTGCCTTTTTTGTTGATTTATACTTTGGGGCTGAACTTTTTGTCCTTACCTTGATGTTCATGAACTTTGATTTTAGTCAGGCAGCTTTTGGAAATCTTGACCTTCTTTACCACCATGACCGTGGATGTCGATGGCTGAATTTTGAAATTTTTTTTGATACTATTTTTCACTCTCTTGGCGTCGCTAGCTTCGCAGGTCGACCTCTGGGTGCATTAAATTTGACTTCATTGGATTCCCCACACTTATTTATATAAGAGTAAACATTCGAGTGAGGAATACCTTCTTGCTTGAAAAATTTCCAACCAATTTTTCAATCATAGTTGGCTTGATTTTTGTGAAACTAAATCACTCTTTTTGCCAACTGTTCCCCTTCAATCGTAGTTCTTCTAGACTTAACCATAATTGAAAAATTGGTAAGATATATCAAATTAAAGCTTATAATGTGGTCTACTGAAAAACAATTTTGTGCGCACATAAAAATTTGCAGTTACCCCGTAGCGCGGCTTGGAAGGGGCATTCTCATAATTTGGTGTCCATGTCTTATCTTTGGTCACTAACAAGTAACAATTCTCAAAATCTGATAAAAATTAGATTTCTAGTGAAGGTTTGAATGCAACAGTTTTTGGTAATTCGCCCTTTGTGGGAGTGTGGTAGGCGTAAATGGGGTACGAAGTAATAAAATTGTTTATAGATTCTGATAAAGTCATGGGAATTGTATCATTTCCCATTAAGTATTTCACTATAGAGGCATCAGTATCTGTCGCTGAGAGGATAACAACCTGTCTCCTATTTGTTGCATTACTATCTATATTATAACAAGTTACACTCTTAGCAATTAGCATGATTTCAAAACTATTTCCTGAGACAATGAAACATATTAACGGTAAGAAATTACAAATCTGTAGTAAGTAGATTCATAGTGTGGTCGTCAGTGTTTTTTAAATTTAGATAAGCCAGTTTCGATAAGTACCAATTTTGTTTAACCAATGTCTTGTCTTTTTTCTCCAAATAAAAAAACTCTAAAAACTATATATAAGTTGTCAATATCTCGAGATAGTAATCCTAAAAAAATTCTAATGACTTGCTCTACAATCGTAATTTTGATTTGGAACACATTCTCAGAGCCGAGACATAATTAAGAATGTGATGATTTTCATAGATTTTTAGTTCCCATAAGTGATGAGTTAACTTTGTCAGGCTTAACAAGACATGCACCAAATTTTAGCTCAATACAACAATTTTTAAAAATTGGTATGGGATACCCCATACGATATGTTAAGAAAGTCCCTCCCTTTGAAATCATGACAATTTTGACGAGCTCATAAAACTGTGCAGATTGAAATATTTAAATATTTTAAATTTTTTCCATATACCCCAATATGTCGTATGTCTGGCATCAGTTTTCATCATTTTTTCCACTCTCGTTTTAAAACTTTTTGCGAGTTTTTGTAAAAGCTCAACCGGAAGTGAATTCCAATTTTCTTCGAAACGGGCCTGTAATTCATGTACTGTTGTTGGATAAGGTTCCTGGTAAGCCGAATCTTTTGGTCCGGACCATAAGTGTTCGATCGGGTTCAAATCCGGAGAGTTTTCAGACCACACCCCCCTGCCCTACACGATTCCAACTCTCCTATCCCACAGCTTCATTGTCGACTTTGCCGCGTGTGCTGGAGCTTCATCTTATTGAGAATCTTTGTTCCTTCTACTTGAAACGATACTTATATCCATGGCCTCGAAATATGTGGGGAGAATTTTTGGTTGATAATTGGCTGCGTTAACTTTTTGACTCGTTGAAACAAAATGTAGTTTTCAATTGCCACTAACAAAAAAAACACAAGCGACCATGTTTTAGCTGTCGTGTTTCGGTCTTACAATTGGTGGTACATCCTTTCTTTCTTCCGTCCTGTATCTCAAATTTTGTGGGTTACATTGTCCGCGTAATTCGATATGGCTATCATCAGTGAATACTTGGCTATCTCCCGAGTACTCCAGGGGTTAAAAACCCTCTTTTTTCGACTACTTCTGCAAATTTTAACCGGTTTACAAATTTTTATTGGCTTAAAAGTGTTTTTAGCTGACTTCTCTATGCCTTCTGACCAAAACTTTTTGTTTTTAGATCTGTCGGATCAGTGGATACAGAGATGTTTAGTCTTCCGTTTCTATCGTCAACTGCATTTTCGGATTTGTGAGGTTTTCTGGTGAAAATAACAAATTTCCGATACATTTTTGACATAATTTGGTTTTTTGATGTAGAAGAGAGTGCAGTCGTACGTCAGGACCGTTCCTTGTCCGTAAAATAATTTTTATCTCTACGTGACCTCACTGTGTTGAGGGACACTTTTAAATTTTCACATATGTCTTTGTCACTATATGCTGCAACATGTACTATTTACATTCGAATTCTTTTCTGTACAAGAGATGCCCTAGATGTTGGGGTCATAACGCCGAAAAAAAATTTTGAAAAAACGAGCAGATGTAAAAGTTACCGACAAAAATACAGCCAAAAATGACGCGTGTGGGTAGGGGGGAGGGACTTTCTTAACATAGTATAATATCATTCCAGAATTTTCAGGTAAAACTTTTCACCTCACAATCTGTCGCTGGAAGTCATTAGCAACTTTCATTTCACATTTTAGCTCAATAGGGTGATTTAAAAAATCAGCTTGGGTGACCCCATAATGTCCCATCAATTGAAAATTTTTACATTTTTACTTCATAATCCTTCATTAGAGGCCCATGTCAATCTCTTTCCCAAATTCTAGCTCTATTGGACTTTTAAAATTTTAAAAATTGGTATAGGTCATCCTATAGGGTCTCTCAAGATTATAATTTACAATTTACACTTAAGATTCTTCTATTAGGGTCCATTAGCTACCCCAATGCAAAATTTAAGCCTTCTGTGACCATTTTGAATATTCTGACCCTTGACCAATATAGACCAAGACGACCCCCAGTGGTCCACAACTTGACTGATTTGACTAGTTTTCGAGCTTGACTCATAATGTGAAATGTTTTAAGTGTATACCAAATTTCCAGTCGATCGAATAAGTTTGAAGAGAGTTATTGCAAGACAGACGGATGGTAGGACATGTAGACAACCCGGAGACATAATAACTGGGTCGGGCTAAAAAATAAACATGAAACACGGGAAAGCCGGTACTTAAAACTCTAAAATAGGTAACTCCACACCCAACATGACTATAGCTATTGGTAGTGTGTAAAGCAAGTATAAACTATCCTAAAGCATGTAGAGTTCGATTTTCTTCATTTTGCCGACGAACAACATCCCATACCCCTAAACTATCTTTACATTGCCCAAATGATAAGCAAAAACACGGAATTTGGCTATTGTCCGAACAAAATTGTCCCAATTTTTGACGAGTGCACGAATGATACGGCTTGCCTTGCCAACGCGTCCAGAAATAAATCGAACCTCAGCTGCGCAATGTTTTAAATATTGCCATCACCTTCTCATACTTAAATCTTACTTGTCTTGTATGGTTTCCGATCTTGAATTGCATCTCAGCCGCATGTTTGCACGAATGGGCGGGGACAACTGTGTCATCATTCCCACCTAAAAAATTCAATATTGTTATATTCCCACCTCCGTTCTCTATATATTTGTATTTATGTTACTTTACCAGTCATAAGAAAAACTGCTGGATACTGGGTATTTTCATCTTCAGGCATCTTTATATTGTGAAGTGGAGAGAGACGGAATAGATTATTAAAATTATCTATATTCCCGTCATCCGAGCATCCAAATTCTGTCGAAGCTGTTGCCCTATGGAGAGGATAAAAGGACAATTAGTTTTTAAACAAATATACAAGGGTAAAAATGAAGCATACCCCATCGTGCCCAACTTGTGGTATCGGAGCATATCCAATGGACTAATAACATAAGATTTAAAAAACTGCACAACTATTTTTTTCTTAACTAATTTGTTCACACTTACCCACATCCTGCAATTGCGGCCCCAAACAAGTCTGGTCGTTGGTTAATACACGCTCCTGGAATTAGGCGAAAATGCGATAGTACAGGAATTAAAGGAATCGTCTCTCTTTAACCCACTCACCCACTAGAAAACCTCCATTGGAATCGCCATTAATTACCAGCTTTGACGGGACCGTATATTTCTTCTCGATCAAGTATTCCGCTGCACATTGGAAATCATTAAATGAATTTTGCTTATTTAAAAGGCATCCTCCCCGGTGCCAAGCTTCACCATATTCCCTGCAAAAAATTAAATAATTATCAACCCGTAAACAATTGTAAAAATTGGCGATCTGTTCTAACCCGCCCCCTCGAATATTTGGAATAGCATACACTCCATCAAAACTAGACACAAATACAACCCTTTCCGCACTGAACCACGGTAACATGCTAACATTAAGTCCTCCATACCCGTACAGGTAAGTTGGAGAGTTAATATTATGCGCATAGTCCTAGAAATGTCAAATTTATGTGAATTGGATTGTAAATGCCTCCTCCCATCATACCTTTTTGTGCATGATAAACATTGGAACTTTGGTCCCGTCTTTACTAAAGTAAAAAACTTGATTGACAACAAGGTTTGACTCTTTTACACCAGCAGCAACAACTTCTTGGTGTACACTTAGTTTTGGATCAGCCGTGGTTAAATCTACATGATACACTTTTCCCGGAATAAGAAATGATTCCAACTTAAAGAAGAATTCGTCTTGGCTACGCTTCCCACTAAATGTCCAAATGGATCCAATTTCTATGTCATTATCAAAGCTCCTCAAAACCGTGTTCCCATCCTGCATATTTCTTAGTTCCAATTTGCTTCTGCAATCTTCTAAATAGCCTAAAACTACTTTGTCCCTATAAAATTTGATAAATTTCAAAATTCAATTTTATTGTATTAATTAACTAGAAGCATATGTTTCGTTTACTTCATAATGGCGAAAGCAAACTGAAGGACTCGATGAGATTCCTCACGAACGAGAACCTGTAACAGTTTGTTTGGTAAAATTTGCTTTGTTACAGTTATTATTATTTTCTTAGAACCATCCAAGATGACTCGTCCACATTTGTAACGTCAATCCCTACTATGCGATAGTTGGGAGCTGCCTTGTTCGTTCTCAAGTAGATTAGTGGTCCATCATTAGCCACATACTAAAGTTGTTTACACTTTAACAAAAAGTGACACAATGATTAAATGATAAAAAGTCTTACATGGTACTCTGCCTCGAACTTTGTTATGACTGGGACCAAATTAAGCTTATCTTTTCCCGAAAATGATCCATCGCTGAGGTCACCATAATAAAACATTGTGTCACCCTGCGCTCCTAAAATTCCTATGGATGGAAATACCAACAGGTACTTTCCATCTCCTGTCACATTAATTCCTCCCCTATAAAATAAAACAATATATTGTTATTCCTTTTTTATTATTTACGATAAGTAATTTAATAATTCATTATTATTAGTCTAACAAGATCCAATCTGGGTTATCTGGAAAATCAGCAACTATCACGTCTTCGTGCTGAGGCGATCCTACGCGATGATAATAAATCCTGTGCAATCCTTTATCCCCATCTGCTCCGTTGTAGTCTGGATATCGCTAAATTAATTAAAATAGTATGCATTACTAGCCTCCAAGCCTTCTGAAGGACAGGCTTGTCTCATCAGGATAAGTTAAAAGATCGTTATCATGATGGTACTATAAGCTTTGACTCGGGCTAAGAAAGTCTTAAAATCTGATTTTTTGTCGTTCCTCTGAACATTTTTAACGTTAAGGAATATTTTTACCTCTAATTAGGAAGCATACCTACTATTTGATTAACTAATTCGTGATGTACATAAACAGCCAATCAGAATGCTGGAATGTCCCGGAAAATTTCACGGGAAGGGCTTTTCGAATTATAAAAGAGATATTTTTCTTTATATATTTTGTAATCATCTCACTGCATAAAAGAATCCAAGGCTGTCCAACGTCCACTGGAACCGAGTGAACTTTATTTGTTCCAAAACTTCTTCAAAGTCTACACCAGTATCCACATTTTTAACGTGAACTTTTAACCAGTCACTCCCACCATAACTGAGTCCATACGCAACAAGACACCCATCCGGAGAAAAGCTGCTGGTATACACACCGACCAATCCATCTTGATATGTCGCGTTCGGGTCCAAGAATACGCGTGGTTCCGAACTTAATGAATCTTGGACATACCACACGCTGCAATTAAATCCAAACCAACACATAAATAATTAAAGTTACAGGAAATAAATACTACACTCAAAATAATTCGGTAATAGATGAAGTCACCGGCCTCGTAATAGGCAAACTTATTACCACATGGTAACAAAAAAATTACCGAGTGGTAAAAAAATGTCATTACGTGTGATCTTTTTGTTACCACTCGTTAATGTTTTTGTTATTGTCTTGTAATAAATTTTCTACTACCATACCGGCAGGGTTGCAGTGGTCAAAACCACTTTTAGCCGGACAGTGGTCAAAAGCGGTCAAAAGACACTTTTTGTCGTCCACCAAAATTGGTGGCCAGTGGTTAAAAGTGGTCAAAACTAATTTTAGGGCTATTTGAAACAACTTCTTTAAAAGTTATTATATTGAAAATCTAACTTCATATTCGTGTCCTCCATTAAATTCTGAGAAAATAAGTGGGTAATACGGTTAAATTGGGATAATATTTAAAATTCCCATGTATTCTTATGGAAAATTTGTAAATTCGACAAAAACTTTCTAAAAATGATCATGTTACATGTCAAAATGTTCAGAACTTTGTGGAGATCGCGAATATGAAGTTAGATTTCAAAAATATTGATTTTTTAAAAAGTTAGCTTTCCCCATAACTAAATACGCAGGCGGCCATTTTTGACCACCAAAGTGGTTAAAACCACTTTTGACCGCTTATGTCCACTGGCCCGGTCAAAAGTGTTTTTGACGGACAAAATGCAACCCTGCATACCGGTGACTATATATCACTTCAACTATTACCGGATTATTTTCTGTGTCAATTATTCACACTTCTCCTTCTTACTCTTGATCTTGAGTTCCGGTATTTTTAAAGAAGAAATACCGATCGCCATGCTTCTCTGGGGTAGTAATTCTCGCATAGTCAAACGCTATGGTTAATGCTTTTTCAATTTCGGAACGGATTTGCGTTTCAACATAATTTCGTGTAAGTTGGTTTTGCGCTTCCACGAATTTCTTTACCTCGTCGGATTCTGAATTTTCCATCCAACGATATGGATCTGGAACGTGGACGTTTCCATAGTAACAATCAATCATAGATTCGTCTCTTCTGACTTGAGGGTACTCCATTTTCCAGCGACTGGAAAAAAATAATTATACCAGGCCTTTCAGCAATAGTTTTACGATTGTCAGTTTATCACAAACTTAGCCGATTTACACAGTCGGTTTTAATGTAATTTAATATAATTTCAATGTGATTTGGTGCGGTGTCCAACTCAAGTTCACTCCAAGAATAAATTCATATATGAATTTATTCGTTGCATAATATAAATATTATGCAACGCTAGAATAATCAATATCCATTAATTCTCAAGGGAAATATGTATTCTCACTCTGAATTGGATACTGGAGTTTGCATATTATTTATATATTCTTGATTCATGGATTGGATAATAATTTTAGAGTGTAGCGACTGGACTGGATAGTAACAACATTGCTCTATACAATTATTAATCCGACATGCAAATTGCTCATTATTACCCTACTCTAGTGAACCAAGAGTATTCTCTGTGTTCACTTCTACGGCAAAAAAATGTCCTTGAAAAAAGACCACAAGACCACTGGCACAAAACAAGATCGAGTTAGATTGTTAAAACCAGTATGAAAGTTGTATTTATAAAATATGTATGTATATGTAATACAGATACCATGCAGTAAGCGTCAGCTTAAGATTAATACATATCTAGTTTAATAATGCAACTTACCCACTACAAATAAACTGATGAAAACAAGAATTATATTTTAGGAATTGCGAAAATTATATTCTCAAATGTTCCACATATTGTTATGATACAGAAAGAAACACTGTTGGAGAAATCAGGACACAGATTTGAGAAACTGAAACAGGTGATTTTTCTACCCAAATTGTGCACAGTTAATTTCTGTCTCCACTCTGTGTGCTCTGTATAGTACAAAGCAGGACAGAGTATGAATGTAGCAAACTTTTTTTATTAACTTGGTTTCGTAGTGGTGAAATAGTAAAGTTCGCAATCAAGACAGTACGTATGTAAATAAAATGAAGTAGAGCTGGTCCAGTTTTGTATGTACGTAAACCATTCTAGTTACATAAATGTATATATATATATATAGATAGATAGATATTTATTGCGTATTCGGCCTTCGGCCCTTGCATATAATAATTTACAATAAATGGTCATAGAAAAAATATTTAGTTAAATTACGTTGTATGAAATGGATGGTTGATATTATTAAGTACACAGATCGACTAGTTTGAAAACAGCGCACCAAAAAAGAAAAATATTATTGTATAATAATTGTGAAGGTTGGGAGGTCATCAGGGTGTAGTATTGGTGTTGTATGTCTACTCCAGGATTTGTTATTGGGGAGAGTAATGGCGTAATCCAGGTATTTCTTTCGGCGTTAAGGGGTCGACATTGGAAGAGATAGTGGATATATATATATATATATATGTAACCTCATTCATATATGAATGAGGTTAATAAATTTCATAAAAATAATTAACTTTCTACAATTGTTTTGAAATATGCATCCTGATTTTATTCAGAAGTCTTCCTCAAAATGGGCAAAATTCTGGTCGCGGATGTAACTTATTTTCTGAGAAATGGCATATTTTATTGCGTAATTCAGTTCAAATCGTAACCTTCTAAAGTTTTAAGCTTTGATTGGCGTTCAATTTAAATAACTTTGTGAAATGTATCTCTGCGCACTTAAAATAAAATCAATAAATCACGGAATTGATAGGTGACTCTACCGTGTTGGATCAATAGCAACAAATATAATTCCAGTTAGTATTGGAATTATTACGCATGCAGAACATCATTACATACATTTGCGTAATACATATGTAATTAATCCCTCAACTATACATACAATGAGCGATTGGCATTGTGTAGATTTTATGATATTGAGAGGCAAATTTTTATCGATTTTTTTTTTACAAAAAGACGGCATTTTCATGGAAAAATTGCATGGGATGAACAAAGAAATTCAGCCGGGAGGTTCACCACCACCACAAATCGTCACCTTCAAATTTAAAGGATTTTTGAGAAATATATATTTTGCCGTACTACAGGTTATGTAATTTAAGGTAAGGTTTGTTAATTTAATTAAATGTGTGAATGTACTTAATAAATTGCAACTTTTATTTAACTCCCTGAGCAGTCTACGTACATATGTAGTGTAGTAACCTGTCCTTTTGTCGTCATTCGGATCTGGTGAGATTTAATTTACGATTTAAGTAATAATTTAACTTTAAGTAAAGTTAGATAATTAACTAGCTCATGATAATGAATTCATCTTCCTGGGTGACGGACGGTCCCCCCATAAAAGGCGTGCTTCTCGACATTTCTGGCGTTCTGAGGGACGGAAGTGAAGCCATTGCTGGATCGGTGGATGCATTTGACAGGTTTTCTATTTTGATTAAATAAACTGCTAAATTAATTAATTCTACAATAATTACCTTGTTGATGAAGTATTTAGCTTATTTTCTTTTGTTTAAATAGACTGATCCAATCCGGTTTGGAAGTTCGTCTCGTCACGAACGAGTCGCAGGTCACGAGACAGAGTTTAGACAAATTGACCCGTCTGGGTTTTCAGGGGGTCGAATATGACAAAATATTCGCCCCAGCGCCCCTTCTCGCGGAGCAGTTGGTGCGACAAAGACACCACCCGGTGCTACTCGTACATCCGAAAGTAATGAAGGAATAGATAAGCCAGGAATTATTTTTTTTTGCAAATTTTACAAATTCGCGAAAAGCAAGCAGATTCGATATTTTTTGCATATAATGAAAGTAAAAATGATCTCGCTGGAAGATATTTTTAGACTGATGGTGATTTTTATTAAACAACTTGGTTTTAAGGTTTTGACAGTACATAGGAGACATTCATACATATGTAATAATATGTGGTCAGAAGTGACCATACAAACTACGCAGAGTTATGCTCAAACGAAGTGTCCCTTCTAATGAGGCATAAAAACAAAAGGACCCTTTTAATCCCTTGTCCTGGGAAAAAGGTTGGAAAATGCTCAGCCCTCATAAAAGTCGACAAACTTAAAAATTGATAAATATGGAAAACTTTGTTAACATGCATATTTTAACATCCTCCCTCAATTTTTAAAGTTCAATATCGGCAGTTTCCACTGGATTTGCCCTAACCGAAATTACATTTGGCCGGCTTTTCAGAAAAAGGAAAACACAAAGAGTGGCTTGAGCAACTATTATTAGTATGCAAAGGGTTAAGATCCATTCCATTGTTGACCAGGCTGGTTCATTGCTTGTGTGGTAGTGGATTGACCCATATGATATTGTCCATGGTGTAGTTTGATTTGTACAAAATCCCATGGTTCAGCAAGGTTCTTGTCATAACAGTGGTCTATGTCAAAGTGATTGGAGTTCTTTGTTTTCGCTGTTGGCGTGCATCCTCGAGTGGGCGAAACAATTAGGTCGGGGGTTGTAGGCTCCTTAACATTGATGGAGTATACGCAGTCATCTTTCGTAGAAAGGATGGCATTATGGGGTCCCTTGTGCTTTAGAACGCAGGTTTCATTCTTCCTTTCAACTTTGAGATCGAAGGAGTCTGCCTCGATGAGTTGCAAATCTTTGTTAATTTCAGTTGCTGTGAAGTCCACATACAGCTTGGTTCTGTCATCTGATATTTCGCACTTTTGAGATTGTGCGAAGCTGACTGGGCAAGCATCACCACAGGGTAACGTGAAATTAAAGAAATCCATTAGTGGTGCGTAAACTTTTCCTCGCCGCCACTGTCTTGTTGCTTCTCTAATTATTTCTCTACCTATCATGAGGCGACTGGTAAGGTAGGCAATTGCGAAATTGGTGTCAATGGATTTTCCCTTGAGTTCGTCGTGATCAAGCTGATGTAGCTGAAGCTGTTCTAGTGTAGCATTAAGCTAACCTTAAGCTTCTCAATCTCTCTTTCCGATATTTCCACGCGACGTTCCAATTCATCCAGCATCTCTCTTTGTTCCGCTACTGTTCCTTGCAAAGCAGAGATTCTTCCAGTTTGAACAAACGAATTGATTGCTCCACCAACTGATAAGCCGGCTACAAGGACAGTCACACCAATTATTACTCCAACTGCAAGTAATGGGAGGACTCTCTTCACTCTTCGTCCAATCTCTCTGGTATGTCGCGAATTAATATGATCGGAGAATTTTCTTTTAGGGCACATTTTTTCTAGCTCATCCAGGAACATTTCGTCGTATATTTTGTTACATTTCGCGGTTGCATAGGCACTTAAATCCTTATGGAGTAGATCCTGTGTTAAAATTTCGCACGGGTTCATGAATTTGACGAGCAAGTGGACTTGGTTATATCCCGTTGTAACTGGGATTGGACTCTTTTTCCATAGTAAAGGGATCGCATTCTGATGTGTCACCCCACAAGCTTGCGTAATAAACATAAGAAGGATGGTGAGAAGGCTCATCAGTGAGAAGTTGGCTTGGAGGGGACCTCTCTTTACTTTAGTTGGGTTGTCCTTGCTCTCCTTTGTCTCATTTCTTTCCATACTGAGATCGTGTCTCATCTTGAAATGCTGGGTCTTCAGTAGTGGCTTAGTTAATCCATCTGCAATTTGTTCACTGGTATGTACATATTCACTTGCCAACTGTCCTGTACTAACTAGCTCTCTTGTGTAGTGGTACCGGACATCGATGTGCTTGGATCTTGAGTGCATCTCTGGATTTTTGACCAATTTTATTGCACTCTGGTTGTCAACATGAATTATTGTTGGGGACTCTTGTGGGAATCCTAATTCTTCTAGAAATCGTCGTAACCAAACGGCTTCACGCGCTCCAGAAGCGAGAGAAATATATTCACTTTCCATTGATGACATTGAGACAATGGGTTGCTTTTGGCTTGACCATGAAATAACGCTGTCATTTAGCATGAAGACAAAACCTGTTGTAGATTTTCTATCCATCTTGTCGGAAGCATAATCTGCATCTGTATATCCCCTGAGAATCATATCCTCACACGGTTTGTATTTGATTCCGAGTTCCTCGGTGCCTTTTAAATAGCGGAGGACTTGCTTTGCAGCTTTCCAGTGAGTTTCGTCGTATGCGTGCATAAACTGAGACAGGCGGGACACTGCATATGAGATGTCAGGGCGTGTGCACTTGGCTAGGTAAATTAATGATCCAACGAGCTGTCGATACGGAAGGGTCTCGTTTATTGTTGCGGCTGGGACGAGTTCTCCTGCATGAGGTTGCATCGGCACATTCGTCGGGTTGCACTCCAGCATATTGTACTTTTCAAGCAGGTTACGGATGTAAAAAGGTTGTGACAAAAGTAAACCATCATTTCCATCTCTGATTATTTGCATCCCAACATAGGCTGTGGGTCAACTTGATCAGGCTGTGGGTCCTCGGGATCGTATTTCTCCTCGTCCGTCCATTCTGCATCATCTTGTGCATCATCTTGTGCATCATCTTTTGCATTATCTTTTTCAGATTTGGATTCATCAGGTTCATCTCTTTCTTCTTCGCCATGTATCATTACTGTCGGTTCAAAAGCTTCTTCGTGGAAAGATACATTTCTTGCCTCAACCACTTGTCCGGACTCAGGGTCGTAAAGACGATATTTCTTGCTCTCTGATGCGTACCCACACAGGATAAGTCGCTCTCCCTTTGCTCCCCAGACCGTCCTTTTCTGGGCTGGTATATGTGCAAATGCTACGCTACCAAAGACTCTCAAATGACGGAGTGAAGGTTTCTTGCCAAATATTGCTTCAAATGCGGTTATATTTGGACTTTGCTTGTCCAGTATTCGGTTGTGGACGTAGACGGTGGTGGCAACGGCTTCAGCCCATAAAGATTCGGGTAATTTAGCTGCCAGCAGAATAGTTCGAGCACAGTCTTTTAAAGTTCTTATTTCACGTTCGGACCTCCCATTCATTTCTGGATTGTAGCTGACGGTTGTTTCATGAATTATTCCCCGGTCTCTGAAGTAAGATGCCAAAGTAGAATTACAGAATTCTCCACCATTGTCTGAACGGCATATCTTGACCTTTCTTCCTGTTTGATTTTCCATAAATTCAATGTAGCATTTGATACGATCCTTGGCTTCGTCTTTGCTCTTGAGAAAATATAGTGCGGAAGCCAGTAGCATCGTCTTTCAAGAGTAAGAAATATTGAGCTCCTCCCAGGGATGCAACAGGCATTTTTCCGGCTAAGTCCATATGGACCATTTCTCCTGGTTTTATCGTTGCATTTCTTGTTGCGGCTGGAAATGGCTTTCGAGATTGCTTCCCAATCTCACAGTCTTCACACATAATTTTATGTGACACGGCCTCCAGGTCAATTCCACGAACTGCGTCTTTCTTGATGGAGTCCACCACATAGTTCATATTAATGTGTGTCAAGCGTTGATGCCATAGTTTAGCATTAGTCACGGGATGCATGTATGCAGCAATAATTTGTGAAGTGGGACGAAACTTCATGACATACATATCATTCTTGAACTCGGCAATTGGCCCCTTAAACCGTCCATCCTGATAAAATGTTGCTCCATTCTTGTCACGGACGATGGAGTACCCTTTCTTAGCCATTGATCCCTCAGAAAAAAGGTTGACAGCCCCTTGTATGTACAACACGTTATCTATGGTACATTCCTCCCATATGCCGTTGATGTAAGCGTCAAGTGTCACTGTCCCTTTTCCTAGTGCTTGTGTAGCCCTTTTGTCCGTTAGGAAGACTGACTTGGGAGTGTCAAACTCTTCATATCTTGTAAACCATGCCTTATCTCCACAGACATGCTGGTTAGCTCCAGAATCGCTTAGCCACACTTGTTCAGTCACGGGTGCTTGCATGGGGGTTTGTATTGCATTTAGCATGAACGCTTTCCCAGGGCTTCTATTGGCTTGTGCGGGATTATCTGAAGGTTTATTGCTCTGATTTTGTGGATTACTCCTGCATTCCCTTTTCCAGTGGCCCTTTTTCCCACACCCATGGCAGGTTGTTGCCTTTTTCAACTCTTCAATGCTCTGTTTCTTCTTGCCTTTCTTCTGGTCATGGGTCAAGAATGCCTTTGCTGCATCTTGATTGGTTGCTGCTGGTTTGGATTCCTTCCTCTCCAACTCCTCCTTCTTCAGACGGGCAAGTAGCATTATCATGCTCTGGTCCTTATCCGGAACGCTGTCCCATGCCTTTTTGAAGGCATTATACTCCTCGTCGGGGAGACTTGAGACAATCTTTGTGACAATGGATGCTTCAGGCATGACGACTCCCATTTCATTTAGTCTTCTGCCCAGCTCTGCCACCTCTGCAAATGCTTCAATCAATGACTGACTCTTGCCAATTTTGTAATTGAAGAATCTAGCCATGGTATGTTGCTTGTTAAGCGAGCTTGAATCTGAATTGATGCTTTTCAGCATGCAATAAATTTTATTTTATACACCTTGTTAAATAGAAAATAAATCCGCCATCCGGGTCATACTTCAGCGTGATCAAATCTGTCATGAGTCTAGGTTGAGTTTTGTCGATGAGGTTGTCTATGGTGTATGTAAGTTCATAAGAAACGAGTAAATATAAATTTGGAAAAATATAATTGCTGATAGAATTTTGTCTCACAAATATACAAATTTGGTTTCCAGATTGATTTGAGATACTCTGGATTATTAATTGTAATTAAATTCTTGGCTTTTTCTCCATGTTTTCCATCCTTAATAAATTGTATGACTTCTTCTTCAGTCATATTTCTTCGATGGGCCAAAATCTTCCAGTCCGTCCAACCCAGAGTGATTTCCATGTCTAGCGTTATTTCCTACATAAATACGTAATACCCATTTCGCAGTCAATATTACTAACAATACGATGACGCCAGCGGTCTCGCTCCGATTTTGACGAAACGACGATAATTATGTAGCCTTAGATAAATAATTAGACACGTGCTTCAGGATTTTTCATAATGCTCAGTTTAAACAAAATTATGACGAAATCCGTGAGCGAGAATTTCCATTATCACGGTGACATTTTTCTCGCAAGGGAGAAAAATACAGATTCTCCATTACGAATTCCATTGATCATAATTTCGTTTAAGCTGAAAATTTGTGGGCACGAAGTTGTTTTCTACGATTTTCGTTTGTTGCCTTTTTCAACAATTTCAACAATTTTCAAAATTTTCAAACATTTTCAAAATTTTCAGAAATTTTCAAAAATTATCAAAATTTCAAAATTTGTGCAAACAATATAAAATCGGAAAAATCACTGCCCACGCATTTTAAGCTTAAACGAAATTATGATGGAATTCGTGTAATGGAGAATCTATATTTTTCTCCCTTGCGAGAAAAATGTCACCGTTGACCGTGAAAATGGGAATTCTCGCTCACGGATTTCGTCATAATTTTGTTTAAACTGAGCATTATGAAAAATCCTGAAACACGTGTCTAATTATTTATCTAAGGCTACATAATTATCGTCGTTTCGTCAAAATCGGGGCGAGACCGCTGGCGTCATTGCATTGTAAATGCTATGAATGGCACAGCATAAGAATAATACAGTGGCATCAAGATAACCTTACCCCGCCGAATCTCAAGGCCATGCGCGCACAACGACAGGCTCGATCCCGCACAAATCGCCTAAAAAATAGAGTCTCGTTTTTACACTCTAGTGACCTTAATAGTTGACCTTTTGAGGTCAAACTTGGCACACACATTGCCAATCATATTCCCCAGGGTGGTTCTCAAGGATTTTGACCTAGGTCCCTTGAGTGACCTTCCAGAAAATACCAAACTTTTTACATAATATTTGGTTTTTACACTCTGGTGACCGTAATACTTGACCTTTTGAGGTCAAACTTGGCACACACATTGCCAATCATATTCTCCAGGGTGGTTTTCAAGGATTTTGACCTAGGTCCCTTGAGTGACCTTCCAGAAAATACCAAACTTTTTACATAATATTTGGTTTTTACACTCTGGTGACCGTAATACGTGACCTTTTGAGGTCTTATTTGGCACAACCACTCAAAACCATATTCCCCAGGGTGGTTCTCAAGGATTTTGACCTAGGTGACCAGCGTGACCTACCAGAAATCACCAAACGTTTTGCATAATATTTGGTTTCTACACTCTAATAACCGTACTTTTTGACCTCTTGAGGTCTTATTTGGCACACGGACTCGCAACCATATTCCATAGGGCGGTCTTCAAGGAGTTTGAGCTAGGTGACTTCAGTGACCCCACAGAGGTCATTCACGTTTTACGACATCTGCGGGGTCACTGAAGTGACCTAGGTCAAAGTTCTTGTAATCTACCCTGGGGAATATGATAAGTAGTGCAGAGTTTGAATTCAAAAGGTCGTAAAGTAAGGTGACTATAGTGCAAAAACGATCCAACGTCATAAAACTTGAATGACCTCTGTGGGGTCACTGTTGTCACCTAGGTCAAAATCCTTGAAAACCACCCTGGGGAATATGGCTGTGAGTGTGTGTGCCAAGTTTGACCTCAATAAGTCAAATATTAAGGTCACTAGAGTGTAAAAACCAAATATTATGCAACAAGTTTGGTAATTTCTGGAAGGTCACTTAGGTGACCTAGGTCAAAATCCTTGAGAACCACCCTGGGGAATATGGTTGTGAGTGTGTGTGCCAAGTTTGACCTCAAGAGGTCAAGTATTACGGTCACTAGAGTGAAAACGAGACCCTGTTTTTTAGGCGATTTGGGCGGGATCGAGCCTGTCGTTGTGCGCGCATGACCTTGAGATTCGGCGGGGTAAGGTTATCTTGATGCCACTGTAATGCAGCCATGTCACCTCTTTCACTTCATCAATCTCACGAATCGACTCCACCCTAGCTTTCATGGTAACGTTTATACCCACGGAGCGTTCCTTTTCTCCAATTACTGCAACCAACCAATCACACTCGTGCGTCAATATTCTCAAGTGTTGAAGAATGCTTGAAAGGTGTCCTTACATGGTGGAAATGGGATATCAAAAAAATTGTGTCCTGGAGGAAGGCGAAGAACTTCCTTTTTGCATCCATCCGCAGCCGAGCAAACTTTAACATCTCGTTTTGATCTCGAGGAGTGTTCAGTTTCGTCTGGGTAATTTTTTCCCACTCCGAACACCCCATCCGACCCTGGAGGGTAATATTCAGAGGTTTCTTCCAGTTTCAGTTCATATTCAGCCCGTCTTCTTTTCGACTCACAAACACTGAGTTTAAAATACATACATAAATCTTAAATATCGTGAAAAATATGTTTTCAAGTTGTAATCAATCCTGAAATGAATTTGATCTCACCCTGTAAATGTCAGTATGACAACAATTAACACAAATACTTTCATTATTATTTATTACATTTGTATCACAATCTGTTTACTAGAAAGTCTACACGTTCTCTCTGTCTACTAATCTCTGAACTCTCCTCTAACCAAGTTGGAATATCTCTACCTGAAAAATTCAAAGTTTGACTCAGAATTGTGGCATATAATCAAGTTTTGCAACTCTGTGGATCAATTTTTATTTTATGTCTATAATTTCAAGCAAAATGAAGGTCATGAATAAAAAGAAATGACGAGAAGGGGATGCTATATGCATACATTCGCCATGCAATCAAGAACACAAATTAGACAAACTTTGGCATTTGGTTACGATGAATATTGCCTTCCAGACATCAACGCAGTTCCAACTTGTAAAGAAATGAATGATTTACAACAGTTCCAATTTATGACCACAAGAGGAATTAACACACACATGCATGAGCACACATAATATCCCTAAGTTTTCAAAGTTGGAAAAACTCGTTTTCATGTAGTCAGGTAGACACGAGTTTTGTGCCTAAATATGTAGTTAACAAAGGTTCATCCATCAGGGAGTCGGCATCCATTCTTGCATATTCTAAATATTCCTTATTGAGATAAATTATCATAAATAGCACATTAACTGTTAAACACACACGACAAACATGATAACATTTAGTTTTTGCAAGTATTTATCTATGACGAAAACCTGATCGAAACAAATCTTATACTTTGGGCAAATTCATTCTTAAGAAATATAATTCAATGCAGGTAATTACGAGTCCAGCATGCTTAGGGAAAAGGAAAATATATCCAACTTCAACGTTAAAAATACGTACCTACGGCAAAATACTATAGTTTGGCTAATTGCTAAAAGAACATGTATTTATCTCTTGATCAATTTTATACTGGAATTAGTGTTTAAGAAATCTAAATATGTACATACATAAACTATCCCAATTTTTTAATGAGCTCCAAGGTGGTTAATTTCGAACTCCATAAAATCGATGATTTCTATGAAATAAACTTTGCTTCACAAAAAATGAATATAATTAGTTGTGTTGTTTTGAGCAGGACAAACCTTGCAAATACTTGTTATCTACTCTAATGAAGTTGAGCTTTGAGCTAGATATGCTTAGACATTTATTCTGTGTATAGACATTTACAAAGACACATCGCCAAAGAATTTCCCAATAAAATGACCAGCAAAAACTTGACTAGATCCTCTGCAAAATAAGAACTGAACAACATTCAGGTCATATTCGTCACTTATTATTGTTATTGTTAGTATGAGTATTGTTGTATGAAATATTCGTGATAAAGCCAAAATTTCATTCGATTAGTTAAAAAATACCACTTATGCCTCCACCCTGTCGGCCTTCTCCGAAAAAGAGGGCTGAACAGTCATTATGGACCTAACCATTAGTCGATCCTAAGATCAATTTGAGCCCGTCGCATGCTCAGAAGAGCTTCGTCTCAAGTTTAAAAGAAAAAGCTTCCTCGTGGTTTGTTCCTTCGCCTTTGTTGGGTAGGGTTTGAGCAATCAGACTAAAGAAATGATGCTTGGAAGTATGATCTCAAATTGTCCATTCAGACTTGAACCTGGCCCACTCCATGACCCACGAAATACATATTAATTATTATGCACATCTGATAAACTCTCGCAGAGAGAGATTTCAAACAGCGTTGTGACAAGTTTTATGCTAAGCATTGATTATGCAGAAAAATGTTACAAATTTTGAAATGTTTACAGATTTCTGGAATTGGGGACCGTTCATAAACTACGTAACGCCAAATTCGGAATTTCTGTACTCACTCTCGCAATTATATACGAGTAACGGAATATGTTGCGTGTAATATAATATCACTATCGTTTATCTTACATCATTAGAGCTTTACCCCTTTTGGTTTAATTTATAAACGGCCTTTAAAATGAGCTGTTGTAGCAGCTCCAATGGACATAATTTAATTCATGCTCTCTTTTTGCTTCAATAATATTAATACAGTGCAAGCTACTGAGTTAATTTTTATCAATTTGTCCAATACCATTTTGCTAATAACTGTATGCACATAAACTATTTGTCAACATGCATATTCAATTATCGTTTAGATTCAGAGTAATCTGTAGTTGTGCCATGCAAATTTATTCAAACTCAATTTGTTTGTCTAGGGTCTTATCAAAAATTGTTTTTATTTGCATGCAAAAATATTTATGTAAACTGTCCTGGAACGGTTTATGTATCCTCATTTTTGCTTTATCCAGTGTGGGTGTCATATCCAGATCCTGAAATTAATAGTTTTAGGAAATATCAATCGATTCATTACAAAATTTTCGGAAGATACATACATAATTATATGCAAATTATAATTATTTATATGCATACAAATTGCATATCAGTGCAAATAAACAATTTCGTACCATACTGCCCGTAGCCATTGTGCCCTCGGTATCCCTCCCTAAATCCATACCCATACGATCTACCTCCCGGGTACCGTCCACCTTGCGCAATAAGTGGCACACCCTCCACCACCCCCAGAATCACTGCAAGCAACCCCACCATGATGACACATCCTAAGTAGTAGTGACTTGTTATCATTCTTGTGTTTTTTCTTTGTGAACTGCTAAAACTTATTGCGACAAGATTTGAACCACAACTAAGCTCTGATAGTGTCTGCTCTTGAGTTAAATAATAAAAGTGTGGCTTGGGTAAGAAATTAGAATCCTTGTGCAAAACGACTGATGGCATGATGACTCGAGGGATTTTTATTATTTAACAAATCCCAGATTGTGACATGGCAGTAGCACGGATGAACGAAAATGCTTTATTGTAAGTACATAAGGTGAGTGAATTGAAGCTCTCGTATTTATTACCATAAACATCATCAGCATCATGAGTGGGTGCAACCATTAGTGCGAGTAATCGACTTGCATTTAATACCGATAAACCAAATTCTTCAAATTGGTTTTGGTTTGCGAAACTGATTGCTGTTGAATGGCATGGCATAACCTCAGCAGCCAGATCTTTTCTTTTACAACCTCGCTGAAGTTGGAGATTGTCACTTTATTTCCTATAACATTTATTGGGGATTTTATGCTATAACGCTAACCACTAGCATTAAACTCGAGTATAGTCAGTCATGAAGATTTGATGAGATTTAGCAAAGGATTTGGTCCAAGTGTAACCGCAAAATGGGCACGATTACCATTATCTTCTGATAGTCTTCGTGTTTTAATTGCTAAAAGATGTTAGATAAAAGCTACTGTGCAACGTGTGGCATTTCTCAATTCAAGTCACAGTTGCATAGGTACACAGGTAAACATAAATTAAATATTATACGCTGCCTACATACATAGATACGTATATTGTGTCGTTAAACATGAAACATGTTTCATACTATGCATTGCAGTCTTGGTTTTGGTTTCCATGTTTTAATTTGCAGGACGTAATTGAATCTGAAACAATGCGTTTTTCACGTTGCATATTATGAATAATTATGCATTCACTGCAATGTAATATTTCACCCATTGTCATTTTCTCATTGACAAATTCTTAAAACTGCACATGCCACACTGCACTATCGAGTATGTAGTTTTACACTACTGGACGCCGTCATTTCCTATACATACTAATAACAATGGTAATAAATATCCACATGCATACACATATTTATTAATGCTAATTTCATTAACGCAAGTTTCTATAACCGTAATAGGACAATTAGCTAAATTCTACAAAGATTTCTTCAAATTCAAGCTATGAAATGTCTAGGTTATCAAAACGGTTATTTCATACGGCAAGGCCTTTAGGTGCAATCTTTAATCCTTTAAATTCTAGTCACTAAATAAGTACATGTAAACATTCTGCCTTTCTATTTTTCCCTTGAGCGATGAATATTTTGTTTGTTATTGATTGTTGAAAAAATACCTAGAGGTATACCTACCTAGGTATACCTAACTATGTATACCTACCTAGGTATACATAGAGTTTGAAACTTCTACAAGGATACTTTTAATAATTTAAATGCATACATATAATGAAATCATTTAACTCTATTAGGATTTTTTATTTGCCCGAGGTATTTTGTTATCATTTTTTGAAAAACCACTTTGAATATTTTTTTTATTAAAAACATTAAATTAATTCGATAAGACTTACGAATGAATGACACTTATTCTTCACTGACAATGCACATGTCAGACATGTTTCGCACGGATCTTGTTGAAACCAGCGCTAAAATATCAATGAACTAAACACAAACAATAGTTAGTATGACATTTGAGCACTTCTGCAGAATTCGTGAAATGGCGAAGGTTTTAAGTTGGAGAACACGCGTATTTTCACCATGCGAAACTATACGGCCGCTTTCCGATTTTCCCCTGCGCTTCTCTTCGCCAGGTCATCCGTTTTCACTCAAAATTGAATTAATTAATTTCCTAACCAAGTTCTCATCCGATTTTTTATATTTGGATTTGACACAATTTTTGAACCTTTTTAATATTTAACATAAAAATTAAGTTGCTATCATTGGAATTTTTTAAGAATTTGTTGAGATTTCAGAATAGTGGATTCGATTTTCCTTTTTTCACATTGCATATTTATATTTGTAAACTTATTTATATATTAGACCATAAAAAACCAAATATACCTAGTTCCCTATGTGTGATAAGGGCTAACATTACACAAAGTCATAAGATTTTTGTCATCAAAATCTTTAAAGCACGCCAAGGGAATAAATAGAAACATCGAATGTATTATTCTGAAACAATTTTGAAAAATAATATCCACTTATAAGTTAGTTGAATCCATTTTAAATATTAAAAAGTGCTCAAAAATTATGTAAAGTCCAAATATAAAAAATCGGATGAGAACTTGGTTAGGAAATTAATTAATTCAATTTTGAGCGAAAACGGATGACCTCGCGAAGAGAAGCGCAGGAGAAAAGCGGAGAGGTGAACTCCATATAGTTTCGCATGGTGAAAATACGCATTTTCGCCAACTTAAAACGTTCGCCATTTCGCGAATTCTGCAGAAGTGCTCAAATTTCATACTAACTATTGTTTGTGTTTAGTTCCTTGAGATTTTAGTGCTAGTTTCAACAAGATCCGTGCGAAACATGTCTGACATGTGCATTGTGAGTGGCACCTGTCTGCTGTATACAATTAACCAATCAATTACGACCACTTGACAAAATTACTCCTTGCACTTCAGTAATGCTTATTCTTAAACTTGAACCTTGCATGTTCTAGCACTATTTTTTTTCTATATATTGACCGTAATCATGAATATGCCATCATTACATCGCATTTTTAGAGCGAAAATTATATTATTGTAAAATTTATAATCCACAACTCATAGCCATTGTAAAGTTGTAATGACTCAACTTGGACCTAGTCAAGTAGGCCTAGTTTGGGATGTAGGTCCCAGTTATCAGTTGGGCGTTAATAATATGGAGGTTTCCAATTTTGACAAAAACATACAGTCGATAAATCGAGGATTTTCCAACTTTTTCAAAACATTTGCAAAAATATCCTTCCATTATGGCTTCCTCCCGTGGAAAATCGAAGAATCTAGAAATTCCAAAAATAGTAGTGTGAAAGAATACGCAGCAAATGGTTCCAAATTCCGAAATGTATAGAAATCTAATCTACTTATATATTTACTAAATAATATCGAAAATTTAAATCATCAAACTACCTAAATTTAGGGATTATCCGGCATCATTTGGTCCCTTACAATATTAAAATTCGGAGGGGCTCTTCTTCTTGATGCGTCCCAAAAATTCGGAGCAAATCCCGTAAACTATTTGTACCTCTTGAGAAGTTTTGGAGCTTGTTGGAACTATGTAACTCTCTACTATTTCATGTTTTTCAAATTTCCTATCGCGCTACCTCAAATAGTTCAACATTGCTACACCATGGAAAACAAGATCCAGTGGAAATTGCATGGAAAACTCAAAATGGTAACAATATATTTATGTACGCTCTTTTTGAATACGTAGTCTAATGTCAAAAGTGTCAAAAAAGTTGTTAACTAAACCGCAGTTTTGCTCGCCACGAGTCATTACTTTCTTGCTACTAACATACATGGCTGGATTCTGCATCGACTTTTTGTTTGTCAGTTTTCCAGAGACAAGAGTGCAATTTTTTTATACCCAATTTTATCAAAATGTGAGGCTATACTTGACGTATGAAGGGATAACGCCTTCAAGCTCAGAAATTCTCCAAAATCCAAATAGAATAACATTATTATGGAACAGTAAAGTCGTAGACATTTCACTTGGATTAGTCGACATCTTCAGCACGTATTGTCACATTTTGGTGGCGTATTGTGGGGATATGCTCATCCTTATGGCTGCCGTAACACTGTGGGTCCCATGTCGCCACTTTAATAGAGTCATTCAACAAGACATGGTATGCAAATATGGCTGAATTTTTTTACTTCAATTATTTTACCCCTTTTGAACTGCATTTTCATAATTAATTGCAGGATTCTGCGTCAAATTCGTTAAAAACTCTAGACATTTTGGAAATGCACGAAGATCTTAAAATCCTGTCACAGCATTTGAACTCTGCATTCTCTGCAGTGTTACTTTCGTTTTTAGCAGATTGTTTATTTTACTATTCGACTCACCTCATGGACATTTTGTTAGATCAGCCCGTCCTCTCAAAAGCATTTCTTGTTGTTTCAGTCGCTATTATAGGATTGTGCATGCTCTTAGCAGCAGATGGATTTGAAAATGTCAACGTGATGAGCAGGTGACAATGACAAAATTTCTTTGAGCAAAAGTTTTATGAGTTTGATCACTGCTTTTGAAATTTCTTTCAAAAGATGGCTGGCGAAACCAAGAGTTCAAAAAGAATTGGAATCTGAACCACTTCGCTTCACAAGTTTGACACAGGAACTTGCGTCGTCTCATCTGGTAGGGTTGAGAGGGGGGAACATGTTTACGATTAATTTCAGCTTCATTTTTTCGGTATGTTCGACGTTCTGTTGAATAGTATGGTCATGGAATAAAGGGTTCTATTTACATACATATGTACATGAATCACATTAAATTTTGCAGATGCTGAACACAATTCTTACCATCTTTGTTTTATGTGTACAATTTCAGTTCACGGAAAATAAACTTAATTGTGTTTAAAAACGAAGTCGAGAATATAAGTTTGACATATCTGTAAATACAAAAATTACTATTATAAATGCACAAGGTGCTTATCCAGTTGAAATAAAAGCACGTGCGAGATTCCATGAACACTGTAGATCAAATAACTCCATATTATGTATTAGCTCGAGTCGTGTTTAAAATCCTAAGCTAAGTAAATATGTGCACAGTTGACCTTATCTTGCAAACCGAAATTTAAGGTGCATAGCAACTGTTAAACAAATATTTAAAGGAGTTTTGTCGGAATACTTGGGTGTGTCGTTTGATAAAGCAATTTATTCGAGCTTCCGATGCTAAACTTGCATCATCATCAGGATTTTTAACTGCATTTTAAACAAATATTTTATTTATTTCTTGGCACCTTACAACACATGCAAATAAAATCGATAAGTTGTTATTCTGAATTGTTTATGTATGCAAATCAGCCTGAGTATCTATTAAAATAGGGAAAACATGAAAAACATGATTTGTTCAAAGTGCATAATGCATATGTGATATGTACATATCCTAGAAAAAAATTCGAAAATTCTTGGAATGTATGTTTCTGTTAATCGAAAAAGTATGTACCTTGCATTTACCCTGTAAAAAATGCTTATGTAAACATTATGCATGCATTAGCGTTGACAAGTTTAAATTATATAATTGAAATTTGGTACAACGAACGACAACTCACGTCCCTGGACTTTCCGCTCATTTACTTATTTGAAATTATTTGTTACAACTAAACTACATACATAAGCTACTTATGATTCGTTGACCTTAAAGCTCCAGCCAGAGCGGTATAAATTTGCTCATTTTCTGCGTTCTTCATAGTTTAATTATTTACGACGGTCCATTGTTCACTTATTCATACATATGTACATATATTCAGCAACAGGATGCTTAGCATACATATATTTTATTTCATCCGGTCTTATTGTTCTTTAGGAAGAATATTTTCTCATAATTACATAATAGTCTACGCACGTATTTTTTCTTTATATTTGGCAAAAATTGAGGTTGTTCGCCCACTGTCTCCTCAGTCTTGAAGTCACACAAACACAAGAAAAGGGACCCTGTAAAAGGTTGAATCTATTCGACATAAGAATGGAACGTGCTACCGCTTCTTTCGCCCTGGTTCTGGTCTTAACCACCTTGTTGCCATGTTTCGTGAATTCCGCACCGGTAATTAAGCGATTACTCTTTTCTCAATTTATTGCATATTGACTAGCGTGGTCTTTTCTGCGATCAGCAAATTCCACCACTTCCTGTTCCTGGAGCCCCAGCAATTCCCGCCACCCCTGCACTTCAGGTTCCAGGGGCCCCAGCACTTCCTGCCGCTCCTGCACTTCCGATTCCAGGGGCGCCCGCTCTTCCAAACCCCATGGATCCAAGTGGAGCTGTTAAACAAGGGACAACTCTGGCAAATAACGGGAAGGCCGTTGTCCCTGTTGCTGGATCGGCAATTCCAAGCGTCCCAGCTGCACCACTTCCAATTCCAGGTCGCTAATAAACGAGAGATGTAATCAATATTTGAATGAGCAAATAATATCGGTAACAACCAGATGAAAATAAAGACGTAGGTATTTCATGCACGAGGTTACATTGTGTGGGTCCCAAATGTAGAGAATTCATTTCACAATCAAGTTTACTATATATGCATATTCTCCACAGTTACATATGTATAAACTTTGTAATATTGAATTAGTGCAATTACATAATTGCATGCACAAAATCATATTCATCGAAGGAGACTAATCTAACGGCATTAAACGTGTTCAATTAAGCAGAGAAATAGCCAGTAATTCACACTTAATCATATAAATATATACATAACTCGAACAAATTGGGAATTGAGACTATGATTCTGAAGTTCTTCATCTATTCTATCTTAATCAACCGATATGAGTTTACGGAAGGTAATTATGTATATATCTATACCTAAGTTAAATACTCAATTATATATGATTTGTAGAATATTTTCCATGACGTTTTGGAACGCTGTCCACGCTGTCAAAATGAGCAGGAAATTGTCATGGCTTTGACATTTTGTACATACATATTTATATAATATTCGTGTCGTGATGGGAAATAACGGTTCTGGATATTGCTCAAAATAGCATTAATTCTGAAGGGATAAATTTATTATGTATGATTTGTGGACCATTAAATAAATAATTAGATTCTTGTACTGACGTTAATATTAAATACTTATGTAGGTACACGAATTCAGAAGCTTCAAGGCAAGGCAATTTCACCGATTATGGGGATAATTAATTAGATTTATACTTTCTCGGAATTGCGCAAATCATGAAATTGATTTTGATTCCGACCAGCACTTAAACACAAACTGGCACCCAACGTCGAAGTAACAGAAAGGCTGATAATTATACCAAAGCTACATATTTATGCATATATATTTCTTACGATTGCCACTCAATTTTTACTTGTAATTCTGTAGGTAATGTATTCTACTCAATTTTTAACATTTCTGAGACATCATTTCCGAATTTGCAAATGGTTGCGATGTACTCCATTCACCTACAATTCGCAAACTGGAAAGCTTGTTCAAGTAAAAAATTTCAGCCACCTCAAGCAATTTAAATTGCAATGCGTATTATCAATTTGTTACTGCCTCGCAATGATTTCGAATCTTTGCTTTGGAACGCTAACAATTGCCGATAAATTTCAAGGACTAGTGTTTTTCCTGATGTATCTCACCGTGGCCGTGATGCGATGGAATTTTAACTTGGACATTTCAGGGATGCAGATTGTAAATTCATTCATAGATTTTGAATCTCATATTTTACAAGGTAACTAATTCAATCATTTAGCCTGGCATGACAGGAAATTTTTATTCCACATAGTAGATAATTTATAATTCTTAATTAATGAACTATTATAAAAGGGAACATCGTCAAGGACATTTACGCCCCCTCTCTTGAAGCCAAAGCAATGATAGCATTTCTCTACGTGGGCGAAATATCACTTGCAGTAATCCCAATATTTCAACTTATGCTGACCATGTTTCGCCCGTGCACCCTGCCATTCATCATGTCAATGTTTCCGGATTGTCGGGTGTTAATGCGACAGGGGAAATGGTTAGCTAGTTTCTATTTCCGAGCACTTGTTTCCATTTTTGAAGCTTGGATGAGCTGGCACATGTTGTACTCTGGAGCGGCTTGGATGTTCTTTGGCCTTTTCACGGGTGTCATCTGTATGCTGAACTACTTGCAAATCGTAACTAGGTAAAGGACATTAATTACCTTCAGCTTGTTCAATTCTGATAAATTCCTTCTTTCTGGTTCAGAAAAATCAACAAAATCGCCACGATTCCAGACAAGGACACATGTTTCCACCTGTTTCGTGGGGTTTGCGTTCTCGAAAAATCCCTAAATGCCTTCCTCATGAATAGCATCGTCCCAATTATAATGATATGCATGCCAGCCGTTGAGGTTGTCGCTCAATTTGTATGCATTCAATTGCATGACAAAATACCCATGCCTGGATTTCTAGTGTTCCCAATGATGGGAGTTGATGCTCTCATTGTAAATGTGCTTGTGTTTACGCTAGCTTCGTGGATCAACACGAGGTCTGAGGATATCCTAATTCAGTTTGGTAAAAGATTAAACACTATGAAGTTGTCGTCCATGGAGCAAAAGATTGTCAAAAAGGCAATTAAAAGTTGTCTGACGATGAGTATAAAATTCGGTTCGAACTTTATTGATAGAGCAACTCCCCTCGTTATTCAACATTTCTGCATAAATCAAGCTGTGTCATTAATTCTAATCAAATCACGATATGATATTTAAAATCTTGGAATATTTCAAAATTTCATCTCGATAACCTAAACAATTTATAAAATTATAAAATACTGTAGATATTGATGCCTACGGTATGTCGTATGTATGTGTAATAAATGCTTGTGTATGTATGTAGTATACATATACCAATGTATTTATATTTGTGCATATAATGTCGATGTAAGTACTTTGTATGGTTCAACATGTATACTTAATTTTATGAGAAATACTTATTAGTAATAAGCATTTCTAATAAAATTTAAATATGAGTAATAAGTTATTACTCATATTTAAATTCACAGGCTTTTGTCATGATACAATGGCGCACTTCATTTTCTAATCCTAAGTAAAATCCCAATATTGAAAACTCCACCCAACACATACAACGTAAGCCACAAAAGAGCTTGCAAACTTCCATGAGTTTTAACGTGAGACTCGTGTCGTCACTACCGACGTCATAACAATGACGTCATAACCCTACATTTTCAATTATTTCTCAGCTACCAGAAGGAATTTTGGAATTCTTTCTACGGCTATTTTAGATAATTCCGTTGTGGTCATACTCGACGAAGAAGTTCAATATTTCGGTCGTTTTTGAAAGCTGAGGTACAAAAAGTATGTAAAAAGCATAAGACCAAACGTTATATTAAATTTGTACCTCAGCAAAATTGGCCCATCGAAATTGCAAATTTTCAAAAGAATCTTATTAATCAGCTAATTATCTACAATAGCGGTAGAAAGAATTTCAAAATTCAATTTCAAAGTCTCAGAAAATAGTTTTAAAAATTGAAAAAATTGAAATAACTGGTGTAACCCAGACTTGTTGTGCATGGTGAAAAGATTTCGCGCCATATTTTTCCTGTGAGATTTTTTTGAGACAACTACGTCATCGAAAGGGAGCTTAAGCGGATTGGTAATTTTCCCCTTTCCAACAATTTAGTTTTAGTCAACTGTCTTCTCATTATTTAATTTGGACTTTGAAAAGCTACACCCAACGTGCTATATGGAACGAGAACTTGAAATAAGTACTTTCCACTTTTACATATTCAATATCAATATACAGAATTGCATGCTGTCAAAAACCTAAATGCGTTTTAAATTAAAAAAATAAAGCTTGATCTTTACAATTATGATGCCATCATTGCCGTATTTTGTTAAACATTTATTTTGGAATTCCAATGGGGTGAATAAATGCATATAATAATGGAACAGGCTATGGTATTTTGACATCTATGCATGTAATCTTGAATTCATACACATCGTTTTTGACTGATGTACATTCGAATGTTTCTTATCTGGGTCAATAAACAGACATTTGAGATTTTACTTAAAGATGATGGATATTATTGTCTGAAACCTAATTTATTTTAATATCAACCAGTTTGTGACATGATTGAGGAAAATAACAGCCTGCCATTTTTTAGATACAGTTCCTGCAGTGCTTTGAATTAATTTACAAATTCTGAGGGCATAATCTTAAAGACAATAAGATGAAAACTTTGCAAAAACTCTTCCTAACTTGTTTATTAACTATGACCGCATTGATTTGTATAAATATAAATTCAATAATTAGTGACAACTTAGCAGGTGACGATTTTGGTGACGATAGTTCCGCCTCACTTTTTCGGGTTAGAGAATCCAATCCTAACTTAACCACAAACATTATCACCGTTGGTACTCCAATCATTCCATCTAAGGATCCTGTGGGTAGAAAGAAAGCGGAAACCATTGAGAGGGTCAAGGCATTTATCATGTCAGAATTACCAGGTATTTGTTTACTTACAAAAATCATACATTTGTCACAATTTCATTAAATCCACTGTTCAAATTCCCAGATGTACATATAAAATATTTCATAATTCCAGACTATATTCCAAGACATGCAAAACCGAAGCGTAATTTTATTATCTCGACTTGGAGATCTGGATCTAGTTTTCTTGGAGAAATGATTGCAACGCATCCAGGGACAATTTTCTTTTACGAACCTTTCATGTTCATGAAGAGTCAGAGGGTATAGCAAACAGTTTCTATTTAACTAATGCATTGATAAAAATATGTAAGTCAGTTCCTTATGAGATTTTAGATACGTTCAAATGAGAATGTTACAAGAGTTATGGAAATGATTAATGCCATGTCCGAATGTAATTTTCATTACGCAGGTGAAGAAATAAATATAGAAAGCATGCGTTTACATAACGTTTGATCAATTATAAAAGACAAGTATTTCTAAAAGTGCATTTATATAGGAAAACGAAAAGTCTCAACCTTAAGGGTAGCATGACATGGGTCTGTGGCCGATTAAGTGAACATTCGAAACCCAAAAGCCCATACTTCAAACGATTCAAAACATAACCTCTGACTAAATTTGACATAAATCATACCATACCCTAGTGAGACTTTTCGTTTTTATATATAAATTTACCTTTGGAACTGATGCATTTTATAACTGGGCAAATCTTATATGGGCTAACACCTAACTCTATGTATCCTAATATTTAGCAACTTATTCCCAATTTTCCAGATTGGCTAAAGAGCAATGGCAACTTTATAAATACCATGATAAGTTGGACACCAGGTTTGAAAACCATTTGTCCAGATATTCCTGGCTCATGCAGTGATCCTGAATTTATCCACAACTTGTGTGAGCTGTTCCCGATTAAATTCATGAAGTTTGTTCGGCTACAACTTAGAAATATTGAGCCTTTATTGCGAGATGATAGGTATACCTTCATTATTACCTACAAAAATGATTGATGACATTGTCCTAAACATGTTACACATATTTTTATGCTTTTAAACAGATATGACACAAAAGTAATTTATCTTGTTCGTGACCCCAGAGGTACGTATCATTAATAGGATAAAGGCACATATATGTACACATATATTTAAACCGATGGTTTGTACAGGTACCATGAAGTCCAGAAACACGTCCGTAACTAGTCGATGGTGTTACGAACATCCAGATTGTGCAAACGTTCGATCATTGTGCACGGATTTAAAGGATGATTTCAATTGTGGCAACACTCTTCTCCTGAAAGTCAGAGCGCATTTAGTATTCATTATATATTACACACGCATCTTTTAGATTTCACTGCTCACTAAAATGTCTGACGTTGAGGAACAAGAAGATGAAATTCAATCAAATGAAGAAGAAGTCTCAGATGTGCTATTTGAACAAGATGCACTCATCATCCAAGATGATATTGACATAATTTCCGGCGGTGACGACGATGCAAATGATAACCTAGTTTTGGCTGAGGCTGATTTTGTGAGCACCATGCATTTCAATGAATAATTAATAACATACTATAATAAGAGTCATCAGTAACAGCTTACAAATCTTGGTTAAGGACGGAAAATCAGGGTTACGTGGTTTTGGGTACAACCTTTCAGCAAATGAAGATGGGTCGCTCAAATATCCTGAAGTGCATTTGGACAAGGAAATGATTAGAACTGGGTTGTCGCATATTGCTCGTACGCTGGACACCTTCGAGTTTGCTTATAGTCGATATGATGGTCGAAATAGGTGAGATACAACTCGAGTACCAACATTCTACGCGAATAATAACTTGACATGCAATCTGTCTAGGGCTCTTACAGAAATTGATATTCTGGGACAATATGTTCACCTAAGAGCTGTTGACTTGAGTGGAAGTTGTATGAAGTTCTGTCCTAAGTCTTTTCGTCCTAATATTTGAAAATGAGTTTTTTATCAATTTCCCCATTTCCGCATCGTTAAAGGGTTTGAAAATGTCTACGGAGTCCTGCCTGTATTTATCATGCAATACTGTTTTCTGAATTATACCCCCTGGTACTATATTGTTATTTAGCCACTCTAACGTAAGAGATGTACATGTTGCCTTACTAGATATAAAATTTGAAAGTGGTGTACTTAATGTAGAAATTGGTTTTGGTGATTGTGGATTTGTACAGGGGCTTGACTGTGTAATTTGACTATGTGTGCCTAAAGAAGACTGACTTGTTGGCGATGGTATGTATGATTTTAATTGGGGATCTAATTGGAGGTCTGTTTGGGGGCAGTTTGTGCAGAACCAGTCATCATCAGGAATGGTCTGCAAAAAAAGACAAGAGGTGTGATACCACAAAAGACATGAAGAACATTCTATCCACTCATCTGTTCCAGTAGATGATGGTCCTGGGCAGCCCGAAACCGGGCAGAAAAGGTCATCGAAAACGGGATTCAAACCCTCGGTGGTATGGGGGAGTGGTTGGGAGGATGTGGGAGGAGGAAGTTTTCGAGGGTCCGTCCTCTTCTTCTGCTTCTTCTTCTTTCCTGGTCCGGGATGCAGTGGTTGGGTGGGCGATGGTGGTGGTGGGGCTGGCAGAGGCGATGATGATGGTCGTGGGGCTGGCAGAGGCGATGATGATGGTCGTGGGGCTGGCAGAGGCGATGGTGAGGGTCGTGGGGCTGGCAGAGGCGATGATGTTGGTGGTGGGGCTGGCAGAGGCGATGATGTTGGTGGTGGGGCTGGCAGAGGCGATGATGTTGGTGGTGGGGCTGGCAGAGGCGATGATGATGGTCGTGGTGGAGGGGATGACGATGATGGAGCTGAGGTAGATGTTAGCGGTGGGGGAGGCCTTACATATTTCCATATCTGCAGAGTGCTGAAGAGTGGCATCGTGGTCGAAATCCGCGTCGGTTTCGTTCGGCTGGGGGTACTTTGCACAGCGAGTGGAGATCAGCAGTCCACTGACCATAGAAAAGTGGTTCGTCACTCTCTATATCCAACATTGCAAATAACGCCCCACTAATGCCACATTCCACAAATGGACATTCTGGAATATACAAGATGTCGTGAATTTAAAGTCCGGCACATTTTAAACAAACAAACCTGGCAACATATCTAGAAACAATGTCTGCCTCCCTTTGACAAAACTGCCTCATGCAGTCAATAGCTGATCTACGAAGTAATAAATTACTGCTCCGTATCGACCTCTAAAAGCGGAACAAAAAATAAAGAATTGCATATATTTGTCTTTCCTCGATAGTAATTGTTCTGTTTCGTTACTTACATATAACACAGGAATTACAACATCATATTCAAACAAGCTCAAAATCTCAAGGGGATGTATCCTGATAGACTTTTGTAAGTGGATAGCCAGGACCGAGTCACAAACTCGACGGTGTATTTATAAGTACATATACATATTTATGTACTTAAGATCTGTTTGATATTCAAAACGCACATGTGGATTAATTAAATTTCAGGATACTGAGATATGAGGAGTTGGCCACAAATGTATCCGGTGCTACAGAAAATATCATGTCGTTTCTAAATCTGAGAGTTCATCCTATTATGAAAACGTTCATCGAAAGTCACACATCTGAAGACAGAGGAGAGGAACTCGGAACTTATCGAATATCACATCAAACAGCATTTCAATGGATGGATTATTACAAAGGGGCAAGAAGATCCAGTATGTTGACCCATATTCAAAATGTTTGTAATGATGCTCTGACTATGTGGGGATACAAATTGATAAATGAAGGCATTATGGGAAACGAAAATGGTGCAAATAATAGATATGACATGATCATAAGTAAACCTCTCTTGGAATAAATTGCATAATCTTCCAAAATGAAATAGTATTATTTATTTCCTATTGTGCTTAACAGATCTTTCTTCATATAACAATCTAACCCCCCAAAAATAAACATTTTTTGTCAATTATATATCTTAAAATACAATTATATTAATTTATTTTCTATCTTGAGTCTTTGTATTTGTGAAATATTAATATTGGGTCTATTACATTTAACTATTACGTATGTCACGTCTTTTTACAGGAGGAAACATTTGTAAGTTTTCTTTCTTGGATCGTCTTCTGGCAGTAGTTGAATGAATTTACGAAATCCGAAGATAAGCGATGCCAAAATTACAATGGCGGCTCCAATCAAACTAGAAAAATTACAAAACAAATAGCACATTAGAAACATCAACCTAGTAAGTAAGTTAGTTAGTTAACCTAATTAAATATTAAACGACATAAACTTACCTCCACACATCAGGGGCCTGGTTATTGATAAAGTACTGGAGCACAAAGTTGAAAATGATGTCGCAAGTTCGGAGCTAAAAAAAATTAAAATTAAAGATTAACCACTTCAACCCTAGGAGACGAGTTTTTTCATACCTTTCACCCCTAGTAACCGCGAATTTTTACCTCCCTTGACCCCGAAATTTTTATCTACTGCATGACGTTAATTCCTGGGCCATGAATTAAAAAATGGTGTTCCCACCGGAATTATTCTGGACACTTTTTTATGAAAATTGATGTGAATAACCTTTCAAGAAGGTATTTTGAGTTGTAATTTGCATTTTTGAGTTGTGGCGAACCACCAATGTTTATAGCCGAAAATAGCCAACACGCCGAATTTTAAAAATGATTGTAATTGCATGAAAAGTTAGACAAGCATGGAGTAATACTTGCATAATAGTACGTAAACTCGCAAATATTGATTATAGCGCATAAAGTGCCTTAGGAGCCGATTTTGGGCGGGAAAACCAAAAATCCTTACAATGACTTTAAATAGACAGCAATGACAATGAATAATTATCCCGTGAGAGGAAATTGCTCGAACATAGACTATGGCGCATCTGGTGAATAGAAATCAATTTTAAGCGGGAAAATTAAATTCTACTAATTCCTGGCAATCTCTCAATTTTTAATTTTCCCGCCCAAAAGATATTTCAGCGGCACCCGATACGTAATGATTAATTTTGACGTAGTTTACCCTACCGGCAAGATTATTTGTGGTATATAATTAAATCCATGCAATGATGCAATTCATCAAACTTTTAGTTTTCTCGCCCAAAACGCCCGTTTGTGCTACATGCGAGCAAAACAATTTCTCTAATCTTATCGTAAACCGTTGTTGAAATAAATCGGTGTCGAAATTTCCTTGCAAAAAACAGTTTTCACAACTCGGCGTGTTGGCTAGATATAGCCACTTGGCTATAAATTTATTTTGCATCCATTTCTAATATTATTTCCTAAGAGACAATTTATCTTCCCACCTAAAGGGCGGGTTGTTGACTCATAACTCTTGCTTTACTTTGCTTGGAGAGGCAATGACCTAATTTTTTCCGGATACGACACATAGTCGTAGGCCGGTGTGAACGGAAAATACGCCACATAGTCGTATCCGTTGTCAAGGGTCAATACGACACATCGTCGTATTCCGGTGCCAAGGGAACTTACGCCACATGGTCGTACTCGGCGTAAAGGTCAAATACGCCACATAGTCGTTATAGGGGTGAAGTGGTTAAAGTCATTAAAGTCATAAAAAAATTAAACAAAAATTACCAGCGACACGGGACCGGCATTTTCATATTGAAGCGCAAGAACCAATAACGTTTGACCAATCATTGAGAAAACAGCAACGAATGACATCACCAGCAAGTGAGACCAGGCTCCGGGCAGGACAAAGATATCAAAAAAGTTCTTGTCCTTCATTACGCCGTACACAATGGCGACAATGATGCACTCAAGTGATCCAATATACCTGCAACAATTCCTGGTTAGTATTTCATTAAACAAGAAGTTCGGCTAGGTTACATACCCGTATCCGACCATCACCAAGCCGTAGTGAACTTTTCGAAGGTAGCGTACTGTCACAAATACACAACTCATTCCAATCATGGCGAAGAATGCAAAGGTTACTCCAATCTATGATTAAGACAAAAATTAGGTATTGCTTGTAGGGCCATTAACATACATAAATATTGAGACTATTAATTGGTTCTCACCAGAATGGTCTCGCTAAATTCACCCTGTGTGAGAAACGGTGGACGTGTAATGAACACTACACCAAACACTGCAAGAAACGCCACACCCACGCTGATAAGCCCGATTGGTTCCTTCAAGAAGATCCTCGCCAGGAAAATTGTCGCGATCGGAGTGCAGTAACAGATTGTCACCGCATCAGCTAATAATATTAATAATCCGCATGTCAAACGTATACATAATGGTAAAACTAATATTAAACATATATATTAATAAATAAATCTGTAAATTTTAAAATAAACGTCCCACCCTACCTGCGGTTAAGTATGTGAAAGCAGTAAATAGCAAGCAAGTCGCTATCGTTCCGAAAGTTGCTCGTACCTACATGAAAAAGTTGTATTTTTGCAAACGAAAGTAAGTAAGATGTTATTTTTTGTAATATTTAAAAAGATTATTTACAAAGAGGAAGAGGACATTGCTCATATTTTCTCCCGTCGGTGGCCAAATAGTATTAAAAATTGTCTGCTTTTTATAACAAACGAGGAAAAAGACGTGAAGTAGGGAAATGGTTGTCATTCCCTGGTATTTGATGAAGGTGATAAAGAACGGTTCATAACCACGATCCTTTAACCATTTACTGCAAACATTAGCAGTTGACATGAGGAATCCTAAGTAAATGGAGTAAAATGTCAATTCATGATGCATCAATTAGAATTATGTCATATAAGGTTTCATTATGCTTTTTAACTTACCAGCCAGCAGAGTTAAGCCAATTCCAAGAAAACGATACCATCCTGTCCCTTAAATATGAAAGATACAAGTGAAATAAGTATACAATTTTAGGACATGTCTCTTTTGCATGTTGTACATATGCATGAACGCAAAAACCGTGTACTTCCATAGGACACGAGTTTATGGAATCAGGGAAATGCATGTCTTTTCAGATCCGCCAATGGTTACGAACATACATATAAACAAGCCAGAAGATCTCTTCAAAAATGTGTATGTACCTTTCGTATTCACAGAAACAATGCTTTTGCTTCTTGGACGAAAGTTGTCATCAACCTGCTTCATTTCACTGGCTGGGATATTGATTTCCGTGTCACCGGCCGTCGCGATAAGCGGATTTCGAGTTTCCTGATCCCTGCACGAAAATCATTATCATTACGTATTAACGATTAAATCCAAATCCCTTGTTGTGGCTCAATTAATAATTAACTACAAACATCGACCCTTCTATATTCTATACCATACATCTATTTATATCACTTTCCCATAATTATTACTATTTATTGTGTGTATTGCTCGTTCGCATATAGGAACATTACGGGCAGACGGACTCCTCTCCGATCGGGGAATGTGATACATCAAAATGTCGGGTTTTTCATGCTGATCAAGAATATATAAATTTTTTGACCGGCAAACGTATATTAAGGTCACAAAAAAAGGTCAAAGGTCAAAATTTTTTATTGCATTTTTGGACGTTTCGGAGAATTCTAAGACTTTGTCTCACTTTCCCCCATGGCGGGAAATTTTTTGGGGTGACATGAGATTTCTAGTGTCTAGGTAGGACTGCTAGCTAGGATTGCTAGCTAGGACTGCTAGCTAGGATTGCTAGCTACGATTGCTAGCTAGGATTGCTAGCTAGGACTACTAGCTAGGACTGCTAGCTAGGACTACTAGCTAGGACTACTAGCTAGGACTGCTAGCTAGGACTGCTAGCTAGGACTGCTAGCTAGGACTGCTAGCTAGGACTTCTAGCTAGGACTGCTAGCTAGGATTTCTTGCTAGAATAGCAACGCTTTCCGCGTACCTAGTAAATCTAACCTAACCTGCTCGCTTCGCTCGCTTAAAAACGAACAATACCCCAATATTCGGCACAATTACGATATTTGATGACACACTTTACCCCACAATCTAATAGTGCCCCAAAAATTTTACATTTTGCAGAAAAATGATCGACATTCGATATTCTACAAGAGAAACTAGTAATCTCATGTCACCCCAAAAAATTTCCCGCCATGGGGGAAAGTGAGACAAAGTCTTAGAATTCTCCGAAACGTCCAAAAATGCAATAAAAAATTTTGACCTTTGACCTTTTTTTGTGACCTTAATATACGTTTGCCGGTCAAAAAATTTATATATTCTTGATCAGCATGAAAAACCCGACATTTTGATGTATCACATTCCCCGATCGGAGAGGAGTCCGTCTGCCCGTAATATACCCGCATATAAAATCAATAAATGGATTTTTACCACTCGTGCTTCTCCCCCTACCAAGTTTATCATTGAAATTGATTCATGTCTAAAAACTACACAAAAAGTCCCTTTAATATGTACCACTCACCTTTCCTCCAGGGATAATTGTCTCCTGAGCCTGCTCTCGTCCGCCATTTTTATCAACCCTTAAATGCTTTATAGATATTCAAAGAAACAAATAAATACTGCGTGGTCTCTTCTTCCCTCCTCCTAACTAATCCTGTCACAACTCACTGGATGGATCTCCGGTCTATTTACTATTTGTAAATAAATAAACTGCCACCAAATTCAGCCAATATAGATCTCGAGTTGAATGTTTCTTGGTATTATCCGTTTCCTGTGCTGCTTCGCTGCTACTTTTGCATCCTGCACTTTGGCATTTGCTGAATATTGAGTCTGCAATGATGATGAGAGTGACTGACTCAAGAAAAGAAAATCACATGCTCTTTCCGTTCCGGGGCTCACATCGTCTCGTGCAGATTGAGCTCCTCTCGTCTCCTACCTACGCACTTTGCAAAAACACGGGACTATTCCTTCGTCAAAAGTCACTACGCCACGACCACGACGGCACTATTACAAATATCACGTCCAGAATATGTTCCGAATGGAAGTCGATGTTGCAATAATCTGCCCGAGTTCCGCATTCCCTCTGCTGCTGCCCGACTACCCGACTCTTCTTCTCCCGTCGTAATGCTCCACGTCCATTGCATCAGTGGCGTGGTGGGGTATCAGCAGCAATATCGGGCCAGGCAGTCAGTCGTGGCATCATATCATATCATGCACTCGAACCGGCTTTGTCATGCAAATCTCATAAATATATACAAAATGCTCATTTCGTGTCTATGTTTAAATCGTGGTTTATACATACTTTTGTATGAGAATTGTTCACTCCCCATCTCTCATGATGATGAACGTATAATTGTGCTAAATAACTGAAGAAGGGAAAGAATACATAGCATCGTGCGCGGCCTTCATGGTCGGCTTTGTTTGCCAACAATTTATCCAGTATAGCTTCACTCTCTCTCATACCAAACTATTCGACACAATTTCTATAATTAGTTCTGCCACAGAAATTTGGTGTGCAGAAAGAAAGATAGTTTGTGGTTTGGTAAGCTCGCTGGACAGATTATGGAATTTTTTTTATTGCGAGACGAGATAATGTCATGCGATGATTAGGGGATTTTTGGATCAAGTGCAATATTTTTTATTATCATACAAGATTGCATAATGAAGAGCAGGATCACGATATGTATAGGCAACGGAACGGACTAATGCAATGTTGCTCAAATATCTGCATTCGTGAGGAATGGGGTCGCATTTATGTTTTGACTTGTTTCCAGCAGTGTAAGAGGCGTCATGTTACCAATAACCCATTCCTACTTGGCAGTTGGCATTTTTACATCTAATTTCATCTTAGATATGCAGTTCTTATCCTTAGTTTAAGGCAAACTTGGCATCTTAATGATTTTCCTTCTCATCGTCTCAAGATGACAATATGATGAGTGTACATTCATGATGGATGAATAAACCAGAGGACAAAGATCGTTAAAAAATATCACGGCGTTGCTTTGTCACATATGAACCGATATTTGTGTAGTATTGATGTTTCTGTCAGAGAGTTCCACACACAGGAGATTCAATATTTATGAGCACTAATTTCACAACTTTTCCTGAAATGGGTTTCCCGTCCTTGAACTATTCCATTCCGAAATACGACGATAAGAACTATTTCTCACCAAATGTATGATTAGTGAAGCAAAAAGTTATCATAATGCAGATAAATTATATATTGTGGCTTCATCCAGATTTAACTTAATTGGTTAGGGCATGCAAAGGCTTTTCATGTTGTAGTATTTCAACGGTAATTTGAGACTCGTGTAACTCTTAAGAGCATATTTAATTTTGCTGATATTTTACATTTTTATTAAGAGAATTGTAATATCTCAAATTCGTATCCTCCGTCTTATCTAGTAAAATAAGCAAAACATAGCGCAATGTTTATAGATGATGACTAAAGTGATAAGTATGTATGAATTACAAATGCAATAAAATTAATATTATGTAGTATGAATCTCACAAAATATCATTTCATTTGTCAGCGTGGCAATTAACTGGGCTTTCGTTACTGTACACAATATTTTCCAGTTATGAAATTTATCCTGCATGCGATTAAGACGTGAGAGCGTAATGTCAAAAAAACATTCAAAACAGAACCATAACTGGATGATTCATAACAATTCTTGTTCTTCCGTCGTATGTACTGAACTGGGATAAATTTTCCAGAGCTTATACAGTATGAATACATGTGTATGCAAGTATTGTGAAAATATTTCTAATACTTTTAATATACGAAAGTATGTAGCAGAAATAAGTTGCCCATCAATAATCCATAGTTGACAGTTATCATACATAAGTTCGATTATTGTGTATTGCCTCTCATTCTGAAGTTAGACAAGTATCCGTTTAACAGTAACGATCCGAAACAATTCCCTCAATGCAATAGCAGTCACTTTATCATGCACTACTTCATTGTGCATTTTAATTTAGTGAAAAAAATTCACCGAAAAATCAATATGTCTGAAAGCTAATGCGTAATGGGGCCCATTTCAACATTAATTGGTTCTGCATATTCAGCTCATACCAAGACTAATGGAATAAATAACCTATGACAAAAATTTTAGTCCAATTCTTTTACTTATGCAAAAGAATGGGCTAACCCATATGTAAAGCGATCTGCAGTTTTTTAGCTATACATATATTTCTATTAAACCTGAGACACAGAGTTTCTAGTCTCTTAAAACATCTTCTAATTTGTTCGACAAATCTGCAAATAAGGGTAACATGACATGATCAAACCCAATGATAAGCCAAATACAGACCCCGAAAGGAAGGTGAGAGGGAGTGATACATTCCCAGTCATTTTAATCACTAGGTACTAGGTACCTTCCCTACTGCGATAAAACACATGTAGACACATGTATGTACAATAAAGGTGACGTGCATTTTGAAACGAATGCAATTCTATAACCATTTTGTATGTATTTGTATCAAGTTGCTTTAAATGAATGTGATCAACCTTGTTATTATTTATGGTGCAATTGCATAAGGGCGACCTATTAGCAAGAAGACTGTTGAAGTAATTATGTCAGTGTCCTCGTACTTGACCAACAAATACTATCCAATAAAATATGTCCAACTTGTTTACAAACAATCATTACATGCATGTATGCACTAACAAATATCTAAATAAGTGCACCAACAGGTCAGAACCCTTCACTTTTACTACAAAATGCACACAGTGTGTTCTCAGCTTACGATCTGCGTACAGGTCTAAAACATAATGGCATCGAAAAAATATTCCCAAGAAGAAAAGGAAAAACTTTTAAAATTCCGGGAAAACTTGGCCGATCTTGACTTATTGCCATACCAATTGAAGGACGAGTTTCTCATAAAATGGTTGCGAGCTCGGAGTCTGGATCTCGTTTTGGCAGAGAAAATGCTGAGAGATTCGATCAAGTGGAGAAAAGAGTTTAAAGCTGATACAATTTTGGAGGAACAACTCCCCCACGAGTTGACCATTTCGGAACCCTTGGCCTACTGTGGGATTTCCAAAGACGGGTTTATAGTCAATATTCACCCCTTTGGACGATACAATTCGAGATGTGTAATTGAAAAATACGGCCCAGATATGATGGAACGCTTCCATGTTCAGAAAGGTTTGCTGTTATAACAAGTTGTAATGCAATTTTTACACAAAATTAAAACCAACAAATTTAAAATTTAGTCGAGATAGTTGCCAAGATTATGCAAAAAGTGAGTGAAAATACGCAAGTTCCAGTGACGCAAACTTTGGAGCTGTTTGATATGGAAGGGTATTTTTCATATTCATATAAACATACATTTTAAAAAGGATTTTTTCACAACATAATTTATGCACAAATTTTTTAGTTATTCATTCTGGCAATTCTGCTCGAAAGCGTGTATTCAATATTATGTACGACTAGCACCCAAAATGGAATCAAACTATCCAGAAATGATGCATTATGTCATGATCATCAATGCGCCAAGATTCTTCAACGTCATGTTCAGTGTCGTTAAGCCGTTCATGAGTAAAGCAACTCTGGATAAGATACAAGTTTTTGGATGTGACAAGGAGAAATGGAAGAAAGCGTTGCGAGAGAGGTTTCCGGTAGAAAACATCCCACCCTACTGGGGCGGCACCTTGGAGGGAGTAGATGCCTACTGCTCGGATAGCGACATTTGGATAAGGTCGCCCAAACCAAAAGAGTTGAAACAGATGATGGAGGGGACTTATAAAGTAGTTCAGTGATATGTATCTAATGTAAATACATGAAGATATATCTAGCTGTATGCATATATATTGTATGTATATGTCATATGTATGTATACATGTATTTCTTGACGGGAATATCTTTGGAGCTGTTGAATAATATTTATTCATGTCACAATAATAATGCCAATATTGGCAATTGTAATCAGTTTCTGGTAATTTATACTCAAAATGGTATTTAAATAAAGAAATTCAAGTCCGGCTTAATTTTATAACTTGACCACCATCATTTGACTTCTATAACGAAAAAATCATGCCACAAAAATAACGTGCATCTTGCAGAATTTTCATAACAGTAAGTTTTCTCATTGATGGATCTGATGTTATGCGGAATAGCTTGTTGATTTTTTCACTAGCTAAGGATGAAGATATTTAACTTGGTTGCACTGCACTCAACGAGATGTATAGTACATAATATAACCTTTATTAATGACTACATATTAACATATTAATTAATTATAATGATAATAAAAATATTCTTATTTTATAGATACTAGAAAATTAATAGGTATATGGCATATGATATACCATCAATAAGTGGTTGCCTGAGAATTATTACTGTAATTAAATTTATCTATAGTTTATGCAATTTATTAATTGTCGTATATTTATGTACAACAGGTAGCAATATTTAAAAACCTTTACACTGCGAGTCACAGTCTGTGACTATGAATGAGATTTCAAAATTCACATGATCAATACTGGGTAGTGGGCACATAGAATAAGCCTAGGACGTTATCTCCCACGTTAAGTCCAACATATTGCATATTTGCTTATTCCGTTATACGGAAATCACTAATGTAACCGTGTGATATAACACAACCGAAAGAAATATAACTCTCGAACCTTTTTTGATTCGAAAAAATGGTCCGACAGAAATTCTAAGCAGTTTGCAACTTTTCAATTGCCTTTTCCTATACCCAGAAAAGCTTTGTAATTTCCAAAATCTAACGAAAAATTCAGACTTGATGAAGACCTCCGCTGCTAAAGGAATTAGTGCATGAGCCGCAGCTATGATAAGAACCAGAACAAAAGAGCAAAGTATTGAGAGAGGAATTGGTACTGCACCAGTCAGCTTAATAACCAAATAGCCAACTACGACACAACCTGCAACAGCTACCACTAACGAAATTGGTAAGAGATAAATTAACACTTGATTCTGCACGGCAGCCACAATTTGCAATTGGCGATATTTAATCAAGCATTGTGAAAACCTGGCCGAATTTCCAAACTTTGTAGCAGCTTTGAAAATCCGAGACTGAGTTGCAATATCTAAGCTATGTGTATCATTCTCAGTTTGCAAATAATTCCTAAAATAATTTGTACTTGTCATGGATCTTAAGCAACAGTGGAATGATAGCGCAACATTTGCAAGGTTTACAAGAAAAGTGAAAATCGCCATGGCACCGTGGAAGACAACAATTGACATTATAGAAATTCTCAGGAGCATCTTCACTGGCGATGAAATCAGAATAAAATCCCGAAACCAAAAGTATGTTGGATCAACATTCTCCAACAGGATGGTTGCGGCAGCGACAGTAAGTGGCGTTGATACTGGAGCAGGAATCATGAAATGGAGAAGCAGTCCAACAAAATCGGATTGGTCAATACCTTCATACATACATAAATAAAGGTTATAAATTAATTCCCTGCAGTAAAATGACAAAAAACTTGCCACCATCATCCACAACTTCTTTAATTGTCTGCAGATTTCCCATGACGAAGCATATTTCATCCACTTTAGAAACAAAGGAACCGATGACAACCGTTGCTAGTACATTTGCACAAATATAAAACACCAACATTAGAATTCCTACAAAATTAAGATCAGGATCTTTCTGGTGTGAAACAATTTCCCAGGTCGCAAAGGAGAGAAAGTTGATTGTCACCGATACAACCAGAGCTGACATGAGGTACCATGGTACCAGTTTTCTCTTTGGAGTTGGCGTTGGTCTCCATGTCACCTTATTCCACGTGATATATTGAGGGTAACAACTTTCACTAAAAATAGCAGATCGTTGCAAGGCAACAAATGCCCCATAATTAGGAATACGAGCTATGAGTTTTTGAAATTTCATGATCTGCGGATACCAGTATCGGTTGGTAAGTAAACTTTACCAAAGATAAGACTGGATGACTAGATAAGTATCAATCGAGACGATCTAAACCTGACGCAAGTTAAGCCACATTGACAAATATATTATTTATGTATTCTATTATCTATTTATTATGGATGTATTCATAACCAGTCATGTGTATACATACTAACTTGAAAAACAAAAGCACTCATGTATACTTATGTACGTATGTATGTACATACGTTGTTTTGAGAAAGCGATCTTTCACAATAGTGGAAAATATATTTCTAAGCTTTCTTTCCATGGTTAGTTTTATTATTTGCCTTAAAAAATATCGATTAAATTAAGCAAGCTCAAGCAACCTCTTACTTAATTGTTGATTAAGTAACATGGAACACGTGTAATTGCTTGACCTTCAATCCAAATAAAGCCATTCTAAAATTACTCTTATTGCTGAAAAATAATTTGTACATGTTGGATTTGTCTTTAAGTACGTACAATTCTCAACATTTAGGCTGCTGGGAGCTGATGGAATATTTTCATTTTTCATTCTTATAAGAAGGGTATGGCAGCAAATCCAAAATTTTGGATTTTATTTTTGTACTGAACTTTGGATTTTACATAAATGACAGATCAAATATGAATATGAATCGCCCATTTGAAATAAAATATATATTTATAAGGAATATTGATAGGTACATATGTAAGAATATGTAAATTTTTGAAGCTTTGTCGACTGCGTAAACTAATCCTAAAAGAAAGCATGTGCATAATACGCATATTCTGTACGTATGTACATAACGTTGTGTTTATTTTCGTGAAATAAGTATGTTGGCTCGTCTTCAGTCAGCATGCACTTCTGAATTCATTGAAAATATGTAAATCGACGTATTTTAAAAATATAATCGTTCACTGAGAACGAGCTTTATTATCTTTCAATTATAATTTCCATACGTTCCAGCAAGTGGGCCAGCAATGAAATAATTCAGCTGTGAACCCCCATTAACCATTAATTTCCTAGGTGGTCTCCATTTGACTTCGTTCATGAAACTAGCCTCCATGCAATTTACACTCCAAAAATCGGCCAGCTTTTCATAATATTCTCCAAATATCCTACCGAAAACAGGATTGTCTCTAGCACTCGTCCATTCACGGACCAATACGGAAAGAAAGTCTTGGGAGAAATGCGCATAAAATTTCGATGTGATCAGTGGAATCTTGGTCTCATAATGAGGCATGCATATTCCCAGAACAGTGGCAAATATCCGCCACAATGAATCAATCGCATAATTGAAGGAAAATTCTTGGTCTGCTTGTTCAACATTATAAACCAGTTCCACTTCAGAAGTACCATTTACGTGATCTTGCTTTAGAAACACAAAATAGTTCGAATGATCGGCCATTATTCGCTTAAACTTGAGTTGAAAATGTTTTGGATCTCGTCTTTTGCACTCCTCCAAAACTTGGATAATTTCGTCCCAAAAAGGACGCTTTTCTGGCAACGGCGTTACTGTACAGGTGACCACGGGAGGTCCATCTTGTGGAACACATTCGGCCAATCGTTGAGGGCAAGCTGCTCCGGGTGTGGTGCAGTTTCCAGGCAAGAGGACTTTATCATATGGAAGAGTGTCTGGAACATTTGGTGTGTGTTATTATTTAAATAATCAACAGTTATGTATGTACATACACATAGAATCAGGTATCAAGTTATATCACAACCTTTCACAAAATCGATGAGATATCCCTTAATAACTCGATTTATGTTTAACGCAAAATGTGCCTTGATCATTGGACTGCAGGCCATGGAAAATATGTCCGCCAGCAACTGGAGAACAATTCCCCTCCACGAGTCGACAGGTTTCCAATCTTGTATAGAACAATTTGGCGTTGTAGCGTTGTCGCACACGTTCCAATTAGCCATCCGTGCTTTGAGGAGTTGACATGCTCGCTTGGTTTCAGGTTTCGAGTTAATACAGGCCTCTGGACAAGACTTATTAATGACGGATAATTACTAGCAGAGTGAAATTTTGAGCTAGTGCCACCTTTTCGTTTTGGAAACATGCCACAAGTTTTATCCATAGCTGCAGGAACATCAGACGGATAAAGAGTGAGGTCAGTATCTTTACTAGACTGTTTCGGTGGGAGGTGTATGTAATCTTCCTTCTTGTCCCGCTTTATAACAAGATAGTCGGATTTTAAGGGGGTAGACATATCTGCACATTTTGGGTCTCCGCCAGATGCAGCTATCTACATATTTATACATCCAAGAAGTTATTAATTACATCAAAATCTTTTAAATCCAATAATTCTTTGGAGATTGATTATTAAGTAAAATTCGCACTTCACCTTTACGGCAGCTATAAGATCGCGATATGTCTGATTTGTGTGCCAAATCTCGTTTTCTAGTTTATTTCGAAGTGTTTCTGCCTTGGCGACGCCGGCAGCTACTTTCTGCCACTCTTGATAATAATCTCCCGTAGAGTTTGCGCCCCTCTTGCTCAGCAACTAAATACATATACACATGCACACACTCTACGAGTAGATAAGATACCTGATTACATACATGTTATGTAATACTGAAATGTACAAATTATTACTAATCCTAAGTTGAACCTCAATAAAAGTGCAATTTAAGAACTTGAAATTATGGCTATATGTACATCTTCCATGTTTTTCTCCAATTCTTCCCAAGCCGTTTTTGCCAAGTTGTAGACTTCAGTAAGATTCGACTTTCGCGTCCAACCGTTTCGGCGACAAAGTAAAAGTTTTGCTAGTAATACTTTCTCCCTCTCTTTTTGTGCTTTCTGAAAGATTGGTTTCAACAAGCTTATTAACTTACTATATTATTCAAAGGTATAATAATTAAAGCACTCGCATCGTCTTTATCCTTCTGTGGTATGGCTGGGTCTGGATTTGTCCTCTCTGCCTCCACATTGAGTTTATGAATTTTTACGACTCTCTCAATTTGTTCTGCGTCACATGCAGAACAATTGTTCAATTTTTCACACTTTTCCTCTACCGGTGGCTGTGGACATTTTGGGGGTGGCCCAGGAGGGGATGGGAGGTCGTAGCAGATCAATGTTACAGTCCAATCCACGCATGGGTCTGTGGTTGGTGGGTAGACATCCTTGTTCACCGTTGTGTACCCACGGCCCACCTTTATTAATTGAAATTTACTATGAAATTAGAATTTTTCATTTAATATGCTTATGACAACTTTTTATCAAGGTAAACTGACTGGATCTGCTTCAGGAAGTCGTCCAGATTTATTAAAATAGAGCAGCAGATCCGGATCAAGTAATTCTTTCTCATCACCCTTTGTTGTAAAATTTACTATTTGTTCTTTACGCTCCGTAACGAGCTTTTTAGTATCTACAAAAAATGTACTCTAAAAATTTAGCCATATGTATGATTTGAATTTCTCACAATTTGTGTAATTATCAGGGTTTTCACATCTTGAAACAACAGCGTCTTCTCCATTTCTTACGGCGAGGGCTTCAAGTGCATATGAGACTCGAGCTTGTTGGTCTTCAACTTTTGGTGGCGTCGAGGCTCCCTCAACCAGGTCGAGATTAGTGTTGATGTGGGGATACGATAATTTACAGAACGTACCCTCGTACCCTAAATAGCCCGGGTCATTCTTTTCTACTTCATCCGGTATATGGTCTTTGACATTCAGGGCGCCTTAGAAAAGGGAAAAAGTAATTATTCCAAAAACAATAAAGTCTGCCGTAAATCCTGATTTCATACCAGTTCTGATCCGTATTTGAGTTTTTTTCTTCCCTTTCACAAGGATGCATTCAGTATCATCTCCAAAAATAAACATTGACGTGGCATTAATTTTATTCTCTGTCTCCTTTAAATCTATTACTGGAGTAGACGAGTCATCCTGAACGATTAACTCCAACGATGGGGCATGCATAAGAGTCATATGCGGTTTTCGGTAATCGTTTGGATCCCCCATCAGCAAAATTGCCATGAGCTAGAAATACGCCACAACAAAATATTTATGTATTTACAGATATCTTGGTGGACATAGCTGTAATAACAAATAGACAGTAATGATTCTCACGGTTTTCTGTGATGATGTTGTACTTGTATCTGGGCCATTTGCATAATTGGTTAGGAAACAATTATGTATAAACATGTGTAGCTCGGGTTGATGGTACACAATGTGCCCGATATCCGTTGTATTAGCATAGTACATCCATGTCCTTATAAAAGAAAGACTATAAAACAATTTTTATGGCCACGTACATGTACATGTGTAAATATATATACTTCTGTATTGCATTTCCAATTTACTAAATAAAAACTGACTCACAGTCCGTTTACACAGACATAAGTGTTTTCCATGTCCGGCAGGTTAAAATCGGTGAGAAGGACGTTGGGTGGGTGGACACGGACAGGCTGTCCATTTTTTGCAAAATTTTGGCGTCCTTTGTAGTAATGAACGTATGGTTTATACAGTTGCTCCGCTTCACAGAAATGATCGAAAACTGTGGCGTGTTCCAACACAGTTTTCTTTCCAGTTAATCCTGTTTGTGATTCACAAACGGAAATGTTTATTAATGACGTCATTATTAAAATGACAATGACTGTGGGGGACATTTTCGTATGTAAATCATTAAAATTTGTAAATCTGATTATTTCCCTTGGTATAGAAATTTGTTAAACGAAAATAATTGTGCATGATACTTGCAGTTTGCTGTAGATAATACTTCCTTGTTTTGTTTAGGTTTGTTTGTAAATAAAAGTATATTTATTACCTTATTAAATTATATTTCATATGTACCTATCATGCTATGGCATCGAGTTTCAACTGGTACAGATGCATAATTCATGCAGCATCGTTGATTTATGGTCCGTTTCTCGCTTTGGAAGGTACTTATCCTTTATAAGGATGATTCTGGTGTTGCTCTTTTGTTAGGTATAAAGTTACATAAAAACAGTACACACAGTATATGCATTTTTATTTTATAGCATCAGAATTTACATACATATGTATGCACATATGTACAATATCTCTGTAGCAGTAACCTACATAAGTATGTCATACCCATTAGAATTTGTTCAGATCCGATTATATCGATTCAAAAATACCCGATTCAATTAATTTGTGTCAGCAATTTATTGTCAGTATATGTATTATGCCCCCAACAGTTTAACTCTTAACTCTTTCTTCTCACTTAAATGATTTTGTGACAAGCTGTTCAATGCGTACCTAAATACATATTTAGAGCTCATTATGAATACAAAATCAGCGATTAATGAATTTTGTATTATTGCCAATTCAATTATCTCTGTGGTACATTAACTTGCTAAAAATATCATAAATTGTGTTTTCTTTCCTATTTACCCACGTCGCGTGTCTGTTTGGTGGTCCCATTCATCGCATGCCTTGTCATTTCCTAATTTCAATCTCTCCATAATGAGACCTCATTAAGATTCATTGTTTTTTTTTGTGGTGGCCAACTTGATTTAAACGGGCGATTGACCAGCCGGGTTTGTATAAAAGTTGGGGTCGGTGGACATGGCAGGGTTGTTCTGTTTTATCCCTCATATTGCATGTCCGTCGTTGTCTTTGTGTGCCTTCAAATTCGTCATGAATCTAGACCAGATATTTGACGTGTCCATGGTCCGGCGACGCAGGTTGCAGGACATGGCAAAAATAAAAGTCGAATGTCTTGAGGACTACCTAAAGTACATGGATCGGATGCCGGAAATAAAAATGGTCCCTGAAAAGGTTACCATCATTAACTTGTTCGATCAATTTATTTTTTAAAATTAACTGTCCTCACAAAGTTGTGTTTACTTAAATAAACAGATTGATTTAGAAGAGTTAACCAGATCATCGAACGATTTCTCGTTCACTCCATCGAAAAAAGAACGCTTGGAACTAGACGCTAGTCGATTACCTCTTGTTCTCGGTAATCCAGTTCCTGTGAGCATGCAAGAAGTTCGGATGGACGACCTCGCTGCTGTGGACATTCACTGGAAAATGCTTACAGATCTTCGTCCCTTAAACCGCATAGAGGAGGATATATTTAACAGACTACTTGATATGGGTACATATATTTGTCATTATTTTAAATCAATTTTGGCAATATGTACATAAATTGCTGGTTTTCCGTTATTGTAAAACAGCCAAGTATCGAAGGAATACCAAAGCGTCAGAGGCCAAAGCTTTGGCACATGTAATCAGGTTCGTTCAACTTTTTCGTACATATCCCATTTCCGAAATTATAGAAATATGCACACATTTCAGCCAAATGCCAGGATCCTCTGGTCAGGCTAAAGCAATCGCTCTCGGTTTCATCACCTCGAAATCTAAACGAGGCACAATGGAGACCAAGATAAAAACGTGTCGTGAATGTGGTCTTGAGTTGTGCACGGGTGCCTGGTGTCGGTTGGGTCACTACGATTATTACATTCGAGAAATTCTGGATAAGGATGAGCTGGAAGCGGAAGAGAAGGGATTCAGCCTCAAAGGGGTCATAGCTCAAGCCAACTCAAAACCAGATGCGGCCGCTGCGGAAGAGAAAGTCAGAGCGAGAAGAAGAGCGAAAAAGGGGCCATCACTGAAAGCAATGATATCTGCTGTCAAACCAAAGAAAAAGAGGAAAAAGAAAGGAGAACAGTAGCAGTTTATGCATTTGTTCTGTGTGCGTGACAAGATCCAATCTCATGTCATCCTCACGTCGGTGACTAATCTAAATAGGAATTATCATGACAATATTTGTAAACTCCAGCAACAGATATAGCAACCTCGGGGAAACGGAGTGCATTAGATGCGTACTTGAGGTGCATCATTTGCTAGGAATATTTGACATTTTTTGACGTTTCCACATATTATGACCTGTGACCTCGTTTACTCACTCACGATCTTCTGGTACCTAGAAATGATGGCTATTTCTTAAATCCCCGCCCCAAACGACGTCTTAAACGTTCATAACTAAAAATTCAATCTTTTGGACCTTCGACATTGTATTCAAGGATTCGTCATTCGTGGTGAAATTTCCTTTAAAATAACACCCCGAAAATTAAGGTTAAATTTAATTGTGAACCACACTCCCTGGCGCTGAGGGGGTAGTCCGTGTGGCCCCATTATCGAATGGGCGGAGAACTAAAAACTACAAACATAATGGCGGAAACGGAGTTTGATTATATTAAGGCGTTCAGATCTGATTATACGGGAGGACAAGACAGACGGACGGACAAAACGATAACAATAACTCCGCGTCACGCTCGTTAATAATAACATAGGTATCAATTACTTTCTCCTCCAGAATTACTTTGATGAATACACACAAGATGTATTAACACAATTTGACATTCACCATTTACAGTGCACACAAATTAATATATTAGTGCTTTCAAAAGAGATACCTATCTACAATTTATTACGTAAACAGAAAATCAGGTAACAATATATTCATGACGCACACAATATAGGTAGTTTTCACATCAAAATTAAATTGATAGTCGATATTACTATTTCAGAGTAGCAAAACTCTTTCTGCACACACGCTCATTCACTGCATAAATATTGCAAACACCGTTTCACTCTATATTTTATTACTTCCCATCTCCGATCTTTCCTCCTCCTGCAAATGTATCTGGAGCAGAATTGATTAAACAATCCATCCACGAACAGACACCTGTGCGTGTCTGATTTGGATTCGAATATTCAACTTTACTCCTTTCCTGACCCAGTCTTGAAACCTGAGCCACTGCTCCACAATCACAGATCCATGCATTCATCTCTATATCTTCATCATGGCGTTAAAATTGGACGAACTTATCAACAAGAAGAAGGAACCAAACCAAATTTTAGACCTTTCCAAAGTAAAAATTAGATCACGCGAAGAATTAGATAAATATTTAGATAAAGTTCCAGAGTTTAAAATAAGGCCAGAGAAAGTTCGCCCAGAAGATGTTCGCGTCCGGGACTGCGAGTCCTCATTCAAACGAGGACGACGCGAAGGACGGAAACAATTTGAATATGGTGACCCATGTCCCGCTTCCATGCGATCTGTTCGTCTCGAAGGTTGAGTGTTTAATAAATGAAATTACTGACATTTTATGCAAATGATTTGCTATTTAAATAGATTTGGCCGCGGTTGACATTTCTTGGCGGATGCTGACCATGCTGCGCCCCAATAACCGATTGGAGGAGGATATCTTTGGTCGCCTAGTGGAACTGGGAAAACTTCGTCTCGGAACAAGAAACTGGGAAGCGAAGCAGTTGGCCCAAGCAGCCAGTGGGGCGCCGGGGTCACAATCCGCAGCTCTGGCCGCTTCTATTGGGATACTCGTGTTTAAAACTAAGCGTGGCAGCACCGAGACTCGGATCAAAATTTGTCCCCTTTGTGGTCTCGAGTTGTGCACGGGAGTATATTGCAAGGGTAAATCTTAAACGTCATATATGCATAAACACTTTAATAAATAGTTTATTAGTTATGTAATAATGTGCTTAATTTTTACAGAATTTCCGTACGACTCTTACACCCGTATGATGGTGGACAAGGACGAAGTTGAGGAGGGTAAGGCCCCAGATAGGCGGCGGTCACAGTCCAAAGGTCATAATTCGAATAAACCACTTACCGGTAAAGGTAGTGGTAAAAAACGAGTAAAAAAGAAACGCAAAAGGAAAAAGTAGGTAATGTAAATTTTACGGAATGTGCTTCTATTGTGATTTAACAAAATGCTAAAAATTCGAGTAATAAAAAAAGCTGGCAATCTATTTAGTTTAACGTATTTTTCACTATAAATTCACACAATGTACAAAATGGATTTATTTTATTGAGGGTATTCATTGCGACTTCGCATGTTCGCATCGCAACATAACTTTTTCGAAATTGCGAATTTTGCGAAGCAACAAAGTGAACACACTTCGCGAATGACAAAATTCCGAAAATTTGGTATACAAATGTCTCAAATTTTGCAATGGGAAAAATGTTAATTTCCATGAGTTACCGAAGTTTTGCGTCTGAAATTTACCAAATAAGAAATTTTAACAATTCAAAGCCCCAAACTTTCGTAACCAATAGAGATTTATGGAGTTTTCCTATTGCAAGATTTGTGAACTAAATACTAGCTTTGGAGATGCGCCGGAAATCAATTTTCAAGCCAATAATTTTTGCGAACTTTATTGTTTTGCGAACGTTGCTAACGATGCGAACTCGAAATGAATACCCTACTTGTCATGACCGCAAGATGATTACTTCGAAGGATACATTTTCATATGTATTAGCAGAAGAGAAACTTTAAAGCTTCACTGGAAACCAGTCTATTTTTTGACATATCGTCAATTGAAAGAAGATATCTCATCAAAGAAAAAGGTACAGATAAGTAAATGCTAATTTAGAGTAAAAAATCGTCGTGACTTGACAACATGCCTGAGTTGCCATTTATGTATGTACTTATTTTCTATTCCATGGATTGTCAATTATTTACTAATTTACAAATTAGTTGACTCCACCCATCTTATATAAACTTTACTAATTTGCTAATTATAATTCGCCAAATTACCTAAAAACAAAAATACAATTTCTACATACTCGACCAGAAACAATCAATGACGAAAGTAGCTCCTTCCAAAGTCTTGAGAAGCGTTGCACCCTTTTTAACCTACCAATTTGCAACGTTTCTGAAATTCCTCCAATATTTTGGCAGATTTCCGCTAACATTTAACACCGTTTCCGATCGACGTCAACAAATACAGGGTGGTTAAAATGTCACGCAACAATGGAAAATTTTTCGATGGGAAAAATTTGTAAATTTCCATTAGTTACCGAAATTTTGTCTCTAAAATGCAACATTTTAAGAATTTTGTCATCAGTTTTGATAATAATTTTTAAAAATCTCAATCCGAAATCTTGTAACTAATGGAGATTTAGGGACTTTTCCCATTGAAAAATTTTCCATTGTGGCGTGACATTTTAACCACCCTGTACACTTTTCTTTTCAATGCAACAGTCCACAGTTTTTCATCTCGGTGACATCCACGCTGATAATTTGTGTAACTTGCATAATTTCTATTGTACGCAATGAATCTCTACAAATCCAAGTACTTCTTATGGAAGGAATGTACGTTCTTGATGTTTTACCCATTTGCATACTTAAATGTATAATAAAACAAATTCTATCTCAGTTTTCCACCTTTGCTGGCGAACCAGCAACGGAAAAACCATTCCATTGGTCAGCTAGCAGCCAACATCGTCATGTCTTTCGAAATAATTTCAACGCTTCATGTCCTGATTGACTTCTTAATTTCTTGGTGGAAGGCTCCCGACTTGGCAAAATGGTTGAATCATTGGAACATAATTGAGACAGAAATTAAAGAATGGATTGGATTTGACATCGCTAACATATTACCAGCTCGACACACGACCTACAAATTTCAATGTTATTTAGCCATATTTTACGTTATCATGCCAGCCTTAATTTTTGGTACACTGCTCGTTTCATGGGAGTTTAACATAAGTTATCCAATTTATTGTGTCATGCTAATCGTGCATGCTTATGCATCGATGGTGTGCTATTGTGCTGAGGATGCAAAGGCAATCATTATGTTCAAATGCTTGGTGGAGGGGTTTGGAAAGGTATGTTATTTATTTCTACATTATCGTAAGTGAACCTCTGACTACTTGACTCGGTGGGACTCAATGTACATTACGTACATTATGAAAATATTAATTAACTATATTTCAGATCTATGCTCACCTTGAAACCAATCCGCAAGCACTTGATGCACGAAAACTAGAGCACATTTTAACCAAAATTAGGTCACAAGCATATTACTGCGGGACGCACATGGCGTTTCAGCAATTGTTGCTCATTTTAGCAACGATATATTTTGCTGCAGGGTCATTATTTGCTACCGTCACTATTTTAAGTGGTCCAGTTGGAGATACGAAGGATGAGCTGACCATGATCGCCGTGGTCAGCATTAGCGCGATACAAACAATGGCGAGACTGTATTTTAAAATTCGAGTCGCTGTGGGGATTACAAGGGAGGTACATATATTTTGTTTCCAGTTGTCCAGTTGCATGACAAATTATGTGGAAAAATTATTCTCATTGTTACATGTTCAGGAGAGCCGAGTATCAGATATGATTAAAAAAAGAGAACTTGGAGATCAGAGGGTTGCGGTTGATGTGAGTACTTCACAGTCAACAGTGATATTTATAAGCATAATTCTGTATGTTCTGACGTTGGTTTCGACATTTATTACCAATTAAACATATTTTTACTCAGCTTAGAAATGTTCACGACATGCTGACCAATAACCCCACAGAAATTTCCTTGAGTGATTTTGTCAAATTGAACAATGATTTGATTTTGGGGGTAAGAAGCTCTTAATAGATTGACAAAATTTATAATTTCTCTTACTATTGTTAGTTATCTGTATAAATAGGTGTTTCAACAAATCTTCACACAGTTCATCGTTTTAATGCAGTTTCACAAAATAAAGGAAGGGTAAATGTTGTAAATTTTATAATTTCAACCATCTCACCTTTTTCGTGTTAACGTATTACCTTAATTTATTTGTTTATCTTAATGGCAACAAATAAAAAAATGTAGTTAAAAAAACTAAATCTCCATGGATTGAATTGAAAATTGAAGATGTAATGAAAATGGAAGCCAATTGAAACTTTAACGGTGAGACTAATTTTCTAATTATAAGGACATTTGGCGAGAGAAGGGCAAAGTCAACAAATTCCCTGTTTTTATTAGAAATATCATTTCCAAAAAGTTAAGACGGTTACGAGATTTTGTAAGCGTCGTAAGATTTTGTCATCGAAAAAAATCACGATCTTTACGAAGTCTGGCCCTTGTTTTTTTCTTCATAATCTATTTTACGTTGCTAAGGATACGAAGAAATAATGAATCCTATTTTTCATCCTCAAGTGAATGTGGAGGGCGCGTATGCAAATTTTTTGAATCATGTTAATGTTTTGTTGTGTAACTATTAAATTTTAAATCATTTTTTCAGCTTTCTATGATCATAATACTACACCTAAAAATTTCACATTTTCTGAGCAACCTTAACTGGAAGTATGGCGTCAACGCTACTAATTTTCACGTGGATTCTTTTAAATCTTTTAACCTCAGGTATATTAACTTTTATTTGCCAATTTTTATACTATTATCTGGTGTCAAATATATCTCAATGAATTTCTGTGTTTTAGATGCAAGATTCTGCTACAAGTGTTTGTCACTGGATTGTCCTGGAGATGATAACGTTCTTTGTGAAGATGTTCGAGCCTTTGTCATGGCTCAACTTCGAGCATATTATAATTTTGAATACCTACCACCTTGCCCAGACGACGATAGTGGCAGCGAGTGGTTGGAAACATGGCTGTACAGCACCCCATGTAAACGTACTCGTATGCCATACGAAGTTTGTACAGCTGGAAAAATTCGAGTCAGGTCATCCATTGGGAACTATACGATTACATCGCATGCTTCCGTTCTTGGCTGTGCAAATGAAAAGTTGGTGACCTCAATCAAGACGACGATTATGGAGAATAAATCTCATTGCGACGTTAGTCCTAACCTGCAGGGGAGCAAATCGGATGCTGGGATATCTCGTACCATGGTTTTGAAACACTGTAATGAGCCCGGGGCCATTTGCCATGACGCGGATTTTTGCGTCGACGTGAAACATGGCGCTATCAACATTTGGAGCGAGGAAAATGACCTCATCGTGCCTGCTAGGGACTACGGAATGATGATTGGAATTATCTCAGGCGTTTCTATCCTTTTGATTGTTCTGCTTGGAATCAGCTTGTATGCACTTGCACATTTCAAGAAGAAACGGTCGAAATTCGTGATGATTTATAACGATTGTTCTGGTCCCATAGGATATCAGTGGTAAAAATATATATACATAGGTCACATGGGGACGCTAGATAAGTTTGATGAAAGAGCAACTTTAGAATATTTTCTGTATTTGGTAATTTGAAGTACATCAACTTATTGTTCGAATATTATATAACTATTAAATTGTTCTTAATTGTTATTCATACTTGATTAATTAGGGTACGTCGGTACAAATTTATGTAAAACTTATACACTTACATAAATAAGCATTATTATACAATTTATGTATGTTTTCTCTTCGTGTAATCAGTCAAAGTTGTCAGATTATTGTAATAAAATCCAATTCATTATGCATCCATTTTGTATATTTACATATATGTATCTGATGTAGTGTGATGATATAGCACAATACTGAATTACAATACTGTGGTAGCACAATACTGAATTATTCTGAGGGATTATAATAACCAAATATGGAGATTATATATTTAATAGCCTCAATCCAAACAAATTATATACATGAAAGTCAACAAAATTAATTCAAAATTTGGACAATTTTTTTATGAAGTGATAAATTAATTGTGCTTTATTAATAATCCCTTCATAAGTCACCAGTTTTTTAAGCCTGAGGTAAAATAGCATAATCAGCTATGAGACACAAGTTATTGGCATTTCTAGCCATTTTTATGTATCCTTTGTCACCCCAGTTAGTATCCCAGCTAAAAAATAGTCCATTTCATTAAAAAATTCAATTTGAATGACATTTGACAGGATGTCGAAAAGTTTCTTTATTTATACCTGTTTTTGACAATCCAATAATCCTGGTTATTCTCTGAGCCATACCCAACTACAAGAACAGAGTGGTCGTATCTGAATCAAGTAATTCAATCAATGATTACATTTTTTGGCTCAGAGAATACTTGATTCGTAACCAAATTCAATGTTTCTGATTCAAACCTCGTATTACTGCATGGAGAGTTCATGACGCCACTTCGATACCCTTGGAATGCGCTGTTCACCTCGATCACGACGGAGTGGACACCGTACGTGGAGACCCACTCCTTGAGCATATTTTCGTCGCCCTTGGTGGTCTTGTAGTAGTTGCTAACTTTCGCAGCCTTCGTCTTCCCTGAGGCGCGGCATGATCCTTCTTTTGCTTCGTATCGATATTGGGCTTCCGTGGTTTGGCCTTGACTTTTCATGTAGTCGTAAATTGGTTCTGGCCAATTTCCTGAACAACGACCTACTCCACTTCCGGTGGGGCAATCCACTAATTCTTGTTCGGACAAATCCAAATCACGGACGCCTTTGTAAAGAGCCATTGCAGACTCGAGACCCCCTGTTTTTTCACAAGAAATTAACATATTTATTATCTGATGTATGTACATATGTGTAAATATGTATGTATTTGGATACCTGTTACGGCAAAATCTGTACACGAACCACAGCTTCCCTGCATCTTTGGTGGGGTGACAATTCCATATTGCCGCCAATCTTTGGAAGCAGCCGCAGCACGGACAGTCCTCCTTCCGAATGGCGTTCTTAATGGCGTCATAAGTTCAAACACATCACGACGAGTAATATTTGGGATTAAAGCACCAGTATATTTGGCTCGAACTTCGTCCAAAGTCAAATCCGAAAAAGGGTTAACTCCCATCGTAAAGGTCTCCAGCCCCTGTTTCGCATTCAGGTTGTGCTCAAAAACTGACAAAACGTTACTCTTGAAAGTACTTTTGCTTCCTTTGTTTGCAGGATTTTTCTTGAATTTGGCCTAATAAAAAATGTACATATAGTTTTACATACCTAATTTCATAGAACATGTTGTCTTTATTTTGAACTTACGGCAAAGTTAGAGTAGGCTGCGTCTAAAGCTCCTGCTTGTAGAGCAGTGTCAAACTTGGAAACAGCTTGACCAACGGCATTGACGCCGATATTAGGGACTGCCACTTTCAAGCCGTTAAATACCCCTTTAGCTCCTCCACCCATGATATCCTCCACATCAAAGACCTCAATTCCTATAACAAATATAAGCAAAATTTAAATTAAGTCGAGTAAGCACAAATTTTCAAAGTTAAGGTTTCGTTAAAGGACCTAAGACGTATCCTGTAAGCCCTAAAAGGGCTATAAAGATTGACAAATTGTTCATCTCGATTTTGCTGTTTTGAGTTCTTACAAACGACTATAATTTTAGGCATCAATGGACAGAGTTTTATATGGCAGACCTTGAACACGTCATGTTTCGAACCACCCAACGTAGATAATATTAATTGAACCCTACGTTAACCATTATTATGCATACTTTAACCAATTATTTCCTAGAATTACAAACTTTATGTTTTAGCATCTGTCTGTTCAGATTTGCGTCATCAAATTTCTTTGAAATTACGTTCACGTGTCCATATTTTTAACGTAATGGTCATTGCGGTTACCCAAAAATGTGTACGAACGAAAATAAATTAAGTATTACAAGCACTTCCGATGCCCAACAATGAAATTATTAAATTCTAGGTGAAATGTATAGGTGGCATCTGGCTGTTTTGTGGTCTATTTCTATGTAGCGAATTGAAACCTGTCCTTCGACAAGAATCTTATCAGATTATCTTAATTAGTGCACATCAGGTCGTAATGCTATTCTATTTCATCTAGATTATAAATAGATAGAGGTACGTTAAAACGCATAATCAAGGGAAAAAAGTATGCGACGATATTTAATAAAATAATATGCGTACTATTTGAGACTCATCACAGGAACTTGATTATTTACGTATACGCTATTTTATTTTTGTAATAGATATTATAGCACTGCAAATTTACATACGTTAAAATACTACATTGATTTACTGTAGAATAAAACAAGAATGAATATGTACATAACGTAACAGATTTATACACAGATCCCATCACGTAAAATAATTATTTCAGATTAATGACTATGAAAATTATACCGTCAGGCCTGCCAGTCCCTGATAAATGAAATATGCTAAAATTAATCGATCAAATTATTTTTATTGTAAATTGCAGCAATAAATTTTGTTGTACAGATGGAACAATAAAGTTATCTGTTTTCTCCCAAAATCCGGCTCATCATACGACCAACAGCGGATACTTGTTTTCCACGTTTAGTTGCTGCGTTAACGTAGTAAATAAATTGCATATGTTTAAAATTAAGACCGATCTGTTTTATAATTCAAAGTAATTAATTTCCTTCTTTTTTCATACCATAATCAGGAACACCGCTGAGTCCGGCAAAATCCCAACAGCCTGCTGTATTGATCACTGTAATGGCAGATTGTGGGAACAAAATAATAATGTCGTTAAGTTCAGCCACTTCAGCATAGTGGGTTTTATAAGCGGCCGCGTATCCTCCGAGGAACTCGTTAGAATTACACCCATGAAATGCAATATGAAATCTGCACATTTTTGTTGTTCCATTCTGGCAATTTTTTGGAACATAAAGATATCCTTTCGGCGACATGGAGATTACGATTGGGTCGTACACAGAGAATTCGAGTTGATTAAAATCAACAATTAGTCCATCTGGTTGATACCCTTTCTCTGGTCGGGTTAGATTTTCGCCGTAGAAAAAGTTGAGCATTTCATACGCTGCGTTATAACCACATTCATTAATGTAAAAGTAGTCAGCATTGTGTTCCCCACACGGTCCTCCGAATCCATTACCGTCAACTGGCTAAAGATAGATAAAGAATAAAATTAATCATATTATGCAAATCAACCATGTTAAATAGTTGAACAGTGTGTGAAGTTATTTAGTGAATAGGATCCTCATACTTGGCCGTGACCAGCATTAATGGAAAGTTGTGCATGCACTTCTGCCCCCAATCTCTTGTACATGTCGACAACATTTCCACTTGACAGGAACGGGACGACCGAGTCATTCATGCCATGGTACACATAAACTTTTGAGTCGTTCATGTTGGTCAAGGGGTCGATCAACCCTTGGTCAGCCAGGCTAGCGGCTGCTCGAATCAGGTTCGAGATATTTGTCTTGTACGGAGTTCCGAGGCAGTTTAAGAACTCTTCTTCAACTAGAGCACACGGATATGCGGCTAAAATTTTGAAAAGGGACATTGAAAAGAGAACTTGCTAATGCCCTGGTAATTTGTATTATTAACTATATGAAAAATATACCAGCTTCAAAAATCCCAGCACCAATGATTTGAGATGAGTAAGAAAAATGAACCTGTGTCGCGAAGGCCCCACCCGATGATATTCCAGATATTGTTATTGACGTTGGGTCCACATTGTAAGATTCTATAATTAGTTTTGCAATAGAAAATAGTACCTGAAATTTGAGTTGCCAATAAACTTACGTAAAGGAGGAAATTGCTGCCCTTGTACATGTGCAAATATAAATAGCAAAGGTGCAATTTTAGGGTACCACATTTTGATTTGATTCGTATTGCTTGGATGAAACTGTGTCTTTTAATTAACACAAATTCAAGTTTAAATATCTGAATCTCATTACATGTCAATCATTCATTAATTATATTATTATACGTAGCTGACGATCATAATTTGTGATTGTCATATGATCTGTCAATTATGGCAATTACTTAAAAAAAGATGGCATTGTGTTAAATAATCAGCAATAACGAGTACCATTTATTAATTCGTTGCATGGTGTAATACTGTGTGACGTACATATCTAAGTGCTATGTTTTTGCTTCACACAATTTGTCCACTAATCAGAATATGATAAGATCCATTTGTTAGAGTGTGATTTTGAGGGTGAGGCATGGGTGTCTTTGACAAGATAAATATTTAGATAATCTAATCTATCCAGGCAGATAAATCCAGCAATCAAAGAGACCAAGATAGATGAACATAAATATTGCCCTGACTGATCCTGAGTATGGACTTTACTCCCCTTTGAGCTGCTAAGAAGAAAGAGTTGGATTTGAGCGACTAAATATGTGTCTATAATTTTATTATCTTGAAAATTGATTTCCACTTCACATCATCTGACTTCACTCTCAAGTTTCGAATCATGTACATTCTTAATTCCCTTTATAACCATAACCAGCAGATAATCCCTTAACGCCAAGGTTTGTGACGGCGTACAATTCACCAGCACCTGGCTCTGGTTCGACGGTGCCATCCTTCCTGAATTTGCTAGCCGTTGTAATGTACAGTGTGTCCAATTGAGGATCACCGAATGCGACTGAGGTCACTTTCCCAGTGGGAACTTTCACTTCTCCAATCTTCTTTCCACTGATGGGGTCAACATGAATCACCTGTTTACAACATATGTACACATGAACGTTGCATCGTGATGCATCATAATTATGTTTGCAAACTTTTCATAGCCTTTCACCTTCCCACCGTCGAAAAGTGCAATCCACAAATTTCCATCGGCATCAATGGTCATTCCGTCAGGGACGCCAACTACACCCTCGGCCTTCAGATCAAAGACTGGTCGAGGATTGCCTATGTGTGAATACAACATTTTTCCTTACTGATAGAAGAGTCTTATAAGTAACTCCCCTCATTTTTACTTGATTATCAATTCACATACACACATCTAGTGTATGAACTACTTACTTAATATTCCAGTTTTTCCATCATAGTCATGAGCATCCACCCTGTACGTGAATGAATCAATGTAGTACATCACTTTATCGTCCGGCGACCACGCGAGTCCATTCGAAATGTCGATCCCCCCAAAATGTCGATTCACTTTGTTTCCCTGGATTGAGTACAAGGTCCCCTTTTTATCGTCAAGTTTTAACGTTGATTGTTCCAAATATCCCATCGTTCCTAAATAATTATTCAAGTCACCACTCAATACAAGAGTAAATTAGACATATGTAAATGCATAGCATCAGTTTATTTACCAGCATAAAGTCTGCCTTGCGAATCGCACTTGCCATCATTAAACCTATTTTTAATTCGATCATCTTCGTTATCCACAGTGTGCAAAATTTTAAGACTGGTCGGCTTTGGTGATTTGCCATCCCATTCCATCAACTGTATCGTCCTCCCAATCCCGAGTAGGTACTGATTGGCATTGTTTTCCACGGGAACCACAAGGGACACGGTGCCACATTCTTTATATGCAGAAATAAATCATAATTATTTACCTTAAATTGTAGTGAAAATACAATTAAAATTGCATACCGATCGATACCCGGTAGCACTCTTGCGTTGCGGGGACATAGCGCAGGACACCTTGACCAAGAATATCAACGTAGAGCAACTCCTTCTTCGCAGCGTCCCAGTGCGGACCTTCGCCCAAGGCACAGGCTAAAGAACCCTTCGCAATTTCTATTTTATACGACATTATTTTACCGTGAACAAAATTGACACAATTTTTCAATCTACTGCACTTATTTACTGCATGCAACTATCGGCTGAACAACACCGGCTGAGGTTTAAGCACTATTTGTCGTCATTACAAGTAACTGATAGTTTCATTAGTTTCATGACTTCATCAGCTGCCCTCTGCATGATTTACAATTATAGTAGTGACATAGTCGTACGTAATGTAGCCCATATATTTGACAAGGTTAGTGTGTGGTATAGAATTTTGTCACCAATCAATTTACAATACACATTATTATCTGTACACAGAGCCTGTTATTGTAGTTTAGGTATGATATGATTGTATGAAACCACAGCTACAACTCAACTTGATCATATCACATTTGCATATCGTACTTACATATGACATATGCATACACATACACGTACGAAAAATCGTTATGAAATTATGTTCTTGTAATTGTGATTTCTTTAAATTCTTTGTTTTAAATTGAAATAAGCAAAGTTTCTTAAAAATGATGCTAATATAAATTTGAATGAAATTGTGTAACAATTAGTGTTATAGAATTTGTATCTCGAAACCATCATACGTACTTTATTTGAAGCCTACTATAATTTTAATAGTTACTTTATTAATTACAGTTCATCCTGCATCCATGTGAGTATGTATTACTTAAACGTATCGAGACAAATATTTTTATATTCCTCAACAATTTATAATCCATATACTTTTGAGGTCGGAATATTTCTGAAATGCTGCTTTACCGATCTTTGGCACCTCTGGCACGGAAATACAGCCCGTTTGAGTGTACAAACCTGCTTAGTCTGGGGAGATTTTACCGAAATGAAATAGAATATATCATCATAGATTGTTTAATCTGTTTCATGAATTTTCCTTACTTCGAAAATAGATAGGGTTGATAAGCAGCCAAGTAGGTGAAAAGAACGATGGGAGAAAGTGCCACCCATGTTTCCTCCAATCTATTCCCAATGGCGATCAAACTTAGGTAAGCACACCGGTCTGCCGTCATTCGTCTATCACCACTAGTATACTCTTGGTCTACAACCTATAATTTCCAGAAATATAAGTCATCCTTTAACAATGCTTTCTTAGGAAAATAGTTTGTCCGACATTAATTTTTAATATGTATCTACATACCTGACCCAGTTTGGATGTGAATGCATTTCGTAAAATTGGTGAAAAAACAGGACCTGGACAAATTAAGGTAACATCAATGTTGTCCGTATACGTTTCATTTCGTAGACTATTGAAGTAGCCGTGGAGTGCAAACTTTGACCCTGAATAAGATCCCGAATGATACACCCCCATTTTTGCGGCAATGCTCGACATGATAGCCAGTTGTCCCCCACGACCTACTTCAAGAAAATGCCGAACTACAATTCTATTCAAATTGAGGAGCGAAAACACATTCAGCTCAAACAAATCCTTATCCACTGCCAATTCCGTCTGAGGCCAGGCTGCCCGTTGAGAACGGCCCGCATTGGAAATTAGAACATCAAGCTGAAATTTGACAAGTTTATCATTTTCATTAACCACTATATGCTACACATATTTTTTATTAACCTTCCCAAATTCTGCTAAAACTTTGTTAAGTGCACCCTCATGTTCAGAATAGTCAGTGATGTCCAAAGCTAGCACTAAAATTGAGCTTTGATCTCTAACCGGATTAAGTTCTAAAAATTAACAGTTACATAAGTTCATAATAATTAAATAGTGACGGGATTTCTTCATTTTGCATGAGCTTATTAAACATTATTCTTGCCTAGACACTCGCTCTTGACTCGTAAAAGTTCTTCCTTTCTCCTAGCGGACAAAACAATTTTTGCAGAGTTGCATTTCGCCAATTCTTTAGCAATTGCTAGAAACAAGTTTATTCTTTAATATTTGATTGCTCTAATATTAGGATTAGTTTCACTGGGATTATGTAAAATAACCTTCTCCAATTCCAGAAGATCCTCCTGTGATCCAGATTACTTTGTCTCTAAATGCATGAACTGTAGAAGGAGATAGCAAAATGAGCGCTTATTTATTGAAATATGTAAGTAATAAATGTAATTCACAATTTTTGCCATACCAGGTTGTATCCCGATGTAGCAATACAATGCAGTAAGTACATCCGAATCACCGATACACATAACAATGAAAACGCTTATACAAAGAATGCACAAAATCGTGCCAAAAAGACTAACCCAATCCATTAGAAAATGCACGTGCCACGTATGCAAACTGAACAGAATTATAAAATAGTGTGTAGTTAAACCAGATTATTAAATAGCTCTATGTTTAAACCGCATTATTGTATTGTTACAAGAAAAATGACATTGACAAAATTTAATCTCAAGCATCATTGCATGTTATCACATTTATCACCTTCACCTACAAATTAATTGTATATGTACTTATTTGCTTGTGAAGAAGTGGACAAATCGTAAAAATTAGTCATGTACGTGCATATTTTGCGTTGAATACTATAGTGCAGTGCGTGTAGTCAATATATGAATATGTAGATCTATAATATATAAGTAAATAGATTCTACAGAGTTGAAAGTTTAGGAGTTTCAGACTAAAGTTTCAACCCTATGCATGACATGCCGATTGTATTGCAATATTAGTACGTTGTTTGCATATTCATTTAACTTAGGAAGTTGGTAAAGAGCGTACAATTTGCATTTTGATTAAAGTGTGATGCATTTTCTGATTATAATTTAAACTAAATTATGGGTGCAAGAAGAAATGCAGACCATTGACCATTTTGATGATATTTTGTCCTTCTAATTGTGATAAAATCATAAAATCCATCAAGTTAAGAATACTATCTTTAATATTTGAAACAAACATCAATACATATTGACTGCATTTTAGAACGGAAATATTAAATGTTCAATTATATTAACATACATACGATACATACGTTTAAACTCTATACTATGTCTATAATTAATATATTTAAATTAATATATTATAATTAATATATTTAAATGGCATTATTAATAATAGCACATTATTACGTGCTACTTAATAGCAAATTCTCGGCACCAAGGAAATTACATAAATCCAAGGAATTCAACAAAATTTAATATGGATAAGGAACAGGAATAATAATTGAGATCAGCTTAGAATATAAACCAAGTTCGATTAACCTAACCCTTATTGAACGGGACGAGTTGGTTCAGTTTCGAACTCTTTTTTATGGCCGCCTTGTTTTTTCCTGGAAGCAAACAAATGAACATCTTCAACTTAATTTGTTTTGTCACGACATTATGTAAAGTGAAACTTTCATTCAGTTTTACCTGGAATAGCTTTTGAATCACGACTAGTGATTTCCGCAAATGCTTCCCCGTTATCATTTGTGTCGAGTACAAGGTGCGTATTGGAATGGATTGGGATTCTAAAAATCGTTCCCCCAGAGTTAATCAAGATTGTGTTGACCTCTAGGGTAGGGACAACAGTAACTTCAGATAAACCAGATGAAAGTGACATGGCTTCACTACTAGACTGCTGGACAATTGCTTGCTGATTTGCTTGCTGCTTGGGCGATGGGCTACGACGAGCCTCCTAGAAAATTGAATTAAATTGATACTTAATTTCTATCATACTTAATTGCTATAATAAATATTTATAACAATGTCTCTTGTGCCTGTAACAATTCTACTCCATGTTGGTTCCACCAATGTTCCACATCAGAATGCTGAATCCAGTGATCGGATTTTTGAATATGATCCGATAGCGCAGTTACAAGATCCTGGTCATTCATATTGTCCAACATCTCTTGATTTGCTTGAAGAAATTGAATAACCTTCCTCCGCCGAGTTGGAGTTAACGGTCGACGAGTATTTTTCCTAAAAATTAAACATGATAAGTGTAGGGAACCAGTTTTATTAGTTTAGATAGGATTGTTAGTACTACTATTAAAAACTAAAATAATACCCGCTGGACATGACGATAACTGTTGAAGTAACACGAACAACTATAATCTGTAATACACACAACAACAAATTAAAATTATTTATTGTTAGTAAGGATATCACGAGATAGCGATATTTTCAAGCAAAAACAATGATTTCAGGTTTTAGATTGAAAAACAAATTCCCACTCTAGAACAATAAAACATTTTTTGTTCATGAAACAAATTATGAAACATTTTACCAAAAATTGTCAACAAGCCAGGTTTACTTCAAGTTTTTTTAGCTTGTACTGCCAGCTGGAAAGTGAAAACGAATCAAGGAAATCCAGCGACTTTTCAGGAAAAATAATTAGACGACTAAATGACGACTAATGGACACACAGGACACCATGACAACAGGAGATGAAAACTGACAGACAAGACGGAATGCTGGATAAACCTGGCTTTGTTCCTGTTTGTTTGATGAGACTTTTCGATCGTCTCACGTCACCCCAAATATGCAATAAGTGAAAATGAGACTTATGCAAAATGATACTTATCGAAATTCTTTGTCACATGCTATACTATAATTTGACCAAGTATTATATGCATCTTTTCTTATCTTTTTGCGAATTTTTTAGTCATCTGGTACCTAAAAAAATACAAAGGAGAAGAAATCGCCCTCCATGTGCTGCTCTAAACCGGATCTAAAATTAAAATTATAACTGAAATGAAGACATAAAATACCCATCTTCCTTATCCGATTCTTCAATCTCTTGATCCGTATCATCCTCCGTACTGGAGTCATTCAACATTTTCTACGATATCCGTCTTGACGACGGGGTCCAAAAAATAAAATTATCACAGAGGTGATGAAAATGTATTCTAAATGCGAAAAGGTGTGGGGAAATCGAAATGATTATGGAAATCGCATTTTAACACTAAATAACGCTATTTTTTATGTTCGTTTGACACGGTTTATTAAATATGTAATATCTTGCACAATTTTATCCTCTATCTACAACTCACTTTCTTGATCCTCTCCGCTTTACACACGATTACTGTAAATTACCGGTAATTACAGTCTGTAATGCTTCTTGGATATTTCACAAAATGTAATATCGAGATTTTGATGATGATCTACATACATATATTGATACTGTTTTTCAATTAAATACATGGAATGTTCTTGAGCGCACCTATATAAAAAGATTCTTCAAAAGGTACACTATGGGGATCTATTCGTGGTGGTGCTCATCAAGGCTTCCGTAGGTCTGAAATTCATGTTGAGTCATTAATTGGCAGAACAGAGAGACATGAATTGATTATTATTTACATACCCCGTAGTAAAACCCCCCTTTTTTCTCAAATTTGTGATTCTTGATAGGGGACGTCTCGCTTTTCTTCAGGCGGACCTTCATTGCCAAATACTTTACTTTCTGGGAAGAAGCAGTAGAAATAATGAAAATGGATGCTGGAAAGTACAGAAAAATCTGTTTAAAATAATTTAATCTGTTTGTCTCACAATTGAAGTATTCAAATGTATTAAAATTCAGGCACCCAGATAATGTACACAAGTACTTGATTCGTGTAACATCCTTTTATGTCGGTTTCCTCGTCGTTTTCATAGGTCTTTGTGCAGGTGATGACATGATGATTTTTTTGCATACTTATCTAAAATGTGTACGTATTTTTTTGCCATTACAGGTCGCGTAGCTCCAGTGGCTACAGGTACTAGTGATGCTCTGACGAATGACAATGTATGCATTAATTATTTTGAATGAAAAAACGAAAATGCTGACTTAGGTGCACCAACTCAACTGGTGATCCTATGGTCAAGATTATTCTTTCCTTCAATCCATGCGTGGAAGTATTTGCACATTCTCCGATGGTTTGGAATCGTAGTCTACGTTTACCTTCTCATGTGTTCAAAAGTCTACATTCTGCTTTTGCTCTATATTTGCAAAATTTTGAAAAATGCTTATGCAACATGGAACGAACGTCTTGTCACTGTGATTCATAAAGGGAAAAAGGAAGAGAAAAAGTCAAGAAAGGAACCTTGTGCTGCACGAACCGGATTTGATCATCTACATACGTCGGATATGAATGAAAAATGACTTTTTCCATTTATTGACCTACAGTCGCCAAACTTTCTGAGAATGTTTATGGTCAGTAGTAGGTCACGTAGGTCAAAGCATATTTTCTCATATTGGTCATATTTTCGGGTTTTGGAACATATTCATATTCCCGATCATATTTCGGGGTTTTTTCGTTCATTTTATCATTTTTGGCCAAATTCTAAGATTTGGCAACCAAATCGACTGAAAATGACTAAAAATTCAGTTTTCTCACAATGATTCATTGTGAGAAACTTTCAGAAATTTACGTTCATTTTCGCCTCAAGTGATTTAATTCATTGGGAATGCATTAAATCACCCCAGAACTTGTTTATTTGATAAAAAATGAGCATTACAAGAAAATATATCAAAAAATTAAACCAAACATTTAAAAAATAAAGTCATTTTTATGGTCATATTTTGGGGATTTTTACGGTCATTTTTCATTCATATTTTGAGGTTTTATCGATCATTCATATCCGACGTCTGATCATCTATTTCGAGATTATGTCGTATTATTGGATTTGTTACGAGGTACACATGGTTAAATCCCACAAATTGGTCTCCTCCTTCAAAACTTGTCAAAATCTAGAGTGTATATTTTTAATAAATTGGTACTGACCTGGTCTACAAATGGATCTGATAGAATTTAAAAATAAATTCCCAGAACGGAGAAATGCGTAAAAATGTTCAAATTTTTAGACCTATGACGTCACAGGCGATGAGTCACCTAATCCTACGTTAACAATTCTACTAATAATGTCATGATACGTGTTACAAAAATAGGTGCAGATACAATGTTTGCAAATGTAATTGAGTCCTATTTCGGGACTCAAGTATTCAGCCTCTGCTTTGAAGTGTACTATCTACTGCGAACATTCAGTGCCCATGACGAGTTTGCCTTTGGTGATACAAAATACTTACGAAATGAATTTGAATACCGAGTCTCAAATGTCGTCTCGGTTAATTGTCCGTAATGCTGAATTGACCAGTTTTCTAATTTGTCAGCGAGGAAATTGGATGGAATCTTGATCACGATTTACCTGTTTCATTCCGTGATAATGCTTCTGCTAGCAACGAACGCTTCCGCACAAGTTGGAGTGGCAATGGAAGGGTTGGAAATTATCAGGCGCAACGGGTGCATCGGGCACAAATCCATCAAGGAAATGTATTTCACCCTCAGTTTATGGCATGTAATTAAATGCCGCCATAAAAATATGGATTTTGCCCGATAAAATATGGAGTTTTGCCCTAAATGATATTTGCCCGAATATATTACTTTTTTTGCCCCCTAATAATCTTTGGAATTAATAAAATGACTGGCCACATAATTAAAAGCAAGTATAAATACACATATCTAACAGTAATTAGAGTTCGCTGATCAAAAAATTATATTTCCACTCAAGTCAAAAAATCATATAACATTGTCAGTTCGTTAAAACATTATTTAACCGCACAGGAAGCTGAAGAAGTTATTGAAAATGAGAATCAATTGGTATATAAAGAAAGTAACAAGCATTAGATTATTAAGTTTTAAATAAGGTAATCCGCAGCATTTGGTCATTGAGCTCAAAACTCAAAATTCAGCATTGCTCTATACGGTTCTTATAGCCTAAGACTTGAAAGATTTTTGGTTACTAAATAGAGTAGTGGGGGTATTAAATATTTGCTAAAATTTCAAAATAGTTGTAGAGAGCTGAAATTTAGCATGAAGGACGGATTACCTTATTTAAAACTTAATAATCTAATGCTTGTTACTTTCTTTATATACCAATTGATTCTCACTTTCAATAACTTCTTCAGCTTCCTGTGCGGTTAAATAATGTTTTAACGAACTGACAATGTTATATGATTTTTTGACTTGAGTGGAAATATAATTTTTTGATCAGCGAACTCTAATTACTGTTAGATATGTGTATTTATACTTGCTTTTAATTATGTGGCCAGTCATTTTATTAATTCCAAAGATTATTAGGGGGCAAAAAAAGCAATATATTCGGGCAAATATCATTTAGGGCAAAATCCATATTTTTATGAGGGTCGAAAATTATATCCCTCAGTTTATACATGAGCTACACAGGTCACTTTGAGACCGCCTTGACTGCAGGAAAATTCGTTACTTTCGACCGATCTTTCATGGTCTCTCTCGTGGGAACAATATTTTCATACTTTATCATTCTCACTCAGTTTACACCTCCCCTCTCGATGTTAGACCCGAATAAGTTAGAATTGATTAATACCAAGCATCTTATCATCAATGTGGAAAGTACATATCAAATCAATGCGGATATGAAAGTCGGGTACTAAGCAACATTACCACATAAATAACTAAATATGTATCAGTCGAATGACAAAATATAAAGTTTTATAAAAATGACCAATACAATATTCAATTAATTGATTAACCATATACGAAATCATGAAGCACAGATATTTCCCAGTATTTCTATTTATGCCTTTATTTTTGTAGATTTTAGTTTTACAAGGTACGATTAATAATGATACTGATAATTTTCTTGATATATGTACACGTAATCTATAAGAATTGAAGGAGGTACATTAATTTGATATGCTTCGACAAGGCTTTCATCTCCCTGAACCTTAGAGAGGTGTAGACAATGTTTGACCACAATACTTTGCACTATAAAGCCATTTAACCTATACACTGCTACGTTGAAAAAATAAAATGTCACACACTATGCCAGTCTAGAATATCCCATCAACTTGAGAACTGAAATTGTTATTAGTTTGCTTTTAATGAAAAGTCAAACTTTTAAAAATAATGGTAAGGAATAAAAGCAATCATTAATAACAGAAAGTTTTTCTGGACAATCTAATAATTTATACATTCATTGGAGAAGGTTAGTTAGTTGGCGGGGCTGGTACTGCAGGCATGATGAACCCTGGTTTCCATCCCGCAAATGCGGGAAGAGCGTACGTAGCAGACTCAGCAGTAGCAGAAAAAGTAGCTGCTGCAGCGGTAGCGGCAGCGCGTTTGGAATCTGCCTCATCTTTTGGATATGGACAATTCCTGAAATTTGAATAGGAATTAATGAATAAAATGTTACAAAAAACATAAACACTATTTTTATACTTACACTGCAATGTGTCCTCTCTCTCGACACAAGATACACTTACGTTTTTCTAAAAATAAGTAATTTAAAAAATAAATGGGTTCATTCACATAACATTACTTGAAGAATAACTTACCGGGTTTATTAACTCGACCACCACGACCTCCACTAAATCCACCTCGACCACCGGCTGGTGCTGCTCCTCCTCCTCCACCACGACCTCCACTAAATCCACCTCGACTACCGGCTGGTGCCGTTCTTCCGCTCCACCCCACCGTGTCCACCTTCAGGGTATATCCCTGACCGGGAAGCAAACCGGTTGGGAGTTGGAAGTAGCTATTCTGTTGGTTTTTCATCTAGAAATAAAACAAGTTATTACTTTGCTAACATAGCTTTTATTTACTAATTACCTATGTTTTGAAAAACTTACCTTCACGAAGACAGCAAACCAAAAGACGAAGAAAAACGCGAACACAAGAAACAAGAATTCGGATCTGTTGGAGAAAATTTGTTGATAATTATAATTTAAATAAAAAGAACATTAATTAATAATCAATAATTAATTGATTATATCTTACCAATTATTAATTCAGTTGCAAATAGAGAGGGAGAAAAAGCAGAACGTTCCGCAGTCGGCGGGTTGATATTTGGGTATGAGACAAAAAAATTGAACCACTTGTAGCTCAAATTGCCCGCGTGCTTCAATTTTTTTGTCTCATACCCAAATATCAATCCGCCGACTACGGAACGTTCTGCTTTTTCTCTCTCTTTAATTGCAACTGAATTAATAATTGGTAAGATATAATCAATTAATTATTGATTATTAATTAATGTTCTTTTTATTTAAATTATAATTGTCAACAAATTTTCTCCAACAGATCCGAATTCTTGTTTCTTGTGTTTGCGTCTTCCTCTCTTTGGTTTGCTGTGTCTTCGTGAAGGTAAGTTTTTCAAAACATAGGTAATTATAAGACCTGGGCCCAATTTTTCATGGTACTTTTCACTTCGCACTTTTCAACTTTTCACAAATTTTGCAGAGCAGAGGGTTTATCAGCGATCGTGATTTGTAAAGCGAAAAGTCGACACCGCAGAGGTTTCGAAAAGTGCAGAGAAGGGACCCGTTTTTCAAGGTGTCGCTCTGCAAAATACTCTTTACACTTTGCACAAAAAAGTGCAAAAGGTCAAGAGGCACTTCACCCCTCACTTTTCAAAACTTTTACTGCGGCTCAGACAATTTTGCTCCCTTTCGGGAACCAAGTTATCAATAAATGGCCAATTTTGTCTAATTTATATTTTTCATTTGTGCTAAACGTAAGAACTACATATACAATTTAATTCCTAAACAAATATTTTAACAGCTTTATTTAGAATATTGTAATAGATTAGGAGCAATATATAAAAATAATATCACAACTGGGAATTTTTCAGAATGCGTATGTTTTCGCCCGTAGTGGAATTAAAAAAAATCGGCCACAATCAGAATTTGTCAACACGCTGTCACTTTTCGAATTTTAACCCGATTTCCAACCTTAAACACAGTTTGTGCACCGAATTACTCTGAAATTATTTTTTTAAACATTAAAAAACTTGCAATTTTCAAAAAATAACGTTTTTGGTAGTTTAAAAACTTAGAAATAGCATTAAAATATTGAATTTGTAAAATTTTATAAAATTTTAATGAGTTTTTGGAATAATGAAATCCATGGAATTTTGTTTTTGCAAATTTACCCAGCATTTGAGGATATTCTTATGTATTTCGCAAAGTCATCCTCGCTATATCAGCAAAAGAGGAATTACAGAAGTCCAAAGAAACAATATTAAAATAGGTGTTTTAGTAGATTTGCGAATCCTCTAACGACAGAAGTATTTTGATCTTCGAAAGTTGTTTAAATGAGTTGCGATGCGAAATAAGAGGATGTCGTGGACGCCTAAATTTTCAGCCAAATTAAGGAAATTTAAAAATGCTGTAAACCTTTCAAATTTAAACGCTTTTTCAAAAACGAAAGAACATGTTTTATGGAAAGTAGTTTGCTTTTTTTGTCACTATAATTTATTTCGAGTCGCTGTCTTCGTTCTTCTTCGATTTTAAAATTTTTCTTTTACAACTTTGGTTTTTTCTTAGGTGGGGCTATGGTTACTGAAAAATTACCTAAGTAAGCACTTATGTTTCATACATATAATTAAAGTTAGGTTACCCAAGGTAGTAATATTTTTGTTTTTAGGGATTGCAAGATTAGAGTGTTTGGCGTCTAACCAAAATCATCTTAGTTTCTACGATTTGTTTCGATCAGGGGACAACGCCGCCGCCACCGATAAATCTGATTTCCCATCCCATCAACATTGTGTCGTCATGCCGCCGGGCCGACGCCGCCGAATAAATCACCAAAATTGGCGCCGCCGCAAAATTGATCGGCATTGACCTTTGCTTCAGGTAGGATCAAATCAAAGTATGTTGGATTTTTGTTGAATAAAGCTAGGTTAGCAAAGTAAGACTGATTTTAGGAAGATGGACTAGAGACTTCCTATTATTGTTTAATCCCTTTAGGGTTGAGATGGTAAAAGAAATTTGTTTTCATTTTTGGAGGTCGTGTATGAGATAAAGTTTCGCGTTTCATACAAGAGCTGGAAAAATGAGACCAAATTGCTTTTACCATCTCAACCCTAAAGCGATCCAACAATATTAGTGACACTAAATTTAATAAAAATCTAATGTAGTATAAAATAGATTTTTTTTCTGATCAAAAATGGCTGCGTAATCATTGAAAAACTGATATTTTACTCTTTACATTAACAATAATTATTCAAAAATAATTATTTAGCAAAATATAATTCATTTGAATTAACATTAAGAAGTTAGTGAGGGTATTCAGTATTTGTTCGTGTCGTAAAATAACTTGCTACAGTTACGATATTTCGTAAGCGTCGTAAGATTTTGTCATTGAACATCACTTTACTACGCTTACGATTTTTACGAACCTTCACCCCTTGGGTTTTCGTAAAATATTTTACGATACTAACTATACGAAAAAATAATGAATACCCTCAGTTTAATGGTGTCCAGCAACATTGCTGGAATGCTCTATAGTTCTTTGACATTCATGCTTATGGGATTTAATAAATTCAAAAACATGGCTGGAATGGGATCGTGCAGGTAATTAAATTATAATTTCTTTGATTTGCAGGGAAGATTACCAGATTTTCGTCCGTCATCGTTGGCTACGTTTTAGATTTATTTAGCTTTTTAATACTTGTACATTCTAGTTAATAATTGTTTGTTAAAAAAAGTTTACGGTTTGAATAAAGAACTGCTTTGTGCGGTTACAAAAAGTAACTGCTTTGTGCGGTTACAAAAAGTAACTGCTTTGTGCGGTTACAAAAAGTAACTGCTTTGTGCGGTTACAAAAAGTAACTGCTTTGTGCGGTTACAAAAAGCAACTGCTTTGTGCGGTTACAAAAAGTAACTGCTTTGTGCGGTTACAAAAAGTAACTGCTTTGTGCGGTGCAAAATAAAGCTCAAAATCAATTTTGTGATTTTGTAAAATTTAAAAATGGATCAAATTCTTAAATATCATTCATGGAATGCAAACGGAATAGTGGGGCTGATTGACCCGCATATGGTAAAGATGAATAAAATGTTTACAAATGTTTGGAAAGATGCCGATTTGGTTTTCATACAGGAAACCAAGTTGCATCCTTCTAAAGTAGATAATGTTAAAGCACTTGCCGGAAAATTTGGGTATGAATTCATGTTTAATGATTCGGAATTTGGAGTAACCCCAAATTGGATGAATTATGGAGTTGGCCTGTTTTTTAAGAAGGGCCTGAGTGTAACAAAAATAGAAAAGTTACCTTCAGAATGTCCTGTAAAAAATCCTGCCAGGATTATGGCAATCAAAGTTGACACGCCTCTCTTTGCGAAAGGAATATATTTTGTTAACTTGTATCTTCCAGTTAATCATCAACCTGATCCCAGTGGAACCAGAACTCTAGAAAGAGAAAACTGGGTTAGAACACTTGATGTGTTATCAGATAAATTGAGAGATAAAGGTGCAATATATGTTGGTGACTTTAATGCGATGCAACGCAACAATACTCTGGTTCCTTGAATGAACAGCAATGATCCAAGATGCGTCTTTTATGAAAAGTTGAAAGGAATCTTTGATAAATATAAATTTCTCAATGTGTCCGAAAAATTGTGGAAGAAGGACATTTACACTAGGTATATGTTTCAAAATAATGCATATCGAAAATCTCGTATTGACCATGTCGTAGCCTCTGTAAAGATATGTGAGTTAAACCATACTATTAAACCTACATATAATACATCGATAATGATGTTAAGTGACCACTTGAACATCGAATGTTCCATTCGTTTTGCTACAGATGCATTGCCAAACGTAATGAACTCCGACAAAATTGAATGTGATCCTATTGAATATGAAGGATCACAAGGGCTGGTTTGTCCCTTTTGTGACTATAAACCAGAATATCCATCACACTTAGTTCTTCACATTCGCATGCATACGGGAGAAAAACCGTATGTTTGTTCCAAACTTTGTGGTTTCCGAACTGCTTACCCCAACAGTTACGCCGGGCACCTGAAAATTTGCAACGGCCCATTCATTGTTATGCATTGCCCTAATGAACAATGTAGTGCGTCAACTCCTTTCCAAACACAGTGTGGAATGCAACAAGCGTCGCCAAAAAATGAATGCACAGTACAAATGTTGGAAATGTTCCGTTTCTTGCGATAATCTTGGTGCCTGGCAAAGACACTTGGATACTGAAAGACACAATAACGATAATTATTTATCATGGTTCAGTTGTGTCCCATGCAATAAGGCGTTTACTGAGCCGTATAAATACAACCGCCATTTGGAAACCTCTACCTGCCTTGCCTCTACATCTCCATCAGGTTAATAGAGAGACGAAACCTTTATCGAGACATATCAAATTAATATCCTCCTTTTATTCTCATATCCTTTGTAATTGTTCAATGGTTTTGAAGACATTTAATAAATTCAGATTATATGCACTCAGAACAAAATCGTCAAAAAATCGCTACCAGGCGGTGTCTATATATGACCTCACCGGTATGGTAAGAATTTGCTACAGGATATTTGTCAATTTCTTCACCGTGTCGTTGCAGTTTTTATCCGCATTTGCTATATCAACACTACCGGAAAGTAGCAAACTTCTACTGATCTGGAAGCATTATCGTTACCATATTATATGAAATTGTAACAAATTGGTAAGAACCAGGGTAGCAAATTTTAGAAACAAATAATATATTTTATTATAGAACACTTTAATATATTTTCATTGTTCCATACATACATATTTGATATAATTATACAAAAAATAGTTTATAATACCAAAAAACGAGCTATATTAATATTTAAATATGATGCCTTACAGATACAAATATTCCATCGGAATTACAATTGTGCATCAATTCCATGCGTTCATGGATTTCTAATTTCGTTACATCACATAACTCATACCATCGTGTTTCAATTTTCCTCTATAACTAAAATAATGTCTATCAAAATATTGTACTTCTAATTTATTAAGCAGCAAATAGCATGTTTTTTCATCTGTAATTAGAAATTCAACGATAACTCCAAATTTTGGAAACACAGGGTCGTGACCAAAACATACAATATAATTGTGTTTGTAATTGTAATTATTGAACCAAATTTGATTTGTCGTGCAAATTTCTGTTTCTTCATCACATTTTTCAAAACCATTAACTTTTCTCAAGAGTTCAATTGCATCAAATGGGTTGGAAAATTGGCATAGTTTAATACTCAAAATATTCTCAACTTTTAATTCGTTTAATACAATATTTTTTGACATAACTGCAGCATATTGCTGATGGCGAATGGAAAGTGTGTAAGAAATATTCCTAAAATTTTTTGTGTGATTCGCCAATTGCACAAAATAATTGTGCTTCCCTTCAAACCTCATTGTCCAAAGGGAAATCAAAGGACCAGTCTGTCTAATAACATAAGAGTAGTGACACATAAAATGGTGCTTTGGAATCAACCGATTTTCAGGAAATAATTCTTTAAATTTTGAATGATGTGTAATAATAAGAGAATCTAATTTAAAAAGAATTGCTTCAGAAAAGTTTCTACAAAATACAATGTTTAAAATTTCTAATAACAAGAGAATTAATTCCCAAAATTTCTTGGCATCACTTGTTACAATTAAGTCGCCAATTATGATTGGAAGATGCCTTATGAGGCACCAAGCTTGTGCAGCTTTTTGGCCAATTCTGTTGCTATTATTGTCTAGTCTAAGAGGCCGATTCTTCGAATCTAAGTAACTATAATCGTATGAAATAATTCTTTGGTTAATTTTTCTAAATCTAAACATTTTAAAAATATAAGTTTTTGAACTACGAGTTTTATTTCGTATGGAACCACCTTCAAGCAAATCATGCATTATATCCAATGATGGCGAATCTAAAAAATTAAAAAACTTTAAATAATTTAAGGCGCATGGTCTCTGAACGCCAAAACTTTTGCCTTGAAGGTGCTCGGCATAATTTACCTTGTTTCTTAATACCATATAGCAATGCTTATATGTAATTTGGGCTTCATCCTTACTTGTGCAGCATAATCTACAATAGTAATTAGAATTGAACGACTCATGGAACCCATAAATTGCATTTCCTCCCAAATTATCGAAAACAACAGTGGAAATAGGTCCAAACAATCTATTTGCACCATTTATTTCGATTCCTTGGCTTTCAAGAAGTTTCAAATCAGGAATGATTAAATTTAAAATAGAATTTATCCCATATTTTTGGGCATCTTCAGAATAGAATAAAGCAAGTAAGTGAATCTGACTGAGCTGGAAATTAATAAAGTCGGGCAGATTACGAAGTACAAAATAAATTGCCCCTATTTTATGTATTGCTCGCTTCGATCCAAGAGGATTAACAGTCTCGAACATAAAATAATTGCAGTTGAATAGAATTGGGGAATTTGGAAAACAGCTCGTTTGTTAAATAAGATTTGGAATTTTGAAAACATGAATAACTTCTTCAATCATTGTTTATAGAATAAAAATATTTTGAAAACTCAGGAATTGACACAATTTTTTCCAAAGTTTTCAACAAAGGGACGTACATAAAGGTGTCTTCAGCTATTACTTGCAGTCGTTTTGTATTGTGACTTCTAAGCTCAACTCTATTTCCTAAAGTCAACTCTTTCGGCATAACAAAATGATCATTTTCTTTAAAAAGCTTTTGCCTTTGATAAACTGATTTGACCTTATCAAATGCTTGAAGTAAGCTAAATATTTGTATTTGAAATGACTCGAAATTATTTGATGGAATTGCACTGTCGCCAATTTTAAGAATCAAATTAAAAATATCATTCATTGAATATTTCAACTCTTTCACTATAAAATCTACTGTGGAGTTGCTGACACCAGTTGCAAGTAAAGTGAAACAAAAATTGGTTAATGATACTGTCATCACCTTAATTCCTAAATCTTGTCAACGTACAAATACAAAAAGGGAAATTCGTTTAGTTAATTTAAAAAAAATAGAAATTATTGAGAATAACGATCATAGCTTAAATCATCGGAGAGTTGATGCTATCGTTAGCTTCATAAGTAAGCTCCGTTTGTATTTCTCCAATGAGAGTGACCACGCTTTGACTGTTACTACTTTGTGTGAGACAGACACAACATGGTGAGAATGTAACACAATAGTTTTGTGAAAAATCGTTACGAGGGCCGGTAATGAATCGAAATGTTACAATACGGGGTCGATTTGCTACAGAATTTTATTAAACTTCTCATAGTTTATTTACAAACATACTTATTTTTACGGTAGCAACCAAAGATGAAAATTGTGTCAATGTTGGTGACAATTTTAACACAATTTCAGTAAGAACAGCCTTTACTATAGGTTGGTAGCAATTAAATTCAGGCTTTTGCTACCAACTTGCTTAGAGTGTGGTAGTACGGCTGACATTTATATTTTGCACAGTAATACCCAGGTTTACAGTTTTTACCGAGACAGCATTCAGGGTTTTTTACTTTCTTGCAGTCCTTTCTGGCCTAAGTTTTACCAAAATTATTAGGATATATTAGGTAAGGGGAACTTATTACATGTTCTTGTGTTGTAAGAATTTATGTTTTTCCCATACTTTATGGTCCCACTTCGGAGGCTCGTACTTATCCTCGTGTTCATCCTCGTCATCCTCGTCGTCATCGCAATATACAACTTTTGAAATCAAAATTATGAAAAGTGCAGTCGTAGATAAAGAACACAGCAAATTAAATTTGATCATGTTCACGACGACACCGACAGAGCTTATGCTGACTCTTTGCTACTTCTTGCAGACTGTGCGCAGAAGAATATTTCCATTCATGTAGGAAATTTTGATGCTTATCTCGCCAGTTTTAATAGAAATAGTGATGCAGGATAATTAATATTCTGCAAATTATCATAATCATGATGAAGGTATGAAAATTGTTGTGTCGTTCCTAGTTATTGTAATATCAATTGTCACTTGTACACACTTATGCGGGATATACATGTATGTATATAAATAAATATTTGCTGGGTATTACGGTGCTTGGGGTTAACAAACTAATTGTCAGTGTTATTAGAAAGGATTCATGGGGTGTCCAGCTTGTAAAAGAAAAAGAATGACATTCACAATTGTGAATGTTATTCCAGATGCATACTGCATACATTGGTCATATATTAATGAGTTATTATTGATGTAGAAATTGACCTAAATGAAATTAGTGGTAGCTGGATTATATGCTCCTATGCAAGTAATGAGAAGTTAGAACTATTCACTATATTTCTGGGCGTTGGATATAGAATTTAACAAATCTTTATTTGTAATATTTATTCTGCTTTTTGATAATATTAATTTTGCATATATATTATATTTAGGCGCAAATCAAAAAAGTCGTAGCGTGGTCAGAAGAGTGGATTTCTTCATAATATTGAGAAATAATTATGTTAAATTTGTAAATCTAATACGAAAGCTCATATGAATATTTTTCTGTGAACTGAACTAAATTAAGGCAACTTGGCAGTCGACATAAATACCAGAGGCTTATTTTTGTCGCGGACGGAATCCGTAATATTTCAATTAGTTGGTAGTCTTATATTATTGTGACGAATTTGGCTGAATAATCAACTTTTTCTTCAGTCTTTTCACTTCCGTCCCGTGTGGTAATCTTTCTTCGTGCACCTGAACTTGTTGAAAGTGACCAGTACGATCCTGATGATGATGATTGTTATGAACCTTAACGTGACGGCCTTGTCCATGACGACTTTCACGGTCTCTTATTGTTTCTCTTTCTCCATTTCCTCTATCTCGGTAGCCTTCAAATGGAGCATGATGATTATATCGAGATGAGGATGAATGGGGTTGATTTGAACGTTGAGGGTAGTGGGGATGACTACTTGTCCCACCATAACCATATTCAAATGGATGATTAGTGGTTGGTGGGTGTGGTCGTCTAGATGATGATGACGGCGCAAGATGAAATGGAACAGCATTTTCCGCTTCTGCATTTCGGCGCTGGTTAATATTTCTTCTTGTAAAGTGGTGTTGTTGTATTGAACTGTGGTGTTGGTGGTGACTGGGTCGTGCTTCTAATTGTTTGTTCAACTCTCCAAAATCAATGCCCAACATTCTTACTACGTGTTTCACATCAAAATCTATATGGAGTAGAATATTTAATATTGTGTATTAAACAATAACACTTATATACTTATTTAGGCAGAATATTTACCAGCGCCATCAATAAGGTATCCGTGACGCACGAGCAATTCTGTTAGAGCGTGCTGAAAATCTATCAATTTTCGTTTTGCTTTTGATAATTCTTGAGTCATCCAAATCACTTCGCCACCAGCACTTGCAACCCCCGCTCCAGAAGTTTTGGCACATTCGCGTAAAAGCCGTTTAATCCCCTAAAGAAAAAAAAACAAACAAAATATCATGATAGTAATCATCAAATCAAAACATGCATATAAAACACCCTCCAAAATATGTAAATACTAACGTTTTCATGTTCCTCATCTTTTTCTTTTAAGGTTTTCCTATTGATGCTGATAGTTCTTCGCATCTGCTTACTTTCACGCTAAGAGAAGAAAAAAACAAATACAGTGTCATGTCATTTATAATTTATAATTAACCCACAAAATTATATTTTTTTTATCTCTCACCTCCAACTTGTCGACATTTCTCTCTAATTCCTTTGCGCTAGACCGGAGCTCTACAACTTTAACAAATACCTTGCAGAATAACCGTTGTAAATCAAATACGGAAAGACTAGCTAGCCTTGTTACAAGTTCAGCTCTCTCCTGTAAATGATTCGAATAAATAAAATACATGAATGAAAATCAATATGGACAATAATAATTAAACTTTATATTGCTATATAAATATAACCTGTCCAGGAGCTAGCTCATCCAAAAGGACCGAAGATTGTCCACCACAAATGATTTCATTCTTGAATTCAATTGCTAAATCAATCGCTTCAATTGCTTCTTCCAATTCAAATAATTGTTTTTCCTCCTCTTCCCATCGCACTCTATATCCGCTTGTTTCATTTGCCTAAACATTAAACGCAAATATAATTAGTAGCAATAAGAAAAATGGCAGTATAATCTGCCCCAATAACACTGAACCATCCAATTCCGTGAAAAAATGTTACAATCTAATTGTCAGTCGACGTTGTGTAGAATGCGCAAGTGAGAGTTTTACCTTTTTAGCAGCTTTCAATCTCTTAATCATTCTTTTCCTCTCCAAGTTAAGTGGTTCTCGAGCATCTCTCAGCTTTGCCACTTCACTCCGTGCACATTCCGGATCCTCACGAAATGAAGACAATAACAGTCCAGAAACGGAAGTGTCGTCAGTCTGAGTTTCGACACACTTGATGCCGTTAATCTCACAGTTAATTCTGGATGATGATCGTAAAGGAGCAATATTACTGCTATGATAACTAGGCACTATTGGTTCTTCTTCTGTTTGAATTCCGACATTGACAGATTTCCTTCCTCGCAACACCCCACGGTCGAAGAATCTTTCCGCATCGTCAACTTTCGAGTCTAGTTTTTGCCTAAATTTAAGAAGTGCATCGTCAAAAATCGGCTCAGACTCAGAACATTCGTCTTCGTCTAGAAAGTCGAGATCTTCTTCAGATTCGGATGCTGAGCTGTTTTCTTTGTCTCCTTCGTTGCTGAAATCGTCGTCGTCGTCGTCAAATTCCTCGCCACCAGACACCGAACCTGGTGAAGATGATATAAATTCTTCCGGGTCAAAGTCGCTGTTGACATGATTTTGAAGGTTAAAGTTGTCCTGATTTTGGTACGATTTCTCATTGTCAAGAATCTAATATATATTTATATTTTTTATAGTACACATTTAAAATTTATGAACGTACAATTCGTACAAATTTGTTTACCATTTCTTTTGAATTTAATGATCGACCTGTTTCCTTCTCTCCTCCAACCACATCGTCGGTCGTGCCAGTCATCAAGGGGATATTGTTCGGTGACTCCATGTCCCACCCAGCATTAAGTGACTCTAAAACTACAAATTACAACAATTATGTTCTACTAAAGTAAATTACACTAACAAAACTGAAACAGTTGCACATACTAAAAAATAGCATGTGTGCATGCAGTAAACACAGTAAATATTAGAAAGGTGGAAATGACGTCTGTGAAGCTGTACCTGGGTTTGAGTGCACTGCTGCCGCCCACCGTCCAGCTTCCTACCGCCAACCGCCGCCTCTCTTCCTACCGCCAACCGCCGCCTCCCTTCCTACCGCCTACCCGCAGATGCCACTTCCAAAAAACCTTGTACATCGACTTCTCTAACCCTTCGCCGTACCATAATAACCCAAAATGTTAATTTTACTCTAAAATACTCAAGAAATCCCGAAAACTAACTAACAAACTAACAAAATAATCCGCATAGATTCCTACAGCGGGATTTCAATCCACCGCCTCCATGCTTGTATATATTACTGACCGCACCCCCGGTCATCATTTAATGCGGACCCGCACCCGCCAGATCCCTCTGGTCAAAATTACCAAACCGGTAAAAGTCATGACTTGGACTTTTTGCTAATTTTGACTTTGTCGCCGTTTCCTACAGCGGGATTTCAAACTACCGCCTCCATGCTTGCATATGTTATTGACCGCATCCCTGGTCATCATTTAATGCGGACCCGCACCCGCCAGATCCCTCTGGTCAAAATATCCAAGCCGGTAAAAGTCATAACTTGGAGTTTTTGCTAATTTTGGGTTTGTCGCCGTTTCCTACAGCGGGATTTCAGACTACCGCCTCCATGCTTGCATGTATTACCGACCACACCCCTGGTCATCTTTTGGTATGGTCCCGCACCCTCCAGATGCATCGGATCCATATAAATAAACTCAGAGTTACTTTTGCCTTCTTCCTTGGTTTTACTTTGATTCTCAATAATGAACATGTAGTATAGATTCGTATAACTTAAATTTATAAGCTTATCAAGTTAGTCAAATGGCGAGATGTTGGAAAGCTCTTTTCTTGCTTGGTGAAGTGGTGTTTTCAAGACATCAGAGTAAATTAGCTCCAGTGTTTCGGGAAGCAGAACGGTTGTTACTTGTAAAATGTCCTGAAATAAGAATATATAGTAAGAATGCATAATACATAATTTCTTTAAATGTAAATTGTGAAATAATCATTGTCAAGATACTTCAAATCCTAGAGCAGAGATGTTTTTAAGCTTTTGGATATCGGAGGAAACTGTGGAACATATCTTAGAGCAAGATTTTGTGGTAAATGGATATGATACCACCATTTGCTGCAAATTTCCAGAAAAGTTTGGCTTTCGTTCCACCCACATCTGCGTAAATAATGTATTAGAATATTACTATATCAGGTTCTAGTTAAATAGCTGGGAAAATTTAGCGACCTTTTGTCGAGCACATTTGTAGCCGCCGACAAAGTCATCCCGATTGGCCAAGTAAAGTTCCATTATGTCTTCTTTAATGTTGGAGTAAGCCATCATGAGTGAATCCTCAGTAAGATTCTCAACGATTCTGTACAATAATTACAATTAAATTCATCGTCCATATTATTATGTATTTGCAAGTTACTTATATCGCTGATATTGTTTCTCCTGGGTGACAAATTCTTCACCCAAAACTTGCTTCCGCAGCGATTGCTTGGCTAAGAATATAAGAGATTTTTATTGTTATAACTGTTATAAGAAATTTGGTAATAAATGTTTGCAAAAATTCAGTTAGGCCAATCAGACCAGAATTCCCTTGCTGATCCGTCAGAATGTCCGAGACTATTTTCCTGAACTTTGACTCCAGGTTAGCTGTGGTAGTCTCCTCTTCTTCCGCGGATGTTTTATTACGCCTTTGCCTATTTTTCCCGAATTTGTATAGGAATAAATTAGTATTTAGACTAGAATAAAACATCTTTCAGTCGGGCATTTTTGTAGAATACGCTATCAAACGGTTATTAAAGTTCGTTTAAATATTAAATACTACATTACCGAGTCTCCAAACATCCATCCATAGTTCGTGCTACATTATTTTGATTGTTCAGAGTAAGAACTTGTTGAAGGGGTTGAGAAGACCTGTCTCTCCCAATCTTTTGAACCCTTGCATTCTCTCTTGCCTTCTCCTCGTCAAGCTTGGTAAGCTCAGTCCTATTATGTAAATATCTATTTTTTCGTTCGCCTTTTTTTCTTTTGCTCCATGTCTCCTTGCATTCTTGAACTTCTTCTTGAATTAGTCCTTTGGAATATCTCCACGTTCGATTTCGTCGTCATTTTGCAGCGTTTTTGTAACTAGCTTAGCTTCTTTGCTTGCTGGTTTCTTTGGTAGATTGTCGAATACAAATTTTTTGTTTTTACCATTTGTAATTTCAAAGCGATGCTGAACAAAGTCGGCGACATTTTCCGGTTCCACGATAAGATTTTGCTTTAATAGCCGAAACTCTGATTCACATGATCCATTCGTTGCCCGGACAAAGTTGGCGTTCTTGGTTTGCTGCACAACTCCACGTGCGAAAATTCCAACGTATGGGGCGTATGTGTTTTCAAACACGTTCAGCACAGCAGGATTGTAAAATGGGTTCAACTCTGCATCCTAATTCACGTGTTTTTCTTCAATTCTTCTTATTTTCTGAAAAGTGTGGTAGAATGGCGACTTCTCACGTAATAACCTACTTGCGTTTACTTCTTCCTCGTCTGGTCCTGCATAGTCATCCACTATAACGTCCCCATCCACCCATTCTTCAAGAGAAATTGACTTGATTCGCGCGAGATTGTGTTGGACATCTTCGGGAGACATCTTCTCCTTCCCAAATAGGGTACATATATCCTTCATGGCGATTTCCACGTCGTTTAGCGTTGACGCCTCTTGTAATTTGGCTAACCCTCGCACGCTCGCGTCCACGATCTCATTTCGAAATTTATGTCCAACGGTTTTCTTGCGAACATTGTCAAGAAATGACTTTGTCAAATGAGATGCACACAATTGTATGCACGCCGTATCTCCAGCAAACGTGTCCTCGTTTTTAAGGACGGCGTAACTTTTCTTCAAATATTCTTCTAGTTTCATTGTGTTATATCCCTCAGACACAGCATGAAGCATGGCGAAATTAAAGTCGGTACATATTACATCAGGGGCACTCTTCGTCTTATATAGGCGTAATTTTTTCACACCTCGCTTGATGCTAGTAAGAGGACCCGCAATATCATTGGATTGACCTCGCATTAAAACACTGTCAGCCACAATGAAGCTTCCCTGCTTCGTTTGCGCCACAATAGTGTACAATAACAATGAGTTCCTTTTGTTCCTGTGAGTTTTTTCAGCAGGATCATTGCTAGGATATAGGGCATCTCGAGGGGCTTTAAAATACCTCCTGTCGCATCAATTCCCACAATAACATATTCTCGTGAAATTGTGTCCGTAAATAATTTTATTGATTGCTGGTCAAAAAGATCCAGCCTAAAAAGTTTTGCATCCAAGTTAAAATCTTGGATGTAACCACAAATTGTGGCGTTGGCGTTGTGGCTTGTCTGGTAGTGATTTTTCAACAACCTCAAGTCGTCGAATATATTAGAAGCCAGTCTGACTTTTCCTTTGGACTCTGATTTCACAGTTCGTAGAGCGTCTGCACTGGGAGGAACGCTTTTATGTAAAAGCTCGAGCCCTTTCACATGGCTCAAGTCTGTGAGAAATATCTTTGCTGCCGATGTAGTTGATAATTGGTTTGATAGTTTTTCTCGTTCGATCCCCGTGATTGGCCTTGACGTCCTTTTTCCTTGGACGAGGGTGAAAACTCCGAAAGATTCCAAGGTAGTTTCCAAGGCCTCTCCCTGGATTGGTTTGCATGGGAAAGTTACTTGAAGTTTGATTCCACATGAGCAGTATCCTTCCTGTCGAGCGAATGGCTGATCTTTTTTCCTTTCCGAATAATAATAGGGCTCCCGCCTATTCTTAAAACGGCAAAGGATGCCAGCTTCCCGAAGTTTCTGCGAAATAACGTCCCCACGAATCTTGTTTTCTACAAATTTTGAGGTTTTGTAGTCAAAAAATTTGGAAACTTCGTTTGGGGAAAATATAACTGTCATTTTTTTAGGCGGAATATAATTCAGTTCTTCCTGAGAAATGCCAAGGACAGTACAAACTGTGTCCACATCGAGTTGTACATCAGCTAAAGGTGCGTGAACTCGTACGGTTTCATTTTCGTCGGCTGACCATGTCTGGTGATCGAACTGGTATGAGGTTTCTTGTGCGTCTTCCGCGTTATTTTGCATATCCGCCTCGGAACCTCCATTTGCATCATTCTCAGGTCCGTCGTGTTTTTCGGTATATGTGTCATCATCAAACTTCTGTACGTCGTCGTTGCCGTCATTTTGATCTCCGTTTTCAGAATCCAGGTCGTCGTTCCCATCTTTTTCAATACTGTCATTTTTATCAGTTTCTGCTGCATCCCGACATTCCAGACAATACCACTCATTGGACTCTTTGTAGTCGCAATGATTTTTTCCGACTCCGTCCTTTTGGTAATGATACCACTTACCACATCCATCACATTCTACCGCTGGCAAGTGGTCGTCCCCACGAACTCCGCAGTTGCACCAGCTTTCTTTTACGCTTCTTGTCTTTCGTGGCACGTAGTATTCTGCTGTTGGATAGCGCTTCGAAGGCTTTGGGCTTCTTCTGGTTAATCTCCTTGCCGTGCCATGTTCTGGATGAAAGGGTCTATGAATCACGGGGCTCTTATTTAATACTAAACGGGCGTGCTCTGCTTGGACGTCCTGGAGACCCTCAGCTTGTGCGCCAAAGCTTTCTTCAGGTAGGTCTTTGTGGGCGTGTTCTGTTTGAACAGGTTCGGTTTGGGTTACGAGGATTTGCTCATCTTGGGCGACGCCGACATGCTCCAGTAGCGCGGTTGTGATAAGTTGTACTAGATCAACTTGTATGTTCTCTGTGTGAGCGTGGGGGGCGTCATCAGCTTGGCGTTGCTCAATTCCAAGTTCGCTAACGAGGTCGGCTTGGTTTACGAAGATTTGTCCATCGTGAGCGATGGGTTCGTCTTCAAGAACGACGACGTGGACAAATTCTACTTGGTCAGCTTGTGTGTCCTCGGTTTGGGCGTGGGGGACGTCTTCAGCTTGTGGCTCCTCAGTTTGGGCGTGGGGAGCGTTTTCAGCTTGTGTGTCCTGGGTTTGGGCGCGAGGGACGTCTTCAGCTTGTGCCTCCTCAGTTTGGGCGTGGGGGACGTCTTCAGCTTGTGTGTCCTCAGTATGGGCGTGGGGGTCATAGGTGGTTGCATATAATGGGACATGCTCGGACACAATTTCTTGTGCCGCTCGACGTCTTTTCGGAGGGTTCGTCTCTTCACGAAACTCTGCCATTTTGAGGAAAAATCCTCGACAGAGTTCGTGTGGCACCCTTTCTTCTCGCAGAAACGCCGTCCAAAACTCTTTTTCGCAGAAGGATACCGTATTATTATGAGCTTTGTTCATGTCTGCTTTGGAAAATTTCATCTTGGACGACTTGTAGGAAACGGCAACAAAGTCGAAACTAGCAAAAAGTCCAAGTCATGACTTTTACCGGTTTGGTAATTTTGACCAGAGGGATCTGGCGGGTGCGGGTCCTTAGTAAATGATGACCGGGGGTGCGGTCAATAACATATGTGAGCATGGAGGCGGTAGTTTGAAATCCCGCTGTAGGAAACGGCGACAAAGTCAAAATTAGCAAAAAGTCCAAGTCATGACTTTTACCGGTTTGGTAATTTTGACCAGAGGGATTTGGCGGGTGCGGGTCCGCAGTAAATGATGACCGGGGGTGCGGTCGATAACATATGTGAGCATGGAGGCGGTAGTTTGAAATCCCGCTGTAGGAAACTGCGACAAACCCAAAATTAGCAAAAACTCCAAGTAATGACTTTTACCGGCTTGGTAATTTTGACCAGAGGGATCTGGCGGGTGCGGGTCCGCATTAAATGATGACCGGGGGTGCGGTCGATAACATATGCAAGCATGGAGGCGGTAGTTTGGAATTCCGCTGTAGGAAACGGAGACAAAGTCGAAACTAGCAAAAAGTCCAAGTTATGACTTTTACCGGCTTGGTAATTTTGACCAGTACTATCTGGCGGGTGCGGGTCCGCATTAAGTGATGACCGGGGGTGTGGTCGGTAATATATGTGAGCATGGAGGCGGTAGTTTGAAATCCCGCTCTAGGAACCTATGCGGACTATTTTATTAGTTTGTTAGTTAGTTTTCTGGATTTCTTGAGTATTTTAGAGTAAAATTAACAATTTGGGGTATTATAGTACGGCGAAGGGTTAGAGAAATCGATGTACAAGGTTTTTTGGAAGTGGCATCTGCGGGTAGGAAGAGAGGCGGCGGTTGGCGGTAGGAAGTCGGACGGTGGGCGGCAGCAGTGCACTCAAACCCAGGTACAGCTTCACAGACGTGTGGAAATGCAAAATTCCGCTCACAGAAGAATGAGACTCGCCACTCTCAATGGGAACCAAACCATTGGCATGCACTGCACAATAAGGTCTCATTTCGAAAATTCTACAAACGCACAAGTTTGAGAATTATGAAAAGTGCAAAAATATGGGACTGCTTATTTTTTGTTTCGAAAATATAAAATTTTCCCCACCAAAGGGGTTATACGCATGGAAGACTTTGATTGCCATAAAACAGGTCTTCGCGTTGAACTAGGGAGGGAAATATACATAAGTCGCTAAATTTGGTGTTCTAGGTGTATGCCATGTTATTCATAATATTACTAATTATTAAAGATGTACATATTAATCAATATTTATTAAATTGCGCTTACATATAAAAACAAGATACGATAATATTTGTAATAATTAAATCTTATTGAGCCTTTTGTGACACTTTTAAATATTATTAACAGATTGTATAGACTTTATCTCATTCGGTTATACATAATCATTATGCACAGATACGTTTATTATGCACACGCATAAATTTCAGCATATGCAGAGGCAGCATTATTCCCCATTTTTGCGGTGTAATGGCAATTCATTCTTGGACGCTTATTAGACTTTGTTTTACTGCCACTACAGGTCGGAGTTTCATCCTGCAAACTGTACATTGCGTGACTTTCCACAGGTACAATTTCGTCCTCCGAAGCTATCCTCAAGTCCAACTCGTTGATGTACATTTGTACAACGCAAATCGCGATGACTCGAATTACCATAATAATTCCGGTAATAATGTGCAAAAATAATTGTCCGGAAAAGAAATTGAATCCTGATAGCATTGTAAATATTATATTAATGTTTCGCCAGTAGCATGCATTCTCTTTAGCATAATCTGCCTCAGTTTCCTATAAAGGAAGACATGTTGAATTTTAAACACTAGGAAAAATGTTGCAAAGGTTGCTATTAACTGGTTACCTACCACAGGCGTAGATTTTATTAGTTTATTCGCTGCAGCAAATTCCAGAAAGCTGACGAGTAACGCCGTCGCGAGAACAAACCATGTTACACAAACTACAAAAGGAAATGCATGTCTTAAATGTGTAAGTACTTGCATAAAATATGCCAATTATTGATATTTCTGTACCTACCTACAATCCAGACATATAGCGAAACTGAATAAAAATCTTCCTTTTCAATAAGTCCATCTTTCTTCTGAATTGTATCACTGTTTCCTCTCATGCCAATGTTAAACTCGAAGAGCGCAAAACTTGGCACTCCCCTGATCCCCAAATACTTTTCCCCTGGTCGATGAATCCCTAACGCCAATATGCACGACGCACTTATGGCCCCAACAATTCGTAAAACTATGAAACAGATTGTCATCACCGTCAAAATCTGGAATGCCAAAAGTTTAAAGATTTATTTAAAAGACCAAGCTATTAAGAATACATCGCGAATAATTAACATTATTTTATGTATGTATACCCGGTCGACTTCGCCAATAAATCTTGCTTTCCATCTGTACTTTAAGGGCTCCATGCTCTTTGTTCATTATTTATATAAAAAACTATGTAGTAGTATTCCTGCAAAATATGGTTGCGGACATTCTCCAAATGTGATGGAGGAAAGAACAGATGAACAAGAAAGGGTGAAACACGAGAGCAGAGAAAGCAGAGAAAGCAGAGAAAGAAAGCTGATGGTTTCATGTACTTGGATGAAATGGTCCTTATACATGCATACGCTCTGGTTCATCTCAGAGCGGATCGATAAATATATAGGTGATGAGATGAGCAACTTTCTCCCTTGGGTAAAAGTAGTGACAACAGTCTAATTTTATCCGTTGACATTTCCTCGGTAAATCCCATGAGCATAAACATTGTACTATATGCTTATTACTTCCATGATCATTGGTCGTTCAAATTTTGGTTGAAATCGATTGGTTTCCCATACAATTAGCAAAATTTCTTGTAGAAACGTGGATAAATAACAATGATGATCAATGACCCCCTTGCTATAATATCACATATTACATAATGTGTAAGCTTCTCTGAATTTTATATATCTATGTATATACATATGTTTGTATGCATACCTAAGTATATAAGTATGAGGCAAGCCAATGACTTTACATTATTTGCATACGTAAATACGTATGGTATGCATAGGTATGTAAATTAAGTAACTCGCTAGTTGTATCACTACAATTTCTCCAGTTCAAAACTCCCAAAAATTTAAACACTGAAATGGAGAAATTCAGTCGTGCGGTAATTGCTATTCAGAAATCGTTGACGTAGTCAAAATACATAATAAGCACCTTGTGTGCTATGCATGTACAGCGAGATTAATACAGTGATTTGAATAACTTCTTGGAATTAGGTACACATGCTTCATGCGAAGAAGATTAAGTTGTACAAAAAAATTGCTGACGCAAATCACTACTGGACAATGAGGTGGATACAATACAACAGAATCATTGAAATTAAACACCCACCTACTGCGACAAATCTACTTTCATCCAATTTCAACTGGAAGCGGACATCCGAAGCAATGGAAAATATTTCAGTGCATTTCATCATCGTTACATAAAAAGAAGAAAAAGTAAGAACATTACGAAATGCAAGGGGTATTCCCAAATCATATTTTCAGTCCAGTTGAAGGACACGATTTTTCTCCCGTCAAAAAATAACCAACAAAATGAACTAAAATCACAGCCACAAAAATAAGTACATAACCAACTAAGCAATTGTCCAGAGTGTAGCAGGTGCGAATTTGTTTTAAACGTTTCTGCGGAAATATAACACCAAATAGTGGGAGCGGACTTGGTACAACTATGTACGTGCATACTTGTAAAAAGTGTGCAAAATTTGTTCAATTAACACCTACGCAAACGTTGAGTAAATAAATCATTAATTTTGTTTTCGGAATGTTGAGTTCCACCATGCTGAGCTGATGATGCAAATTGTTCTTGGAATATTTCTCGAGACAATGGAATTCTTGTCCAGAAGATTTTTTTGCACAAGATTTGCAACAATTCCAGCAGTTAATCACAGTCCCTGGCTATGTACATGCATGTGTTCAGGTATGTATGTATGTATAAGCCATGCATCCATCACCCACGTCTGTTACGTTTGTTACTTGTTAAGCGTTTGTTCAAAACGCTTTGTCACCAATTTTTTATACGTAGCAGACTCTAATCTAATAACATATGCATTTCGCATTTGTACCCGTGAAACTGTTTCGTCGTTCATGGAACCGTATATAAAAGGAGACGATTCTGAGAGGTTCGAATATTCAGTCATTTCTGGTCATCTCAACCTCACTGAACAGTAACTGCAAAATCATCATTGTCAAAATGAACAAAGTAATTCTCGCCGTATTCTTGGTCCTGTGCGTTGTTGCACTTTCCGTCTCACTCCCAGTTGAAGAGCAACAGCAGGCAGCTATTCCTCTGGTACCTCATGAGGCTGGGGATGAGACTGATGGGGGCGAAATCAGAGAAAAGCGACAATTTTTCGGTAAGCATAAACTATTTCTGTGAAACCTCGTGTATTCATGTTTATTGTTTTTAATTTAATTTAATTTTTAAAATTTATAGGAGGATATGGCCGTACGTTGAAAACTGACCGATTTACTTGAATTGTTATTATGAAATTTTTCCACTAACTAAAATAAAATTACAGGACGAGGCTTTGGGAGACGCGGCTTTGGGGGCTACGGAAGAGGCTACCGTAAGAATTTTAAACCATGCATGAGACTAAATAAAGTCTTTTCAACAATGTTTCTGATCTTTTAATGTTTTATTTTTAATGTTTAGGTGGATATGGTGAGAATTTTAAACCATACATGAGATTTAATAAAGTCTTTTCAACAATTTTTCTGACGTGTTAATGTTTTATTTTTAATGTTTAGGTGGATATGGTGAGAACTCTAAACATGCCATGAACCCGTGAATGAGTTTCAAAATTTTTCGACAGTATTTATGAGGTAGTAATTTATATTTTTTATATTTTTAGGTGGATATGGATTCTATGGATAAGCCTAAACTTGATGGAAAAATCAACCAAGCCATTTTTTCTACACGTTGCTAAACCAAAATGGCAATCTGGCACTTAATAATTTGTGATACTACTCAACCATCTTAACCATATTCGTTTTCATATTTGAACAAAATTATTGTATGAAATAAATTATTGTTCTTTTTGAAAATTTGTTGCACGTGTTTGGATTTTTGCATCATGACATGTTCCGTACCTGTGCGCGAATGAATGCATTGTTCTTTTTTCCAGTTTTATCCATCAGTCGAGCAGATGAGACTAAGAACATAATTAAATGACGTACTTTTTTTATTATTTAAGTTTAAAAATGGTCTATGCCTACATTGAGAGCTCTCAAGTCAATTGATTTATTTATACTGATAAACTCTTCAATTTTCTATGCATCTCACGTTTCTCTTCTTTTCATGTATGATATGATTACATATGATATCATAATTTCTAGAGATGAGCAGTACTGCATAACCTTGTGGCAAAAATTAGTTAACAATCTGGATATGTGCATACACATGCATACTACATATATATTGTGCGTAGATAGTTCTGAATAAAATAAAATAAATTACACATGACAAAAGCAAACACATTAAAATGCATGGAAGAACCTAGTTAAGATTGTATTTATTTATGACACAAATATGTGAGAATCGATTTAACATTCGATGCTAATGAAGCAATTTCAATTGTATTAGATATACCTAAAACTTTGGATTCATTTCCATACGAAATTTGCAGATGCGTGATTCTGTGATTCATAATGCGGACAATTTGTATGTGTGTTTGTATAGGTATCATATATGCACTGACTTGAAATCTAATGCATATTCGCACTTGCCCTAAAGAAATGATGGTTGAAAATTTCCAAAGCGTAATATTCGTAATATTCATTAAATTGACAAATTACCGAAGTAAGCTGAAATTACTGCACTATTTTCCTTATTTTTGGTTATTTCCCATTTCTTAAAATTAGAATCACACCTTCCCAAATTATTGTCACATTAAGTCTCCGTTATATCTAATGGAGAGAAACGGTTTAATGCCTAATCTTCTAATATGCATGTATGTACATAAGTGCCGAGCAGTGCATTTCGCCTATTTCACACAGCATGAAAACTGATAACCACATAGACAAATATCTAAGTAAACTATAATGTTTCGAGGCGAAATTGCATATTGCATAAATCCTTTACTCACTTTATCAAAACCGGAAATCATATTTATTTACCAGGTATGTAACAGTAAATATGTAAATACACGATTACAAGTAAATGGTTGGACACCCTCCTGAGCGAAAAGTGTCAAAATGACCATGACCATGCATCACAAAATTACCACCAAATTGCTATGTAGCTACATATGTGATTCTACAATTTAACCCCGAGTACAAAAATGAGTAAGTCATGAGTTGATAAAAACATTTTAGACAAGTTGCGTGAAAATGCATCAAGAGATAAATGTGGATTGTCACTTTGTCATCTTTACCCAAACACAAATTTACTCATACACTCGAAGACGAACCAGTGTGAGATCATCAAGTTTACACCTAAACCGTCTTTTTGGTTCGATTTGATGAGAATTGTGTTAACTGTGTATCCCATCAACTCATAATGCATTTTTCGTTTTTTTTCATCGCGTTATTCCCCAATGTGGATTTTTCTGTTATAAAAAGCAATTTTTGTCTTTCTTCCCTTCTAAATGGGAAGAAAAGGAAGTTCATGAATACAGATCATCGCTTAATAACGTCGTTTTAACTTCCGAGAAGATATAAAATAAGGGTTTGATGCAATTTGTGGTCAGTTCAAGTAACATTTTTGAACAAGTCTGATCTCTGTTTATATACTGTCCAACCAATAATTCGAAGTTGTGTTTCTCAAAATCTCACTCAATCATCTAACTATTGAATAAAATTATGAATAAATTTCTACCTTTGAAACCTTTTTGGAAAACGTAAAAGTTTCAAATTTCATCTAGTGTGCAAATTGATTAGTTGCCCTAATCATGAAACACTTGACGGCCATCGTAGCTGTCCTTATTGCTGTGACAGCATTTTTTCCAGACGTGATAGGGGAGGAAGACAAAAATGACGTTGAGTCCAGTAGTCTGCATGCAAATTTGACTTTGTCCCCAGTCGACGCTGCAGAAGTCACTGTGATACCCAGCTCAAGAAAGGGAAGGGGCGGCATCCTATCTGGTGGAAAGAGCATCGTAGTTATTCCTGCAGGAGGTGGGGGTGGTGAAGGGGTAAGTTGTTTAGGATTTGAGCTGATATGACCTGACACGATGCTGACTTTTGCAAATTTTCAATTGTGGGCACATTCCTTCAGAAAACATTGCTGCCCAAAATTTATCTGACTGCTGGAGTAGCCACGGCTGGAAAATTTAAGGGAGGGGAGTCCTCAGGCGGTGGAGGGAGTGGTCATGGAGGAGGCGGTGGTGGTGGGCACGGAGGAAGTGGTGGTGGGAGTGGTCATGGAGGCGGAGGAGGCAGTGGTGGATGGGGATCAGGATCAGGCGGATCAGGATTGGGCGGATGGATGGGAAATCTAGGTGGGGGCAGTCTTGGTGGCGGCGGTCTTGCAGGCTGGGGAATGGGACTTGGTGGGGGTTGGGGGCTGGGTGCAAGTGGAGCAGGACTCGGTGGACTTGGGTGGGGAATGGGGGGTGGTTTGGGAGGTGGTGCAATGGGACTTGGCTGGGGATTAGGTGGACTCGGTGGAATGGGAGCTGGTTGGGGACTAGGAAGTGGGGCAGGCCTTATGGGATGGGCAATGGGAGGAGGAATTGGCGGCGGTGGGTGGGGTTTAGGTGGAGGAGGAGGAATGGGTGGTGGCTGGGGAGGGTCTCGTGGCTTTGGAGGTGGGTGGGGGGGCGGAGGTAAGTCCAAGACAAATCTGAAACTTCGTAAGCAATTCACTTTTATTGATTTTCTTAACTAATTGTGGTTTATATATTTAGGAGGTGGTGGGGGCGGTTGGGGAAGTGGACCAGGCTGGGGTGGTGGTGGTGGTGGAGGAGGAGGAGGCAAGTTATACATTGTTGACGCTGTCTTGGACTATGCACTAATTATTTAGTAATTAATAGGTGGAGGCGATGGTTGGGGTGCAGGCTATTCAGAAGGAAAGAAAGCTGCCAAAGCCAAAGCAAAGGTTTATAATTTTTCTAATATTATACTTTAAGAAGCGACAAAAATTCCTGTGTGAAAATTATTCGTAGGCGAAGAAAAAGAGGGAGAAGGCCAAACAGAAAGCTGAGAAGAAGGGTGGAGGCAGTAGTGGAGGGGGAGGAGGAGGTTGGGGCGGCGGCGGCGGCGGTAAGTTGAATAATATTTATCGTTAATTTGTACATACATACGTGACGAATTTAGGTACACCTCCTTCAGTGAATTGCATTATGTAATGTCATTCCATATGCATTTGAGCAAATTTGTTAATTATTTAACTTAATTTAAAATTTATTTAATTTATTAAATTAAGATATTGGCAATATATATTGCTATCGTTTTAATTATGTGCACAGGTGGAGGTGGTGGTTGGGGACCTGGAGGAGGGTGGGGCCCACAGGGTGGTGGGGGTGGTGGTGGTTAGTCGAATAAGTATTTGAATGATGTTCTTAAATAAGTATTATTTACCTAACGAATCACTTGAATTTGTACACAGGATGGGGAGGTGGACCGTACAGTGGAGGTGGGGGTGGTTGGGGAAATGGCGGTGGAGTTGGTGGGGGTGGCTGGGGAAATAGTGGGGGTGGTGGTGGTGGTGGAGTCGGTGGCTGGAGCGGGCCTGGAATTGGGAGCATAGGCAGTTCCGGTTATGGTGGGGGGAAGCTTGGGGGCGGTGGAAGCGGAATCGGCGGAGGTGGCTGGTCTGCAGGAGGAGGAGGGGGGAATGGTGGGGGATTTGGCTGGAGTGGGGTCGGTGGGGCCGGTGGAGGGAAATTAGGCGGTGGCGGCATCGGGGGAGGAGGATGGCGCAAAAATGATCTCGGGGATGGCCTAGAAAGTGAAGAACATGAAGAATAGTCATGTTAATATTTATTTTATTTTTCATGGTTCCTAATTTTAAATAGGTAGTCACTAACATTTGTCATACTCATGTACATACATGTAATATGCGTTGGGTTTATAATTATTAAAAAATTACACAAAATTTGTTACCTTTCGATAATTGCTTGGTTTTTCTGAGGTGAGGAAAGTAACCAAGGGCCACCCTCACGACAGAAAAGCGCATGGTTACGGCGAAGCCAAGGTATGCTTTCAAGACAGGGTCCTAAAACTTCTGTCAACGCTACAGCTCGAACGGTTATATTTATTGAAAAATTGTTGAAACAAAAAAATCAGACAATTACAAAATCTAGTGTCTTTTCATCTTTCTCTTTACAAAAGTCTAATATTACAAGAATTTTAGGACCTTGGAAACTTTAAAATGAACCCCAAATTCAATTTTGCCATGCAATGATCATGCCAGTAGCTGATTTTAGCGTGCGGGCATTGATTGCGCATCATTTAAGATACGTTCGAGAAAAATCGGTTGAAAAATGAGAAAGTTTTGGTGGTGGTATCTGCAGCCACTTACGCTGCTTAAAAGACTTTTTATAACTGCACCTAGCTGGTTGCTATTGGTACCCAATAAAAAAATTCCCACGCAAAAACCAGAAAATAAAACTACATTTAAAAAACAGCATTCTTCGGTGAGGGTGCGACTAAAAACTTTAAAACAAGAGTATTGAGCAAATTTTAAAATTTAATATTACCAACTTTTGCCTCACCGTGGGCCCAAATTGATTTTGCATTTAAGTAAATGCTCACGGTAAGGCAAAAGTTGGTAATATTAAATTTTAAAATTTGCTCAATACTCTTGTTTTAAAGTTTTTAGTCGCACCCTCACCGAAGAATGCTGTTTTTTAAATGTAGTTTTTTAGCATATGCATATAACCAAATTTAACATTTGAATTAGGTGTTACCACCAGGTACAGATATATATTTGCAAAGCAATACACTTCTTGTAATTTGAAATTATAATAGTTGCGTCCAATGGAAGCATACATATCTACATGCATGAATGCAGTTTCCTCGAATGATGTACCTACGTATTACCAATTAAGCACTGTACGATAGAAAGAAAACATTTGTTTATAATAATTCAATTCCTGGAACATCTCGTAAAGTGCAATCTGACCTCATTGTGTAAGTTGGAATCTTTAAAGTCAGACAAATACATACGCGCAGCTCTGTTTTTATAAAACCACATACGCATAAGTTTTACTCATTTCAAATGTCTTTCATATTCAAAATTTTTACTTTATGTTCCTTGAACTATGCAAAATATGTCACAACTTCACCACACCACGTAGTATCAAATACTGAATTGAATTACGCAAGTAGTCCAGTTGACTTTAAAAATCTCATTATATTAGAATCGCAGATTGTGCATCATTTTTTGAATACGATATGGAAAAAATGTGACACAGCATCAAACTGTTCTGTACCGGATCATGTCCTTTTGCACAGGTAGCACAATATTTAAGAGTGTTAAATATATGTAGAAAAATACCTACCTTATTACTCTTGTCTTGAATAAAAATTATGTGTAGATACATGGATGACTTTGAAGCGACTATTTTAAAAGATGTCAAAATGGACCTCGACCTGTTTCACCTACTCATTAATCGGTCTCTTATTGACCTAAATGGCTTGGGATTTGATGCAGCGAAACACCCATTAAAAGTATACAAAACGATACAACGCATGATCAACATTCTCCCCCCATTAATTAACTCAACTGGTAAAAACAACCACACATCTAACAAAATTTTAATTTGCAAGATTTACATGCAATAATATATATTTTAGAGTACACTAATGACATGCAGGAAATTAAAAAAATTGTAAGGGTTCAAAAAAGACTCCCCAAAGATTCTGATCTGGAAACCTCAGCTTGTGTGTGTTACGACTCAATCAAATATTTCAGCTGCCATTTTCAGATGTACGTGATCCAGAGTAACATTTTTTCGATACTTTTTAACAAAAAAAAACTAACTGATTGTCATTTAGATGTTTTAGTTTCTTAAAGGAAAACTTGGGAATATGGAAACAAATTGCGTCTTGTCTCCTCAAGATCTTGTAAAATTGGGAAACGTTGCCTTTTCTGACGAGTCATATGCGCAAGCCGTCGATGCGTTTGTGGCAGCAAAATCGAATATGAGGAACGGAAGCTTATTAGAACGAGCAATCAAATATGTGAGCCTTAATTATTACTATTTTATAGTGCTCGAAAAACTAGAGATAAATACTCAATTAACTATTCAAGTTATTTTTTTCTTTCAGCACGACATAAAACTTGACAAAATTAAAAGCTTAATTTCATACAATGATATTCATGTCGATTCCGGTTTGTTACTATTTGACGCCTTCCTTCACAACATGACTCACCCCAATTTTATAAACAGGATCCCTTTAAAGTTAGAAACCATGTTCCCTGACCCACCTGCTGATACAGACGTTTGTGGTGGCATAAAATATGAAGCCATACAAAATGGTTACATATTCGAAAAGTTATGCAGAGGAGAAGACGTGAAAACTCGGAAAGACAAGATGCACTTGAAATGTTATTATTCTTCAAAATCCCACCCTGAATTTATTCTTAAACCGCTCAAGATTGAAGTTCACAATAAAAATCCACTGTTAATCCAATACCACAACATTTTAAGTGAGCAGGATATGCAGCAGTATCGAGATCAAGTGAATAAAGACATGAAAATAAGTAAAACGACGCCATCAATTCGGTCGCAGGAGAATAAGAAGACGCCTCGAATAAGTCGACAGAGAACGTCGTCTGGTGGGTGGATTCAGGACTCCTCTTCAAAAACTTTTCCAACATTTAACAAACTACTCCACAAAATTGGACGCATTTTACAAGTTGATATTTCTAAAGAAACGGGGTCGGAAATGATGCAGATTGCTGCTTATAGCCCTGGTGCCCATTATGCACCTCACACCGATGCGATATTTGAGTATAAGGTGACAAACAGTACAATTTAGTGATAATATTTAATTACAATTTGTAAATAATCGTAGGCTGAAGAAAGGCTGGAACCTTTTGACCTTTTGAGTGGAGATCGCATCATGACGTTTATGATTTATGTATGTATTTAAAATTTTAAATGTATTTAAATATGCTCAAAGCTTTAAAAATGGCATAATTCTGTGCAATTGTATTTTTAACAAATTTGATAACAAAGCTCTCTGACGTGGAAGAAGGAGGAACAGCGTTTCCAATTCTCAAAACATTAGTTCATCCCTCAAAGGGTTCCGCCTTGATGTGGTACAATGTCCAACCGGATGTTGAAACCATTGACCGTAGAACACTTCATGGAGGGTGTAGCGTTTTGTATGGAGTTAAATGGAGTATGTATTTACATACAAACACACATAGTTTCAGAGACCTGTATACTATAAACATATCAATTTTAAACTGAATATTGTGCAGTTGCAAACAAGTGGATTCGGAGCAAGGACCAATTTCAGACGCTAAAATGCCCAGCTTCAAAACAATTCATGGAATCTTGGCCATTGGAAATGCATATTGATATGGAATAACAAATGAATGGATGTTAATTAGTATAATTTGCTCCACATGTGTTTGATTATAATAAGTAAAGTACAAGTGTCATTGTCTTTGCATAATATTTACAGCGTTTGTATTGTAAACATATAAAATACACACGACACACATAATACATATGTATTCATTGTTTTTAATTGGATATTACATTCAGTAGTTGACTAAAGCTGAAATATTAATTTCTGGTACCCAATTCCCAGCATATAATGTCAAATAAGTTGACATGGGCCATAATAACAACAAGTATTGCACTCCTCATTCCATGTTGCCCTGTGTTGGTGCAAACAACAGTGAAACACTTGACCGAGTTTGACGAATTTTGCGATGCAGAGGTCTTATACAAGCCGTACATCCGATATTACTACGGCCCCGATGGCGTCGAAGGGGACGGAAGACATGGAGCACTGGTCACCGGAAGACCCAATAAAACCATGGGGCCTGGACTGTACTCGGATTTTCTGGAGCATAAAAACACATATGTCTGCATCAACGGACCGTACATACATATTTACGATTAGATATATATGTATTTAAATTATAAAATATTGATGGGAAATTTTAAAATATAGATGGGAAATTAATTAAATTTTGCAGTGCATGGATGTACTACGCCCTCATCCCAAGCTCTGGGATCCCTGTGTATCAAAAGCCAGAACTGCACATGTATAAGCATAATTGCCTGCTTACAAATTTTGTAGATGGACCCGGACCAACAGCACTTTCTCCGACGATCGATGAAATCATGGTGAGCAAGAGTGCATATTTAGCCCGATTTAATAAGAGTTAATAAGTGTAATTATAAGTATGTAGCTGTACGCAATCCTTTTAATGGGAGACCTCGACGACTACAGGCGCCCATTCCTTCAAATGTTTCCTGCCCCAGCGTTGGAACTGGTTTGGGATAACGCGACAACTAAGCTTGTACCTTCTGGAAATTATGTGAATGCGACGTCCCTCTTAATGATTGGAGACGACACGGAATGCATCCTTCTCAAGGGGAGGAAAAAAACTCCATTTCGCATCAGATCAGGTAATAACTAGTAATGAGTAACAATAGTATCAGGTAAGTACTTAAACAATAACGCAGCTCATATCATGGATGAGAAATAAGTTCCATCACCAAACAATTTCATAATGATCGTCTCAATTTTATAGGTATTCTAAAAGTCAAGGACCATCACTTCGATCCTACAATTCCCACAACGGCCACCCCGGACGAATTGGACTACAATGGAACGTTTTGCAAATTCTCTTACCCCTCTTTAGCCGAACCTACTGCTGCACCATCCAGTAATAATTTACAAGTCGACACTGGTACTGAACAGGAACAGCTTGAGTATGCTGCTCAAGCTTTAAAAGACAGTGGAGATATTGTGAAGCAGGGATGTTACGTCCCTGATAACTACAACAACCGTAAAATAATTACGTAAATTTCAAGTGTCATTCATAACTACTTATTATTGTAAAAATATATTTGTCATTATTTTCAGAAACTCTCAAACTTGTCACGGACCGGTTTCAAGATATAAAAAATATCTCCAGCAATAAAACGGACCCCAACAACGTCTTTCAGTCCCCTACAGAATATCTGGAAGGTGCCCACGGTTGGAATGCTACTGCACTAGCGGCCAAACTGAATAATGACACAGCCTTGACATACGCGGACCTAGTCGCCGGTCTAGACCCATCAAAGCCTGACCCATGTGACGCAGCCCAGCCGGCGGTGGAGAAACTCTGCAAGAATCCCAGCCCGGACAACACGACTAGTCCAACAACTTGCAATCCTCCGGTGATAGTGGAAGGGTGTGACCCTGCCAACACGACGCACAAGTGCAACCCTTGTGACGCAGCAAACGCCACGATTGTTCGAGAATTTATCAAAATCAATATGGAAAATATTTTGTATGAAAAATCTCTACCGACGCTCACTCCTGCAGTAAGTTTATGACAATGTACATATGTATAACCAACTCGTAAGATATACAAGCATTAATTCAGATCTTAACAGAATATTGAAGCTTTAAACAAGGCCATAATGGAAGCTCGAATGAAAATATGTTTGCACAATTTGCGCACCTTGGTAAAAGAATTAGGAGTTGAAGCTGGTCCCGGAGTATACAAAAACACGCTTGAAGCGTGGGATCCAGCCCAGAAAATGAAAGCCTTGGAAGAAGTGAAAATAAATATTTCTATTAATTGAGTCAAATAAATTGTGTGATTGTAACGTTGTCAACAATTTATAAAATTGCAGTATGTAACTGAGGCCGGAAAAACGCCACCAAGTGAGCTTATCTTATTTGAGAAGAAACAGGAAGCTGCTGTTGCTGTGTCTAAAGCTGAAACACTGAGAAGCTACATGGAGGTTTTAAGTAGTCTAACTAAACGAGGATATGATGAATTTGTAGCAAAAGTGAAGGTCCTCAAGGTGGGCAATGACCCGAATTGTGGTAAAGTTGTACCACTCTCATTCAAATCCAATGTGATCACCATAAAAAGAGATGCAAAGTCGGATGAGTACCTCAAACTCGTCAAATTATTGAACAAAGATCCAACCATGTATCCATCGGACACTAGCAAAACTTGTGCGGAACTACCAAAGCCAAAAGGTCGGCCAACATAAACCATATTTAACTACGCTAAATTGGACGTTCATACATTAATTATACTCTGTGGCATAAATATTTAATGAAATGTAGGGAGTTGTCGTTCCTCTAAACCTGAAGCAGTTCGTGCGTGCCAGCTTCTCCGAGCGAGAATGAATAGTTTCAAAGATGACACTGGAACTCGACAAGATTGGAAACCGGAAGATGCCTGGCGATCGGAGGTAAGTAATTAATGAATTATTTATTTATTACTTCTTACTAATTATTAATTATTAATTACTTGTTTATTTGAGGCAATGGACTTGGTTGGGTCCATATTTTCCCAAGCATGTCGCCCAATGATCAAGCCGAATTTTGCTACTAATATAAATCTTATTATGAAGGGATACCTGACCAACTATGTAAACAGTGAGTATGCATAATTGCATGCAATTAAGTACGAGTAATTTGAAGCCCATTTCATGATTATGTGTATATCTGGTTAAGACACCCTTCCAAACACCATGGTCACCTATGAGTCCAAGTTGCCAGCGGGGTGTTCGCCGTCATCAACTTCACCATCAAACGGGACAGCCCCAACCACACCTTGTAAAACAGTGACAGAGGAATGCGACGAAGGAAACCCTAACCAAGCTGCGGCGAACGGGACGCACACCTGTACATTGGCCCCACTGCCCAGCCGAAGACCATTTTGGGACATTCTCATCCATGCCCTCAAGGATTGCTACAAACATGAAAGACAACTCCACTTTAAGCGAAATTACACAGTAAGAAGTTAAATATAGTGTACACAGATAGATCTACTGCAGTCTTACAAATTAATATGTTTTAAAATTTAAATTAAGTTTGACCTAAGTAAAAATTCCTTTGGATTTTATTCGTAGGAAGATGGATCTCGAGAGTTTTACATGTTCCTTTACCCACTCAGCAATCCGCCTTATACGCCCGTGCTCGTCGAGTACAACATTGAGCAAGCAGATGCAGAATATTCCTTTAATTATGCCATCGACTCTTTTTGGCGAATATTTGCCACCGTAATGGGAATGTGTTTTCCCACTTGGAACAGTATGAAGCCCACATTACGTCAAAATTTTACGCGTACTTTACTGAGGATTTCTTCTACCCATTGGGCAAAGAGTGGAGACAGAACAGGGACAATCCGGTATTTCGCCGTATTTTGGGAGAATTTTATATGAAAAGGACTGATTACTGGGTTCCTCATTGTATGGAATCAGCATTTATTCGAACGGGAACTCTGGTAAATTTTTCCATTACTTAAATGTACATTAACTAGTGCCGATAAGTATGTATAATCTGAATGCGTATATGTACAGGACTGGAGACCACCTAGGAAGCTGCTTGTCAACGGGATGACAGAAATGAACTTTTTTATTAAGGGACCCATTGCTCGATCTGGAAATGGGAAATATAGCATGTATTTTTGATTATACATATAAAGTATTTCAATAATTGTATGCAACATTTGAACAGGATAAATTAAATGGCAAATAAATTAATTCTCCAAAGTTTAATCAGGTTTTATTTTACAAAAGTATATAAATATTTAGAGAATAATTTGAATATTAAATATATAAACATCTTCATGTAAGTGATATCAAAAAGTAAAAATTTGCATTGACAAAACGATCACTCTTGATTGTCTCTCTCAATATAAAACTCGTATATGTAAACTGTGAAGTTTAAATTGTCATGAAGGAACTAATAAATAAATATAAAAAATAACAACAGCAGTCTAAATAAAATGAACTTTTTGTTTGGAATATGTATGTATGTATATGAGAACAATTCTTAAGCTTGTTGGACTTCGGGTGCGGAGGCAGGACTTGTATCGGTGTCTCGATTCTACAAAATGTGAAAAATACATATATAATTAGAAAGTGTTAATGTCTGAATAAGCAGTTACCATTATGTATTTATATCTCTTTACCTCTTTCAACTTTGTGACTAATGTATCCAACACATCAGGCCAGTTCTTGACCACTCTCTTATCCAGGTGAGACAAGGCCGCACATATATCTGCCGTTTGAAAGAGAGACTCCAAACTTGGATTCTGTATATTAAATAAAATGATAACAGCCACATTAATTAATTTTCACCTTAAAAAATGTTTTCTTTCGCCTTACCTGTTTAATAACTTCGGTATTTTTTCCAAAGTGGTCAATCGCCCGAAATAGAAATCTTAATGCTTCGTCAGGATCCACGCCACCAACGTCTTGCGACTCTAATGTTTCAGCCGAGCCAGATTCCGGACTTGGGTCATTATTGACCTGCTTCACTTCCTCCCTTTTAATCTTTAGCGTGGTTCCCAGAGTCCAAGTTTCGTTGCCAACTTCCAACTTAAACTCATCTTTGTACTGGGGCTGGGCTGTGAAAATTCAAGCCATTCAAAAAAATAAAATATTAAATATTTCATACGACATATTTATTGCATAACGTTTGTTATTATGTATGACTCATTATGAAAAATGTAACGTTTCCAACTTTGCCTACTTACATATTACTACATGCTAAATACCTACGTATGAGTCACTGCTAAATAAACGTAAATTGAATGCCCACTCACCTTGTTTCCATTTGGCGAAGACGAAATTAAGCGCGAATGCGATAAGCATCGCTCCACTAATGGAGACACCAAAACGTAGCAGGAATCCAGAGATCTTGGCGTGATGATCGCAAATTGTCGAAACTAGGAAGCCTTTCCACCAGGAAAGTGCCTCCACGCCCACCAAAGTGGGGTCACCATCTGCATCAACTCCTAAGAATGGTTTACATATCGGATCGTTTACGAGGGGCTGGTACGACAGCGTTATAAAGGAACCGAACAAAAATCCGGCCAAATGACGGAAAATGGGGGCCAAGTTGAAATTGTTCCCACCGCCTTTGCCACCCTCATCAGTCTTGATACAGCTCTGATTCTCTTCAGCGTCCCCCTTAACCTCATCCTCTGGGATGGGTCGCTTTTGTCGCAATTGTTGCCGTCGAGGGGTACTTTTTGATTTGGACATTTTTTATTTAAATAACCAGTCTTTGCTGAGGAACTTTGGGTACTAAATAAATAGTATTAAGTTGTGTGGGGCCAGTAGTATGTGTGGACTATTTTTAAGTTTTCTTTATACAAATTTTAGCTCGTTGCGTGAAATGAATAAAGTTGTCACGCTTAACGAAAATAAAGAATAAGAGCAAGGAACGAATGCGACTTTAAATATCAGGATTGTCCGACTAAACTTTGACGTTATGTGTGAACAAGTGAACAAACTGAACTGGAATTATATAGGCAAATACGGAAGAGAGGACGAGAAGATGAAACAAGTGGCTATACTCATGCATGCTTCTTCTTCGACTGCTTTTTATAATTTTACAATACATTACAACATAGCCATTCATATTCGTGCACCTCTTTCGTGTAAGGATGATAATACGACACCAAGTAGAAGAAAGAATAAGAAGGGACGACGACTGTGATATACACATAACATGAGTAAGCAAGTTTTGGCCAGGAGGGTATTGCGTTGAAACGTAGCGTTAAGACGGCAGAAGAAGACGATGACTACTTGTTGAAAGAAGAAAGGAATTCGAGGATGATACACGAGTTGTATATGCACCTGACCCAAGAAAAGAGTTAAGAACTTTAGCTATATCACAGCTTCAACTTTTTGGTCGGTCGGGTCGTCTTCTTCTTCTCAGAAGGGAAGGAACGGAGATTGGAGAAGTCTGGCTCTTCTTACGGTTTCATGTATTTTAAATAGAACCGGATCACTCACATTCACTCGCAACAGTGGTTAAACAGGAACAGGAACAAAGATTGCAAAGGAATGAAATCAACGATGATTATGCAACAGGTTCACGAACTAGCATGAATTGTTTTAAACAATTTGTTTAGAAACTTGAATTTACGTAGCTTGAATAGTCATTTCTGTGACAACTGACAAATTTGATAGAAAGCTGAGTTTGTATGTTTGCTAATGTACATAAATGGTTGACACATTTTTAGTTTGTACTTCACGGGTTATCACCTGAATTATCTGTACATTGCATGCAAATATATTGTATAGTAAAACAAACAAAACATTCGCATCTTTACATGCATATCTAAATAAGTCAAATAGTATTAATGTCGACAGGTTATTTCAATATTTGCTAAACTTTTAAAGATTCAATTCCAATTCAAGTCATGAGACAAAAAATCATGTTACAGAAATATTAGTTATGTCAAACTTATTTACGGAAGACATTGCACATGTCAAAAACTGAAGAAAGAGCCGTCATGCATCCTTCTTCTTTAGTGGTTATAGCATCCGATGATTGGTGAATAGAACGCTCCTGTCCGCAAACCAGACTGCAGTAAAAATCGCCAGTATCAATGTGCTGAAACCCCAAAAAGCGGCCACATGCACATTTGATAGATTTATACGATTTAAAGATTGTAAGAACCTGTTGGGTCACAAAAACAAAGAAAATTAGCAGATTTTAATGCAAATTCAATTTAATTTAAAATTATTTTGTCCATACACGTTTCCGAACGGTGGAGGAATTGTCCACATCCACATCCTGTTTATCTTCTTTTGCTTGCATCTTCTTTAAGTAGACGTCCACTTGATCCACTTGATAAGTCCACTTGATAACAGAACACGTCAAAAAAGCAATGGGTGAGTACTGCAAAGTCAAACTTAAAACATGAGTAAATACTGCACTTCTTTATAAATTGAAGTTATCAAGTTCATGACAAATGAGATCAAAGGTAGTTCAAATCGCAAAATACTTTTCACCTACCTCTTAAATTCCTACGATAAAATTTCTATTGAGGAAGTCGTTAGGTTAGACTACTGCCTGATTTTTTTAAATATGTGCTGCTCTTGAATATTTTGAAAACTTTGTTGCTATGTGGGAGCATTAAAAATACACGTACATTATTAGCAACCAAATTTTTGAAATTTCCAAAAACAGTGCATATTTAAAAAGACAGTGGTGAAGTCGTTTGGAGGTCTACTCTGCAATGCTATTCTCAAATAGTCCAAAACGGCCTAATTATAATAGGACTAAACCACCAAAATACCAAGTTTGCTAATTCACAAGACCGACGTGAGTTAATTGAAAATCTTTCAAATTCGAAATAAAAGAAAATTAGTGAAAAGGCAAAAGGTGCATCAGCCAACAAAAGCCAACAAAAGCTAATAAACAAATCGTCTCGCTTGATGACGGCTCGAAGTCAGAGAGAAATGCAGAACATGCAAATATGTAGAATGGGGAAAATGAGACAAAGTAGGAGTAATGTTGTTTAGTTAAAATCAGTTGTAATTACTAATTGTTCTCAAACTTATTTCATATTTTCTAAGATGAGGTAAAATACATTACATCTTATCGTTTGTTACTTACTGTTCCCCTTGAGAATCTGGCACCCCTCCACACAGACCAAGGGTTGCATGTGCGACAAAAATGTTTTAAATGAAAAAGCTAATTACGCGGTGCGTAATTAACCTCAGGTATTTTATTTTCCAACGTATTACCTAGTCTTAAATATAATTTAATTTGACATTAATTAAATAAGCTAAATAGCTTCAAGGTTATTTCTATTCTTCAGGAATAACGAGTTACTGGCCGAGCAGTAGGTCATCCATATACAGATATTTTCGTTGATCAAATAATTTATTTAAGCACTTATAATTAGAGCTTTGCATAATATGCATACGTATTATTTCAGGATTCCTTAGTCAATACAATATCGAGTTCCACAATTTTATTGTCATTCGTTATTTAATGACAGTGTTTATTGCATAGTATAGTAGTTGGTAAATTATATAATAGTTCGCCCTACAAGTGCATATGTGGTTTGCCTGCATGTATGTATACATATTTGGTTTATAAAATTCAGTCGACTCGACAGCAATATTCAGTTGTTATTACAAAAAGCTATTTTATTACTGTTATGACATCAGATATCATACAACAAGGCAGCTGTATGACGACAATCAATATAATACAAATCTATTAAATATGGATGTAAATAGGAACAATTGATGAACCATTTGTTAGTATATCTTGGTATAAATGTCTCTTATGCTAAAATGCAGGATAAAATATACGAAAAAACAATTAAGTTATGAACATTGGTATTATAGTCAACAATTAGACAAGGTTTAACTAGACATAGTAAACAAAAATATAATATAATTTGTCATGAACAAGAGCAAGGTGGTCATCACGTTTGATGTGTTGATGATTAACCTCGATAAATGATGGAACGAAGAAATTAAGGGCCCGGGGGAAGATTTACTTGATTTTATGTTAGCAACAATAATTGCCAGGGCCCCAAGATTATTATCGCTCTGTTAGGTTACGACCACAATTAATTGACACCGTTTCTATGGGACACTCACGTTCAAAAGCTTTGGTTTTGTCACTGCTTTTGAAAAAGTTTCCCTCAAGTCCCTCAAGTTTTTGAAAAAAGTTGTTTCTTTTGTTCCATGGATACTCAAAATGCAATTCCTGCCATTAATTTGGCAATTCTAAGCCAATTTGTCCTCACTTTACGACCAAATATCTCCACTGCACAAGAGGGCAGATCGTCAAAAAAAACTCAAGTAAAATCTAAAGATATGATTAACGCATTAAACATAATTTAAAAAATCTGCCCTCTTGTGCATTGCTGAATTTTATCGTCAAAGTTGACGTGATTTCTAAGCAACTTCCCCCAGGCCCTTAATTCGTCTTCGTTAAGAGTATCATTCGTCCATCATTGGGAGCCAAAATGCCTGTAAAGGTGAGAGGTATATAAATTAGTTATTCATGGTTATACATAGTTGTGCAAGTATTATTATGTATAATTATTCCTAAAATGAAACTGAGTACTCACCATGCTTGTGCATGCTGATACCATCATCATAGATTTAGGACTGAACTGGACACACTGAATTGGACTTGTGTGATGATCTCCTTTAAGCTCACATACCTACGGAAAGATGGATGAGACATGAACTTAAACAACCAATTATTTATTTTACTATTTGTTGTAACTGATTGTGTCATTCACCTTTTGTCCACTGTCTGCATTCCATATATGAATAAACCCATCCGTACTTCCAGAAAATATGAATTGTGAATCGGGAGAGAAAGATGCCTCGAGGTGGAGATTCTTATTGTTTGTAAAACCATCAAAAGTTTGTAGCAATGTGCCACTAAATGCATCAACAAGTCTGATTGTGGACCCAAAACTTGTAATCAATATTGTCCTCCCATCCGGCGAGAATTTGACTGAGGACCATTCACTATCTTTTTCACAGGGTAATTTAAAGCTGGAAAATGGAGCCTGCGGTTTGAAAATTTACCAATAATTTAACCAACGTCAATAAGAGATCAATTTGATTTTCATTAATAAATCTCATTGTTGCAACTCACCTTATCAAATGATCGTAAATCATACAACTTGACACACTCATTGTTAATTCCTGCCGCAAAAATCAGTCCATCCGGGTCAAAAACGGTCACTGGTTTACCCTGGAGTTGAATAAAGCCTTGGCAATTGGGCGACCGTAGGTCCCAAAGTCGGATTGTTTTATCCTGTGAGGCCGAAAGGACGGTATCATCCGTAGGCGACATGGAGAGGGACGTCACTTTTTTCGTGTGACCAGGAAAATAGCGAAGATATTTATTATCATGGAGAGACAAGTAACGAATCGTGTCGTCAATCTTGGTAGATGAGTGGACCGCAGTGTTCTTTGTGTGTGTGAAACGAATCAAATCCACACCGTATTTCTTTGAGTTCAGCGACCGCCTTATTCTGTGTATTAGATACAAAACAATTCAGTTTAAAAGTATTGAGTTTAAAATTTTTATTTAAAAACATTGCACTCACGTTCCCTTTTCACTGTCATAAATAACAATTTGGTCGTCCTCTGCAGAACTGATGAGCAAATCTCCACTGGGAGAGAAACACAGGGAATTGATTCGGTCTGTATTTTCGCGAAAGAATTTTGCAATGTGAAATTTGCGAAGGGCTGTTTCTCCCAATTTCATCCCCCTCTCCTCAATTTGCTCGTCCAGGGCTTTCGGTTCTCCGTTCATGGCAAAAACACTGACGACGGACAAAGATAACAATGGTCTTGCTTTAAACTTACATCTCCTCCTTGTCCTCCTCCCAAAAATGGTGTATATCTAGCTTCAGTTGTGCCTGCTGTAAATCCAAATTTATATTATATAACTCTATGTGTAAATCTAACTGTAAATCAAATGTTTCTGAATCTAAAAAATAATGGCAGTATTAATGGTCAAAAGTCAAAATAATCATGATCTTCCAATTCAAAATAAAAAATATAAATCAGCCGAAAAGGTTTGATGTATTTATTTATCTCACTTGCCACACTGTGGTTGAGATTGGACTGGGGAAGAAGAGAAAGAACGAGCTGAAATTAACGAACGACAAAAAATCGATTGAATGATATTAAAATTTCATGAATTTAAGTGGTTCATGCATGACGAATGACGGTGATACTGATGTTTGGAGAATTTTGAAACCTACGCATTATAGGCAGAATTAAACAAGCCTTTTAATTTTAATTTTATTTCCCCAATGCAATCATTATATATAAATACGTATTCGAGAATTTACCGTTTCTATTTCCATGAAATGTAGGTTCCCGTAATGTAAGCTATGTATTCATGAAATTAAAACAGGACAAGACCCCTTGATTATTACATGTTATGGGGTTCGTATGCATATATGCAAAAATTCGTAGGAATTAATGGAGGAATTTTCTGACGTGAATTCGACCCAAATTCCATTAACTTATAGGAATATTTATTATGTATGTCATTTTAATTAACACCAATTATTAAAAATTTGATATTGTCAGTATAATCTATGCTAAAACTTCACAATATGATTTGGAAACAAATAAATTGGTTGGGATAGTGTCTAAACAAACCCAAGAAGCCTTATTTTCTTAAAAATCAATGAATAATTAATAAATTGTACAATAAGATGTGTATATGTACACATGTACATATAATATACCTACGTACATATTTATACATGTCACGCATACATTACTTAAATACAATTGACTTACAAATTTCACGCATTCACTGTGGCGTTATTAATAACGTCAACTATGAAATACCACTATTAAACTCAGCTTTAATATTATCGAAGACATGCGATGGAATTGAAATAAACAAATTAATCGTATGTGCAATAATTGTAGCGAAAAATGCAATTTCCGTTGACCTGAGTAGCTGAAAAAGTCTCACATTGCCAACCCCAGCATATATTTTGATTGGCCAGGTTGCCCTCACCTTTTTTCTATAGTACATTCTCCAAACTTTCACCTCATACTGCACCGCTGTCAACGTGAGTGTTTTCACCAGAGCTACCGAAGCATCACTAATTTTGTACGGGTAAAACATTAGGACATGAATCACAGTCAGGATTATTATCCCACCCGAAAGAATGTACCAGTAAAAATAAAAGGGCATTAAGCTGAAACCTTTAGTCATTGCTAAATTGAAAAGTATGCTTAAGATCAGCCCAATCCCCATTAAACCTGAGGTCACAAATTCCTGAAATTTTGAGGTCCATTTAAAAATCGTGACATACGAGTTGTACACCATGAGTAAAGATTGTAAATTTTTTGCATGATTGCTTAATTGTAATAAAATATTCAATATTCTATAACACAATCTTAATGCACACAAAAATATTGTAATTATAAATGGAAAGATTTTACTTGTTTCTGTACAAAAAACTGTGGCACATAATACTCGCAATGTGAAGATAATGATGGACTGAGCACTTAATGGTCTCGAGAATGACACACTGGTTGCATAATAGTCCTTGAGTAGGAAGTGGAGGGGATCCAACTCGTAGAAGATGGCCCCAACGGGCAGAGCGATGGGGTAGGTGGCAAAAATCCGGGTCACCGTAGTTGCCCCAAATTCAAAAGAAATTCGAAATCTACTTCCTTTTCCAATTTGATTTTTTTTCTTCACACTTTTCTCGAGGTAATCTGCCATACGCATCAACTCGTTCAAAGCTAGGGTAAAGTCCTTTCTGTACAAAATCTGTGCAGTACAGAAACCTCCATCGAGGAATAATCCGACAAATACAAGGGAATTTTTGAGAGGTATGGATATTGACGAAGACGTTATGTTGCGTAAAAGTATCCAAACTGATCCCAACACATTGATCAGAAACACGATGATAAAAGAATTGACATGCCAGATCAATAAATTGTCTCTTTTGTACTGGAATAGCTGCAACTTTTGGTTCCAAGAAATTGGACTAGATTCCAAGTATCCAAATATTAAAGAATTCGCGTTAAGGGCGTTTCGCAAGAGGGGACGCTCAGGATGGGAAATTTGGTCTGTGATGAGAGAGTCTTGGCGATTCTTATCCATTTCTTTATAACTGATTTGCTGCTAGGGTGGACTATGAAATGACAATCTAAAATGAGGACATAGAATAAAGTCTACCAGCCTGGCAAACTAACCAGGGCTAAATTGGTAAAATTAATCTTAAATTACAGTCAAGCTATGTATGTATACAAGCTCCAATTTTTTAAGCCCTTTATTACTTATTAATATTTTCGTATGTATGTATATATGCCTCATCTACTTCTTAACTCGTAAAGTAAATACAAATTGAGTGCTTCATGTTTTTGTCTTAAAATATTTCCGTTGGGTATCCTACTTAACTTACTGCATGTGTTTTGATTACTTATTTAATGCAATAAATAAAACCTCCACAGTGGAGCCTTTAAGTATTTAGCCCGAGTCAGGGCTAATTGTTATCATCGCTCTTTTTTGCGACACGTGAGATTTTAGCATACCAAATGTATCTTATAGCTTATACGTATTCATAAATAATTAAATTTAGTCATATGTTCACTGTAATCTATAAAGCACAGCAATTCATTACTTCGGTACAAAATTTTAGCTTAATTTAATGATTTTTAAACATCGGCATGAGCCACCCCATGGAATCTTCAATTTTATGTAATTCTTCATATTCTTACATTAGTAACCATTTGTAACATTTGTGCCCAATTTCAGCTTTCTACAACAATTTTTAAATTTTGCTCAAAAACACTCATAATACCACACCCACCGGTCAACCACTTGATCGATTTCGTCCATCTTAAAACTCGTTTCCTAACTTTGTCCAATATGCATATGACAAAATTTCATGTTAATCGCTTCGGGTCTTTCTTGTTTACGGACAGATAAACGGACGGACATATAACGGTTTCATAAGCCCGGACTCGGGCTGAAAAACCTACTGATGACTGATCGATCGACGAGTAATGTAGAATGTAAAAATACATGGATAATACAAATAGACTTATGTAAAAGTGGGTAATAAAATATTATCGTTGGGAATTTTCAGCATCAGTACATACTTAATGGATTGTTAAGAATGGTTAATATGTGTTAATGACTTCAGCAATACAGTTTATCTCCAATGTACTTACTATCCACACGATAAAGGAATATATGGACCTTGTATACAAGTAAGGGTAAAAGTACCTTCTTAGTACTTTTTTATCCATGTTTTGTCCAATATTTTCCTGTTCCTTACCTTAGTAATTTAAGGTCATAATATTAAACTTGTTAGAAATAAAACCGGTAGTGTATGTTCTTACTTATTTACGAAATGCAAGGGGAAAATAACTGAATGACTTGTCTCAGGACTTGTCCCCAGTTTTCCCATTAATTATACAATGCATGCCATATATATATGTAGGTATGTATTACCTGCGACTACCGATTGGTACACGTGAAATGACTGAATATTAAATCCCGTCAATATTTATAGCAGAAATTATTTCGCCGTTTAAATAACACGGAAACAATTTTTCTTTTTTCCTGAATGAAATGCTAGAAAGTGTACAGAAAATTGTACCTGTAAAAATGAAATAGGAGCTACCCCAAGTAACCTCAATGCGAATTTACTGCGAATCCCAATGCAAGTTTATGCAATTTTTGTGCATAAAAAGTTGTAATCATTAATTTGTACAAGATTCGTGCAAAATTTGTATCAATTTTTGTGCTGCTAATAAATTAGCACAAGAAATCCACGAAACTATCACAAATTAATTAGTAGCAAATTATTACAAAGAAACAAGTGAATATTTAGTGCGTATTTGTTAGCACTAAATTTTCATGAGATTTTTTGCACCAAATTCATGCATAATTCGTACCTGGGAAATTGTACAAACTCAAAATGCAGTAAACAGGTGCCAGCATATTCACACAAAATTTGTACCGATTATTCTGCAATAATTTACTACTAAATTAGTATCATTTTTCTATTCGCGATTAAATAAACAAACCTCAAGTGAGTTATTCTTTTTGACATCAACTCCATCATCTCTTCTCCATTTTTAATTTCCAACCAAAAAATTTGTTTCGACAGTTATGGTCGAAAATCAAAATCCTATTTCGGATAAAAGTTCGTATTCTTCGAGCTTGAAGGTGACAAATGAGTGGAGATTGTGCCGTCTACGTGGATTTCAAAAGATTGGACGACTAATGGCGTGTTATATGCCGGAAAATACGGTAATTACATATATACATATTGTTGTTAGCTAATTTTGCATTAATATATATTCGGGTTATTTATGTAAATATACGTTTTGCATAATTTATAGATTATTCATACGTTGAGAACACATATAAGGAATAAATCTATCGACTCATGTGATAACGACAAACGGCGTCGCCCTAAATTATCAGCAGAAGAGCCTGAGGTGAATAATGAGACATTGGTCAGGAATTCATTTTAACTTAATCTTTCTCTATACTCCGTAAGTACGAATTCTGCAGATTAATTACGATAAATATTTGTGTATCCCAATTTGCAATTATCTATTAATTAGTTAAGTTTTTGGAGATACCTAACATTATTGTAGAAATATGTACAACAGATGAATGTGTAATAAATAAATAATAATTGAAATGTGAGTAATACGTGTAAATGAATTTGTATTAATTTCATGCGTACCATTAGCACACAATTAGCAATAGATTCGCACTAAATTCGCACTAGATTCGCACCAAATTCTCACTTCATGAATGCATATTAATCATCACCAAATTTACACAAAATTCGCACATATTTGTTTGTGTTAATTTTGTGCATATTTTGTACAAGTAAACTTGTAGTGACAAATTATTGGTATGAATTTTGTACATGCGACTTGTACAAAATAAGCACAAGTCGGCTTCACATTTTCACGGAAAATATGCATTAATCCAGTTGTACAAATTTAGTACAATAGTTGCAGATTTTGGTTGCTTGGGACATGTAAATAGCTATGTAACATATATACATAGTTATTCATAGAGATGTATGTTATTTTTTCATATGGCCTATCTTCGTTGTTTTGATTTCAGCTCTGGAAATGTTTTGACTCATTGCATGTAAGGATTCAAAATCCCTAATCCCAAAATTCTGGGAATTTGGGGAAAGATATTTTAATGACTTGTGTCCATGCAAATACATATATTCGTTGTCTCCTACATAGTTATTTTTACAGAAGGATTGGGGTGTGTGGTGACTAATACTGACTACTGGTCAGTAGTTATTAAAAATCAAAGGTCGTATAGATATGGATCTTATTGTAAATAGACATTTATCATATGTACATACATATAGGTATGTACGTACTTACGTACAATGTCAAACGGTACAAACAGAACACTTGATTTTTATCCATCAATCTCTTACTTGATTTCGTCAATGTTCACATAATTGAATTCCTTTCTACTCTAGCTACTCCTCATCTCTTCAGACTGTCAACTACGGCTGTCAAGAGCTTTTGTGAAATTTAAACACCTTTTCTGAAATATGGGATTTTTACGAATTTTTGCCTTCTGTGGATTTGTTTTGTTTGCTTCTCAAAACCTGAAAGCAAGCTCCATTCCTCTTGAAATCAAGGAAATCAGTGAGTGAACCTAACCAAATCGTAACCACAATTTATGTACATAATTGACTAATTTTAAGTACAATTTATTTTTTATGTTAAAGATTCCTGTTCTGAATCAAATGGGGATCTCTGGTACAGTTTTAGTGACGGTTGCAATCAGGCCTCCTGCCCCTGTGGAGCCGAGACGACGAATTTATGCTACATTACGGAAATGTATTGTCCCGGCCACTGTCCTGGAGCGCTGTGGATTATTGAACAACAAAAAGCCGCTGAACGCTTATGCTGTACTTAAAAATTAAATTGATTTACAAACCTGCATCACAACCGATAAGAAAATAATAGTTTCAATAACACTTGTTATCGACAATTCAAATAAACCATGTGTATTATATAAATTACAATTTCGAATTACTAATTATTAATTAATTTATATCCATGGCAAGCAATTTTGAAATACATACATACATATATACTGGAAAATGCATATAAGATAATTTCATTCTCCATTAAATCTCGTAATAGTAATTTAATCTCGTAAATCTCGTATATATACACATATATGCATAATTCCGCATACACATAGTGTACAAATTTATTCGCAGCATTATACATCACGATAAATAATATATCACATATGCGTTTAATTGTGTACATTTCATACATGCATGTACCCAGGTACATCACATATGCAATTTTAACAGATATATTTCAGTGGAAACAAATTACACGGATATGTATTTAAATGTCCGGGTTAACTTATTTATTAAACATTTTCAGTGTACAAAACTACTTGACAATTGCAAACATACATACGTATATTTCATTGGTCCTTCGTTTCCGTTTGAAGTAACAACTAAACGCAATGTACATAATGCAATATCTACATAAATATGGAAAGTTATTATACGTATAATTAAAATTTGATCATTTTTAAAAGCGAATTTTTTCTGAAGCCAGAAGGAGTTGATGGGGCTGCTGGTGAAGTTTGAGTTGGAAGACTTATCGCACCGGTAGTTTTGCTTCTTGTTTCCACCAACATTTTGACAAAACCTTCTGACCTTGGTTCGTTTCCACTTTCAATCGGACCGTGGTTGAAATCTAACAAAACAAGTAGAATTTATCTTTATTTTGTCTTTGCACTTGCACTGATGTATGAGTACAGATACTGGTGACAATTATGTAATCGTACCACTTTTGCACCTAAACACATTTCTACTTGAGGCGTTTCCCATTTTAATATCTTTCCGCAATATTCACGTTTCTATAAACAATAAGAGCAACAATCCTAAGAACTCGTGAACCAGTCTGTTAAAATGTGGTATGATAATTTGATACGTGCTTACTACTACTAAGTTACTAATGATAAGTCTAGGTAGAGAATGATAAAAAACGTGTATGTACATATATCAATAAATATGTACTGAAACCCTGTCTTAATGTCAAAAGTCAAGAGTGTGTGAACCATTGAACTGAGATTATCAGTCCATTACCTGGGATTATGTATGCTAGTACGTTATACATATCTATTGCAATTCTTGCAATTTCATCTCCAAGGCGTAAACCTTTCCTTTCTAATTAATCTTTGACCAATTGCTTACATACATCAGATATGTACAGACTACATTTTTGATATCATATTTGTAAAGTTTATTCGTTTGAGTATAGAACCGTATTCGCTTACACATACATAAATATGTATTTAAGTATATCATGCATATGCGCGCATAGCTCGATGGTAAAATTACAATATCGTAAAATTGTAACAGTTCCATTTACTAAAATATGTGTAGCTGTAAATATCTACATATATATGGTAATAAGTATGATAAGTAAGTGTGGAAATGGGATAAATCAAATAACCAGTACTATCTATGTAGCAAATTTTCCTCGCATAATGCATATATTTATGTATGGTACACGTCTATCTAATAGTATCATTTCTATCCAACGAAGGACATGTATGTAGCACAAAAGTTCTTCCCGATGTAAATATTTGAAAGTCTGTAACTCAAAACTCGGTGATACCTGTAAGCCAATTTTTTCATCGGGCATACATACTTTAGTAATTGGTCTTTCAACTATTTAGATACATACTTTAATCATTATCTCAACTCTTTTCTTAAGTCATTGTGCTAATTTTTCTAAATTTGGATTTTTATTGGACCACACCCTCTTACTCCACAATGCTGGAACTGGTGTTTCTATTACTATTTATTGTATGGGATTAATTGATGTGAGATGTGGCTACAGCTAAACTAATTTCGAGTTCAAGCGAAAAATCAATCAGGAGTATGTATGTATTATGTAGTATCCATCATTTGCAATTAATATGATCCAGATTCGTTTCGCATAAGTAATCTTTGCACTACTTTGCAGCAGTATATGCAAATTCTACACATATTCTACGTTTGCATTTCATTATAATTACCACCACCAGTATTCAGAATCCATCAAGTGAGTGTACAAATTTTGGAATTTACAAAGTTTATAACAGTGCTTCATCGTACTTATTTACCATTGAAAATTTTTAAACAATGCATTTGAACTTAAGGCAAATATTACTTACTCAGAATTAAGAACGTGATCAATTAATTCTCATAGCTTTAGTGTTTAATATTTATTCTCATTTCGGGAACCAATTGGTTACAAATTATCTAAATACATCTATGTAATATATCCTCCATAATTTTTACTAGTTTAATAACACTTGCTATCTTATGTCAAACTACTGTGTTGGCTTTGTTACCACGCTACTATTGTCCACCTTTTTGATCGCATGAACCTTTTCATTCCCAGTGGTAACGGACAACTTTTTTGGCACAGATATTCTCAAAACGCCATCCAATCCTATTTCGCACTCCACTTGGACATCGTCCTTATCAACTTCTGGTGGGAGGACATAGCGCCGTTTAAACGATCGTGTTATGTAACCATGCTCATCCGCCTTTTCCTCATGCTTCCCTTCCACCAAAAGATGCTCGTCCACCGTCTTCACCACGAGTTCGTCAGGGGAATAGTCTTGCACATCCAGTTTGATCTGAAATACGTAAAACAATGTAGCTTTTTACGTTTGAGTTTAACTTGTTAAACTTTTTAGGAAATGTCAGAAGTATTTTCGTTAGGATTATGAACTTAAGATAATCGTACCGTAATCTTTTCTCTTGTGTGAAAAACTTCCGAGAGTCCACTCTGAATTGAGTAGGACGGTCGAAGAGACCCCTCCACGGGATACTTGTAAATCCAGGGGTGATGCGATTGGAGATGATAAGGGAGGTGGGGAGGTGGGTGTGGGTAGTAACAATGTGGGGTTGTCAGCTCGTGATGAGAGTACGAAGGGCTGCGCACTGGGGAATACATGTTTGTAACAACAACTATTTATTTTTCCTCTTGATGAATTGCAAGATTTTAGTGAAATACTTGTTTTAAAAATCTACAAAAATTTATGCAATTCCTTGGAACAGAGCTAAAGAAAGATTAGTTCAGATTTCATTCAGATACCAACTTTTATTCATCTGAGAAAGTGAATGAGAAACAGATTTATTATAATCTTTGGCAGAATACGTGATGTTGAACACGATACCAAACCGTTAAGCCAAGTTCAATAACAAGATTGTTGATAAAATCCTGACAGTTGGAATCAACAAGGAGCAGAAATAAATGTGGAACAAGGCACATTAGATATGCAAACCATACGGCGACGACGACGCTTCTTTACGGAAGATTAGTTATAAGTAGCCATTCATTTAATGCGGGACATGTGTAAATAAATCCAATTTTAGTTTGGCACAAAATGATCTAGAGAAAGATAGTATTTATGTAAGTAGGTACGTATATGTCGAATTGCGGAATTTCGGTTGGTTCTAAAAGTGATAAAACTGCAGAGCCTGATGTTAAATCTTCTCTTTGTACGCATGGTTTCATTTCATCGCCGTATAAAACTAGGTACAAACATTATTTATTAACCTGACGATTGAGACGGACAGAAATAAAATTAAAGTTTTGGAGTTACGAATAAAGAATTTGAGTAAAGCTTTAGGGATTTATAGAAGTTGACCTTGGTAACTTTTAATCCTAACGCGCGTATGTATATTTTGGGCTTGATTTGATCGAAATTACTTTTTTTTCATTTAATTGTGAAAACTATTAGCAAAATTGAAAAATAACTTCAGATCATGCGTTCGCCATAAATTGCTTTTGGTGATGCACTTTTGCAATTGTGTAGTACAGCACTGAAAATACGAAAATCAGTTGTAGTCATGGCGCTGTGGGTTCTTTTGAAAAGTTTTTTGATGGAAATAATCGTACCAAGATAGTCGTTAGACGATCATTTTTTTACCCGATTATATAACCCGCATAATAGACACCCTTGACTACAACTATTGCCAAATATTACAATCTCGCTTACTCTGTGAGAAACATGGTATTTGTTATATTACCATCAAATTCTCTTTTTATACTGCAATACAGCATTATGACGAGTTATCAATTTAACTATCTGTCCAAACCGATCATCCACTTGTACGATAACAGCTAACGGTTTTGCTTATCCTCACATGCTGAGCACTCCCTATTATGAATGAGCTCTTACACGTGATAGTAAAGACCCATTGATAATTTATTACTAACAATCCAATTATAACAGTCTAATTATATCCATTTAATGAAGATAACTAGAAATGGTTTTAAAACCGAGTATCTTTTCCCTGGTTCTACAAATGAAAGAAGGTTTCACAGTAAAATACACATAACTAACATCTACTTTCTTTTTTTATGTAATTGAAAACAATTAATTACACTAACGCATAAACATGACCCCCAGGCCCCCAGTCCATTTTGAAGCATTTCATATCGTCCATACAATTATTATGGATTCAAGCAACAATGAACACAGAAAAATATGAAATGCAAGCAAACCCTGGCTTTTAAATTTTATTTTTTAAACAAATTATTTAATGAGCAATTGCAATATTTCTGTCATGAAATTTATCCATGAATTATGAAACGCATTCATTTTTACTGACGAAATTTTAAAACTGGATCAATTGAATAAAACACTAAATATTTAAGGAATTATATAAAATGCTGTCTAAGTAGTTTCGGTCATTTTTAACTCCGACCTCAAATACACAAATCAAATATATTAATAGAGTCGGATAAATGATGTAAACAAAATTATAATTTATGACAAGCTAGTGGACAAGTCGGACTTTGGTTGCATCGCAAATATATTTATGCAATAACTCTTCAGCGATAAATTTCCTGTCAAATGTTGTTTGTCATTTCAAAGCAAAGCATGGGATCTCCATGGAAACCCATAACGTATCGTTTGTTTATGATTTTATATGACTCACTAGAATAACATTACAATATTCACTATCCACTTCAATTTTTTGTATTAGCATTTACCTATTATTTAGCATTATATTCATTACAATCCCCGTCGTTAACGCGCAGTTTCATATTGCAATACAAGCGCAAACGTCTCTTTTCGCCATTCCTGCGACATTGTTTTTAGATTCTCATTTCTCATCCTAACTCTTTCACTAATATCAAATTGTTGTCAGTTAACTGACAATCAAGAAGTGAAATTAACTAAATTTTCAATTTGACAAAATTTGTTGGAATGTTCTACGGTTCTTCAAAAATTCAGAATTTCACTGTTACCACAATTCATTTTATTTTTAAGTTCAACATGTTTCAGTTGGCTATTTTTAGGGGAATTTGAAGTACGTATTCATAATTTTGACGAATAAATTGTGAAAATCTATATCAGATACAACTACGAAAATGAAGTTTCCCATGAAATTTATCAGCAATAAATCCGCCCCTTTGAATCAACCAGTTTTGGTAAAGGTGAGTAAATGCATATGTACCTACATATATATCGAAATTTCATTTAAGGTTCTGCAAAACGCATGCATTTGCACTAAATAAATTCATATTTGTAGAAGCTTGTAAAAGAACTAGAACATCTGCACTGGACTGGAAAGGATGCCCGGATTATTTCCTTGGAACATTGTGCTCTTCTGATCTGCATTTGGTCAGAAATCCAGCTCTCGATTTCCAATAATGTTGAAAACGCACGAGAATTCATTCGTCGAGGAGGTTTACAGTGGGTCTATTGGTACGTAGTAGAGAAAGGCCTTGCTGCAAAGTCGGCTGAATTGAATTGTACCTTCAAAGGTAAGAAACAAGTAAGAATTACTGAGTAAGAATTACTGAGTATTATCAAATTATTTAATTCTCTCTGAAAAGAAATCATGATCGGTCTTGCAATCGCCATGACGGATGAGGGAAAGCCATTATTCAAGAACAAGTATTATGGTTGCCGAAAAATCATTGAGGAACGACTCTTCATGGAGACTGTCATCTAATGAAATTGACTACTTCATAAATTTAGTTGCTTGGAGATATGAAAAATTATTCAAAAAACGATACGCCATGATTAGTGAACTTCCAAATTTAAACAAACTTATCAGTTACTGTTAGTTAATCTGTCCTAGATTTTTTAAAAATCAATAGGTGTTAATTATTGCTGATGTATATTACTACATACATACAATTACTACTTTTTGGGAAAATCGGCAGAAATAAAGTTGTTTTTTGCTTCTTATTTACTTATCCCACTATTCTAATTATGAATGCATTAGGCAACCTCATATACTGAGGGCCCTGGTCCTGACAGTCTAAGGGTGAAAAGATAATTGAATACTTAGAGAATTTAGTATCAAATAATGGGAAATATTCATCCAACTGCAAAATATTTAAATTATATATTTAATGGTATATAACAGGATAATTATGATATAGACCCTGCAAACTGACAAATATGGTTGAGTAATAAATCCTGGTTGGGGCTATGCAACGCTGAGCTAATTTCTTGTAATAATAAATATTTATGGATCAAACGCTCTAAAGGGATCTTCTTGTAAATCTGTGAGCACAATCTCAAAAGTCAGGGTGGAATCTAAAAAATAGTAAATTATTTTTCAGAAAAAGTTTTTAAAAAGTACTGATTCTTAATTTTATTTCGACTCATACATATACAATTTTGCTTACTTGGTGGGATTTGGCCATATTGGGTGGATCCATACGCAAGATTTGGGGGTATGACGAGGTAACGTTTTTCCCCTTTGCACATCTTCATTGTTCCAATTTCACATCCCTTGATAACGTCCCCTTGTCCCATTATATATGTCATAGCCTCTTTACGATCATATCTGCAATTTAACGTCCCGAAATCATTTATATTGTACCTCATCTACCAAACGGTAGAGGTAACTAGATAGATGTATATTTACGAGAAAATAACTTACGTAGAGTCAAACTTTTTTCCATCCGGAAATTTTCCAATGTAATCCGTAGTGAGCATATCCTTCATCTGTGAGCGATAAGTACAGTTTGAGGGTTCGTACAATACTTCGATCTCGACCCCTTGATCGACCCATTTGCGACCAGCCTCGACCACAAAGACACCATAAAACCCCACCACGACCAAAAACAGGAGCCTCATCTTGGACAAAATATGCATGTTATAAAAACTATACATATATGTCAACTAAACTATCTACATAAATGCCAAACAGGGCAATAATCATAATGTTTTATAAGCTTATTGTTTTCTCAATTCATGTAGTCACGTTACGACATTTCCATGTACCTATGTACCTAAATACATAAGCATGATGGTCAACGGAAATGAAGTAACAATGGGTTTATTGACTCATAGAGTTATACATACAGATATGTACATATGTATGTGTGGATATGGATAAAAGTGAATATGTTATGCAATATATGTAGTACATACATATATATATTCAACTCCTTATGTCCAATGTATGTCTCTGTCTACAAAGACTTCAAGATTTCAAAATGTAACCGAATCAGGCTAGTCGGGGCGTCGGATGCATGAATTATAAAACTGATATTGCGTATTTAGTATATGCCTGATTGGCTTTGAAATACAAATTTGTTATATACATAATTATGTATGCACTCGTATATGCTACAAGATACGTTACATTTGCGGCTCCCAATAAAATATATCAGACGATATGTATACGTATCTATATATCGTGTCGTGAATTACTTACATTACATATGCCCACAAAATATTATGCTCAAGCTTACATTTTAATGTACAGTAAATAAATATTTCACTTTAATAATCTTGACACTAAAATTATAACAATTACACAATCTTAAATATTTCTTGTACTATAACACACTACATAATTAGTTATTTTTCTAAATTTATCACATTGCGCAAAAAACAGTATATACGGAATTTCATGTAAAATTTTACATAATATGCATACATATGTGTGTATGCCCTGCATGGGGTTCCAGTTCAAAAACTATGCTTCAATTCTAAATTCCTCCTCCATCATCCGCTTCAAATCTTTTGGTTTGGGTGACCTTATCCAAATGTCGCTGTCCGAGCAGTAGGCATCCACTCCCTCCAAGGTGCCGCCCCAGTAGGGTGGCATATTTTCTACCGGAAATCTCTCTCGTACAACTTTCTTCCACTTCTCTTTGTCACATCCAAAAACTTGCATCTTATCCAGAGTGGCCTTACTCATGAACGGCTTAACAATACTGAACATGACGTTGAAAAATCTGGGGGCATTTATCACCATGACGTAGTGCATCATTTCTGGATAGTTTGATTCCATTTTGGGACACACTCTCATGAAATATTCGATTGCAGCTTTAGAACAGAACTGTCGAAACGAATACCTGCAAATACGATCAATCTCTAAAAAACTATATCATTATACCAAAAAAATATGTGATAAATATCGAACCCTTCCATATCAAAGATTTCGATAGTTTGGGTCACAGGAACTTGAATCTTCTCGCTCACGTTGCGCATAATCCTTATAACGCTCTCGCCTTTCTGAACATGGAAGCGTTCCAGCATATCTGGACCATACTTCTCAACCACACCTTTCGAGTCGTATCTTCCAAACGGGTGAATATTAGCAGCAAAACCGTCCTTGGAAACACCACAGAATGCCATCGGCTCAGCCGTGGCTAATTCATAAGGAAATTCTTCCTCCAAAATTGTATCTGCTTTAAACTCTTTTCTCCACTTGATCGAATCTCTCAGCATTTTCTCTGCCAAGACGAGGTCCAGACTCCGAGCTCGCAACCATTTTATGAGAAACTCGTCTTCCAGTTGATGCGGTGTCAGGTCAAGATCGGACAAATTTAAACGAAATTGTATCAATTTTTCTTGTTCTTCTTGGGTATATTTAGGAGCTGCCATTTTAAATGATGCAGCAAGCAGGATGCGAATGTTGAGGTGACACTGGCAACAAGTATAATAATAAAAGTGAACGGATGTACATAATATCTTATCCTTCGTCATTATTGCGAGTATGCAAGTGGTCGTCCTTTCGCCTCACTATAACCAATGTGTATCGAGGAGGTCATGCGTCATATGAATCCATGTGTGTATGTGAGTCCTGAGTTGCATTGCATTATTTGTGGTCAAGTGTGAGGCTTCAATTAGACTCCAATTGATTCCATTCCATATCTTTGCGTATTGTGATTTTCATAAAAGTTCGCAGGACTCAAGGTGTACCGCAACTGCTACACGATGAGGATGATTGATTGATCGTCCAACAGGAAGTGTAATAAGTAGAATCAATGGGATATTCTTTCGCATAATCTCGTTGTACATATATGCGTGTGTATATCAATTTACTTATGTATGCCAATTCCAGCAATCCAATCTGTATTGAGCGAATTATGTATATTGTGCTTAGCTCATTTTATTCGTCCTTGTTTGCATAATTGAGGAAAAGGTCAGGTATATGTATTTTTGGTTTCTGGAACATGCACTTTTATGGAGAAGACTATACGAATAGAATATTGGTAAAAAAATACGGAAGCTTAGGCAAATATCTGTAGTGCCGTATTTTAAATAAGTATTGGACTCATTATCAATTAATCTCCATTAATTAAGCATTGATGTCTTTGACCTTTTAAGAATGACTAATTTTACGGATATCCAGTACTGCTCAAAGATTTGTTTTAAATGAATTTATACTTATCATGTAAAGCTGTAAAATACCGGGGATACAAATTAACACGAACCATGTAATGTACGTACTACACCCCTTGCAATGCATTACATAAATAAGCATGCATGTATGCGTAATTGTTCTAATACATTAAACTAATTCTCACTAGTCATTCAGTAATGCATAGTAATTATGTCGCAATTACACTCTTCTGCAGAAAATGAAGCATTTAATTAACAGCCTATTGACGAATTATACTGGATAAAGGTGACCGAAATTAAAAAAATAAATTATGCTACTTTCTTTGCTAATATCATCTATTTTTGTAAATTGCAAATTTGTACCGACGCACATTTCAGTGAAAGAAATATTTACAGCATGCATACATTTCTTGTACTGACCTGAAATCCGAAAGTCTTCTGAAAATCCAAAGCAATGATTTTTTAGTGTCTTTGGCCATTAAGATTAAGTCTCATGATAGTAACTACTTACTTTTGCTCAGGATTTGTGTTCATGACATAAGTCGTTAAATATATCGAATTCTTTAAAACTATTCTTCTGAGATGGTAGCTGAGACCAATTTGATATGCATACACATTCATAAGTACAAGGTACATAACAAAGCTTCGAGTATTGGTTTGGAAAATAATCCCAGTTATCCGATGTCCCATATTGGAATTAAATCATGTCTGAAATAAAGCATCAAAAATGCAAGTGCGAACAAATATTTATAGGTTTAGAAAGTGATTCTTAAATACTTATGACTGACTGACTGTCTTGACACAGTACTTTATTTTTGTTATTCAATTCATAATGTTTCGTTTGAAATTTTTATCATGATGTGGTATGATTCATACAATGCAACGGTCTAAAATCTACATGAAACATGATATTTGCCCATACATATATGTATAAGAAAATATATTGGTCTTGTTTGGCATAGAAAATACAGATATTCTCTGATCTCAAATGAAGGGATGAAGTCATAAAGTTAATGTGCATGGAGACAGATATGAAAGACTTAAGGGCTCAAATTTTACCAAGTTAGCCAATCACTTCCAGATATTCCAGATTAGATCTTCATACATAAGTAAGTCAGATTTTGAGCATGTATGTACATACATATGCATATATTAAATCCAGAAATTCCGTCTTTCTTTCACATTGCAGCCGAACAACGCCCGATTTATTCAAGACAATCAGTGATTGTTTCTTCAGAGGTCTGCATCCGCACAAATACGTGTAAATATTTATTAGGTCACACTTGATACACAACAAACAAACAGTTTTAATACTTTTAAACGTACCACACGTAAAGTTTCTGTTTGAATATTTAATTAATTGATACATTAGAATGGCATCTTCACGGATAGAACTCAATCCGTTTCTTATTGAGCCGGTAAGTACATAATAAAATTCTGGCATCGTTAAACACTTTTATACGGGAATTAATGGCTGTCGTAATATTTTACTTACAATCTTAGGACTAATTTTATAATCATAAACTCATGATTATTAACAGATCGTGGAAAAAATTCTTTCATTTCTCCCAACTCCAGACCTTGGACCAACTCGCCTGGTTTGTAAATTATGGAACGAAGTTGGCGATATTATTGAGCGAAACCGAAAACCTGTAACCATATCAAGTTTTAAGGAGGCTCAAGTAATTTATTTCATGATAACAAAAATCTATCCAAAATGGGGCATCTGCTCATTAACGTTCTCAACCTTCGCCATGGATTTTGGGGTGGTTAAAAAAATCTTGATCCACCTGAAAAACACTCTGACCACCCTCCGACTCCAATCTGGCTTTATTGAAGAGGAAAATTATCACGACTTCATGCGAATTGTGGGCGGAAATCTTCGCGTTTTGGAGTTGGGTGTAATGCATGACGAGTATTATTGTCATTTTCCATTTTTCCCTGTACAGAAAGATAACCAAAACTCACCAACCGAGTGGTACGTCTTTCCCAAACTTCGAAGTCTGGAATATATCGGATATCTCAGAAACCAATTCGGCTCCGGATCCGGGGGTGGTTCCACATTTCTGAGCGACGTCGTAAAATCTTGCCCACACCTTGTCCGACTCACGATAAATGGAATGTTGGAAGAAAATCCGACCAAGTTTGATGGTTTGGGAGGACTGTCCAAACTCAAATATTTACATTTGAACATGATGCCGATGGATAGCCCCAAGGGAAGAAAAGGTTCTGCATATTTTCAAAACCACGTATTCCTTTCATAATCCAATTATTCGAAGGAACAATAGACAATAATTAATTTTTTTTACAGATGTCGGTTTTACTAATAATAGGATTCATTGCCTCAAAAAACTGAATCTTGCCCTGCAGGATTTTCGAGTAACTAACGTCCACACTAATCTTGATCCGACCCTATTTAGAGACTTCTTGGAGTCACAAGGGGAAACTTTAGAGTGTGTTTTTCTCAATCAAAACTCGGTAATATAAATATTGAATTAAACAAAGCTTATGACTGACAAGAGTTAATATTGTATTGTTTGTATTTAATTATTTAGTATTTATGCATACAAAAATTTGCGCTTTTAACATTTTATTTTTTGAAGATTCGTGCCACAGGTCAACCGGCATCAGGGAGTCAATATTGCAACGCTTCCATGCCTACGCCATTTCCACTTTCACTCCCGAAACTCACTCGTCTTGAAGTATTCAAACCTTTTGTTCGGAATTTACAGCATGTTTTTAACTCGGCTCCAAACTTGTACTCCATTTTGCTACAATTTGATCCCGATGTGGAGTGGAAATCTATTCTTCCAAGAGGACCGATATCCATCCCAAGAACTTTGAATACCTTAACATTTGCATTCGTGGATGCTTTATCTTTTCAGAAAATGTCAACTTGTTCCACCCATCTCGTTCGTCTTTGTCTCCAAAATTGTGGAGATTCTCATCTCCCAGTGATCTTTGACAAGTTTCCGAATATAAAAGAACTCACTTTGATGGAGGGACACGAGAAGATGACAGACGCTCTGCTAACTGGACTTGATCCTGAAGTACTGGAAAAGTTTCGAGATGCGCTTGGAAAACTTGGCGAGCAAAAGTTTTCATTCAGCAAACAGTTGGCTGAAAAAATTGAAAAATGTAAAATCCACCCGGGTCTTGGCAGTTTGAAAAGTAAAGATACAAAATAATTTGTAAAAAGTATTTGTATAATGTCCATACATTTTAACTGATCTTGCGAAATAATAGAAATGAGACATCTTATTCTGGACTTTACGTCCCCCAAGGAATTTATTATACTGTGGGGATTCTGGAATTTGGAAACGATGCACACCGTTAACATTAATGGGGACAATATAAGCCAGGTGCTGTTTACAATGGTTAAAGATGCCGATTTTAAATAACTAATATGCAGATTAATAATTTTTCGAGATTTTGCAGAATTCTGAACGGTATATCAAATTCATGAACGCTGGTGGAAGATATGCCAACATTCAGATGCATCAAAGTACTGGAACCTTTATTCGTGATGACTCGGTAATTATTTCTGGGTCACCGGCACGTTTCTTTCAAAAATGGGGACCATCTCTGACCTCCCAAGAAGAGTGGAAATATGACGACGACGACGCATCAGATAATGCATCTCTGATTTCAATGTGCTTTGAAAAGTAGGTAGTAGAATCATCCTACTAGGATATTAAGTTGAGAAAATATACCTAAACTCATTGTTGATTTAGTGTACATAAATAAATTTCATAACTTTGTCAAGGATTTAAAAATGAAAATACATACAATGTAAAAAAAATGTCGATTTCTAAAACATAACAGTTTCTCGCCACAATGTGTCATTAAGAGTAGTACGGTGTTATTGGTCATGTGGGTGTATACATAATATAGCTACCTAAACGTTACAATGCTCCCGTCACAGAATTTTTTAGAAGAATGATTACAAAAAAACGGGATGGTCAACAAAGTGTATGCAGCCGAGTGTGAACTGAATATAAACACTCGCATTACAATAATGTATAGATAATAGGAGCCCCGTTATGTTTTGTGGTGTTGGATATCCACTGGACATGCATGCATATATTTGTACAGCTAATTGCTTGGTCATCATTTCATTTAAATAAAAAAATCGTTTGATTGTAAGAACCAATCTCGTTATAAATTTCATCCCTGGAAAGAACAAGTTCAATAATGATTCTTGCAATTGAAATGTCGCAGTTTGATGTCATCATGATCAAGGGAATTGATAACTACTCACCGACGGGTAAACCCACAAATGCACGCATCTTATTCCTGAACAATTTGCACTGTTCAAAGTACAGCATCATTCATTGAACGTGTATTTATAAAGAGTAAAAAGCCTGCCAACTGCCAGGCACTCTAAAATTGGTTACACATGCACGTAAAATACACGGCATAATAAATACAACAAGTGTTTCATGTTGTGAGCCCAGTGTGAAATTGTCTTTTTGACGAGGTAGATGTGCAGAAGGGACCGTGTGTAATATTTTAAAACACCGTGTTTCTATTACCGGAATTTTAATAGTTCGTTAAAAATGGGACACGACTGGCATCCTTCTATACTCAGGGTAAGTTTCTTTGTTTCTACTAATTATACATATTTTTATAGAAATTTTGAAATATGCAGTGGAACAAACTTTGGGACTATAGATGCTCTTGTATGAGACATGAGACATAGATGCATACAACAAATTTAGTAGTTGGCGAAAAAATGTTTCTCAAAATTATCTATAAAATTTGCATAAACATAAAATATTAATTCCAAGCATGCATGCATTTAAAATACAACTGTTTTTCTGCAAAACTTTATTCACGTTCCATGAAAAAAGTGCATGTCCTTCTTATGATGAATACATCATCATGTACATTCTGTCCACTCATGTCTGTTGGTTTGTTTGGGTTTTCACACAAATCACAGTTTCCATTGTTTATTGATCTAATCAAACTATTACCATTAATTGACATCATTGATTTATTTGGATATGTATTCCAATTACGATTACAAATTATCAATGTCAGCTTACGTGTCCATCTGCATGTGCATATTACTCTTAAGTTATAAATATAGTCTGTATGCACAGAACTGCACAGAATAATTGACAAAACTAGGTCACTCATTAAAATAAAATTAGCGTGACACAAAAATCATCTTTAAATTGGTATTGTGCCTGGTATATCAAAGGCTTGGGTATTCATTTCAATTTAAAATGGTTCAATGGCAATGGGCAATCATCAAATTCAGGAAATTAAATAAGCTCATACATTTCCACGTAATCCATCCTAACCACACACCACAGAAACTACTCTTTGGTCTTATTAATACTGGTATATTCCAGTTAAGGCATCCATGTAAGCACACATACGTAATATCTCAATTCATAATCCACTGACTGAACGAAACATCCCATTCAGACGCAACAAATAATAAGTATAATCTCACCCACTTATTAAACTTTAGCTAACCATATATAGCTGAGATTATTCCACTTGTATAAACAACTACTGTTACATATTATATTTGCATACATGCACATATGCATTGCAGTTAGAAGGAGAAGTTGTTTGGGATAATTGCATGACTTATTCAGTATACTGGTAGTATATTTATGGCTACAGAGTAAAATTATTTCCGCAAAAATTATGAACTTAAATCGGGTAAGAATTTCCATGCAAGACTTACTTTCACCTCGTACATACGTATTGTGCATGGACCCTTTCTTATACATCCATGGACATAAGACTCGAATCCCCGGTGTGTCAAACTTTCTCCATTCTCGCCCACACACATTTCATTTCCTACTCAAATCTAGTCCACCAACACTAAAACCCAGCAGCTGTCCTAATACTTGGGACTTTAACTAATAAATGTAAAACTTGCATAAGTTCACGTCCTCCTTAAAAATGGGCTCTCCAAATATTTCCTCTGCTGACACTAACTCAAACAATTCTTCACCCCCACAGACGAACCGCCTCGTCCCACCCACCGCCGCCACGAACGTGCTGGAACAGAAACATCACGTCTCCAGGGATGGGAGAGGACAGATTTTAGGAAATTTAAGAGGATTTCGTGGATGCACGGTTTGGTTTACGGGTATGTAAATTAATTATGACAACCACTTATGCACATAAACCCCCAGTGTGTGTAGTGTCAATCACAATTATGTAAATTTGACAAATTTCAAGGTTTCTCTGGTGCTGGGAAGACGTCCATCTCTTTCGAACTAGAAGCTTTCCTGGTGGCGAATGGAATTCCAACCTACGCCCTTGACGGGGACAATGTGAGGACGGGATTAAATAAAAATCTAGGATTTTCTAAGGAGGATCGTGAAGAGAATATTCGAAGAGTGGCAGAGGTGGCGAAACTCTTTGCAGACAGTGGGGTTGTAGCATTGTGCTCATTTGTAAGCCCGTTTGAAAAGGTAATTAATTATGTTCTATAGATTCTATAGTATGGTTACTGATATTAAATAAGGCCGTGTAATTTAATTGATCTATATTTCACCACCATATAAATAACAGGACAGAGAGCTCGCCAAAGAAATTCACAAGGCAAGTGGCCTCCCCTTTTATGAAGTCTTCATCGACACTCCCCTCGCCGTTTGTGAGCAGAGGGATGTCAAAGGACTCTACAAAAAAGCGAGGGAGGGTAAAATTAAGGGTTTCACTGGTATCGACCAGCCCTACGAACCCCCACCACATCCAGATCTAAGAATCGAAACGGTTGGCAATAGTGTCAAGGATAACGTGCTAGAGGTCGTCAAATTACTGATTGAAAAGGTGAGCATAATTGAATTGTTCTGATTTAATAGTAATGTGTAAAAAATAGATATGTATTGTAAAAACACACTCACCTATTTTTCCCACATTGCAGGATATTCTCCCACCATTCCTTCAATTTACAGAGACCGTGTCTGAGTTGTTTACAACTAAATCTAAACCCGAAGTCTCCCAAATCATCAAAACTACACCAAAATTGGATATAACGGAGCTGGATCTCCAATGGGTTCAAATACTCTCAGAAGGCTGGGCCTGTCCCTTGAAAGGATTCATGAACGAAGACCAGTTCCTCCAAACAATCCACTTTAACTCTTTTGTGAAGGATGAAGTGGCCACAATGCCAGTAGCAATTGTCTTACCAGTGGAGACAGAGGATAAGATTAGGTTGGAGGGTGTGACTGAGGTGTGTTTGGCGTATAAAGGACATGTGGTTGGAGTATTAAAGGGCATTGAGTTTTATCCGCATCGAAAAGAGGAACGTGTGGCGAGACAATTTGGGACAACATCGCCAAAGCACCCTCATATTAAGGTAGACAATAACTAATAGCTGTACCATTAAATTAAATAGTGATAAATAATATGCCTGGTTATATTTATATGTGTGACTTCTTTTCAGATGATTCTCTCCAGCGGCGACTGGTTAATGGGTGGTGAGCTGGAAGTTTTTGAGCGCATCAAGTGGAACGATGGGCTAGATAAATATCGCTTAACTCCAAATGAGATTAGAAAACGAGCAAAGGAGATGGTAAATGATAAAATGTTTGGTTATACGTCGAACATATGAAATTCTAAATATTTTATAGCATTAATTTAATCCCTTAGGAGGCGGATGCATTGTTTGCATTTCAGTTGAGGAACCCAATACACAATGGCCATGCATTATTGATGCAGGTGAGCAACTCATTGAAGAAGTCTGGTGATAATTCTATGTATGTAATTATGTGTAATTCAGTATATATGTACTAATTGTATTTTTATCTCAGGACACACAACGGAAACTCGAGTCAAGCTATGGGTACAAGAAGCCAGTCTTGCTCCTCCACCCACTTGGTGGCTGGACGAAGGACGACGATGTTCCTCTCCCTGAGAGGATACAACAGCACTTGGCAGTTCTTGAGGAGGGTGTTTTAGACCCTGAGAGAACAATTTTAGCCATTTTTCCGTCTCCAATGCTTTACGCTGGACCAACGGAGGTTCAGTGGCATGCAAGGTAATGTTTATTTAAAAATATTTAATATAGTTATTTCAGTTATCTCATCGTCAGTATTATTTGGAAAATAAAACTCAATCAGAGCTCGTCTCAATGCTGGTGCAAATTTCTACATTGTTGGGAGGGACCCTGCTGGGATGCCCCATCCAGAAAATCCATCCATCGACCTATTCGATCCAACACACGGTGCTCGGGTGCTAAAAATGGCTCCAGGGTTGGCTGGGCTTGAAATCATTCCGTTTCGGGTGGCGGCATACGACACGAGGGGAAAGTGCATGGCGTTTTTTGAACCAGGAAGGAAGGATGATTTTATTTTTATTTCGGGAACTAAAATGAGGGGTAAATAAGCAAAAATGCATAAACTAATTATATTTACATCAATAAAACTTATCAACCTGATTTTCTCCACATACTCAGGGCTCGCAAAGTCTGGGCAAAATCCTCCTGATGGGTTCATGTCTCCTAAAGCTTGGAATGTATTGGCAGAATATTACAAAAATTTGAAGGGGTGATATTTTTTAAATGGTTGCTAAGAAGAATGAAAGCTTTAATCCAATTTTTACTATTTTGTTGACAATTTTAATAAATGACGAAATGGATTCCTTAATACATTTTACTCTCTCCTCCGCAGCACCATTGGCACATCAAACAAAACATTCAAATATGAATTTGCAACGAGATACACGCTTCTCGAAAATATTTCGACTTTTGAAGCCATAAATTTAACAAAATTAGCCTGTATTTCTGACAATGTATCAATTTCTAAGGATTCATCGCCATACATTGATTGCTGTTCGGTCCCATTAGTATATCTATACATGTAACAAGAAGGTGATTCGTGGGTTGAGTAGACCTTGTGAAACTTCCCACTCTTCACAGGATGTTCTTCACCGCTAACAGACAGCGACGAATTGATCCCATTTTCTTCGAAAACTATTCCACCAGTGATTAGCGTTATGGTTACATTTACCAACTCCTCTGGAAGAAAATTCTCAAGAAACAGGCCAGGATAATCTGCCACGAATATCACATCACTGGTGGCATTAATATCGAAGAACGTAGAAAAATAATCTCTGTAGTGTGAGTATTGCGTGAGAAGTGGGAGGATAAAGCTAACCGGGGTGAAAGGGGACCAATGTACTTTGAGAAGATTGACCTGCAATTTGAAATAGTTGCATAATTAATTAATTAGTTGATAGATGCATATAGCAATTGTAAGTATACCCTCGGATCATATATCCTCTGCTGAAAGCGACCATTAAGAGATTTCCAAATGTCAAAGTAAACTCCTATGGAGCTGATATTGTATCGCTCAAGGTTCCGTGCAATACACTGGGCGTGTTGAAGCGCCATATCGGCATGACTACTCCATCGGTCGTTGGCCACCCAGACCTATTTATCAATAATGAAATAAATTTCAGAAAAAAAATCAAATTAGACTGCATTAGTTACATCTGGATCCAGAAATTTCTCCTGTCCAGTGATCTCATCCTTGACAATAATTTTCTGGTGCAGCGTTTCCCATGAGTTGACCATCATATCCCAGGAGTAGCCGTACAGGCCTGGGGTCCAATTATTAAAACCCTTTTGAAAAATAAATATTAAACAATATTTTAATATTGTTTCCTGTCCAGAATTTTACTTAGGATTATTCAAGGTCCTGAATTTCACTTACAATGGAACCTTTTTTCAAGCTACACCGGGATCGACTAGCGAGTTATATCAAAAAATCAAGCCAAAAATTAGGTCAATTTTTGAGAAAATTTTCCCTTGCGTTTTTCTCCACGGGGCGAAAACCAAGGCGCTCGTGTGAACTTTGACCTCCAATATTTTTCTTCAAAGGGGCCATTCAACGGAAAGAGAAGTGTCACGTGACTCCTAATTTTTGGCTTGATTTTTTGACATAACTCGCTAGTCGATCCCGGTGTGGCTTGAAAAAAGGTTCCATTGTTAGTTACGTGTGTATATAAGGTTAACTCACTTGATGGTAAATTTTGTGACCGGGAGCATGGGACGAGTTTGGGATTATTTTGGGGAAAAAATTCGTTGTTACGTGAAGTTAAGGCCATTTTAATGTAAATTTATAAAATAATGATGAAGATCAAGGCCGGTGGTGGATAAAATTAACGATCTTGGAGCAAATTTGATGTCATTTTTAGCAAAATGGGGAGAAACTGTGCAATTTCGAATTGTCCAAACAGAAAAGGAAAGCCCTCTCACAAAGTTCACTCGTTTCCAAATGCAAAACATGCACTTCTTCGGAGTATTTAGATTTCTCAAGCTATTGGGACGACGTCATCACTTAAACTTGACAACTTTGGCGTTTGCAGCCGTCATTTCTCCTCAAATAATTATGTAGCAGGTCATGCCACCACAACCAAAAGTAAAGGTGGCGAAGACGATGTTCAATGGCGATGAAGAGTTCGAGATTCCTCCCGATCCAGCCGAAGCTGATTTGGAACTGATTAATTCTATCCTAAATTCATATGAACAAGTTTAATCGTTATGATATTTATGTTTGTCATTTGTTAATTATGATGTACGGTGTAATTGTTATGCATCTGTATAAAGTCGTGTTGTCAAAATTTTGACCACCACCGGCCTTGATCTTCATCATTATTTTATAAATTTACATTAAAATGGCCTTAACTTCACGTAACAACGAATTTTTTCCCCAAAATAATCCCAAGCTCTCGGTCACAAAATTTACCATCAAGTGAGTTAACCTTATATACACACGTAACTAACAATGCAAGTCTTTTACGTGTACAACTCAGATCTGGTCGGGACCAATTTTATTTTGTTCAGCACACAAAATAAGCATACCCGTATTTTTTCATTTTTCATAATGCGCTAATTTGAGCGCGAGGCGCGAATTTTAAAACATTTTTCAGCCAAAATCTCGGTTTTTAAAAATTCTGTAAATTTTCGAATTTTAGCGCGAATCCAAAAATTCGAGAACATGTCTCTTCAGAATGACTAACCTGACTTATGAAAAATCCAATTGTCTCGAAATTTGATTTTCAAAATTTTTTGCCAGTTTTTGAAATTCATTAAAATTATAAACTTATTCAAAATTTTAATTTTTCAAAAAATAATGCATCTGGATTTTTCATAAGTCAAGTAAATCATTCTGAAGGGACATGTTTTCGAATTTTTGGATTCGCGCTAAATTTCGAAAATTTACAGAAATTTTAAAAACCGAGGTTTTGGCTGAAAAATGTTTTAAAATTCGCGCCTCGCGCTCAAATTAGCGCATTATGAAAAAAGAAAAAATTCGGGTATGCTTATTTTTTGTGCTGAACAAAATAAAATTGGTCCGGACCAGATCTGAGTTGTACACGTAAAAGACTTGCATTGTAAGTAAAATTCAGGACCTTGGGATTATTGAATTGATGCAGATTTTACGGATTATAATTTGTATGCAAGCATACCTTGGTGATGGAATGCGAGAATGGGAGAAATATTTGCACTCCAACGTAAATAAAAATTAAAAAGCGTGTTGATTTTTTCATAACATTATTTTTTGGTGTGGATGAAATTGGCTTAAGGGTTTCACTCCGACCGCTGCGGAACCAGGAACATGGCCATTCATCCGCATTTCTGAAGAGAATTAAGGAAGCCAGACAGATGTACGGGAACATTCCTGTATTCGAGGGACAATCATTCCAATGGTGTAACAGTATAATTATAAATTTATGCATATCACCAATGTCAAAAATCGCTGCATTCATCCCATGAAATAAGATAGAAATCAAAATTCCAAGTTTTCTGGTCCGTTGAAAATTAAGAAGAAATCCGACCCCCAAATCGTAGCATAAACCACCCATGTGGATAAAGTAGAATTCAATGTGCTGTTGGTCTAGGAATGGTCTGCGTAAAATACAACCATTTCATTTATTTATCTGATTAAATATGTATATGCATATAACAGTACATGCATACATGCATGCATATCTTAGGGTAAACTTCATGTCAAAACTCACTTTAAACCTCCAAAAACCCAATGTTTTCCTAAATTCCTATGCATTAAAACAATTCAATGATCAGTATTGCGTTCGCTTTCACGACTTAAATACTACAAAATAATTCCTACTTATTAAGCATACCTCATAGACCATCCGGAAACCCAATCCGAATCTAATTTCTTAATCCCTGCAAAGCTAAGTAGATAACACACAGTTAAGCTTCGTCCATGCTTCGTGTCATTATCAAGTCCTGCTCTGAATCCAATTTTTTAATTGGTCGAAGCATTTAATTATCGTAGTGATAATTTCGCTATGCCAATCAAAAAATATGATTTGGAGGACATGATAATGTCATGAAGTGACAAAGGAATACATGCAACAGGAAGCGTCAGATATTGTTTATATTGATAATAAATAATATGTTTACTGTACAAGTAGAGGATGAAGATCTGAAATTTTATGATTGCATAGTTCCATCTGGGCACAGTTTGCGGGGGGTACTTGTTTATTAAGCTGTCGAGGGACCTGTATGTACATGCATAAATACAAATATGCTGGTACATAAATACATACAGATATCAGCTCGTCTGTAAATTGACTTACAATCTTTCCCCAGCCCCTCCCACTTTGAGTAGGATTGCAAATAGCATAAAGAGATACGAGTGATTATTCCAGCGAGATTTATCCAAAATGAAAAAATAGACATAGGGGATGAGGTACAAAATACAGGATTGTTTGAATCTGTAGCCAAGACAAATTCCAAGAGCTCCTAAATTTTAAATTTTAAATTTTTTTTAGATTCGACATTTTTATAACTTATCTATTTGTGTCCTACCAATCCACATGGCCGAGTAGAGTAGACAAGCAAATGCGACGGGGACCGGTTTCACCCATGGAAACAGTGGAAAGAAACAGTAATTTTGATCCCCGAACCGAATATCAGCATCTTCTAGGCCGCGTTCAAGGGGGATGTCCAGCATCATGAGAAGACCTTGAATATGATTAATGCATACATACTTATCACCAAGTTGTTAGCACTTGAATGAGGTTTAATTTACCGAAAGCTATGCGAAACAAAGCTAACGCGGTCGGATCACAAGGGTCCATGAGGGAGTATGCGTTTAAGAGAGCTAATTTTTGTTTTACGAAATTTTTAAATTTCACAATTAATACTGCAACACGTGACATTGTAACGCTGAGAGTGATAAATTGACACAAAGAAATGGTGTGGTGAAATAGCAGTCCAGATGGATGGAGATTCGAGTTGGGAATGCGATCTCTGGAAACTTTGGATGTTCTCGTTGTCGGAAGAGAATTGAAAAGTATTGATTTTTACGGGAGAGAAAGTTGCGTTTAAAGAGCGAAGGCATGATAAGATTAGAAGAAAGCTGAGCTGTTGGTACAAATAATGTTGTTTTCTCTTTGGTTATAAGCGTCCTTTTGGGAATCGTAGAAAAACAATTTGTTTTATGTTGTATATATGCTACTTTATTTGGCGATAAATTGGCGCTCATAGTATATGTACATTTATATGTATGTGCATGTAGCGAATGACAAATTTTATTAGTCGTCTACCAAAATACATAGCAATATCTGCATTTCTGTTTTTGTAACAATAATGAAATACATTTAGAGAATTTTATAACCACAACTAAAATTATTAATTGTCACTCAATTGAATACAAAGACTTTCAAGTAAAGGTTGACCCCCTTAACTTTCTCGGGGTCTGGAAATATCAGTTCGCCACTCTCCGACCACCGTACAGTTTCATAGCTGAGTGAACCCAATTCTTCAAATCCTAATGATTTTGTCCCAGCCACCGTCCACGGACTCGAAAGGAACACCTTGGCCACTTTAAACCCTTCAGCTCTTAGAAAGTCCAACGATCTTCGATAAAGTTCCTTGCTCGCCCCTTGGTTCCGATATTTGGGGGTGGTAGAGACGAGAAAAAATTCAGCATACTCGTCAATGCCGTATCGTTCGTATATTTTCCCGATTTTATTCAGCTTGTCAAATATTTCAAACACGGCAAACATTGACTTTGACTGAATGTCGAGAGACTCAAATTGGTCAACCCCTTTCCTCATGCGGTGAGTTAATCGAACACAGGCAAGCTAGACAATTTAATATACAAATCAATGCAATAATTCAGCTAGTACACATTTGCATGGATGGTGAATACACTTGAAATAAATTTATAAGCAGTACTTCTCCAGTTTCTTTATCTTCCATGTAGAATCCTAATCCATCCTGAATGCTTATTTTGGCGACATCCAGAAATTCTCGAACAGATTGATCCGTCAAGCCCAAATTTGAACATGTTATTTCTCCAGGAATAAAATACAATTCAATATTTTCCAACACTTTTGGAATATCCTTGTCTGTTATGCGTTTCACTCTAAAATTCTTAAAATCGCCCTCGATCAGGGCGTAACTTTCCTCAGAGGGCATTTTTCGCAGGGAACCCATATTTGTCCAGTATACGTATGTTTGTAGACTATACGACACACTAAACTTGTTTCTCTTCTAATTTTTAGCAAAGTGACTTCGTGACTGTGCCACTAGTGCAATGTATACATGCATTTTAAAGCAGTTTTCCTCTTGACCATACTACTGCAAAAAGACTGACATTATATACATGTGTATGTACATATTCTCAGTCAGCAAATGTATGAGACAGCATGGATAAAAAGTCCAATCTCAAGGTCGGCCAATTCTAGCTTTACAAAATTTAATCATTGGATAATCTACTTCACTTCGTTAATGCACTTGCCTGCATTGAGATTTTTACACAATTGAATATATATATGTACATTTGTATGTACATTGTATGTACGTACATGTACATTGTATGTACGTTGATTGACGTAGTGGAATAATACTGAAACAGGGATATTATCCATAGATATGCTTATAAAGATGTCAAACTTACCTGTCGTAAACACAGCCAGTGATATGATTTACATAAATTAGCAGTAAATAAGTTTTTCAAACATTAGCCCAAAATTTAATTTGTACAATGTTTTAATCGATACTCTTCTATGACATCAACTAATCCTACAATTAAATACTTAAGAATAGTATCCTAGCATATCAAGTTGATATTGTCAACTAATAGTACATATTTATAAGCGTCAATAACTTGAGGTAAAATTTTGCATAATTAGTAATAAGTACGTATGTATAATTAATATGTACATATGTGTATAAGCAATATGATATGCTGTATCATTTGCTCATTTGTTCACTCATAGGAATCATTAATTGGACTGAATTACTCTTCATCTTGAGCCGAGCCTTTTGCCTCTTTAAAGCTCTTTGTTGTCTTTTATGTTCTTCGTAAAATTTTGTAAAATTATTCACCACAGTCGGAATTGGTAGAGCAATAGCAACCACGCCACATATCCCAGTCAAACTTGCAATTACTTTTCCAAGAATGCTTACCGGTGAAATGTCACCGTACCCAATCGTCGTCATGGTTATCAATGCCCAGTAGAACGACTGGGGTATTGATTCAAAACCTTCTGGATTTACACCGTTTTCTGCAAAATATGCCAAAGTGGAAAATATGATGACGCCCATGCTAAGGAACAGAAGCAGAACCCCCAAATATTGGTAACTGTGCCTCAACGTATAGCCCAGACATTGCAACCCTGTCGAATGTCGGACCAATTTAAAAATCCTCATGATTCTAATCGCCCTTAGCATTTGCAACCATTGTCCACTCATACCATTTTGGACAAGAATAAGCGAAACATAAAATGGAACAATGGCCAACAAATCGATACCATTTAACCAACTGCGGAAAAACGCAGGTTTGCTGGGAGCTGCAAACATCTTTAACAAATATTCAATCGTAAACCAAATGACACAACCAAGTTCTAAAATGTAAAAGATTGGATTGTCAATTTGCTCAAAGTCATCCAAATCTGTGGTGGCGTAACTACTTTGTAAAAGCTCCTCACAAAGAGTTACATTTTCGTGTTTACAGCGATATTCATGAAGATCTCCAATAGTAGACAAACACAGAGTCATGATGGACAGGACAATCATGGTGATGGAAAACGTTCCAACAGCCTGTTATAAAAATGTGTATATTAATTTTAATTCGTACTTAGGAGGAGAGCAATTAACCATAAATGCGCTATTGTCGCTGGTCTAGCTGTCCCTATTAATCATTAATAATATTCTTACCTTTTGTGGAATAGTTTTCGACTTTTCAAACAAATCCCACACCCAGGAGCGATGCCATGCAGTTGCCCCATGTCCAAAATCGTCTTCCTTAATCGAGAAGTACGCCTTATCTTTCTTCATCTGATCTTGTATGTGTTCCACCTTTTGCGTATACTTCACACCGCAACACGAGTCTAGATGGACATCATCAATCCCCCAATATTGCAATTCTTCGGCAAAATCCATAGCACAAAAGTCATCGGGCAAGTGAATCTTGTTTTTACGATACAGGTTCAGAATCAGAGAAAAAGATTGCGAAGATCGGTCCCAATAATATTCATTCTTTTCGCGACAGTAATCATCACAAAGGTCCAGAATATTGGATTGGTCGATCCGTGCTTTCAGTTGTCCAAGCCGAGTGTTCTTATGACGATTCAAATTGGTCCAAAGCATTTCATGACGTTCTCCGCCCACATTTAGAATTACTCTTTTGCTCTGGCTATTTTGAGTAGGCGCAGCAGTTTCGTTAAGTGCAGCGGATTTCTTTGTTAACGTGGGCATTTCCAAGTACTGGTCCAGATTTTGGTTATTGTCATTTACTCGTGATGATAAAGCCGTCGAAACGTCTATGTCTTCCTCCTATTTATTAGTAAAATTTCAGAATACGTGCTACAATTACGCTTTAAGCAATGTTTAGACAAGTAAAAAAATAACAAATAACCTTCTCGTCCATACAACTTTTTGGTAGCATTCGATAACGTAAAGTTTAAATGAATATAGAAATTCAAAACTTAATTTACGGAATAGTAAGATATCTTTCTTTATATTCAAATTACTCAAGCAGAATAAGAATTTATAAAATTATTGCTTATGTAGAGCATTCCAGATCAACCAAGTACTTGAAACTGAACCCAATTGTCAACAGTGCATTTAAATGATGATGTAATGTGATTGTTGGATCCCGTGAGTACAATAAATATTGATAAAATATTTTCTCAAGCGATTAATTGACTGATGTCGTTTTTTTGTATTTACACGAATTTCATTCATACACATACAAAAGGCGTTAGGACATGGTTTTGACGAATTCGCGGGTGAATATCTCTGGCGGGGAGTTGAATTTTGAACTGATTTTTGGTCAGTTGTAAGATAATACTCTCAAAAAGATATATTTAAAATTTTAGGCCGATAGCTTTATAAATGCCCCCTCCAGTGCCCCCAGAGTTGGAAGGAGCCAAAAAAACACTTTCCAAACTGAATTACTCATATTTCATGATAACCTAAGAGGTCAGAGGTGAATGATTGTTAATATTACAACCCTAGATAATCATTGCATGTAATAATAAAAGAATCTACATGAATTACATAATGTTGGGCCTCCATCGTCGCTGATACTTTTTCATGAAAATTGATAAATTGGACCGTGCACAGGAAAATTGACCTGCTGACCTTGAACGCGGACCCACTCGGTCAAATGAAGATTGAGGGCAAAGCTCTAAGTGTCCCAAATAATATTAAATTAAACTGAAGATTTTGTGTAAACAGTTTTGGAGAACGACCCTAGCTAATCAGCTGTCGCGGAATCCTAAAAAACTCGTGAACTTATTTGGAAAATTAATGGTCAAATTTTTTAGAAAATAAATTTTACTAATCTTTTTGTGTCCCCTACTGCAGAACTATTTTATCTACAAGGTACAAGTGACAAAATAATAAAATTATTGCGTTTTGGGTAGTTAAATTATTTCTGAAGTTCGACATCGAAAACGACGGGAACTTTTCCAAAAATTTTATAAGGTCTGATGAAAACTCAGTCCGTGGGGTATAACCACTTATCAAAATTTTGTCAAAAGTACTTCAAGTGCAATATACTATATGTACCTTGGATAAAAGCCACGTTAGGGATTTTTAGCATCAAAGTCGTAAAATGTGGAAGAGTTGCGTTAAAGAGCGCATTCCATTAAGACAAGTATGAAATTAGACTGCAAAACGGACTTAAAAGATACGCATAAGGCAAACGTGGTTTTATATAGTGAAAAGCATGCTAAGTCCCTTAAAAATAGTCGCAAAGACGATTTTTGCATCAGGACCTAAGAAAAAAATATTTAGTTCAACGCCATTTTATAAGAACACTGGTTTGGAAAACTAAAATAGGACACCTCTCCAAATTTGACCTTGCCTCATTTCGCAGAGTACACAAAATCGGAAGCCAGATATGCTTACCTATAGTTTGAGACATGGGCTTTCACATAAAACAAGTTAGAAATCTCTACGACTAAAAACCATCCCGCAATTAAAGTATGAATTCGTCAAAACCATGTCCTAACGCCTTTTGTATATAGTAGTTGTCCAGTGATTGATAATGGCACAGGTTTTACCGACATTATGCATTAGTATTTGTTGGCAGAATTTGTTTTACGTTTCACCATTGAACAAATTTTAATGTTAATTACATATTAAAAGATAATATTCGACTTATCGTATATCATACAAGTTTTTTATTTATAAAAGATTGCGGAACAAGTAAATACATGTTTAATGCAGATACTGTAGATTAGAATACATAACTCTGGTGATTCCCAACCAACTTGTGAACTTTAGTCATGTAAATATGTACCTACATAACGTAAACAAAACACCTATCTAATTTGCAGTAGCGGCATCAGAGGTAAAGCTTCAATTTTATGAAACTCTTTCATTAGACAAGGTTAAGGCCATAAGGCCAACCATGAAATGTATGTATGTAATACAAAAATAACGTGTCGTACGTATGTGCATGCATATGGTAAATATGATATTTCAATTCGATGAATGAGATGAATGAGATGAAGTTGAAAATGATTAATAATAATTAATTAACATATGAATAAAGTACTTAAACCTATTTCCCTTCTGCATGAACACAACGGTTCTCGTGTATGTTTGACATTGTGAACGATTACGTTAATATTAATCACAATAAGATGCGTTTCTCTGTACGTTCGATTATTTAAATTTCAAAGTTCTCTGTAATTTTCCGGATCATTTGGTTATCATCATTTAACTTTATTCGTTCATGAAATTGCACACGAGGAAAGTCGACAAGTGATCAGATAAAAAAAGATTAGTTGTGGTACATAACAATCGCAATCATGGTCATTATTGTCCAAATCTGAATACCAGAGTACATCATAGTTGCCGTGTTTTGTGTTGTTGTAGAAACACAAGTTCCTACCCCTGGTGTTTGTCCACTAACTTGGACGCATTCGGAATCCTGAATACACTCAATGCGTTTGTGTCCAGCTGCCACGGGGGATTCATTCGTTCCGATGCAGGGAGCACCAATTGTTGCTACACAGTTGTCAACGTCCCAAACGAGTTTGTAATCTGGTGAGGTATTTCGTCGTGAAGTTGCACAGGTGCAAAGCCCATCCGTGCACACGAGACTTCGAGAAGAGTCGCAGAACGCGTCTTTGGTGCAGGAAGTTCCATTGAGGGAGACCTTCGGCACATTTATGCATGAACCCACGCCAAGAGGCATGTCTGGAAGTTGAATGCATGTCAAGGGATCCACACAATGGATAGCTTTCATTCCCGTGGGGACAGGGGACTGTCTCGTACCAACGCAGGCAGATTCTTTTTGTCCCACGCACTCTCCTCTGCCGGAATCCCACTCCAAATTGTAGGATACTTGGCTCGTAAGTGGCCCTTGGGCACACCGACAAAGGGCATTTTCACAAACTAGTCCGACAGATAAATCGCAAAATGCTGTCGGAGTACATGGTTCATTGAAAGAAACTGCACTAGTCCGATGGAAAAGGGCGAATAAAGCGATTGCAAAAAGTTGGAATGTAAGTTTCGACAACATGGTGGCATGCCGCGTTGAATTTGATTGATACCTGTGTCGAGAAAAATAGTTATGCAAAATCATATTCCAGATGTGAATTCAATCACTTGAGTTATTAAAATTAAGATGCTCTAATATAAGCATTAGTACTATCCTCGCACTCAGCCCTTGCACCTCATTTGCATATTTTAACGCATTCGCGAGAGCCATAGAGTTTATTCAACATGGAAAGCTCGTATCGCCGAAAATGGGCTATTGAGATTTATGCAAATGAGGTGCAAAGCCTAAGTACGGGGATAGTAAGTAATTGAAGGGTTAAAGCATAATACATTTATTTTTAAAAATTTGTTGAATTGTAGTTCATTAGTCCATGAGGGACTTATTTACTCACCTTTCTTCAAATTCGGATACACCTATTTTCTGCCACAGAAATTTTTTTGTCACACTCTATGAAAAATTCGTTTTGGAGGACAAAACTATGCAATGACTGACCTTTTCTACCTATCAACGACAATAAGCAGACGACCAAACCTTATCCAGTCACCAGTGCATCCCATATAATAACTTGCACACATATCACATACGTAGTTTGGAGGGATCAGGAACATTCCTGCTATAAATGATAACAGATGATTAATTGGGGACCATTTCGCTGTTTTCAATGAATAAGTACGAGCATGTGAATGATTAACTTCAGCACAAAGAAAATTTACTTATATCTTGTTAATCCATCTTTCATGTTGATTAGGTAAAAATGATTGATAAGTTCAGTCCAGGAATACTAATAGTGATCAATTTATTTTTCCATGTAGTCAATACATAGATATTTATTCATCACTGTAAAACATAATTTTCCTGCAATAATTGTAGCCGATGATAAAATGGCTTTTCCAGGAAAAGATGCAGATTACAAATTATCACCTTAATCCTAAAATCATAGGTAACTACTTCAAATTAATGATAGATGGGACGCTCATTTCATTGACCAGAAATATGTATGCATGACTAATACATATATATTTATATATGGATTTAGGATGATAACCAACATCATTAGGAATGTTTACAATATTGGGCGGCCAACTTTTTAATTTAACCTTCTCTAAGATTGAACTTTATGCGTAGTTTATCTTGCTACAGTAAGGAAGATCTACTTTTTTATTTACAGACCTCAGGATTCATGTAAGGACCAAATCTTTTTATTATCATTTGGATATACATAACCTTATCACACTAAATATTAGTATCAAATTCTAACTAAATGCTTGAAGCTACTCCAATTTTTTAGGTATAATGTAATAATTTATCCACCCTATATAGAATCTGCTCTGTATTTGAGCATCTCTGTACATTTCACCTTATCAGTTTATTATCAAAGGAAACTCCACCTGAAATAAATCAATTGAAATTCATCAGCCAAGACACATAGCACAACTACTCAGGAGTCAATATCGTTTGACTTTTTCCAGCGTTGGAGGTACTTCTACAAGCGTCACACGACATCTAAACACATTCACAAAACAATATAACAATTCAAGGAACACATACAATCATAAGAAAGGTGACACCTCTTGGTCTTTATGGGGTGACGAGTCCTTCCTCATTCCGACGTAATGCTCGTACAAGTGTTTCTCCGGATATGAAATGTTCTTGATACGAATGGGCGACCCATCCTTCACCTTTGCTTGCAGAAATATCAAGGTTGTCAGCACATATGGAACCGTCAGGTATGGCAGGTTCAACTTTTAATATGAAAAATTGATCCATGTAATAGAAAACCAAGAAATTTGAAATTTTTTTCAGACAATTACTTGCTTGAATCCAAGTTGAAAAGCTTTCTGTACCAAAGCTGCCGTGACAACGTTAGCACCAGCAACTATGAAGCTACGTATACTTGGCAGAAAAAATATACTGCTAATTGCAACACTTGCAAGGAAACCATTGTATCCCCAAAGACCATTGTACACATCATCGAAATCTTCATTCGCCAGCAATATGCCTGATTCATGAAGAATATAAAATTTAAAGCTGAATTTATTAAAAGCGTAAGTTAATGATTACCACAAGTCGAACCAAGCCCAGCTCCAATAATACCAGTAACTAAATGTATTGGTGAATAGATAAAGATTCCCAACATTATTATGACACTCGCCCACAAGTCATTAAGTCCATGAACTTGTCCTACAGATAGAACTACACCGATGGCAAACTATTCAAAAAATAATTTTATAATTGATAATTATTTTATTTATAAGTATGCCATTTTAAAATCTACAAATATTTAGCTTTATATTTTTACTAGCGTATAAGCCCGTCTCCCGCCGGGCGAGTGAAAATTATCAGCTGGAAATATCTGTCGGTAACGGAAGTGAGAGAAAATTATCTGCAACGCAAGGGAGAGTAAAGAAAGTCAAGTTTCGAATGTCGCGAAAAGTAAAAACAAATTAAATTTAAAAAATTCAATGTCTGATGGTAGTTATGTTGGGATGGTCGTAAAATGGTGGTTATTTTGGGTGGTTATCTTGACTATTTCGCTGCGATGTGGGAGGTTAATGTAGACTCACTGAGTACAATAGCACGTCGAAGTAAAATAAATAATATTCTGACTGTCTAGTGCCTTCGTCAGAATATTTCCCTGTTTTTCTTTATTCACGGTGTTTGTTAAATTAAATTAGAGGTACAATTGTATTAAGTAAAACCCCAAACCTCCGTCTTCAAACTATGAACCACGATGCGGTGTCGTACTCAATTAATGTAACGGGACCTTACTCCCACTTTATCCAGTCGAGTGACATTTCGGTGTGCTCGCGACTCACTCCCACTCCACTCCTACTCCAATCCGCAGCGGAGTGACCACTTACTCCTAGTGTATAAGTCCGTTTCCTGTACGGGGGTAGTTTCTGTGATTTTCAATATAACTGTAAGGAGTGATTGGGCTAGGGCTGGGCTGGGCTGGGCTTGGGCACAGTACTACTCGCTATTTCACTCTTAGGAGTGATTGGGCTTGGGCTGGGCTTGGGCACAGTACTACTCCGTACTCGCTACTTCACTCTAAGGAGTGATTGGGCTAGGGCTGGGCTTGGGCACAGTACTACTCGCTGCCCACTTATCTTACCTAAATAACCACCACCCCTCAGATAACCACCATCCCTCAGATAACTACCACCCCAAGATAACCACCACCCCAAGATAACCACCACCCCAAGATAACCACCACCCCAAGATAACCACCACCCCCATATAACCACCACACCCAGATAACCACCACCCCCAGATAACCACCACCCCCAGATAACCACCACACCCAGATAACCACCACCCCAAGATAACCACCACCCCAAGATAACCACCATATAACCACCACCCCCATAAGCCCTTACAAAGAGTAGCACACCTTCTGGTATTTAATTTTATTACTTTCACTTCCGTTGCCAACAAACATTTCCAGCTTATAATATAAGATTTTACTCTTACCTTGGGGAAGGCAAAAATGTGTTTAGCAGAATTTTGATGCGAAAATAATGCAGTTGCACTACTGTTACTAGTTGGAATAGGATACGTTTCTTGAGTTTTGGTCGAAATATCTTGTACTGTTGCTCCATGTTCCTGTTCAGAAGCGTTACTTGACATTAAGCAGACAAACATGAGGAGTTGGATTGCGTTGAACGTGAGCGTCAAAGGGGGCAATACATTTTTCTGTGATGATGAGAACAAATTGTCGATACACGAGTTGATGATGACGCTATAAACGAAGGATTAGTGTAATTTTCAGGCGTAAATGAATACTATTATTTCATGTAAATTTATATTACCTTAAACTAGCCCCAAATATAATGAACATCCATACATAGAGCGTTACTGGCTTGGAATATAGAAGTGGAAGTAACGACGTTGTGATAATTCCGACCAGAGCTCCGTTATATGTTGTTAAACCGGAAGTAATGAGTGGCTTTTGGATACCAAATGCCTACAGAGCATACATATTTTTTACTGAAAAAATCTATTTTTTATTCCTATATATAAATAGTTCAGCGTAGTTTTTGAAGCAATTATAAAATATGCTTAATTTAAAGTAAATCGTTCCTCTGACCATTGCTGTTAAAACTGACACACTTGCTCCCACAAGTCCTCCGACACCAACCGTTGGGCTAGCTGCAAACAGCGCGAGGAGTACCAACGTTCCAGTGATTGGGTTATTCGCGAACGCGATCTGAAAATATGATGCACGTCCTTGCTTAATAATCCTTAATAAATTTTATATTAATCGAATTATAGGATAATGTATGTACTCAATATATTTAGTAAGTACCACTAATTATAATTAGGTACTAATTATTACTTTAGTACCTGCGAAAGTCCTCGTGCGAAACAATTATAAAAATTGAGAAGGTTCCAACAGCATCCTTTCTTTTTCTTCAGACACTCATCCACTGCTGGACAGTCACCAAGTATTTGTATCCATTTGCTATCCTATGTATTTAATATAGTAAATTTCACATGGTTTCCTACATGAAATTATAATTCGGTATTAGATTCAATTCAACTCACAAATGCTCTGCATGCCATGCATTTAAAAGATTTTGTTTCTTTTTCCATTTTATAACATTACAATTTTGACCACTTTACAATTATGAGTGAACTACTATTTCTTCTTCGATTCTAAAATGTGCCCCTTAATGTATGAGAAGCCATGCTGTTGTAGCATTATGTAATCAACTGTAATTTTGAAATTGGACTGGCACAACAAATTCTAGACGGCCGATTTATATTACAAATTACATTGTTACTTCAGTACAACAAAACATAATAGCAAAATAGCATTCGTTCCAATAGTCGTTGCATATAAAATCACACAAAAGAAGTCTGAATATATATAAGCATATGAAATGATTAAAAACGCTTCTTTCTGTCGATAAGAACATGCGACAAGATTGGTTGACATCTATTTTTCCAATCCAAACATCATAGGCGTGTAATTTGTAATCTGCATATCAATTCTCTATTGAGTGTGAAAAACGCAATGCATATATTATTATTGCATTGGCCATTCGCTAGACTATAACCACCACAATTTTTTCATTGTGCGTCCCTCATTCACTGACCAACCGTTCCTACGTGAATAAGCCTCCTAATTTATGTGTGGCCACTTTTTGCATGTTGTTATTGTCATTATTACAACTGTTTTTATATCATGAAATTAGAAAGTGTTTTTTACACTGCATAAAAAACAGAAGGATTTTGCCTCAGTGGAAAAGTACTCCATGTTTTTCACGTTGCTGACGTCGCTAATTATAATCTTACCAACGCGTCATCTTGGACACTCTTGTATGTACAAATACATATGTAGCTGGCCAAGACCTGTGTTATTTTGATCACTATCAACTATTCTTTTGTTCGATTACCGGCTATACACAATTGTCAGCTTCATTAATAGCATTTACATTTTTGACAACATTTCCATGAGAATACAGGCACAATAATATGTTGTTATGTAGTTTAGTTTTATCAAGATGGTTGAGGAAGGTCGGCTCTCAGCTAGATAAGATTGTGGCTAAAAGATTACCAGAGGTGGGCAAAATCCTGTGGGATCTGAGATCTTGGGAATTAACATATCCTGATCTCTTACATAGTTCCTATTCCGGATCTTGGATCTTAATTTTATGTCCGATGAAAAGATCTTCGTCATAGATTTTGATCTACATATGTGGAGACATTCTTTAGACAACTCCTGCAAGTGAGTTCAAGACCAAAAATCCTTTTATGGGAAATACTCATAAAATCATATATAAAACCTCACATTGTTATTAGTTATTATACTAGAAAATTTAGCTATACAAATGCATCTATGTAATTAGTTGATTTTAATTATTAATCTATTAATATAATGTTCATTGGTTAGTATGTAATCATTCTGCTCATTTTAGAAATATTTTGCAAAACATTTTTTAGTTTCCATTTTGATTATTGATCCTAAAAATAATTATCTAAATTCTTAAATTTGATCATTTTGTGGGTTTGAGGAATCCACTCGTGAGAAGGATTAAAATTCTTGATTTTAAAAGGATTGTGCATCTTTATCTTGAGCAGAAATTTCGTGGATCTTGCCCATCCCTGAAGATTGCTGCAAAACACGATGATGTAGACTGCAATTTGCAAATTGGTATATGTACATACTAGCGAATAAGCCCGTCTCCCGCCGGGCGAGAGCATCTATACTATTATTGGAAATGTCTGTTGGCAAGGCAGTGAAAGTAAATGTTACGCGACGGAAGCTTAAGTGGTTTCCATTTAATTTAACTTCGCTTTAAGGTACGGTGGCCAAGATAACCAATATAACTATTATTAGCTAAACACTCAGGATAACCATCTCTAAAGAACCATCGTCAGACAACCATCCCCAGAGAACCACTATCAGACAACCAACTGCAGATGAGTTGTGTCACGTCTCAATGGTACCACTTTGCTGTGAGCTCAGCACACTCGTCCCATTCTCGACCTGACGCAACTCGTGGACCCTGTGCTGTGCGCACAGCACAGCCCAGCACACTCGTCCCAGTCTCGACTTGACACAACTCGTCGATCTGTTTGCACAGCACAGCACGGAGTCGATTCTGTCTCTGCGATCTAAAATAATCAAAGAGAAGGTCTGTCTGTCATTCATATCAGTATATATCAATTCGAACCAAATAGACCTCACCCAAGGTAGTTTTGAGTGGTAGTTATCTTGAGGGGTAATTTAGGTGTGGTTATCAAGGGTGGTTGTCAGGAGGTGGTTATCTGGGGGGGGGTTATCAGCGGGTGGTTATCTTGGGGGGTTGTCAGGAGGTTGTGTGCTTGTCAAACTGTGGGGGTGGGTATCTGGGGCTGCTTGTCATAAAGTGGCAGTGGTTATCTGGGGGTGGTTGTCAAACGGTGGGAGTGGTTATCTGGGGATGGTTGTCAGGAGGTGGCCATCTGGGGGTATTTATTTTTAAATTAACAATTTAATTTGAATTGTCGCGCCATTTGAAACTTAACTTTCTCCACTTTCACTTCCGTCACGGAAAATTACTTTCACTTCCGTTGCAGAAAGACATTTCCAGCTTATAATATAGATGCCACACCATGAGAAGACATCATGCATGGAATGCAACAACAATATTATTTATTTATTTATTTTCTATTTTTCCAATTAATTCCCAAATTGCCCACATTGGAAGTACATCTAATTCCGTATTGACTTCTTTATGTATGTCTATTTGCACAATGAAGCGTGGTTATATTACACATTGAAAATATTCTGCATGCAGTAATTTATTTTAATGTGGTAGTCTATCCTTACTTCGTCATTGTCACAATTTAATATGCATGTTTTGGGTTGATACATATGTATTTTCATAATAATTTGAGGCAATCCTCAGTAAAGTCCGTTTTCAAACGGTGATAGACAATCTTTTGTCTAGGTATACACAGTTCTATACAATGGCATGAAATGAGCAACAGATAGAATTCTCCAGTTTGCATGAAGTTTCCAGTTTCATCTATATACATATGTACATATGTATGACTAATATAGAAACCGGCTGGAAACTACACCCGGGGAGTGATTTCTACCCTGTGTTTATGCAATACTAAATTTGGCGTCGATAATAATTGTCATAATTCTCAGTCGTCACTAAATCTTAAATAACGTGCCAAAGTAAGTAAAAATTACAGTTTACATTAGAAATGTAAGTTACAGAACGTTGAAGTTGTTTATGTATAATCAAATTTATTCATTACGTAATGTGTTGCAGATTTTGTGTTCGAGTTAATCATGGAAAATGTTAACGAAAACAAATTGGACAATTCAGAGAAAAGCCAAGCCACCATGATACCACTTTCACCTTTAGAATCTGAATCCTGGATTGGTGCGACCAACGCTAGTGGCTCTGATGGTCCGAAAAGTAGTAATAGTAATAATGCAATTGCAAAGCTGGATCGTCATTGCGCATTTTGTTTAATTCTCATTCCTGCCAAACACGTAAAATGTTGCTCACAATGTCATCGGAGAGCTTATTGCAGTCGTCGATGTCAATCAAAGGATTGGGCACCCTTAAAGGGCCAAGATAGCGGAAAACGTATGCACTAAAAATATTTCAGTACCAATACATATGCATGTATATACATATAGATAATTGGACTATTTTATTGCATGCAGTGGGTCAAGGGCACAAAGACTGGTGTGGTATCCCTTATGGAGAGGAAGATTTGGACTGGACGATTGCCGAGATAGATGGAAAAGGGCAAGGGATCGTAAGCGAGACGTTTTATTCCAGAGAATAGCAGAATTCTTGTGGATGGCCTTGGGTTTGGAAAAAGTGAACTTCTCACCAAAGATAACTTCTACCTAACCAAATCATTGAACGGTCATCGTAGCATATTAGTCAATCATGCCTGTGATGGAAATGCGTCGCGATGGGCAGATTCAGATTACATGGTATCAAAGATATTTGACTCTAAGCACAATAAAATAAATATGTATCACATATGTATTATGAGTACATGACATTATCATTAATGTTGTGTAGACGATGATACTTTATTCGAAACGTGACATCCTACCCCACCAAGAAATATCTGTCAATTACATCGTCTACAATGAAACAGATTCAACCACACTAAACCCCTTCAAAGCTGGAAAGTTTATTACATCCTTCGCCGATTGTCGACAGACTCTGGAGTCGAGGTGGAACATAATTTGTATTCTTCATCCTGCAGGAATTTGTGCTGTACGAGCTGAAAAATACATGAGCGATCCTTCAATTTGTGATAAGTACTTAATTTTGGAGAAAACATCGATTTTTGTTAATGAACATTCCATATAAATATAGTTAGTTGATACATACATCATTAACAAAATAATTCATAATTAATATACAGTAATTTACATGTTTGTGTTGAGCATTACAAAATAAAATTTCACACATCGCTCAGATTTGATTTAATGGATTCAAGCCTTTACTCAAGGGTTAATAGAAATCAGTTTACCATAAACAAACTGGTGAATCATGGACATTCAGCACACATACATGCATATGTGTATGTAAGTAATACCCGTGTTTTGTTCAGCGTAATTTTTGCACATTTCTTCCATTTTCCCTACATACACATATGTGTATGTAGCAATAATTACTGAATTTAATAAAATTGTTTTAAAATAAAGTCCGCCTTTCTGTATGGTATTTACATTTTATATTCAGGCTTGCATGCGTTCAGACTATCTACATAGTTGTGTTTGATTTGCTTATCATGCTTATATTCATAAACCAATCATATTGCCTTTTCAATTGTTGTGATGAAATTTTATTTTATTCAAACAAAAATTTTCAATGTCCTCCTTCTGGGAACCTTTATGTCACGTTTAATGTTTAACAATTTGAAATATTAAACACTAATTAATTGATAGAAAGATTCAGTAAAAAAATAAAACATTCAATAAAACTTCATTTTACATGCAAACTAAACAATGCTTTAGCAATATATTTAGCAAGGCTAAACCCTGTCCTATTCTCTGTTGAGTGAATCTCAACTTGCGGTGAGCGCTATTCTCGAGACAGAGGAAGTCAGGCCAACCACCAGCCAACAGAAAATTGGGCCAGTCGACTACTGGACACAGAACTATTCGCATCGTAGCAATTAAACTGCTGGAAAATAATTCCACAAGCACGAGCCATACTAAAACAACCAATTGCTAAAGGGGTGACCCTGCTAATTGATGTGCGGTGACAGGACTGGGACTGAATAATATATAGGTAAGTGAAAATATTGAAGATAATTGCCGGGTGCCGGGTCTATTTTCTTCTCTGTCACAAATATGTAATAAATTAGCTTCAACCTTCATCTTTCCTCCTCTCCACCTCCCATAGTTATTCATGATGGCAACACCTACGGCAGCCCCTCTGCCACACCCTTTTCCTCTCGAGGAGATCCTTACGCCATCAGAAGTAGCCTCCCTCTCACCCGACATTCAGGGCAAACTCAACCAGTCAATTCACGAGCTGCAAGACTCGCTCCACAATGTACGAACTCAATTTCAGGCCGAAAAGGTAGTTTATGGTGAGTATATTTTTATCATTTTTGACATCACTTTCCATGATTTGTACTGGTTAACCTTAAACCCACTTGAATCCCATCCACAGTTCAGCATACTTATGACCTTGATACTCGTCTTTCCACTGCCACTGCTTCCCTTTCCTCTGCCCAATCCGCCCTGGCATCGTCAACATCCGCGACTCAGAGTCTGCAAGGAAAGCATGACTCGCTCTCCCAACTTGTGTCCAAACTTCAAAGCGACAACTCAACTTTATCTCACAATTTGCAAAACACGGAGGCAAAGTTATCCACGCTTCAAGAGTCAAATGATGAATTGCTCAAATTGTTGGAAAAGAGGAATGTCGAAATTGGGCGGTTGTCTGATGATGTAGGAAAACTCGTTGGGCAGTTGGAATCTGCGAGTGTTGCTAAAATTGAGGCGATGCAAAAGGTTGATGAGTTAGTGAGCAAGGAGATTGAGGTCAAATACAGGTAAGGAACACAAGTATAATTTAATAAATAATGCATATAGCGACAATGGCAATGAAGTAACTAATTAAATTCATACGATTTAGGGAGAAACACCTCCTCGCTTCTCAGTCTTACCAAACAGACCAACTCAAAGTTTTGAATGAAGAATTAGAACGTAAATCAATGGAATTGCTAAATATGCAGCGAGATTCATCGGTGAAATACATCCACCTTCAGACTGACCTCTCCGAGAAGATCGAAAATCTTAAAATTTCAGAAATGAAACTGGCAGATTTAAAGGAACTGTATGACAAGTCAGAGAAACAAGTGGAAAATCTAATGGAGAAATTGAGGGGAGAAGGTGATTTGAGAGGGAAGGTGGAAGAAAATTACAGACTGGAGGTTGGAAGCTTAAAAAAGGTGGTTGACTTGTATAAAGGTAGGTTTCATATTTGTTTATTTTCATTGTAATCTTGAAAATTATATATATTATTCGTTGAACCTTGAAGTAAATTTAATCATTTATTACTTATATAATTATATTTGCAGAATCGACGGAAGATTCATCCAAGAAACTCGAAGAACTTGAAGACGCCGTTCAAAATCTCCAGGACCTATTGAAAGAATCCACAGAAAAGTATGGTCAGTTGGAGACTAGATTCGCCGACTCTTCTCGTCAGTTCCAAGAAGAGATTTCCAAAAGGGATGAAGTTATTGGAAAACTGAAACAGGAGTTGAAGACGGCAAATGAAGTTTTAGAGTCGATTCAAAAACATGGCATGACAGATGAGATGATTCATAGTTTGGTGAGTAGTTTGGTTGTTACAAGTTCTATAATTATAGATACAACGGTAGATAATGTTATGAAATATAATTTTATTGGTTAATGTTGAATTATTTGTACAGTCCCCCGCTGCTGCCGCTGCAAGCCAAATGCTGAAAGAATCAAAATCGATAACTGAAATATTTTCTAAATATCAAGAAGTCCAGGTGGAGCTGGGCAGAGTGAAGGGTGACAATCTCAAGTTGAATGGATACATTAGGGAGATCTTAGAGGTATGTAGAAAGTAATTGTTCGTTGTAAATATTATTCATAATAATAATAATGAACATTTGGTCACTATGATTTAGCGTGTAGCAAGGTGTTGTATTTTATAACAATTTTTGTCTATATTCATCTTCAGGATATTGAAACTCGAGCCCCGACCCTCCAAAAGCAAAAGGAAGAATATGAAAGAGCCGTTCAAACCGTTGAAATACTCTCCAGCCAAATGGACGTTACTATGGGGGAGAACTCAAAGTATAAAACGGAAATTGTGCAGCTGAAGAAGAACTTAGGCATGGCTGAGAGAGAAAATTCCAGGTTGAAAGGTCAGATTGAAGACACAGGGAGACAATTGCGATGTATGTTAGGAGAACAAGAACGGGAACAACTACCAGACGGAAATCGGCAACTTGATGGAGGACAGGTAACTAGCTAACTAAATGAATAAAAGTGATATAAATATCATCATAGAATAAAGTCACATCTATGATTTAAGCACTTCCAACGAAAGTTTTTTATGCACTTGAAGGTAATAACCAACACGCTTACCACCTTCCGCAACATTACCGAACTTCAATCCCAAAACCTTCGCCTGCTCACCGTTGTTCGCGAACTTTCTGAGGCTCGTGAAAATAGCGAAAAAGCATTTGAGCAGAATTCTCTGTCGGAGATTAAATCCTCATTTACTACCGCACAAGATGAACTGGCCGAGTTAAAGCAAATCCGACTTCGTCAGGATGAAAAGATAAAAGAAATTCAACAACAGCGAGACACGCTCAATAATCTTCTCAAGCAGCGCGATTTAAACAATGATCATAGTTCTGATTTAACATTGGAGAAGTTAAAACAGACTGAAAAAGACTTGCAGGCTACGAAAGAAACGTTTGAAACGTACAAGGTTGAGAAACGAGAAAATGAAAGGATTTTGAGCGAGTCTAGTGAAAAACTAAGGGAAGAAGTGCTCCGTGTCAGGAGTGAAAATGGTCGATTGGCCGGGCAAGTCGAATACAACAATGAAAGGACAAAGATTTATAACAAGAATTTGGATGGGTATAAAAAGGAGATTGCAGTATTAGAAGAACGGTGCAGAGGATTGCAGGGAATTGTTGGAAAGCACGAGGCAGAGATTGGAGTATTGAAGGTATATTAATTTTTTAAGAAAATGTGTTATTTTTTTATCTCTGGCAGTGCATTGGTTAATTCACTTATAAATTATAATTTATAGTCAAGCCTCGCCACCACCCATACATCCCTTTCTCGGGCTGAAGTCTCCATTTCGACCCTTACCAACGAACGAAATCTCTTGCGAGAAGCTAAAAATCGACTGCAATTGGAAAAAGATATGCTCCAAAGGCACGAGAAGATGACCACCCTCCTCCAAACGAACCTTGAGGAGATCAAAAACAATTTAGAAATGTCCAACTCTAGCTTAAGAATCAAATTGGAGAACGAAGTAGAGTCTTTGAAAAACGAAAACCAAATCCTCAAGAGGAGAATCGAATCTGAAACTGAGAGAAGCCGCGATTTCCTAAAGAACGTGGAAGTTAAATTGGAACAGGCGAAAGAAAAGATCAAGTTGGAAGAGGACAAGTGTACAAGCTTTGCAGAAGAAAATGCAGACTTCAAAAGTAAAATTGATATTTTGAACAAAGAAATCACCGTCCTGAAAACGACACTTGAAAATCAAAATCAGTCGTCTGAAGAGCCTGTGGTACAAATTATGGATAACTCCAAAATGGAGATGATTACATTGAAGTCTGAGCTAGAATCTTTAAGAAATCAGTTTGAGCTCCAAAAATCCAACACGGAAGAGTATAAAAACTTGTCAAATGTGTTAGAATCTCAGCTGGCCTTGGCTACTGAGACCAACACCACCATCAATTCAGAATTTGATTCCAAGCTAAGTGAAAAAGACGGAAGGATTTCTACTCTTCAACTCGAACTTGAAAACCTGACTAAGCAATTTAATAACCACAAGTCTGAAGCAGTTGCACAAATCCACAGCATCAGTGCCAAATCCAACGAAGTAGAAATTGCGCTGCAAAAAACTATCGCTGATTATGAGAATGCAAGATCAAATTTACTCAAACTTGAGCAAGAACTGGAACATGTAAAAGTCGACCTTGACAAGGAAACGAAGATCAAGGAAGAGTTGAGGGAGCAGTTGGACAGGGAAGTGGTCCTCAGAGGGGAAGAGACTCTAGAACTTGGTAAATTAAAAACCCTGCAATCCGAGCTAAGATGTGAGATTGACAAACAAACTAAACTCGCCGAGAAATCAGAGGAGACATTGTCTTTTAAGATTGAAGAATTCAAATCAAAGGAATCCGACTATCAGAAAGAACTTAAGGACCTTGCTACCCAAGTCAAGGAGTATTCTGATGCATGCGAAAGACTAGAAGGACAATTGACATCAGTCTTGACCACCAAAACGGCTGAACAGGTGGATTTCACCACTGGCGATAAATCTAGTGAGCAGTGGCTCCAACTTATCCGGTTCTTACGCCGAGAGAAAGAAATTGCAGTATCTAAAATGGAATCAGCTTTGGCTCAGAGTGAACGCCTTGAGAGTCAATTTGCAGCATTGAAGGAACAATATGAAGAAGTTAAGCTTGAACTGGGACGAGTAAGTGGGGGAGAAGGAACCGTCGGACTATTGACGAGTGTGAAACAAGCCGAATTACTAAGAAAAGTGGAAACACTGAGTGCCTTGAGCGATTCTAACCGGTGAGTTCTAAATTATTCGATTTAGTGTTTGTTTAGTACAAATTATAAGTATGTTGTAGTTGTATGCTTTACTTATGAACATCACTAACTATTCTGCATTTTGTTTTATAGATTGCTTCGTGAAGAAAATATCAGCCTTGCTGCAACTAACAATACCTTGTCCACACAACTCTCCACTCTAACGACCACCGAAATTGCTCCCCTTCGCCTCCAATTGACTCAACTGACTCAGGAAAATGACCAGCTCACTCTCCAAAATCAATCGCTATCTTCATCCGTTGCTCGCTGGCAGAAACGAGCAAATGAATTGATTGAAAAGACCAACAAAGTCAATCCAGAGGAAATGAAACGGTTGCAAGCGGAAAATGAAGCATTCACTAAAAAGTCGGTTGATTTGGAGAGCGAGTTAAAACGTGTTGAAGGGGAACTTTCCAAGTTGGAGAGACAAGTCAAACAGGGTCAGGGGAACGTCGCAGGATTGAGGGGAGAGTTGAGAGGAGTGAAAGAGGAGAAGGACAGGCTGGACGGAGAGTTAAAGGGAGTTAGTGAAGCAAAAGGGAATTTACAAGCGGAACTTGAGCGTGTTGGCGGTGAGTTGCAAGGACTTAAGGAGGAAAAAGTAAGGTTGGAGCAGGAAGGTGAAAAGATGAAGGGAGATCTACAGAGGTTGGAGGTCAGTCTCGAAGATCATAAGAATACTGTGAAGCAGGTAATTATTTAGCTCATCATTTTTTTTATATACATTACTTAATTTGTGCTGTTATGTAGTTTTAATTTATTCATTAATTTACTGTTTAGGTGAAAAATATTGCTCGCAAGTATAAGAAACAGTACGAGGACCTCCTCCAAGCCAACCCCACAGAAATAAATGAACTCAAAGAAAATCTTGAGCGAATTTCAATGGAAAGGACCCAAATGGAGGAATCGCATGCGAAAATAGTCAACGACTTGAAGAACGAGTTGGAATCGCTCAAGTCAGAGATGGAGGACAAACTCAAAGAACTGAGAGAGATTGGAGAAGAACGGGGAAGGATGACTGGTGTGTTATAAAATTAAACAGTTATTCAGAACTATGAATATATTGATCAACAGTTTTACCTTTCAAAATTTACCCCTTACCATTTATTTATGTTTACAGACCTCCTTACTACAACCCAGTCTAACCTCTCCGCTACATCAACGCATCTCACGACAACCCAGTCAGAAAACGCCAATCTTAAGTCGGAACTGGACATGCTGCGCCAACGTCTTGCGCTTTTGGAGAAATTACAACAACAGAAAAGTCAGCCCCTTTCAGAATCAGAAGAGCAGCAGCCAAAATGTCCAACTGGATCCGTCCAAGTCGTTAGACCGATGACTATGAAAGAACAAAAATTGATTGTCGTACGACCACAAGAGAATGTCGTTGCGCCGATGGTACAACAACCAGCTCCACAGCAGTTGATGCTAGTGAGAAGTGTTCAAGACTCGCAGGCGTTGGTGAGCAGTAGTGGGAGTGAGTTTTATGGACAACAGCCAGTTCAAAGGGTCGTAAGCATTCAACCGACCAGGGTGCATGAGCAAGGAGGAGGAGTAGGAGGAGATCCTGACGTGGTAGTTAGCGGAGCAGTTGGAAATGTTGCTGGGGAAGTCAGCAGTAGCTTAGCAGGAGGGAGCTCTTCCGGAGGGTCAGGAGGTGGTGAAGCGAGCTCGAGTACCGGAAATAAGCGAGGAAGAGAATGTGATGAGGTTGTCAGTGGTGTGATGAAGAGGGGCAAATTTCAACAGGGCAGTGAGGTTGGGGAGGAGGAAGACGAAGAAGAGGAGGAGGATGAAGAAGAAGAGGAAGCAGAGAGGGAAGACGAAGAAGAAGACAGTCGGGAAAGGGTATAGTATTTTAATACAATATATATACTTTTAATACATTTATTTTTATTACTCAATCTAAAAATCTAAAAGTTGCATTAATCTCATTTAAATTAAAGGAAGCTGAAAGTGCTGCTGTTCTTCCAATCGTGCCAATCCACCCTTCATCCTCACCCACTCAACCTGAACAAAATGTCCCCGCGGATGTGCATGAACAGAGTGAAGAAGAAGTAGAAGAATCAGGGCAGGGCCCGGAAGATCTCATGGAAGAGGACGAAGACGAGGAGGAGGATGAGGAAGAGGAGGAGGAAGAAGAGGTGCATCACGAACAGCATCCGACTAGTTCCAGTGGGGTAAGTTTAGAATTCTGATAGTGTTCAATTAGTTTAATGTTCTTTATAGAAACCCTGATATGGTTTCACGTCCATTAATGTATGGCAATACAATACAAGTTTCATATTTATGTCGTTCTAGCTCCAAGCTCCACACCACCATTCGCATCACTCTCATTCCGACACTTCTATTGTCCCTTCGACGCCAACACTCTTTCGTCCACATTCATCTCGGAATGAGGGATTTTCTGAACTAACCACAACGACTAGATTCACCTTCAACGAGAGAGATGATGATGGATATTCTGGAGGTATGAGTGGAGGACGAAGTGTACCAAGTACACCTGCAGAAGTACAGGAAGAAGAGGAGGTAATTGTGTTGGATGACGATGACGAGGAGGAGGACGAAGAAGAAGAAGAAGATGGAGAGGAGGAGGAAGAGGGACAGAACGATGGCGACGAGCATGATGAACACGATGACCATCGAGATGATGATGACGACGATGGAGATGGTTGGTTAAACTTTAGTCTCGATAAAATTCATCCATTCTAAGTTATTGATAAATTCTAATTTTATTTTTATTTCTATTTTCTGATTTTGTAGTTCTTGTCCCCACTGCGACTACTACGGTGACTCCTGGTTCCGTTACACTTGCTGCACAACAAACTGCACCACCAAGCACGTCGTCCGGCTCTTCGCAGTCGACATCGGAAGTTCCTTCATCTTCCACGACTACCTCTACTAACAAAACCCGACCAACTCCCATCATCTGGGATCAACCGACGTCTTCATCTCAGCCAAATCTCCGTCCTTCTACTGTTGGACCAAGGCTGAGCTCTGGTGGACCAAGACCCAGGGGAAGTTTCAGCTACAGGAATCCGGTTAGCTCGACATTTAGAGGTGCTAGAGCGGGGATTGGAGGACAGGTGGGTCAACTGGCAATGCGAGGCAATGCAAGGATGCGTGGAGGAATGCAGAGTGCTCGGAGGTCCAGGCCACCAATGGGGGGAGGGGCAGGTGGAGGCATTTAAGACACATTTGTTTACATACTTTAATAATTTTTATGATTGAAATATCCATTGTTACATGCACAACTTTATTTGCATTGCAAGACTGAGAATAATGAGAATAAATTTAAATGTATCTGATAAGTATATTTTGTTCGATAGTTGAAATAACGTATTTACAAATCAAAAACTCAAAAGGAACATATCATTCTCAAGTTGATTTGATTTTTTAAAAAAACTATTTACTTATAATATGCTGGAATAACACTTTCTTTGCTCATTCATTATGTTGAATGTATTATGTGCATTATAATTTAAATGTGGGAGTAACTTAACTCCACTTAGCAAATTTAATTCACAGCAAAAAAATGTCTAATATTTGCACAAGTAAATTATAGGCTGGTGAAAACTTTTCGATCGTATTCATTCACAGCGACATTCAATAGGCGGATTATACGTACAAGTTGAGTTGAGTTTACTTTGATATGCATATGTAAGTAAAATATAGTAGTACATACTCTGTGAATATAGTTCAATCAACCAATTTATTAAATGACTATGGCCTTTGGCCCTCATCATGTATAAGATACAATTTATACTCCAATGAAGGTAAATACATCCATAGGTATTAGGTACATAAATAAATATAAAGTTATAGGGACTGGGTCATGGGATCTATACACATTTTTAATGCCAGGATACGAGTGAGAACAAAATGATTCTGGATATTGATCGACTGAATAATACGTATATTTTAATTGCGATAATACCTTAATTATGGGTATGTATTGTGATATTTCCATAACGCCAATTTAATTTATTGGAGCTCTTAGTAATATAAAGATCTATGCCTTCAGACCGCTTCTAATTTCCTTACCTTCATGAAGTTAATTAACTGTATTTTCTATTTGGTACTCATGAACCTTAGTGATTGTAACTTTACCACACCAGGTAGACATCAGACATATGTACATATACATACCTAAACTATAGCAACGAAATAAACCACTCCGTTGATGATTCTTGATTACAAGAAGTTAATAATAATACAGGTTAAAAGTGATCAAACGGCGTTTATGGAACAAAATTCGAGACATGCATTTAAAACGTGATAATGATTGTCAATAATATGTGTTAATTTGACGTTATGCTATGAAAATTGACCTTCACTGCCACATGAAATTTGTGAAATGCGAGGAACAAGTTATGCGCTATTGTACATAAATACGACACGAGTCGCTGGTCACGGCGTCACTTTCACCTCTTGGCATCATGGGAGTTCAATTCCTCTCTCAGAGGACGACCTCCGCCGTCTTCTCGTTCATCTCAATGATGTGCTCCTTAAAACTCATCCCCTTTCACTGGGACCGTGAGAAGAAGGAATTACAAAAAGCTCTTGACCCAAGACAACGCCGTGATTTCGCCATTCATAGGAAAATTATGCTAAGCATGACCCTTTTCTCTATCCTGCGCTACATACAAACTGCTAATCGTGGGCCGTTTCCTTTACTGCTCCGAATTCTGAATATCGTCTGGATCGTGGGATACTTGCTAACCTCCATCTGCCTACATCAACTGGATCGGAAGGAAGCGGAAATAATGCAACTGAGCAACATTTTGATTCGATACCTTAAAACTGGTCAAGCTGATGATCACGATGGTCAAAAAGTAAATCACCGAGACAATAACAACAAGGATCAAAAGAGCACTAGTAGTAGCAGTAAGAATGTTTTGGATAACAACATATCCGCCATAATATTTCTTGGATTTTTTCAAATGTTTTTAAATCCCGTCCTACACCTCTCCCTACTGGATGCAAGCCCTTGTTCCCCAAACTTCCTTGGTTCTGTTTTCTTCTCATGTAAAGGGTTTCACCGTGGGGATATTCACCTCCTAAAAAAACTACCCTTCATCATATTCGAGTACTACATAGTAATGGTATTCATCTACACATGGTTCTTCAATTGGCTCATCGTATTTCTGGGAATGAGCTGGCTGTTGATGAAGCTACAAGGAACAAGGTTAATAAATCCAATATTTGTTGCATAATATACTTATATTCACCTATGCCTACGAATAACTTGAAATTATGTTACCACAGCAAACTGCTCGAGCGTCGAGTTATGCCCCCGTTTAGAAAATACCGAAGCTTTGAAGTTGTGTGCCAGTGATGGGATTTTTGCCCCTCGTCCTCATTTTTGAGTGAGGGGGAGGAGTAAAGAGGGGGAGTAGCTAGTGTTTTTGCTCCAAAATGAGGGGAGAGGAGGGGAGGACTAAAAATTTGAGGAATTAGTGAGGAGAGGGGAGGACGAGGATTAAAAATTTGAGGAGTTAGTGAGGGGAGGGGAGGAGGAGGACTAAAAATTTGAGGAATTAGTGAGGAGAGGGGAGGACGAGGAGTAGAAATTTGAGGAGTCGATGAGGGGATAAGAGGACGAGGAGTAATTTACTCCTCGTCCTCTTTACTCCTCTTCGAGTAAAAGGAGGGAGTAAGACACAGATAGATATATACTACTGTCCGCTCTGTGACTGTCCGTCTATCTGTCTGCCTTTATCCACGATAACTTTAGAACGGATTCAAATTTCGCTATGCGGTTTTCGCGACGTGTTTCTAATTTTGAAGTACGGATGAGTTCGAAGGTGTGCGTCGTAGGTCATAAAGTCACGGCGCTACGGTGATGACATAAACGGTCTAAGATGTCGAATTTTTTATTTTGACCGTTTTAGACTTATTTTTAGACGGGGATTTCAAAAATCGCCATCATTTCGACGTGCGACGATACCATGACCGTGTAGATGTCGCCAAAGTCGAAAATTGTTGAATTTTTCGTCTCGACCGTTTTAGACGTAGATTTGAGCGGGGATTTCAAAAATCAACGGTTTTGTCATCTCACGACCCTGTGAGGAGTAGAAATTTGAGGAACTGGTAAAGGGAGGGGAGGGTGAGGACTAAAAATTTGAGGAGTTAGTGAGGGGAGGAGAGGAGGAGGACTACAAATTTGAGGAGTTAATGAGGGGAGGAGAGGAGGAGGACTAAAAATTTGAGGAATGGCTGAGGGGAGGGGAGGATGAGGACTTAAAATTTGAGGAATGGGTGAGGGGAGGGGAGGATGAGGACTTAAAATTTGAGGAATTGGTGAGGGGAGGGGAGGGTGAGGACTTAAAATTTGAGGAATTGGTGAGGGGAGGGGAGGGTGAGGAGCTGATCAAAAGTCCCAACTCTGTTGTGTGCAATCTGATGAACGAATCCATGATGATGTACCTCTCAACGTTCCCAATCCTTCTTTTCATGGTGGTGTCCATCCTGGCGTTTGGGGCTCTTCGAGAATGGCGTCACAATCCGGGGGCACTGGTCATGTTCCCCGTCTGCTCAATCCGCTGCTTGTTCGAGGCTGAGTGACCCCATTGGCAATTGCGGCCAAAATCAACATAATGACCAGTCTCGTCCAAACTGGATGGAGACGGCTTATGGGAACGAAAAAGGGTAAAATGCAAAGGAAAATTGGTGCATATCAGAAATCCCTTAACGGAGTACGGTGTACGGCTGGGTCAATGTACACTTTTGAGAATAGTATTGTTCTCTGTTGTCTGAATAACTGCGTCCTGCTGACGCTTAATATGTTCCTCACCTTTAAATAGGAATGCATTTAATTGGAATTTACAACAGAGAAACGAATATCATGACATACATTAATCCGAAAAAAAGTAAATGTGTTTATTCTAAAAATGGCACGTAAATATGGTTTTCGTAATAAAAAATGCGAATAAAATTAATTTTCATGCATACAATGGCAATTGATCGCTCTTTGTTGCGTCGCGGCTTGTGGTTCATCTGATCAGCACGAGGGGCTTGCCAGGCAACTTGCCACCAAATGCGACTCATTCACCATCCAACCCACCAACATAACTCTCCATTTCACAAGAAAGGAAACGGCCAGCTCATTTTTCCTCACGATCTTTTTCCTCATCAAAAGTCGACAAGGGCAGCAGGATAAATTCGTGGTAAAGGGCAACAAAGGCACAAAATTGACTTGTTAAGGTAAACATTGCATGAACTGATAATTTAATGCAATTAACCAAGATTCATAAATAACTATTAGATTGAATATAAATTTATGATTATGGCGGATTTACTTAGTTTTAATTTGTAATTTAAAATTTTAAAGATTTGAAATCTTAAGTTAACGTACGTCATAAGTTGACATATTTATTTATTTGTGATTTAGCGACGTTATTTTAAGAAGGGAAACGTAAATATAAACAAGCATTATTGTAATTTCTTTCATAATCCTAACTTGCTGTAATAAATAAAGTAATGAAGATTGATTGCGATTAGGTGACCTCCAAGGACGTGCCGTAAACAGTCAATGATGGAAATGTCCGAACAAGATGAACAACTCCACGTTGAATCGCACGAGTCGTCCACCCAAATGATAACGGTGACCCTCACGCCACATGGAGAGTTCAACTTGGAGCAGCAAGAGCAACCGGAACCTATGCCCTACTCGTCTGCACATCAGCCAGGTCCAAATCAACAGGTAACTGTCACCTAACATTAATTTATTTCGAATATAATTGCGTCATATATTTAATAACTTTAATTTTGCAGTATATTATTCCTGATGAGTCCATGCGAACAGATCCTGTCCTACCTCAAATTCCATTCTCTTTTCCAGGGCAAACTTTCGGTCAGTAGCAGTATCATGTGTTCGAGAGTTCACATTGTATCCATTTTTGTCACTATGTTCTTTAATGTAGCTGAATGTAATGGAATAATTATTTTGGAATAATTTGTAGACACCAAGTGTCAAAAGCTAATTCTGAATGTGTGGGATTTTTTTAAACGGTAAGTCGCCCTAAAGAGATCTTGGATCCACTTTTGCGTAACATTCTAATTTTCCTAGCCACTAGTAAAGCTGTCATGCCGACACTAATAAAAAGCTTATTTATATTTTCCATTAGCGTAAAGAAAAATCCGGACATAATGGAAGAGATACGGACACCACAGGAACGAGCCGCGGCAGCTCTCCATATTTCGGCCGCTACAATAGGCAAGATTGGGAAAAACTTTAAGAAAACTGGAAAACTAGAGACACCCGGTGAGTCTTAATTATATAAGATTATTACAACAAGACCTTTTATACGTGGTATATTTTATAAATTTAGTCATATTCATTCATATGAATTGGAGCTTCGTAGATCTTACCAGTCAGTATCCTACAAAAGTGAACTGTAACATAACTTGACCCACCCCTTCCATAATCTCGCATCATGTTATGCTTGTGTGACATTTAGTTAGACGCCACCATCAGAGTCGTCTTAACTTTTATTTCTTTGGCAGAAACATGCAAGACATTGTGCACTATTTTAGTAGCATTTTTTCATTGGCTCGGATAAATATTAAATATAGTTATTTTTGGATATACCTAATCATTTTCATTTACACAGGAGCACAGAGGAAAAGGCAACGACCTGTTGTAGATTCCATCTCTTCAGAAGACGAAGAAGTTATTCGAGAAATTATTATGGAAATGAGGAATCAAAAGTGAGTGGTATTCGATTTTACATATTTTATTATATTATATATACAAAGTTGCTAAATAAAGATCTGTATAAATATCTTTAGAATTACTCCTACACTCCCATCCGTTTTGGCTGAGGCTAGACAACGACTTAATTTCAATGGAGGGGGTAAGATAACTCGAGAGAGATAATTAAGTATTTGTTAAGGTTTTAAATAATATGAATAATTAATAATTATGTAGCCACCAGTTTTCGAAGAATTTTGGCCAGAATGGGGTTTAAAAACCTGTCGCAGAAAGGAAATCCAGTCAAAAGCAGTCCCTCCATGAGCGGAAACGAAACGCTCAGCACAAACACAATGTCGTTCTCTACCATGAAAGTTATAAAGAAAGAACCAGTGGAAAATTCGCCTACGAATCTTATTTCTATCGACCAAGGTACGTACATGCACGAGAGCTACATCACGATTGATATATAAGGTTTTAGAAGTCAACATCAAGAAATGTAAAATAATCCTATCAGCTACCATATTGTTTTGCTTCTCTCATTTTAGGCCAAAATTCAAACACAAATACACTAAGCAGGCTACAAACTGGAAACATTATCCAAATCCCGACTGGACAAATATTGGCCCAAACCGAAGGTGGTGGCACGACACTTATCAATGGTGGGCAAGGGTTACAACCAGGGCACACAATTTATATCCAAGGTGCCGATAATACCATTCGTCCAGTTCAGTTAATCTTTACTCCTGCAAATCTCACTTAGAATTTGTTTTACTTTACTGTAAATCGTATGCGCAGTGTAAGTATTAAGCTAACATTTATATAGTTATATTATTGATTAACATTTTTGCAGTGTTATATTTTCATGAGTGTATTTTTGTACGTACATATATTTGTAAATATGTCCAGTAGTAACTCTGTTAAAATTATTTTAAAAAACTTTATTGTGTTTTACTATTACGTGCTTTTATCATTTATAAGTTGATATTAATTAAACATGAAGTTAATTGTCGTAAAAATCATAGATTTGCGTAACAGGTATCTGCCTATTTATTTACTTAAGAGGAAATGCATATACAAATCACAAATATAAATATCTGTTCCCCTCAAAACTTTAAAAATGTTTTCATTGTAATAAATTATTCACACCAGCTAGTGCATATGATTCACAATCAATTGTCAGTTAATCACACAACATTTAGACATCAAGTGTATAATAGATACAATTGAATTAATTGTCAAAATTTAGAAAATCCAATTATTTTCTTGTGTTTCGGCTTGCATGCTTCGTTTACTCTCATTTCCCCATAGACTTGATATAATTTTAGCATTTTTACAAACTCAAAATAAAATTCTATGAAATCAACTGCCGGGTTTGTTTCTTTTTATTGTTAATTGTTTGTGTAATAAATTTTTTAGCAGTTTTAGTAATTAATAGTTTTCTGATAAAAATTGACTATAAATCGTATACTTTTAGATTTTAGAAATCAACTGTTTCGAGAAATGCTCGTTTTATTTTGTTGGAGGAATAGTATTTTTATTTAATTAATATTAAAATTAAAATTTTTAAAACCCGTATTAAAATGCAAAGTAGTACGTTGCACGTTGAAAGACTTGCCTTGACGCCTTGACAACTAAACTAAAGTCCAACAAGAGCAACGGCCTGAAAGGTAAAAGGAGAGAATGGCGACGACGACGAGAAGGGCAAAGGCGATGTCCACGGATGGGAGAAGGCAAGTGGGCCCTCAGCATGTTCAAACTGACACACAATTATTCCCCAAACTCGACCTATTTCCTTCGACGGAGAGATTGTACAAAGGTTTCCTCATCCATTAATATAACTACTTAATTATTTCTTCAGGGCAAGCAGAAGGTTTGAAAACACATATTAATAATATTCTAAATTACAGATGTTCGTAGTTCTTGGTTGACTTCCCCGAGGAATCACATGGCTCATCCGTCCGACGAGGAAAAATGTCGCTACTTTATGTGGGTCAGTGAACGTACTCGTGAGGGGAGATCAATTTCAACACGATCACTTCCTTCTGGACGTCATCTGTCCTTCTCAGAGTTTGACAAATTTGAATTAGCTACGCGTTTAAACCTAACCATAGAAGGGAAGCGAATACAAATCCCTAAACGTACGCGACCTACTGCACGACGGCTAAAAAAACATTATGTGTTCCCTGCCAAATTCCAACTACCCATTGGCCCCGCTGCTACTACTTCATCGACACGATCAATAAGTGTACCGCTAGAGACAAATAAGGAAGACAAGGGTGCTACTGATCAACCGAATAATACAAGCCCATCCTGTCAACTTACAACAACCGTTGGATGGTCAGACGCTCAAAGAGACATGGCTTCTCGAAGTTGTCTCGGCATTGCGAAGCCTGTGATGAATCACCTTGCTTCCAACCCCCATGTGGAGGTGATGGGGGTGAGAAGAATTCAACCGTGGCCATTGAATGCTTTTATTTACAAACGTTTTCCCATTTTTGAAGGTAATAAGATAAGATGTGTGTATAGACACGTGTATATGCGAGTTATCAAGTAATTAAGCAATTAGTTCAAAATTAGTTTAGTAAAATTCAGAAAAACGATTTTATCATATTATGAAAATGAAATTAATAATTATGTGGCGAGCTAAAAATCTATTCAACTTAACATTTCATTTTTTATACTGTAGATGACAAATTGGCTGAATTGGTAAGTTTCTTTGTTCTGTTTCAGGATACTCTTGTTTTTTCGGCTATAAAACCCTCGACGTCATCTCTCATTACTAATAGCATTGCAATGGTGACGTCGAGGGGTTTATAGCCGAAAAAAGAGGAGTATGTTTTCTATTTTATTTTCTTTGTTCAGTACGCAGCTCGTCGTTGCGAGATGAGAAAATTTTATTCGACTACTCTACGTGGAAAGGGAAAGTTTCCTCTGTCACTGTTGGAGGTACATTTGTTTCTTATATGATGTCCATGATAGATCCTAATTATTTATGTCTACTTATTTCACCCTCTTCTAGCCAGGGGTTTATGTCGTATACCAGAACAGTCAAGTTTGTCTGAGCGACGATAAGGACCATATGTACGAAAGAGCTAAGGTTCTCACTATCATTACAGCAAAAGAACATCCAGTTACCCCAGAAACCTGTTTCGTACGTCTTTACCTGCTGGATCAGGGTACCGTAATTTTAGCGAGGCCATACCAGCTATATTTTCTATTCGAAGAGTTTAATTATCCTCCCAGGGTATGCCATTTATTACAAAAAGAAATCTGGAATAACTATTATTCATTCATTATTTCATTTTATGTATGATGCAGGCCCTCTATTTTACTCTACTCGGAATTCATAACAGTTTCTACATGTTCAATGCACAGTTTGAGGGCCTACTTTCCCCGTATTCTGCGATCTGGTCAGGCCCTCTTATCGTTCACAACCTACCAGAAAATTTAGGATGCATCATATTCTCTCCGCTGATCACCATACAGGACTTTCGGTTTGGAATCGCAGAATACATTTTACGGCGTCTTGCTGTAGAGCTCTATTTCCACCAGGAGAAGAATGATCTTTTAATGGGAGAAATTGTCTATAACGAAAAGAATTGCGACTTGTGGTTTCAAATAAAATCACCCTTTTCCTCCCATCGAAAACAGATTCACGAAGTTACGAGAGATTTTTGGAAACAAGAAAGTGCGGAGCCATACTTGGAGAAAGGGACCATCGTCATGGCTCCCCATGAAGAAGTTCTGTATCGGGCCAGGGTGGAAAGAATAGTGCCAGAGACTCAAGAGGTGAATCTTCTACATACATACACACGCACATTATTTATGTATGAAGTAGAAAAAGATAAATTATTTATTACTGCTGTATTTTCACAAAATTAGGTTCATGTTTTTTTCTTGGACTATGGGAATAAAGCTATCGTTCCAATCCAGAATGTGAGCTTGGCTAGAAATTTTCACCCTGTGTATGAATTTCTGCCCCAAACGGTAGTCCTCATTAATACTACTACTAAATCAATCACTCATGGATGAGGTGAAATTGTTGCTAATTATAAAACAAATCATTTTCAGGTGTTACCAATTAAATTAGCCAACTTACCTCCCGAGATCGAATCTACTGAGGTTATGGGAGTCCTTTTCAAGTTTATTAGAGGATTAAAACACCATTATGCGAAGGTAAACTAGTCAAATGTTGAGAGATTTTTAGGATGTTATAATGGCCTGGGTTTTGTTTTAGATAGTAGACAAAGATGCAAACGGTGCCCTCACTGTGCAGATCGTAAAACCGCAGCATAGAAAGACATGTCATCGTAATTTGTTTGACCTTTCTTTGCCTCATTTTGCTCTGGATTGGACAGATACTGATAGTTTAGCTACGGGAAAAGCTGTCAAGGCAGGCTCACTACGTGACTGTTCTGAAGAACTTGATCACATTCCACACCCTTTCTCCTACTTTACAAGGTTTGACTGTATGGAACCCTACCTTAGCCCCCCCGGTATGCAAATTCGCATGATGCAACCACTCTTTCTTCGTCCACAAAATATGACCTGGTTTTATATTACAAATTTCGACAGTTCTAAGGAAATTGTCATGGTACGCATATCATTTACTATTAATACGTAATTTATTGACAAAAATATTAACATTTTTTTATGTAAAAAAAACTTTTGTCCAATTATCTAAAGATCAAGACTTACTTATTTTATTGAAATTAAATGATATTTTTATTGACAGGCACGCCCAGCTGCTCTTCATCCCGAATTAATGAGACTGGAACATAATCTTGATTTATGCTACTACAAAATCCTGGACGCGATGTCAGATTTTAATGTCGAAAAAATTTGGGAACCTGGACTAAATTGCAGCGTAAAATCAAAAACTCTCAAAAAAGTTGTACGTGCTCAAGTTATCGGCACTGACGGGGAAGAAAAGCTAAATGTGGTCCTTGTGGACTACGGAATCCGAGAGTCATGCTACATGATCAGTCTTGCGTTCTTGACATGGGAACAGGGTCAACTTCCTGCTTGTGGATTCGAAGGGACATTGAAAATAAGTAATGTGTTTCATATACATAATATTTTTATATTAATTCTAGTATCTGATATTAGACACATTCATTACCTCAACATTGATATTTGTGCATTCATATGAAATTCAAATTAAATAATCCTACTTCCAGATTCTAGGACTGATATGGCCTTCCTGAAGGAAATTGAAATGCACGAAAACTTTCTCAAGAAGAATGTGCTTGTAAGAGGAAAAGTAAACCAAGTCGTCATAGGAGAAAATTTACCAATTTGTAATATTGAAGTTCAAGAGTTTACTTACACGTCCCCAGAGATGTGTACCCGAGACTTCTTAAATAATCTTGAAGGTCACTATAGTCATACACAATACTCGTCTGGAATCTCTTTTAGTTGACATCTTTAAAAGTTAATTAAGTACTTCCGAAAATTGTTAAAATTTTAATTTGGTAAATCTATGTACGTTTGAGTATTTGTTGACGTATTTTTACCTTCAATTACACTTGGTATGTTGAGATACATATGAATTCATGTCAATTGTAGTTTACTTTGTAATTAGACTAACATTCCGTGTGATAAATATTACGTCTTGAGGTATGGAAAGAAAAAAATATAATATGAATCTTACACCGCTATGTTTCTTTTCGTCACAAGCGATTCATTTATTGATTACATATTCGACTAGGAAAAACACCAAATACATATGTATGTACATCACCACACTCGATTTGTACTAATCGAGTCTAGTAATCTGTCATTATACTCACAAACTTTATGCTACATCATGTAGCCTACATGTGGATACTTAAATATATTTATGATCGACATACAACATGTATTTAAGTATACTGTATAGGTATTTACATATGCATACATATATTTTATACCTAAATTAAGAAATTGTCCTCCTAATTTCCCACAACATTACGCCAAAACCAACCACCAGCCCTATAAATAGAGCGAAAAACGCTCCTTGCAATTTTTTAATAGAAAATTTCACAAATTTCTTCTCTCCGCCTGCTGCACTACCAGGGCCCCCAGCATCTTCCAAATCTGTCATGGGAGGTGGTTCTTTCCCCTCGCTCTTCAATCTCTCCACCCACGTGTCCCTCCTCTTTTTAATCATGGCGTGATACATCCTCAACCATTTTTGCTGCAAATCTTGAGACACAGCCTGTCCAATAACTTTGTTCATTTCCAACTCGAGTGGAGAGTCTTTCTGAGTTGTGAGACAAATTGCCACCGTAAAGACTGATGAAGATTTCGACTCCGTTAAAAACTGATTCACCGCTCTGCTGAAATTCCTCGCAATCACGAAGTCCAACAGGGTCGTGTAGGTGATACATGCATATCTTCGTGACATGATGGGTATCATGCATTTCGCCGTATCTGTATGAATATCCATCCCTTTGTAAAGCTTTTTTCCAACCGGGTCCGTAGACGATTTGAGATATTGCACGGTCACTTCTCCCAAAAAGTCGAGACCCCATTTATACTCAGAAGTCACCAACTCATCAAAGTTTTTTGGTTGAAAATCCAAGGGTGGAAAGGCTAGGACGGAATAGAGTTTCGAATTATACGCTGTTGACATTGTTATGGTACAAAAAAGCCATAGCCCAAGAAATAATCGAAGCGAACGAATGCTGGGATTGGGCGCTTGTTCTTCAAAAAATGCAGCAAAAAGATATTCCAGAATCCTCTCGTTCTCCCAAAGTTTAATTTTGCTTCTCTCTCGGCGTGGCAACAAGTCAATGACATACGTTCTGTAAAATTCTTGAATTCCATAAATTGCAACGACTGATACACCAAGTGCGCATCCCATTGCAAGCCAGACACTGCTTTGCAATGGAGTTGATAATAATTCCCACGTAAAGATTTGGTAATGCTTTCCTGTGACCATGACCAATGACTGATATTCGCCTGCTGTAGTGAATGCAACGCTTTTAAATCGATTAAGATTGATGCCAACGATAACACCGATTTGTGATCTTTCCTCATAAATATCGCCAGTTACCCCGTTCCATGTTCCGTTTATTATCACCCCGGTCCCACCACCCCCACTTGAGGTCATGTACACGCCAGAGTAGTTAAATTTGTGAGAAATGTGGAAAAGGTAGCTTCCAAATACCGATGGCACTTCTGGAATCCAAGTCCCATCTTTTCTTTGAATCAGATTCAGTCTCACTTTGGTATTGTTGTTACACGAGATTTTTACCATTTTGTGATGAAAATTTGGGGTTTCATTAGGATTCCTAAAGAGAGGGGGCAAGTTTTCCATTGTCAATATGGAGCTTGATTTATTTATTTTACGAAATTCTGGAGAAGGGGTGTAATCTTCGTGACAGAAGTAGCACAGTTTTACTAGTTGAAACATTGCGGGGGTGGAAAAATTATTGTTTTTAGGAAATGACAAGATTGCTGCATTTCTGAGCTGATTGAGGTAAAAATTCTGATGTAAATTTCCGGTTACTGCGTTTATATCCAAGATGAATATATGATAGTCGTTTCCTTTATCGAAAAATCTTTCTTGTTTGAATCCGATAAATTTTTCCAAGACATCTGAGCTTCTTAGACACTCCAGCTCAAAGATGTTTAATGTTTTCTCAACATTTCCATGTTTAGGAATTGGTCGAAATGTGGATTCCATTTTTGCAGTTTGCTTAACAACTTTCGAAATGTTTGTTTTCTCAATATTGATAATTGTTGCAACCATAAGAATGCCGTGCTGAGCAACGTCTATTTGAAGTCCAGTAGGGATGGGCATGTTCAAAATGGAAACAATTCGTTCCCATCCCATAGTTTGAGCAAATTGTAAGGAAGAACGGCACGGATTAAAAGTGTACCGCATTTCTAAAATAGGAAAAGCATAACCAAGTGGAAACAATAAGAAAACGACACATAAAAAGTGTTGGAATTTTGTGAGAGAGTAATAAGAGTTGTGGAAATCTTGTGTTTGAATCCCCATTGTACCGTATTTCTCTAAGGAATAAAATTTCTTAGTGGTCTGCAAGTTGTGGAAAAAAATATGTGCTTAATACGCCACGCGTCCTATTATGCATACATATTTAATTGACCGTGATCGACTAATGCTCATTTCATTCAGAAATTGTCATGAGCTCCACTACTACTAAAACTGCATAAATGCAGTTTCAGTACTGGAGATTATGTATATATAGCAATTACCCAAATTACGGAAAACTCCTTCCTTCTGTCAACAAAATATGCAGCGTACGTCAAAGGAATCATCATTAAGGGCCTAGATAAAGTTGCGTTTTCATCGTGGGTGTAACTATAAACGAAGCTATTACAGAAGAAGGACCGTCAGTATCATCAATAGGACATTAATTCCGTAATGTTCTACATACGTAAAACCATGACTATGCCGAGTAGTAGGCAAACTATTTATTTAATCCAACAATTTTTTTAATCTGAGCAATCATGCAGCTGACGCCAGCCATATTATATTATTCTGTAATGCGTACTTAATTACAATTCCAGCTTACCTGAAATTGCAGCTTATATAAGTATATTTGACCGGTTACTAACAAAACCAATTATGTAAAGTTACATAATGAAATAAATATAACATCAGCTTAATTTCAGCCAATTCATCGCACTTTTTCGGAAATTCAATTCAATTTTATAAAGTCAAAAATTATATAATGAAAGCAATTGATACAGCTAAAGTTATCTTAAACATGCAGGAAGAGGTTAATGATATCTTTGCTGATGATGATGGTGATGATGACGCACGCATGTCACCTCACAAATCATAAATCTTCTCAACAAATCTTTTAGTGTATGTTGTATGTAGCCCTGAAAACTAACGACAGTACGCTAATGTGCCACATATTGCACAATCCAACACCACAAATCCAAAATTTGTTTAAAGAAATTGCCGATTTATCGGTGCAAATTTGTAATGTCAAGAGTCATTGACGTAAATTATACATACATACTTTGTAAGAATGTCTCAATGGAAGTAAAGTAGTACATACATAGGTCTAGTCAATTAGTGCATGGCTTTACTAATTGTCGTCATTCAGGGGGTATAAATACTTACTGCAGATCGTGAAAAAATCATTCAGACATAAACCTGATATCAAAATCTTCTCTAAAAATTTGAGAAATTTCAAAGAATATTTAAAAAATCAAACCTCAGCCCTTACATATTTACATATCAACATAGATATTTTCTTGTTTTCAAAGATTTAAAAACTAAAAACTTTAATCAAAATGGTTCACATGAACGTTGCTTCCCGTTGCATTTCTCGTCACCAAGCCGCTGTCTTTAGGGGAATGGCAGTCCTTCCGATGGTCATCCTTATGGCCTTCGTCCTGATCGCAGTCATTGCTATATCGTCTCCCGTCTCTGCTGAAAGCATGCCAGTGTCCCAAACGGTAAGGCATTTAACTAAAATAATAATAAACCGTCGCAAACGCGCATACGGAAGTAGCTTCAGACTACTTCACTCCAAGCACTCCCACGACATCGCGGGAACACTTGATTTTACTGTATTTCATCTATACATTCAATTTTTTCAAAAATCTCATTTTGCCCCGACCACACCCCCTAGTGATAAGGGGGTGTGGCACAACTCGGGAGCACTTTATTCTACTGTATTTCATCTATGCATTCAATTTTTTCAAAAATCTCATTTTGCCCCGACCACACCCCCTGGCGCCCGGGGGGTGTGGCACAACGGGGGAACTCAAAATTTCACTCCATTTCATCCATAGATTCAATTGCACTAAAAATCTCATTTTGCCCCGACCACACCCCCTGGCGACCGTGGGTGTGGTCCGGTTGCACCCAAAAGTTGATAGGATCCTCCCCCTGGGGTATTATGTATGATGGCGAAAACCGATTTCGATTATCTTTATCCGTTCTCCCGTTATCCTGCTGACAGACAGACGGACAGACAGACAGACAGACAGACAGACAGACAAAGTCTTCACATAAAGTAGCTGAAGCTACTTAATAAAATTAACGAGTACCATGATAGATTCTTAGTTATTGCGGTGCATCGAAGTCAACCGGATGGATTTGATTTGAATTTCAGCCCGCCTCCAATGTTAATCAAATGGGCACGTGATTTTGGCGCGTAGAAATTCTGTCCGGTTGACTTCGATCCACCGCAATATTTCAACATAACTATTTTGTAAAAAAATGACATCAAATTAAATATTTTTTAACTTAACAGAACTATTTTGAAGCTTTGGGACCTATCTCCGATGTTACAAATGATTTTCGAGGCTTGGAATACTGATTCGATTACAATGGATTTTGCCAACCACCTGGATCTGCAAACGTTCGCTACTGACATTGTTCCATTCCATGACAGGATTTGACTATATGTACGATATTATGTAACCTAAATAGTCTAAGAAAAATGTATCTAGTCATTGATATATTTAAATGTATGAACTCGAGTGTTCTAGTCCTTCCCAACATTCCAAATGTTCTTAATTATTTTGTGGAAATAAATACTTGTGTATGCGTAATCCAGTGTATTTTTCAATACCAATTAGTATATCGATTTATTCTGAAAAAAATCTAATCTTGCTCGGTATAAACGTGCATGTGACATATTTTATAATTACATAGCCATAACTCAATAGCTTCCTATTTTTTTATTTTTTTGCAAAATTGGCATGTGAAAAACAATGATTTTCATAACAATACTCTTGGCAACATACTGTTCCACCCAACTTTTTCTTGCGTGGACGCGTAACGTGGTCTTTGTTTTTGATCAATTTGATCGGTGTTTTAATCAAAATGCTGGCTGTCTCCTTTAGCATGTTCTTATTCGTTCTTACTGGTTCCGTTTTGCCAGTTGTCGTTGAACTTAATTCGTTTGTACTTATCTGTCTTGCTTTTAAATTCAATGCAGATTGAGGACTTTCACTGTGAAACCATAAAATTGGATCCATCCAATTGTGACAAGTATGAAGTATTGGAGCCAATTTTATTTTGAGCTAAAGCCCCAAATTCACACAAATTCATTTGATGAGTTTCAGGTATTACCATAAACATTTAAATAACTTCTACAATATTAGTTATTTGTACCTTTGATAGAACTGCTAATAAACTTTTCCCATAAATTGATGCTGTAAGAGCAAACTCGCTCTTAAAACGTTGATCTTGATCTTGGTTACCAAAACTAGAGAAAAAAAATGTAATTACTAAAAGCAACCATTTTAGAAATAGATTCATTTTCTGTGTTATTAGCAAATTTAGAAAAAATCGGAACATATGAAACCTTAAACACTCGGAATGACGTTCAGTTTCCACCGGAAACTTTCCGGTGTACAAACTGGAGAATACTATATTTAGACTCATTTGTTTTTTGCTCATTTCCAGATTATGCGTGTTGAATGGAATTACGCGTAGGTACATGAATGTGAACGCATCACTTTTTTAAAATCCGGCTTTCAATGTGTTACCCAAATCTGTCTTGATATTCTTCATATTTGTCTGAAAGAAACAAAAGCTTGGTAAAACACTAATAAAACACTAATAAAACACTAATAAGATTTTGGCATTCTACCCATAAATAAGTATGTATGTAGACTGCTTTAGGGTAGCATAGACATTGAAGATTGTAATCTTCGACTATAATTATCTAATCCAATTTTTGTTTAACTCTGCCAGTAGAAATTCTATTCAGAGAGAGAATATGCATGTACATATATGTACAAATGCATGTATTACTGCTCTTGATATTTATGTAGATGATAGAGATGGGATGCGACCCCTGGATCTGCATAGGGCCCATCCATATATTACGTCATCAAGAATTCTCGATTTTAGCACCCATCCACCCAACGTATGCATTAAAGGAAATTTAACATGGGACAGATAGGAAGACCTAACCCACCCACCCACTAAAATGATGACGTAATATATGGACGTTCCCATAGCAGTCCAGCCTCAGTAAAAAATACTGCAAAAAATGCATGCTCTTTCAACTTTTTCCACTGATGCATACAAATATCTGTATACAGAAAAGTTATTTGTAACATAGGGTAAATGCACACGTTGGGATTTGACAGGATCTAAAAGTTCTCTTCTAAACGGATTCCCTTTGCAATACCAAAATATATGTCCATGAATAAACGCGTTCTCAAAGTGCACAAAAAACTGGTTTTATATAATTTCATGCATTGCTAACCCAAAATAATTTCCATGCTCAGGATAAACAATAATATTATGTGACCAGCCATGTTATGCACTGCTGTTGCTATATTAAGCATGTTTTCTGTTCTGGATTAAACGAAACTTTATTAGCAAATAACATTTATATTTGTCTAAGTTGGTTACATAATGTACATATAGCACTAATCCCTTGTACAGTACTAATGCTACTGCTACAATTAAGTTTTACTGACTTGACATCAACTCTGAAGGTTATTAATCAAATCATAGTTTGTTGATCGGAATAGCGAATTTTTAAATAATTTATCTGAGATTTCTTACACTGAAAAACAAGTTCTGCACATATTTCGTTATAATTAACCGTATTGTTGATGTCTGCAAACTTAACATGGAAAATACGAGCCCGACAAACGAAACACTTCCAGTTTTTAAGGAATTAACTCTTGACTCGATTTCGAAATCGGGAGACGAAGAGCGGAATTTTGCGCACTTGAACAAGAAAGCAAACGCCCGTTTGGAAAATGGGAGCAGCTTGCCTCCCTCTTGGATGCAACATTTCAAACCGGAAAATATGGCTTGTAAACCATTGGAAGAAATTGATCCTTCGTACAAAAATGAGGTATGTATATACTTAGCAGCAATTTTAAATTGAACATCTCAGGATCAATGATGTAACTTTCATGTGCAGACATTTATCGTGATTGGGAAAGGAGGCACGATAAATCGGATGTCCATGAATAACTCTCTCTTCCTCCTGCATCCCTTGAACCCCTTGAGAAAAACAGCCATCTTCCTGACCACGCATTACATATTTTCAGCCTTCATCGTTGCTATTGTTCTGCTTAATGTTTATCATTTGGTAACGAGAACTTGGCAATGGTTCGAGTAAGTCGATTAAGAAACATCATGTTCGTAGTTACATGAAAAAATTCAGTATTTTGACATAAATAATTCATTAATTTAATTTTTTTTCCTATAGCTACTTATGCATATCTATTTACTTTGTGGAGTTTAGTCTCAAAGTTTTAAGTCGAGGACTTTGTCATGGAAAATTTACATGCCTGCGAAATCCTTGGAATTGGCTGGATATCTTGGCGATAACGACGTCGTAATTAAAACTAACTTTAATCAGAATTTCGTACTTTTAATATTTTTTTAAAAGTCAATGTCTACATATGATACTCTTTACTCCATGTACATACAGGCTCGTTGGCTATGTTGTAGGGATGGGTATAAAAGCTATTCTCATCCTTCAGTGGTTCAGACTTCTTAAAATTGTTCCTTTGATTAAAGGTAAAAGTTTGGTACTAAATAAAACTAATAATATTTATGTCGATGAATGTCCAAGTTATTTTGAAAATTTTTTACAGTCATGCGTGAAGCATTTTCAATAACATTGGCGTCTCTTGGTCGACTATTCTCTGCAATTTTGTTGGGCTTAATGACAATAAGTTATTTTGCCTCGTTTGGCTTAAACCTGTACATGGGATCCTTGACTCAAAGGTGTATCAAAAATATGGAACTACCAATAACTGACGACAAAGAGTGGGTGCAGCATCATTCAAATTTCAGCAACTGGATTCCCGATATTTTATGTGGAAATGCAACTTCTTCAGGGTATTTAAGAATATCTTCGACTTAAAATGTTGCCATGTGAAACTCAAGATTTGTAATTTATAGATTGTGTCCTAACTCGTCGATATGCTTACAAGGGTTTGGAGCCAATCCTGATTATAATTTTACAAATTTCGATACATTCATTTCCTCCTTCTTACAAGTGTGGAGAATTATTTCGCAGGATTATTTGGAAGTTTTAATAGCACAGGTGAGCATTTTGATTCAGTTTGTAAACCTGAGACAATGCTTTATACGCATTCATTAATAATCTTATTTCAGATTTTTGCAACGTCAGGATGGCACGTCGTCACCGTTGCATTTTTCTTAGTTATATATTTCTTTGGAACATTTCTCATTGGATCATTTGCTCATGGTTTGATGGGTCAATATCTTCAATCCACCTACAATCATGGAACTGGAGGCTTCTGTCGATATGAAAATAGTACTGTCAAAAGCGACCCTGTTAACACAGGGCCGGTTGTAGAACCAACTGCGGACGTTACGATGGGAAGTGGTGCTCCAACTTGGAAAGATACCATCGCAAAGATTTCAAATTCTTTCGGATTCGAAGTGTTTATAACTTTCGTGATTCTATTTGATGTGTTTTGCTACTTTGCGAACATGTCGCAATACGAAGTTGAAGCGCCTGTGTTTACGCACAACAATTCTCTGGTACCCAGTGTATTTCATTATATGTATTTATAGATTTGCATACACAACTTTAGAGTGAGTAGTGCTGGAAAATAAGGTCTATAATTGTTATTACAGATCGTGTTTTTTATCTACTTGGTCGAATTTGTCTTGAAACTGATCGGCTCCGGGGCACAGATTTATTTTAAAAACTATTGGAACATCTTTGATTTTGTCATCTTGGTTCTCACAGCATTAGGAGAATTTAGCAAAAGAGTGCACCAGTTGACAACGTTTGGATTTCTGATATCTTGCGTAATTTACAAACAGTTAAAATTTTCAGAATTACTCTTTTCCATTAAAAAATATATTTATTTAATAACTATCTAAATCATTGTTCAGATTCGGATATTCAAAATAATACCTCGTTGGTCAGGTCTGCAAAACTTAATCAAATTTACGGCCCAAACTCTGAAACAATTTTGCGGATTTTTTGGAGTATCGTTCACTTTCTGGGTCCTGCTAGCACTCATTGGAATGGAATCATTTGGTGATGCTTACAAAGAAAACCGTATGCAATTTCATGAAGAATTTGTGCAAAATTATCCAGCTATGACTTTACCTACATCCGCCATGTATGCTTCATTTCAGAACACTTATTCCCACACGGGGCACTTCCACGCTTCCACTTTATCTCGTTCACGCATTCCTTCCTCCAAGTATTTCGATCTTGGTCTAAGGAAACCATAGAATTGTTATGGGATTGCATGCTCGTGTCGGGTACAGTTGGTTGTCCAATATATTTTGCAACTGTACAACTCCTCGGATTCCTTTTCATAATGACGATCGTCATTAGTGTCGTTCTGCTGACTGTAAAAACTTTGGAGAATAGGAAGCCAAACATGGACGGTACCCCATCAAATAGTACATCTACCTTTACAAAACTTGGCGAATTGGTACTTTTAAAACCAATGGAAGTGATCAACGCAAAGTTTGCTCCGAAAAAAAGGTCAGAAGAGGTCAAAGTTCTCCAGAGGAAAGATAGTGAGGAGACGTCCCCCAGCGAGGATCGTGATGATATTGAAGGCAAAATTAGAACTGGTTCTACTTCACAGGGCGGAGGTGGAGATTATCTGATAAAAATTAGAAATTGTGTCAACAGCAGACCCGTCCTCATATTCTCTGTCCTACTCATTACATTTTCTTCACTTTTATTGGCATGTTTTTTTTAAATATTTGTTAAACATTATTAATTATGACATTTTTATTAACTTCAAATTGGCTGAAACATCCCCAGACTTATGAAGGACCAGTCCAATCTGCGCAAGTTGATACTGCCAGTTTTTCTACAACCTTAATTTTCTACACGGACATTATATTCGTAATAGTTTTCTCGTGCTTGCTTATTTATAACGCGTTTGACCAAGGAGTTTACTTTTGTCTAACCTCGGTGGCTTGGAATTTAGAACTGTGGATTATTTTGGTAAGAACAATTAATACAGATGACAGATACGTAATTAAGGTAAACCTATCAAATTTTGATGTACAAATTCCTGCAGGAAATTATTTTACATTTATCTTTTGGTCCATGCCGTGTAATGGCATTCTGGTGTTCAACTCTTATCTTAATTCGCTGCCTGCGTCCAGTAATGCTTGTCTTAAGAATTAAAAGATTGGAGGTATTAAATCAAAATATTTAAATATATATTTATTTAAATGCCATATTAATTTTATACAAAAATTACGCAGGTTGTCCTGCTCACCTTGCGGAATCAACTTCAAACCACGTTCACTTATATTTTAAGTTGTATCTATATTTGGTTCTTTTTTGCCATCATCATGAACCAATTGTATCGCTATGGCTTTTCATGGGTACACAACATCTAAACACTTATTTTTGAAACCTAGAAAAATATTTTAATACTACACTATTTCTACATGCAGTGTGTCAGTCCGGATTCTGATGATTTTGAGTTATCTGAGAAGCTCAAATATAACACGGATAAGATGACTTGTATGATACACAACTATACATGGGAGACTACGACACACCATTTTGACAATGGATTCGAAGGTTTAGTCGCAACATTTCTTCTACCAACGAGAAACGGATGGATTTCAATTCTCCACAATGCATTTGATGCAAAAACGACAGGATATGTGCGTATGGAGGAACTAATTTGCAAATAGCTGGTGAAGTTACCATTAAAAATTTGCCATTCTTAGGGTGACGTTCCCATGGAAAAGGAAAACAATTTAGAGAGATCAGTTCCAGTATTCGTCGCCTTTTACATCTTTGGAATTGTAATTCCAATAAGCATTGTCATCGGCGTTGTGACTTTTACTCTTCGAAAATCTAAGGTGGTTAAAGTTACATTTGTTGCTAATGTTCCAATGCAAACTAAACTACATCTTTACATGTCTCACTACAGGAGTCTTTTTTCACCATTGAAACCTATAAAAGATATTTCGAACTTAATAAACAGTCTGCATTGGAAGAGCCGACACCGGTCATTCCCAGACCTGAATCAGCCTTCAGAGGAAAAGTGTACGATCTCGTCACATCCAAAGCATTTGACATCATTGTCATGGTCATCTTAATCCTGACTTTTATCATATTATCCACTGAAAGTTATAGAGCATCGGATTTGGAGGTGATTAATAATTGAAGATCTTGTCATAATTACATAAATATTTATAAACGCTAAATATTTGCAAAACAGGTGCAAGTTTTATATCAATTACTGCTCGTTGTCCTGATCCTACTCTTTATTGAACTGGTGTTAAAGCTGATTGGTCTTGGGAAACATTTTTTTGCATGCGGATGGACCCGACTGGATTTGTTCATCTTCGTTTTGATGGTGCTATGTAAGAACGATCAAATTCGTTCAAATTACCAGATATAACTTATTTAAGCATTATATGTGACTTATTTCTGTATGCTTTTTCTAGCAATGATGTTTTCCGACTTGGTTCACAAGTATATAGTCCATCCAGTAATTCTCTTATTCATACGAATCATCCGAATTATTCGTTTCCCGATATTTTCTTCGCGACTTCCAGACATAGAAACATTCTTCAAATCATTCTCCCTTGTAAAACCTGTTTTGACAAATATTCTCGTGTTTCAAATTATTCTAATGTATTGCTACTCGATTTATGGAAAATACGTCTTTGGACATGTGGCACAACAACAATCTGAGCCCACAGAAGCACATTTTGGAACACTTTCATCCTCGTTCCTTGCTCTATTTTTTATTTCAGCATTTCAAGGCATTGATGGCATTCTTGTGTCGTTATCAAAGGAATATGATTGCGAAATTGGTCCTGAATCAGAAAATCCTTGCGGCGATAAAGTACACGCAGCATTTTTTGTTTTTTCATATTTATTTTTTAGCATTATTATTTCGATCAACTTTTACCTGATTTTTATCCTGGAACTTGTTTCTCAAATTAATTTAAAGAATGGTGATACTTCTGGAGACCAATTCGGCGATATTGAGCTTAAAACAGTGGATGCAGATGAAGAAAGTGAGGCAAAAGAAATTGCATAATGTGATTGAACTGTGTTCGTTGTTTCAAACGTTTAAAGCATAACTATATTTACAACATAATATTTATTTAGGGCAAATATTTTTGACACTTGGAATTTAGATTATTATAATACTATTTACTCTATTTTAGATATGAGTATTATTGGTGGATCTTCCAGGAATACACTAATTAAGCGTGAATTGCAAGATATACATATACATATTTCATAAATATTATCCTTGTAAATCTTGGCCAACTAAACATTAAATGATAAATGAAAACTTAAAATTACGTAGTGCCTCATTTTACTGGCTGATTGATGTATTTATTTATTAGTTCATTATGTCTGGTTATGATACAAGAAATGTACAATTTATTGATTTGAATATGTACAAGTGATGTTACAAGTGGTTGATGAAGGACTATTGGCTAGCGTTGATCAATAGTTGGAGTGATTTTAGGGCGTTGATCCTCCCTTCGCCGTGGTGATAGTTGGGAAACTGGTTGTCTGGAATACCACTACATGTTTTCTCCTGATCAACGAGGTCTTGGTCGACTCCTCTTCGCATGAAGCTAGTCACATTTGCATAAGAAAGATTTATGTCATAGGTCAGAAGGAGAGAGATGAGACCGCTGACATGTGGGCACGCCATACTCGTTCCGGAAAGAGCTCGATAAGCATCATCGGCTGTGTTGTAGGCGGAAAGGACGTTGGATCCAGGCGCAGAGACGTCAGGCTTCATTCGGCCATCGGTTGTTGGGCCGACCGAGGAGAATGAGGACAATTCGTCGGAAACTGTGGTGGATGCTACACCAATCACGTCTCTGTCTCCGGGCGAGTTGGCCGTGTTGCAGGACGGTCCCGAATTTCCGATGGAGAACAATGGAATGATTTTCGCTGTGTGGAAAGCAGCAATTGCACCATCAAACCTACATAATTGAAAAATTTAAAATAATAATAAAACCTGGGCATTAGTTAATTGCACGAGAGACTCACCAAGTAGCACCGCGACCACCTCCCCAACTATTTGAAACAAGATTGGGAGCTTTTGTGCAGTCAGGGGCACTGCCATCAGGTCGAGTTGGGCAGGCGATAAATTGAGCACATGCCAAAAGGGCGTTCTGGGCACAAGATGAACTCGCACATCCGCGACACGAGGTCCATTTTGCATCCGGAAAGACACCGACACCCAGTTTCCCAGCGATAGTTGCAGTGGTGTGAGTTCCATGACCGTTGATGTCCATGGGCAAAGAGTTGGCATCGTAGGGGTCAAACCACCCGTAGTCTCCAGCCCAGTTGTCTCTCAAGGCTTCGTGGGTGTGGCGAGCTCCGGTGTCGATGGTGGACACGACTACTTGAGATCCCTTAATCGACAAACTTCCAAGGAGTTCACGAGCTTCTGGTGCTTGGATTTTCCGAACTCCCCATTCATGCTCTGGAATTGGTTTTCCTCTTAGAATAGGTCCCTCAACGATCGTGTCTAGTTCAATGATTTCCTCCAACTCCAAACTATTGACTTCTGTGAAGGAGGCGAGGATCATGATGAGATCCATGGTAGCACCCTTGACATATACCTGATTGGTGATCCACAAGGATTTAAATTCGAATCGTCCCTGGAGATAGGACCTCACATTGGTTTGGACTCGAGTTGCAAGACCTATGAGGCCCGAGTGCATGGCGTTAAGAATTTCATCTCGAGATGCATATCGGGATTCTTGAACGGATTGCAAAATTCCTTCCATCCCCTCGTGGAATGTAACGAAAATGTCGGCTGTTTCGGCTTGCTTTGCCAGGCGGAGTAGTCGGTAGTCAATTTTGGAGGAGTCAGGTCGTCCTAGGGCAAAGGCGACGAGAGTCAGAACCAATATCAGCTTCATGTTGAGAGTATTGCAGCTTTAAGCGTTATCAAGTATGTATTGTGAAATTCCCTCTGAGGAGTTACGCATATGCTTTAACTGTTGTTCCTTTTCTACAGGTGACTTGCAAGTCAATGATGTTCTTATTCGAAACTGGGGAGACTTTTTATACTCAAATTGTCCAGTCTGTTGTTGTCGTTATGCAAATAATCAATCAATGTGGCGAATATCAGTGTATGATTACCAGTGTGAGTGTCCAGAAGACATTGGCATTGGGTTATTTTTCGCCAAGTTTGGCTTCATGTTTCAAAGTTGTGCATATATGAACTTCATAGGAGACAACGATACATGTACCGATGTACAAAAGCTTTGTCAATGACCTAAAAACAACTGATTGTGAATTATGCACGACACCCTTCAGCGTCAAACTTGCTACCGTATGCAAATATTATCGCATTACTTTTGACTATCTACGCAATCAAGAGCAAGTTCCTGTGGAAACTGTGGAAAGATAAATATTTATCTCTCATCTTGATAAATATCAATAAACACATAAATTCATATTTGGTCTCAATTCAGTGCTATGTAAAAATATAAACAAACAATTCACTGAAAATGCATGCATGCATACATATATTTATTTGAACTCTATTGAACTGTAAGTTTTATACAACGCAAATAAAAGTGAACGCAAAAGGTGCATTGTTGAAAATATGTAATTATGTATGTATGGCTGAAATGCTGAAATGGGGGGGGGGTTTCTAAACTGTTTTTCAGATTATGCGCTGTTATGCTTGGTAAACAAAATTGTTCGTAAATTAATTTACCAACAATTTTGTGATATATACATAGTAACATTGTACTATGTAAAAAACTTTTTCTTTAATATTTGTATATAATTTGCTAACTACAAATTTTCACGTCTTCATTTGATGTGCATACCTCTTATACTAATCTGAATCGAGTTTGTTTATTGGGATTACTTCACATACATATGCAGTATTCACTCCACTAGTGTAGAAGCCCGTCGATAAGCCCGTGACCCCAACATTAGTGAAGTTAGCCTCTCCTGTTCTCTCTGCAGAGTGGAGAGAGAAAAGGAGAGGCTAACTTCTCAACTAAGCCACCGACCCAGCCAGCCAGCAGCGATACACTCGCCTGCTTTATATAGTTTAGAAGATGATTTCCATGGTCACCAACTGAGAAATATCAAGTTTTATCAAATTATTATGTAAACCAACTTTTTAGCCCGAGTCAGGGCTTATGGAACCGTCATGTCCGTCCGGCACGATAGAGCCAAAACGGCTGAACCGATTGACTTAAATTTTTACCACATGAATATTGGACAAAGTTAGGAAACGAGTTCGAAGATGGGTGAAATCGGTCAAGTGGTTGACCGATAGGGGTCGTCGGAGTGGGTGGGGTATTATGCACCAAAATTTCAAAGTTGTCGAACAGAGCTGAAATTTGGTGCAGAGGTTGCTAATGGTTCCTAATAGATAAAAATGACTTCAAGTTGGAAAAAGTTTCAATGTGAGGGACCGTATGGGGTGGCCCATACTGATTTTTCAAAATCTAGACATGACATCCCGCTCGATTCCAAGGAACCTTTGTAGGATTATGTAGTACTCGAGGGGGTAAATCAGACAGCACCAAGTTCACTTCCCCATGCGTCCCACTTAGGGTAGGGGGTGTGGTCGAAAAAGCCCCAAAACGCCTGTTTTACAACCTTCAAATGCATGAACCGCCCGAACTATGCGAGCAATATTCAGCGGTCAGTCTCAACTTACCCCCAGGGAGGGGGGGTGGTTCGCCCCCCTGGAGGTGTGACCTCACAAAAAAAATTAGGCGCATTCCCTGAGTCACTCTGGTCAAGAATATATTTCTATATATGATAGGCTTTGCTCCTTACAAATTATGAACAAAAAAATAACCATTTTGGAGTCTGTGTGACCTTCGGAATGTTAAATCCTGCCGCAGTCTTGTAATGTCTGGCAATGAGTCGGACAAAGTCGTTGGCCTTAGCCAGCGGCGTAGCCAGGATTGGGCTTTGGACATAAGGACATAACACGTCCAGAGCTTGATTGAAATCAATGTCCAAATCTTCTGCAGGTACATGACCTGTAATACAGTAAAAATTAGTTGCCTGTAGTTAATTTCTTAGCCGTTTGGACAACAGACCTTTATGAACTCTCTCGCTACGAGGATTGAAGTCTTCAGGAAATGTAATCACACCTCCATCTTGTTGCTGTCTCAATGCGTCGCGGAATTTACGTGACACTCCGATAAGCACAATTTTGTGAACAGACAACTTCTCATCGGCTACAATGACCGTGGTGTCGACATTCTGTCGGGATTCGTACTGCTCGAAGAGCATATCGCAGAGATTGAATCGGCCCTTCTTCCTTTCCTTGGTGGCGATGATGATGATGTCATTGCAGGAGCTGAAACTTGTAGAAATTTAAAATATTGATTCCATAGTTTATATTATTAAACAAAATTAAATAAAGCCATTAAATTAATTAATAATTACAAATTGTAATTTACAATAGCTCATTACCTTAACTTGATAGTTAAATTGTAATTGTATTAAACTCAATTTATGAAATAATTTTGGTCGAGTCAACTGGACTAAGTTTGAAGTTAATTCATACAGATATCAAAATATATTTTTTTAATTTAATGTCAATTAGTCGCAATAATTTAACTTGAAATTTAATCGAGTATCAAGTGTGAACTGGTAGTTGACGGGTTCAACTGTTATCACCTGCTGGTGGGAACCTCTCCACGAGAGTGAGAGAGAGATGGAACACTTCATCTAGTGAACTGGCGAAGCAAGTGTGGTGGCCACGAGCCGGTCGTTTTAGTCAAACCCTCGCGGGAAATTCAATCCTCGTCATTCAGTAGAATGTGCTCTCGACAAAAATTAAAATAGTTAAATTATTCTGTGTGCATTTATTTTTGAATTTGAAACGAAAGCGAGAACATTTATCTTATCTCAACTTGAAGGTAAGTTACTTGACCAGAATATATTTCTTATTACGATTTGTCTGCCACTGTTTTTTGAAAAACTATACAATTTTTTAATGACATTTTCAGGCAGGAAATTTGTGGAACTTTTCTTATTCAACTCTCGCAATGGAATTCCAACCGGAAGTAAACAATGTGGAACATATGGCACTAAATAATCCGATCGTAAGCCAAATAATTTTAGATGCAATTAAGAATTGATGTATTTTAATAAACAAGGTCCCAAAAAAGGGGAAATCTTAGTGAGACACGCGTGCAATAACAAGGAATAAATAAAACTTCCGGTGTCACATTTGCATCACCTCTCCCGGAACAATTTATTGCATGAACATTAAGTTTGGCATGAACGGAATTGCAGCACAACGCCAATAAATTTATTGCAAAATGTGTAAATTTTGGGGTTATTTGACCTAATGAGCTAATACATACAATTACGACCTTACTGACCGAACTCAACAATTACTTCCGAAAGAAATCACAAACTTCTATAACAAATTCGACAGAAAGATTTTCTATCATCTTCACATTTTGAATAAAACTTGGCCTTCCTCCTCCGTTCCTTCCTCTTTGCCACCTTTGTTCCGGTTTCTTCCATCTGCTTACCGCATGCACATAACCTCTGCTCTATGTTTGATGGATCTAAATTATGTGCAGATTTTTCGTGAACATGGAACTGAACAGTTTCTACATTGATTGGTTCAGTTAACAGATTTTCTTCATTTCTGGCATTAATTTTTTTAACTTGACGCAGCTCAGTATTTTTCAATCTCGCTCGTTGCTCCCAAACTTTTGCCATCCGTTCCTGTCTTGATAACTGTAAATTCACTTTCTTCTTTTGAGCGTATTCATTCTTGGCATCATTTGCAAAATATTTTCTGCTGACTTTTTCTGCAAGAATTCTGTGGAAAAGTTTTGTCTGCCTAGCGTCGGTAATTTTTCTAAGTTCCTCCTTCTCGGCTCGTAATCGGGCGATTTCTTCCTCCGCGTCCTTCAACTGATTAAAATATAACATTACTTTTTCCATGCAATGCATCTTATATATTTATTTCTTATTTACCTTCTTGCAAACGTCTAAGAAAGCTGCTTGTTCAACTGAACTTTCCAAAACCCAAAGTTTTGACCGCAATGTTCCATTCTCGACCTCGAGAATGCGTGCACGCTTGTTCGCCTCATAAAGCTTTCGAATAAGCCCAACTTGTTCTTTGACTAGTTCCTCCTCCTCGTCATAGCAAACTGTAGAGGCTTGAGATTGGCTCGACATGGTGCTTCTTTCGCAAATCTCGCTGAGTTTTTAAAATTTCGGGTGTTGCCCGAAGTTTGTTGTTTGTTTGTAAGTTTTGTTGTTTACCAAAATTTGTCAATTGTAACCATAGAATTTCATCAATTGGCATGCATATTCCGAAAGATTTATTAGAGCTGGGATGCAATTCCGTTCCTTCCAAACTTAATGCTCATGCAATCAATTGTTCCGGGAGAGGTGATGCAAATGTGACACTAGAAGTTTTATTTATTCCTTGTTATTGCACGCGTGTCTCACTAAGATTTCCCCTTTTTTGGGACCTTGTTTATTTAATACTTTTAATCGAGTGACTTTTAATACATCATGACATTCTCAAAACACGTTACATATAAAACTGTTTCTGTCTTGTCAAGATCATAAATTATGTAAAAAAAATGATATAAACTTATATACATACACATCCGCAGATCCATTTTTTACAAATCAAACATACCGGGTATTCACACACCCAGTTTAACAAATCGTGAATTTCATTCTCGTCAACTTGAATCTTCATTAATCGGAGTCGATATAGTTCTCTGAGTGCGTCTTCGTCACATGGGGCGGCATTTTTCTTGAGCGTCAAAATATTTGTCTCATTCACGCCGATTATGCGCAATCCACTAGAAGACTTGAGTCGGCTCAAGGCAACATACCCCTTCGCTTTAGCAAACTGGCGTTTCGATAAATCAATACTGGCGAAGTGAAGGGTTAATCCCTGTGTTTTATGAAAAACTAGCGCCCAGCACAATATCACAGCGAAGGCCCTCCTCTTAATTAACGTCTGCCTTTTTCCTGGATAGCAAGATTTTAATTTTTTAGTAAAGTACCTTGCACTTATATATGCCTTGAACATTTGTTTTATAACCATACCAGGGAATTCAAAAGTCGAACATTCTACCGGTACATATCCATTAATGTCCTTCTTACGTCCTCCCATCCCCCCATCAAATCGAACAATCAGAAATTGCGGTAGATCTCCAGGCTGAAGAGGTTCATCTCTAAGAGCAGTCCACTTGATACCGACCACTGTTCCAACACTCCCATTAACTAGTCCTGCAATCCACAATATGCTTAATTTTTTTTACAAGGAAACTTTATAGAAAATTTACCATCAGATAGACTCCAATTACGGCGAAGCATAATTCGACTCCCAACACCAATCTCAATAGTGGTTGGAATCCCAGCAGTGAGTCTTTCTTCCTTGGGAATCAAATTTTCAGGGCACGGCTCATCGTAATGAACTCCTGCGGCATATGTATCTTTTGCCCTCATTATGTAGGTTTTCTTATTGACTTTTGATAATTGGTCTTTCAATTTCTCTGTCTGCTTCTCGTTAAATTTGTTGACATCCGTGTTTGTAGGAAAAAGTGCCAAGGCATCCGAGAACTTTGCAAACAACTCATAATCTTCCAAGTCAAAAATTCGGGCTTGAAGAAGGCCTAAATCCTCCTGAGTGCACTGTCCAAACCTCAGTCGCTCTAAGAGTTGTAAGTACCGCGTGTCTCCAGTTTGCCGGTGGTTGGTGAAAAGTTCGTAGAAACTAAACAACTTCCAAAGATTCACTTCATGGAGGTAGGTGCTTGGCGGCTTAAATATCCAAGAAGCATTAATGGGTCGAAATTGCATAAGATCTCCCAATACTAAAATATTCAATCCTCCAAAGGGCTCATCATTGTTGGTTATTTCACAAAGACGCAAATGAATCACCCTTAGGCTTTGATACGATACCATTGACACCTCATCTATGATTATCCATTTCAACTGCCTCAAATTAACCCGTAACTCTTCAACTTGCTTGCTTTTTAATGGGACGTATGCTGGAATGAATCCCCTCTGTACTGGAAGTTTGAAGGTTCTATGGATAGTGGTTGCATTAATATTTAACGCGCTCATTCCAGTAGGCGCTGCTTTTAGTAGGTTGTGACCGTTAAGGCAATAGGAAGAAATTAATGACGCAAGAGTGTCTATCAAATAGCTTTTGCCTGTTCCTCCAGATCCAGAGATAGCAGCAATCATTTTGCCAAGGTCGGCTCCATCCAAGTAGCTTTTAACTTTCAAAAACACTTCTTTCTGCTCTTCTGACAGCGTATGGAATCGTTCTTGCAAATTTCCTACATCATTTATCGGCTGAAATATTTCATTCTCTGGACCATTGTTATCCTCATCTTCAAACTCGTAAGGAACGTAATTTTCTCCATCAATTAGCGGTGTCATTGGCTCTTCAAAATTTTGTATTCTAATCAGAGCTCTGTCAATCTCTTGTGCAAGGGTTGGGCGAAGGAAATCAGCATGAGTAGAATTCCTAAATTCACCTGATCTTTCTTTAAATGCATCAATTATTGTTTGAAAGCCACTCGTGATAGCATTTTCGTCAATAAATGGATAGTACAGGAGCATCATGCAGTAATAGTAATCTTCTGATTGACTAAGGGCATCAAAGTTAGGATACTTTACAATAGCTGGCCTTTTTCTGATCTTCATGACTGTTGCATTATTTAAACGAATAGTGTGTCCTTCAAATTCTTCTTCTTCCTCCTCATTTCCTTCTTGTAAATCTGCTTCAGTTTCGTCTCTCTTAGCTGCAATGTATTTGGCTGCGAACTCCAGCAAGCAAATATCGGCCAAATTCGTTGGACGGAGGCAATATTTGTCAATAATACTTAGCCCTATTTTCACATTCGCATTTCCTATTGATTCTTTCTGAATTAAATGTAATCTTTTGTTAGGCAAGTATGCAGGGATAAAGACAAATCCTCTTGAACTGTGACGCAGCTTAAGATGACATAACCGGTACGCCGCTTCGGGTGCACTAACTTGTCTTTTGTTCATTATCTTCATCGCAATACTAGTTGCCATCTGATAATATGAGGCCTTCGAGTTCGATTGGAGCTGTTGCATAATTATCTGAATTTCGTCTTGGATGTCTGTGGGCTCGGCCTTGCTGATGTATTTGGCAATATAAAATGCTATAGCATTTGCGTCCGTGACGAGCTGTATATCCATATTGCACTTCAAAATTTTCAAAAGGATAGGGTGGTAATTGTTGATGTAAGTTTCATTTTCATTCCGCTTCAGAATACAAAACCGGCCCTTGTTACGGTTAATGTCATCTTCCTCAAGTATGACGGTTTCCTTTGACACCTTTCTAGGAAAGTCGAATCTGCAATACTGCGTACGTGGGAAGCAAGTCTTGGTATGACGGTGTTGCTGATACTTCAATACTAACGACTTTAATTGTTCGTCATCCTCAGGAATGGAGCAGGACATGTTTGACTCAATAAGTCTTTTGCCCTCAGTAGAGTGATAATCGCGTGGGGCGTCTTTGAGCCAGAGCAGCATATGTATATGAGCAGATCCTCGATTTTGAAATTCAATCCGATAACTGTGATCGTCAACTTCGTGCCCAAAAATCTCTTTCCCACATTTTCGTAAAAGTGTCATCAAATTGTTGATTCGATGACTGAAATGCCGAGCAGACTGAACTGGATGCCGATTAAGCAGATCTGATTTCTTTTCATAACTAAGCGTGTTAACAATTTTCTCCAACTCCGCATAATTACGAGATTCTAAATTCTGCCGAATTTGTGTGATTAAATCGGCGTTACAATTTCCTCGCATGGCATCAGCAAGTAGAAGCCCGCAAATAGAGTCAGTGGAATTTAGATCATCCGATGATACAGTTAAAAATATGTTGGGAATGCCTCGCTGAGCAATCATTGCGATGAGGTCTCCTTTGTAAGATTTCCAGTACGATGCACCTCCACGTATAGCAGACATGTACAGGTGAACGTTTGTCAATCCAGGGTATTCATCATAATTTTGTACGCCATTACTACTGGTTCGCATTTGCCCGCATACTGCAATCTTTTGTTTCACTTTGTGCTCTTCCATTCTATTGAGGGCGTAAAAGAGATAACTATTATCCCAAAATCGTGTGTCATTGGACATAACTCGGGCTTGGAAATAGTCGAGTGGTGTGATTTGGACAGGTCTAACAGAAGAAACGCCTCCGCGCCCAAAGGGAAAGAGGTTGACAAACTTAATTCTTCTAGAAACGCTTCATGATTAGGGTATAGGGGGCGACCTTTCTCCTTTTCGATAAGAAGTGATGGTGTATTTTGTGCCTTGGAGGAAGTAACAATTTCTCCAATATCAGGAACACTGAAGTCAACATTATGCAGCAATGAATCCACCATAACGTTTTCCCCAAATGCTTGAGCTTCGTGCAGTAAATCTCTGAATCGGTCACCAGTGTCTTGAGACGTGGCAGGTGCAGGATTTGAATGTCTTGAATTATGACTGGTGGAGACAACAGCTTCTTCTTCTTCTCTTCGATACTCTGTTACTGTAATTACTGGAGTGATATTGAATAGATAATTAGCAGTGTTCTGACTTTTTGGATCATGTTTGGGCTCCAGATTTCTATGCACAAGTTTGGAAATTTCAGCTGCTGCAAATGATATTTCGAATTCGATAATGCATGCTAAGCCATTGACAGCAACCCGTCCATGCGGTCCCCTTGAATGACTGTCGAACAGATAAACATTTCCTACGTACTTCAGGATAGCCATTGAATACGATCCAACAGTAAGTATTGCAGTGGTGTATTCAGATTCTATGAAGTTTCTCAATGCTGCATCAAGGCGGAGAACTTGCGAACTCAATTGTCTAGCCAGACGATTGAGTTGTCCATTGACACTTCTTGCATCCGATTCATCAATAGCAACTGCCACAGTCAATGCTCCAAATATGTTATCAATTTGTCCCTGGGCTTCAAAAGCTGTAAGGAATTCTCCGCGAGTGGCTTTTTCTTGGTATAACTTGTCGCCACGAAGGAGAATATCATCTAGGGTATCTGTGGTCCAAGTCGATGGATTTTGAATGCAAGAGTAGGCCAAGCTCGTGATGGACATTGCAGTGCATTGCTTCCCTCGGCCAGCTTCATTAAATCTACCATGTGATGCTTGGTTGCAAGACGCTCGGAGAATTCGCCTGTTTTGTCCTAAATTCGAGTACGTAAGCATAGTAACTGGTATATTCTTGTTTGGCACCATTGCTTGAGTAACTGAAGCTTCGATTATTACTGGCTGAATTGCACTCTCATCCCTCTCACATATGGCAACATTTCTATACAGCCAATTGTTTTGTTTCAACCATTGCAGGGCTTTCAAAACGGCAGATGGGCGAACTCTGAAGTCATGCTGATTTTGAATTCCTTCAATTTTTTCATGGACGACCACAAACTCTGAACTGGAATTGGGTAGAGGAAGTTCTTGGCATATTTCTTTCAAGGAGTTTGGAAAATGAATGGCTGAACCCTTTATTGCTTGCTGTCCTCGTCCTTTGCTGAGATAAAATATCTTCATAAATGGCCGGACTTGAGAAATGAGTTGAAATTCAGGAGGCGATAGGCACTTAATCACTTCTGGTATTGTTTCCTGTTTCATTCCATTGAAGAAGGCTTGAGGTGGGATATTTTTCTTCTTTGCTGCTCGATGGCATCTTTGGCATAAATGAAGATGTATAGGAATACAATCAAAGTGTTCGTGCAAAAAGTTTAATCCAGCAGTTGAGAGAGCTTTCAATGTATACTGCATGCGATGGCACAGGTCACAAACTTTCTCTGGATATTGATGAACTGCTGTATGGAATTCTATTGTACAAAATTGCAGCATTGATGAGGAAGGGATATCTTCGATGTCAAGGTGGGGTCGTTTACGTGGAGGGCGTCTTGTAATGGGCTCGTTTCGTCTTCCCTTTCTTTCATTCCCAGTCGTCCCCACAAAATTAGAAAAATGTTTACTCCACCTGGACAGGCTGAAGCGAACTACATCGATGTTAGGAAGGTTTAATCTCAAAGCCACGTCCCCATATAGTGAGGTTCCATGTTTAGCATGTACGTTGTGGTTATCAGACAAGCTAAATGATGTCAGGATTTCTTGATGTGTTTTTCTTTGAAGAAATTCCTGTAGAAGTTTCACAATAACCAAATCTTTAGAATAATACTTGTTTTGTTTTTATATTAAATTTTTGTACCAGATATGACGTCTTCACAAATTCACGTAGATATTCTCGGTTTGCTCGAGTGTTTTGCAATCCGAGTTTTGTTACAATATTTCCGTAGAAAGAATTAGGATCCGGTACTACATAATTAGTTGGCTTTTGTTTTAATTCATCCTCAAGTACTGAAATGATCTCCGAGTCTCGCAGTCCAATGAATGGTGTCAACGGTGACAAACACGTGGACTCGGTACAGTTAACTTCCTATTTCGAAAATGAGATCAGTTTTAATTTCATCACTTGAATTTTGTTTGTATATTTTTCTTTACTTACTTCGATACAAAATGATATGACTTCTTTCAAGAATTTTCGTGCGTGGAATGTATTTTCTTCTCTTAATTTGATTAGAGCCATTCCATACACCGATTTTGCTTCGCAATAATTTTCACCTCGCAGATCACCTCCAACGGCATTGCAGAGTATGTGATACGGAATGTTGAACGCCATTTCTTATGCTGGTATATGTATATGAATTGCAATCGTCAGCATGCGACGGTAAAAGTTGGGCGGTTGCATAGGTATAGACTGGCGGGTGGAGCTGTTTTTTTAATTAAAGAGTGGCGGGTAGTGCTTGTTGCACAAGTAAAGAGTGGCGGGTAGTGGTTGTTGCACAAGTAAAGAGTGGCGGGTAGTGCTTGTTGCACAAATAAAGAATGGCGGGTAGTGCGGGTCGCCTAAGTAAAGAGTGGCGGGTAATGCTGGTTGCACAAATCAAGAGTGTCGGGTAGTGCTTGTTGCACAAGTAAAGAGTGGCGGGTAGTGCTTGTTGCACAAATAAAGAATGGCGGGTAGTGCGGGTCGCCTAAGTAAAGAGTAGCGGGTAATGCTGGTTGCACAAATCAAGAGTGTCGGGTAGTGCTTGTTGCACAAGTAAAGAGTGGCGGGTAGTGCTTGTTGCACAAATAAAGAATGGTGGGTAGTGCGGGTCGCCTAAGTAAAGAGTGGTGGAGTGGTGGGAGTAAAAGTTGCAAAAGTAACGAAAAACGGGCGGGGCGGTAGCATAAGCAAACAGTAAGTCTTTGATTTGCTACTGTTTCTTATAATGATGTCATTCAAATTACGATTTGGTTGCAACCAGTGGCAGCGGAAGTGTGGGGACGGAGGCTAGTCACTCATTTTGTCATCTTATCTAGCTCTACTCATTTTTATCTCCTTCTTCTCTCCACGAGTGGCCGTGGAAGGGTGTGGACAGAGGGACCTTCCCTCGGTTGTTCGATGTCCCCGTCATCTGCCGCCACAACTTCCGTGGCCACTGCTTGCAACTGCCTTTTGTCGTTTGCTCCACCGCGCCAAGGACTAACGGACCAAAGCCCAGAAAGGCCGAAACCTGACGGACTATGGCCCAGAAAACCCAAGGTGAGGTGGAGGAAATAGTCGCATGCTGACGACGGGCTAAACTTCGTAAATCCAAAATCCCAGGTGTAAAGGAGTAAGACAATGACCATGTAACGCAGTTTAGCAATACTGTTGCATTTACAATTTGAATGGTTATTTTGTGGGAGTGTTTTCTAATTCTTGTGTTGTTAGTCTTGCGTCGTTGTCAATGACGATTTCTTCAATATCTTACTTTTAATTTCTGAACTTCAAATTGGAATAACTAAGCCAATTCTTAGCGGATTTTGATATATTTATACTTAAAATTTTCGGGATAAACTGCTCTACAATTCGTGGGTATCAAACTGTTAATAAAGTTTGCCAGTAATTAGCAATAATTACAAATGTGTTTTTAAGGCCACATTTTTGCCCATAACTCCGGTCAAAATCACAGAATCGCTTAGTCGGATCAGGTCCCTTTCTAGATTATGTAACAATGGC